GATTTCCTGCGGCCTCCTCATCATCCACGTTTAGGAAGCCTAACGTTATTAGAAAGTTAAAATCCATTTGATTTTAGAATTAGTTTTTTTTTCATTAACTACGTCTTTAATTAATGATATTTAAAAATAACTACAGAAACAACCTGTTTCGCCCATAATAACTGAACATGTGGTTGCCTAGTCTGCGAATTATATATCGGAAATAAGGTATCACAATACAACACTTAAAATAATCGCACAAAATTATAACTACGTTTGTCTTTCTATATAATTGATATACATATGTATGTGCGTATATAGAAATTTTTTTATTTGAAAATTGAGTGTATACAATTTTCATTCTCTCTTCAGCAACAAAAATTCCCGGAGTTCCTTAATACTCATTCGGCGATGACTTGCACTATCTTAATGACTTTGATAGATCTACACGGTGACTCGTAGTTACCAAGCAGCGACTTTATTATTATCAAACACTTGCGCAATAAGCTTATCGTTCTCGAGAATACAAATAAAAAGATTATTTTTTCTATCGATCTACGGGACACTCCCTGATTTGATTAATATTCTTATATTATTGAGCAAATGTCGTAAAGATACAATGTATTATAGTTTGAATGATCCTCAAAACTAATAAAAGCAAATTGCATCTCTCGCATGATACATCTTCCTGGTTCCGCCATTACCGACACTCGAAAATTGACTGCGCACAGAATGACAATGTGCAATGCAATACTTACCGAGTACATGAAGTCTGTAATTAATGGAGACGAAAACTATGTCGTGTTTAAGTAGATAGTCCGGACTGTACATGTCACTGCTTCCTGAGCCCATCACAAATCCTCCTCCATGTATCCATACCATAACAGCCCTTTTGCCAGACAATGAATTAGTAGAAACATTCAAATAGAGACAATCTTCACTCCCAATAATTTCAGGAGTCGGTCTCAACATATCGAATTGTATTGCTGCAGAACCTTCTTTCCCAGCATCCCTGATGCCTGACCATGCTTTTGGAGGTTGGGGTTCCTATCAAATCATTAAATAATTAATACATCCTGGTCCTCTCCATTGAACCTTAGCCCTGTTATTTTTGGTCGACATAAAATTACCTTGAACCTTAGTTGGCCCACTGGTGGCTCAGCATAGGGAATACCATTGAAGGCCAAGTACTCTCCGCCTTCTACATTTTGTACAACTGTACCTTTCAAGGCTCCGTATCTCGTTCTCACAATCGGTGCGCTCATGGTCGCTGTAGCAGAGATACTGGCTTAATCACAAGCGACAACTCTGCAGTATATTCTTCCAATCTTGGGTTAAGTATATATACAGGGTGTCCCAGAATTGCTCTGTATTTGTATATATATATTATATATAAAATGCTTTCTTCATAATAATATATATATATTATTACGAAAAAAGTTTTATCAGCATTGACTATGGTACTCTATTTTTAATTCTTGACGTTTTTTTATTCATATCTCATCAGATTTTGGTATGTATATACAGTGCTAGTGAAAAATATTTGCAGAGTATAATACTGATTAAACGAATTGTACTCTGACAATACTTTTGGCCAGTCCTGTACGTGTGATAGATTTTGTCATAAGGAACATTTCTTAAGTTACAATAAATAGTAAAATGTTCTAATAACGAAAAAGTTTAGTTTTACACTAAAGCCTTATTTTATCCAAGGAGGTTACATATAACAGTACATGTGACGTTGGGAACTAAAGAGTTACGCGGATTCAGATATGCTTTTCCAGAATTGCCATTTTTCTTCATCCGGATTGACGCCGGGTACAAGATCATCATTAATTTCTAGATAATGAACTTCTTGCTTAGTTACTGGTAGCCATTTCTCAGTTATCACGTCGTCGAGCTTTGGCGTTGGGTCCCTGAAAATAATATTCAGTTACTATTTACTCTTTTGTGCAAGAAATAAAGTAACTTTTTTTGTCTCTTCTTCTCAGACTTTTACCCAGTTTTGGCAAAGTTCGTCCACAACTTGGTGAAACGCTCCATCCTTATACGAGCCTTAGAATTCGGTTCGAACTTGTTATTGAATAAACGATTGTAGAATAGACAGCCTATATCATCTCCATGACATGTACCTGAAAAGGTCAATTTCAAATTTATTTTTCTGGTTCTTTAATATCTGTCGCTGGTTTACGAGTAAAATTGATTCTTTTGATAAATACTTAAGCCCGTATTCAGAACTCGCTTTTAGCGCTAATAGCGCGCTTTTAAATTTTTTCTTAGTGACTTTTAACTACAAGCGACCCTGTTAGTAACTTTAAGACCGGTTTGTGAATACGGGCTTCGGTAACAAAAATTTTATGGAAAATTTCATTGTTAAATACAAAAAATATATTTTACTCGTGGACCTACTGTAAAGTTCCATGGCACAACTCACCTTTTGCGTTAAGTTTGAACAAAGATATCATACTAAAATTTTCACATAGGGCAGAGAATTTATAAAGATACATCGGTACTGTTTTCTGTGATTGAATATCTACTACTCGTCGAATTCCATAGACAAAATGCAGGTCACCTAGAATCTCTACGTAATTGTCGCGTTGCTTTGGTGTGATTGGCTCCTTCCCAAAATAGTATTTCTTGACACTTTTTACGACGTCATCAGTTTTTTTAATATTTTGATTAACAATGAGTTTATCAAAAAAGCCATCGAAGTCATTTTTGACTTTACTGTATGTCTTATCCGTAGATCCTGATGATGCGACGCGAAAGGCAGAATTGAAAGAAAATAACAAGGATCAGATACATCGGTTAGCTTAATCACAAGCGACAACTCTGCAGTATATTCTTCCAATCTTGGGTTAAGTATATATACAGGGTGTCCCAGAATTGCTCTGTATTTGTATATATATATTATATATAAAATGCTTTCTTCATAATAATATATATATATATTATTACGAAAAAAGTTTTATCAGCATTGACTATGGTACTCTATTTTTAATTCTTGACGTTTTTTTATTCATATCTCATCAGATTTTGGTATGTATATACAGTGCTAGTGAAAAATATTTGCAGAGTATAATACTGATTAAACGAATTGTACTCTGACAATACTTTTGGCCAGTCCTGTACGTGTGATAGATTTTGTCATAAGGAACATTTCTTAAGTTACAATAAATAGTAAAATGTTCTAATAACGAAAAAGTTTAGTTTTACACTAAAGCCTTATTTTATCCAAGGAGGTTACATATAACAGTACATGTGACGTTGGGAACTAAAGAGTTACGCGGATTCAGATATGCTTTTCCAGAATTGCCATTTTTCTTCATCCGGATTGACGCCGGGTACAAGATCATCATTAATTTCTAGATAATGAACTTCTTGCTTAGTTACTGGTAGCCATTTCTCAGTTATCACGTCGTCGAGCTTTGGCGTTGGGTCCCTGAAAATAATATTCAGTTACTATTTACTCTTTTGTGCAAGAAATAAAGTAACTTTTTTTGTCTCTTCTTCTCAGACTTTTACCCAGTTTTGGCAAAGTTCGTCCACAACTTGGTGAAACGCTCCATCCTTATACGAGCCTTAGAATTCGGTTCGAACTTGTTATTGAATAAACGATTGTAGAATAGACAGCCTATATCATCTCCATGACATGTACCTGAAAAGGTCAATTTCAAATTTATTTTTCTGGTTCTTTAATATCTGTCGCTGGTTTACGAGTAAAATTGATTCTTTTGATAAATACTTAAGCCCGTATTCAGAACTCGCTTTTAGCGCTAATAGCGCGCTTTTAAATTTTTTCTTAGTGACTTTTAACTACAAGCGACCCTGTTAGTAACTTTAAGACCGGTTTGTGAATACGGGCTTCGGTAACAAAAATTTTATGGAAAATTTCATTGTTAAATACAAAAAATATATTTTACTCGTGGACCTACTGTAAAGTTCCATGGCACAACTCACCTTTTGCGTTAAGTTTGAACAAAGATATCATACTAAAATTTTCACATAGGGCAGAGAATTTATAAAGATACATCGGTACTGTTTTCTGTGATTGAATATCTACTACTCGTCGAATTCCATAGACAAAATGCAGGTCACCTAGAATCTCTACGTAATTGTCGCGTTGCTTTGGTGTGATTGGCTCCTTCCCAAAATAGTATTTCTTGACACTTTTTACGACGTCATCAGTTTTTTTAATATTTTGATTAACAATGAGTTTATCAAAAAAGCCATCGAAGTCATTTTTGACTTTACTGTATGTCTTATCCGTAGATCCTGATGATGCGACGCGAAAGGCAGAATTGAAAGAAAATAACAAGGATCAGATACATCGGTTATCGTTAAATCCTTTGACTTTAATAAGAGTAAGCATAATTACCTATAAGGAACATAATCCCTTCGTGACTATTGTAACCGAATATACTTGGAACCTCAATTCCTTTTTTGGCCATTTCATCTGCTGGCTGAGGTGCAAAGGGATTTTCACTCTTGTCATCCATTGTTGGTACAAATAAAACGTTAACGGTGAACTCTCCCTGAAAAATTATTAAGAAATTAAGCACTTAAGGATATTCAATGTACCAAAGAAAAAGTTTTTTTTATAAACTTACGAAACCACCAGTAAGCTCTACCACTCCTTCTGTCAATGTTTTAGCATCGACTGTCCGTAGAAACTGTGCAGCTTCTTTACCATCTGTAGTTTCAAATCCTAATAATGCAGCTAATTGTAGTCCTGATTCCTTATTGTCCCGACATAAAATTACCTTGAACCTTAGTTGGCCCACTGGTGGCTCAGCATAGGGAATACCATTGAAGGCCAAGTACTCTCCGCCTTCTACATTTTGTACAACGGTACCTTTCAAGGCTCCGTATCTCGTTCTCACAATCGGTGCGCTCATGGTCGCTCTAGCAGAGATACTGGCTTGATCAAAAGCGACACCACGCTATAAATTCTTTTGATTCACAGCTATCTTATATAGTCTACTTGCCCACTAGACATACAAATGCTTTTACATCAATAAAGTCTTGTATCTCAATAGTATACACAAAAATGGTGTAACTCACTCTTTGTTACTGAACAGAAAAAATGTATTTTTTCACATAAAGCTAATATTGTCACACAGCAGATAAGCTGTATTTTTGTGTGCGAAAGCAGTCTACGTGGAGAGAGCCAATGAAGCATTACTTAGTACCCCTTAGTTTTTGCTTTGTGAAGTACGTTCTTGTGCTGCAATTGTTTGAAGCAATAGAAGGATTAGAGAAGAAATGAATCCTGAAATGATACCATCGTCGATCTTTATTTATGTAAGAACATTGAAACTTGTGTTCAACATTCATTACATTCAATGAATCCTTGGGACTTCACATTCTTCTCAGTAAGTTAACATTAATTTGCATTTATAATCAGTTTTTTCATTCGATTAGGAGCACGCGAGTATAAGGTATTTACAAAATAAGGTTAAAATTTAAACCATTGAATTATTAATGCGTGTCACGTGTAATATCCAAATTTCAAGTTAATCATCTACGCGATTTACAGTGTACTAACTTTCACAGTTACTGTCTTACGCATGCAAAGATTTACGCGAATATCCAGGAATGTTGGTAACAAGATTCTGACGAATGAAAAAAAATGTAACCAGCTACGCGAATAGCTGACGAAAGATTAAATTATGCACTATTGGAACGAGCCAGTACAAAAATCAAGTCATTCGTTTACGTCGAGAATGAATTATATTAAGAAATAATTATACAAACAGACTGTTTTTGCATCGACAACTGAACGAAGAATTATATGTCGCAAATAAAATATCAAAATATAACCCTTAAGATGATATAAAAAAATATAATTAATCTTATATTGCAAAAAGACTATATCTATAAATTTTGTACATCAACATTTTTTTTTATTAAAAAATTTGATGTGTAAATGTTGACATCCTGCTGATTAACAATGAAGTTCTCGCTCATTATCCCATCCATGATAATTAGTTTGGTACTCATTGCACAACAATTGGCAATTACGCATTGCACTGGTTTATTTCTGCACATGACTCATAGTAAATAATCACTTGAATTATTATCACACTTGCGTAATGATCTTATTTCTCTCAAAAACATCAATAACAAGATTTTTTCTTATCTCGATCTACGGGACACTCCCTGATTTTATTATTATCCTTATATTATTAAATAAATGACGTAAAGATTCAATGCATCAATTTCAATGATCCTTGAAACTAATAAAAGCAAATTGTATCTCTCGCATGATACATCTTCCTGGTTCCGCCATTACCGACACTCGAAAATTGACTGCGCACCGAATGACAATGTGCAATGCAATACTTACCGAGTACATGAAGTCTGTAATAAATGGAGACGAAAACTATGTCGTGTTTAAGTAGATAGTCCGGACCGTACATTTCACTACTTCCTGTGCCCATCACAAATCCTCCTCCATGTATCCATACCATAACAGCCCTTTTGCCAGACAATGAATTAGTAGAAACATTCAAATAGAGACAATCTTCACTCCCAATTATTTCAGGAGTCGGTCTCATCGTATCGAGTTGTATTGCCGCAGAACCTTCTTTCCGAGCATCCCTGATGCCTGACCATGCTTTTGGAGGTTGGGGTTCCTGTCAAATCATTAAATAATTAATACATCCTGGTCCTCTCCATTGAACCTTAGCCCTGTTATTTTTGGTCGACATAAAATTACCTTGAACCTTAGTTGGCCCACTGGTGGCTCAGCATAGGGAATACCATTGAAGGCCAAGTACTCTCCGCCTTCTACATTTTGTACAACTGTACCTTTCAAGGCTCCGTATCTCGTTCTCACAATCGGTGCGCTCATGGTCACTGCAGCAGAGATACTGGTTCAATCACTAGCCACAGCACGTAGCAGACTTCTAATATCCAGCTAAAAGTGTATATATTATCTACATTCAACTTTATCACTTTTATTGTATTGTTTACTTATATTTTTTATTTGAATTGATTTTAAACGTATTCTACTCAGAGTACTTAACATAAGTCGTTGTGTACATGTCTTGAGTGACGATTTGTAATTCACGTGATTAATAAAAATTAATCAACTTATAAGATAACTGCTGCTCTTCACCGGCAGTCTAACAGTGTTTTGTACAGTGCAAAGTGAGGTGATCTTTATACTTCAGTGTTATCTAGGAAATCTACTTGAAAGTCTATTATTTCCAATATTTCCTTCAATATTAATTGTTGCCGATACCGTATTTTATAGAAACTGTATATAAATCGGTATACCAGAATGTAATTTAGATATGAACTCTCTTTTGAACAATGATCTTGAACAATTATCAATAAAAGGAAATCCAATGTAAGTTTAATAAGCCGTCAATCCCTGGTATCCAGTTGGACTATGGAGAGATCATGGCTCCCTTATAAAAAGGTAAGGCCTCTTGTAAATGGGCAAGTAGGGCCCTTTTCACTTTTTAGTCGCCGTTTCTCTAATTCGAACTTTTTCATCCTATCCTCTGTGTTCCTCATTCTCCTTTGTCCTCCACGATTATTGTTACTCAGTTTAGAGCTTTCACGCATTTCTCCTTTTTTCGTCACGCTCTCTTCCTTTCTCACTTCCTCTCCACTTCTTTTCTGCCGGGAAGAGGACTGATTAATTTGTGATAAAGTATATTCCAGTGAATTACTGTGTTTAAATAAGGGCGCTACGATGCAATTACCTTCTATCATGCGCAAAATCACTATTTAAATAAAATACAGCTGTCCCTGTTCACTGAGGTCAAAAAAATTGTATTTCTAATCTCATTATTTGTTTTTGGATTTTATCTGTAATTATGAAAGTACTGCTTGGTTCAGAATATGATAATATGAGGTTCTGGAACGACCGTTAAAAACCCTTAGCTCCACACGCCATTGTTCCTGGGGGGTTGGAGGGAGGTGCACATAGGTTCGAATTCATGGAGAGAACGTACGGAAGTAGTATGACAGAAGCAGGAGAGCAAATTCACCGTAAGATCACCGGTAATCAAGTATCCTGTACCTACATATTCCAGGACTGCAGAATCGCTTCAGCGAAACTCGACTTACCGCAAGATTGATATTGTACACTTATTACTTTATGATTCAACGGTTTCAACATTTCTGAAAGAGTTACAAGTAACATTATTTTCCAGAACCACCATTTTGTACCTTTTCCCAAAACTTTTAGGCTAACGTTTTTATAGTATAGTATTTCGTACCTTAGAGCCACGGTCTTGATTCAGAGAAGCCGTAGCGTTGAGCATCTTCTTACTCATCTGTGTATGATCACTGCAAACGTTCCAACTATAAACTACATTTCCTGTAGAAAACATCCCTCGGTCACTTACCAGAATTTGCACAAACATTCTGCAAATGAATTGCACGTCTTTGAGTCGTCGATCACTTATCAAATGCGATGTGACTCAGTAGCTATTTATATTCTTTACAGATTTTTTTTCATTTTTCATTAGGTATGGCTTCAAGAAGAATTGTATGGGAGTGATCTTAGGCGTTCTTTATCCTGGTATATTAGTCAAATTAGTCAAGCAGGTTTTTATTGCAACTAAAGATTATTTTCTGTCAACTTCTTTATCTACAAAAAATGCATACATTTACAGAGGTGTCGCCTACTTCGAAATACTCACTGGGTCCGACGGTCTGACACTGCGCCCAGAGCTGCGCCATGGCGCAGTGAAACAGTTGGATTTGGTTTGATTACATTCAGCGAGCTGTGAGTTAGGTTATACCGTACGTCGTGTTATTTATTTGAGTATTATATTAGTGCATTACATTTAATACGAAAATAAAAATGCCGAAAGTTGTTTCAAGAAGTATAATATGTTCTGATACAAAGGATCAGGAAGAATATAGCGAAGAGAAACCGTTACACATTTATTATTGTTTGTGCGGGCAAATGACATTAATTTTAGGTAAGTCTCATTACTCTTTGGTATCATTTTTTTGCGATTAAATATCTTAAGGATGCAAAAGATTTATGCGCTTTTGTGAAACGATACTATTGGTCTCTTTATATATTTGCAGATTGTGCTATCGAAAAGTTGCCGTTGCGCAAAAGGGACGGTGCAAGAGTAATTGATGGGAGTAAACATGCACATAAAATGACTTCCGAACAAGATGAGACTGTATATTTGAAACGACAGGAGGGTATTGAAAAACAGTATCGGCAAAAGTGTAAAAAGTATATATATCAAGTTTTTCTTAATTTATGCTATATTTAAATTCATTGTGAATAAGCAAGGATTGTTTTTGGTAGTCATTATTTAATTCTCACCTAAATACAATAACTATTTCAGGTGCGGTCTCTTGTTGTATTATAAGCATGATCCTGTAGCTAATATAGTGTTCATAGTGAAGGGATCTGTGATTAAAAGTTCTGGTGAGGGTCCAATGACAGACATTTATAATCAAGTGGCTGTTGAAAAACCAAAGAAAATCATGGTTACAAAGCATACAAAGAATATGGGCAAATTCAGTTCTGTGACAGTATCGACTATAGATGAAGAGGAAGATGAAATTGAAGCGGTGAATAATACAAACATTATATCAAATATCTTTAAACGTTACCATTTCTCTATATCAAACATAATCTTAATGCCAAATTATTAAAATGCAATCATTTTTTCAGAGAGAAGTTGCTGACTCGTATGCAAACAATGCTCGTATAATAGAGAAACAATTAGAAAGGAAAGGCATGAATAAACGAAAGGCAATGCCACCACCTGAAGTCGAACAAAAGAGAGCAAGACCAAGAGGCACTTTGTTAGATGTCTAATACGTCAAAGGTACAGCAATAACGTTAATAAACATAAAATCATGGTGATATTAAAAAGCTTTATAAAATAATGCATTTAATACTTTATATGTAAGAACCGGGAATAGTTACAAAAACCACAAATTAAAACGTAGTTAACTTCAGTATATAAATCATAATTCGATGTAAGGAATAATAATTTAATCGACACGACTACGTTACGGTGTCGACTCTAATGAAATTCACATTTATGAATTATGAAGTGTTATAATCCTTCTATCATTCGTACACTATGGAAATTAATTATATCGCGCATCATAGCATTTATAAGGTTGAGAACGAAAAATTTAAGCAGAGTCATATATACTTTTCAAAAACTGCCATTTATCTTGATCCGGATTGACTCCGGTTATAAGATCTTCTTTAATTTCTAGGTAATTGACTTCTTGCTTAGTTACTGGTAGCCATTTCTTAGTTATCACGTTGTCGAGATTTGGCGTTGGATCTCTGAAAAGAATATTTAATTACTATTGTTTTTTGTGCAAGAAGTAAAGTAACTTCTTTTTTGTCTCTTGTTCTCAGAAGTTTACCCAGTTTTGGCAAAGTTCGTCCACAGCCTGGTGAGACGATTCATCGATACACGATTTTTAGAATTCGGTTCCAATTTGGAACTGAATGCACGATTGTAGAATATACAGTCGATTTCTTCTCCATGACATGTACCTGTGAAAGTCAATTCGAAATTTATTTTTCTTATGAATTAATATCTAATGGCGGTCATCCCAATTTACCTTCTCCACTGTATTTGAGCCAAAATTTTGTCCACGATTTTTCAACTTGAGCAGAAAAAATATAGAAATACATCGGTACTCGTTTCTCCAATTGAAAACCTACTAATCTTCGAATTCCATTCACAATGCGCATGTCGCCTGTAATGCGCAAGTAATTTTGAAATTGCGCCAATGTAATTGGGTCGTCACCAAAGTAGTATTTTCTAACGATTTTTATGATATCATCCGTTTTTTTAAGATTCTGATTGAAAATAAGTCTATCGAACAATTCATCAAAATCCTTTTCGACTGCACTTAATGTCTCATCCGTAGCTTCTGAAGTATCATTAAAATAATATATGTCGGGTTAACTCCTTTTATTTGACAATAACACCCATAATTACCTCGAAGAAATAGAATTCCTTCGTGGCTATCATATCCGATGATACTAGGAACTTCAATTCCTTTCATCGCCATTTCATTAGGTGGCTGAGGCAGAAAGCAATTTTCACTTTTTTCATCCAACGATGGTTTAAATATAATCTTGGAGAACATCATTGCCTATATAGTTATTTAAAAAGTAGTCAGTTATGTTTATTAAACATTGTTTTTGAATTAGATTTTGTGTTATCATACTGGTCCTCCGACAAGCTTAATCAATGCCTCCAACATTGTTACTGCATCGACTGTTTGCAGAAGCTGCACAGCTTTCTTAGTATCTGTAGTTTCAAGTCCTAATATTTTAACTAAATGTAAGACATCCTCTTTATTGTTCGTGGTATAGGCCCAGTTGTTCAGAGCGCAACCACTCTGACCAATAGCCTTGTGAAATAATCCTAAAAATAATAAGCTTATATATATGTATAATTTGTGATGATTAGTAATTGACTTCATATTTAATTAATTTTTAGAGGTAGCTGAATCGAAATAAAAAATCTCAAGATTCATTACCTTTGGCTAATGGCGACATTGTCAAGTAATGGACACAAGCAGAACCAGCACTTTGTCCACAGATAGTTACGTTTCGCGAATCGCCCCCAAATACTTCTATATTTTCCTGGACCCATTTCAACGCAGCAACTTGATCTTTTAAACCTTGATTACCTGCAGCATCCTTGTCGTCCACGTTCAGGAAGCCTAGCAGCATTAGCAACTTGACATTAAATGTTAATTATCTTTTTCAAACGCCATTCTTGCCAAATAACCGCTGCAGAATAACAATGCATAGTGTAATCCTTACCAAATATATGAAGTCTATAGTTAATGGATACGACAACTACATCATGTTTAAGTAGATAGTCCGGACCGTAGAAGTCATTACTTCCACAGCCTGTCCAGAAACCGCCTCCATGTATCCATACTATAACAGCCCGTTTACCAGACAGTGAATTAGTAGAAACATTCAAATAGAGACAATCTTCACTCCCAGTTATTTCATTAGTAGAACTCAGTATATTTAATTGTATTGCTGCAGAACCTTCTTTCTGAGCATCCCTGATGCCTGACCATGCTTTTGGAGGTTGGGGTTCCTGTCAAATAATTAAATAATTCACACGTCCTAATCCTCTATTAAATCTGAGCATCGTTCCGTTTGATTCACATAAAGTTACCTTGAACCTAAGTTGGCCAACTGGTGGCTCAGCATAGGGAATACCATTGAAAGCCAAGTACTTTCCACCTTCTACATTTTGTACAACGGTACCTTTCAAAATCCCATATTTCGTTTTTACAATCGGTGCACTCATATTAGGTCTGAAACATAAACCTGACTATCCACAAACCCAACTACGTAGCCAACTTTCCTAATGTCCCGCGATATATGTACTTGTCGCGAATTATCTTTTTATATGCAACTTTGTCACTGATAAATATGTTGCTGCATTATATTTGAATAACGACTTTTGTATTCCACAGAAACTGTATTGATAAGAATTATACTTACGAGGCAATTTTAGTGGCAATGGCATACATAAATATTGTTTGACTATTTATATTTCCAAGTATCGTAATTCATTTTAATGACAGGTATATCTGACTGTATTTTACATAGAATGTAGTGATAATATGATTCTTCATTTACACATATTTTTATTAGGTTTTTGTGGAAACCACGAATCTAATATACTCTTGTCAATAGGAAAAACCATTTTAGAAATGAAACATGCACTTTTCAATTGACCGTACAAAATCAGATCGAAGGCAACAATGTTCTAACGTTATATTTGAAATATTTATTAACATTACATAAAAGTAAATATTTAAAATATATAAATGACTAGATACAAATATTGCATAAAAATGTACATTGCAAAATATAGATAGAAATTTAATAAATAATTATAATAACTACGTACGACATGTCGTATAAGAAATCGCATTTATCAATAAAATATTTTAGCTAGAACCAGAGTTGGGTTATAGAATGGCAACATACGCGAAGTGGAACGCAAATGCATCACATTATAAAAAAAAATTAATTAACGTCACAAAAAGAGTTCTATAAAACAATTCATTTGATATGGCTCGTCCACCTTTTTTTATCGTTAACAAGGACGAAAACTATCTAAACATATCATTTGTAACTGGCCATGTCGTTCGCCTATGAACTATGGGCATGCTGCGTATATCAATCTACATGACACCAATGCATACATCTATGTAAAAGTTTCCATTCTGGACGAGTATCCATAAAGTTCTATCAGTGATCGAAGAACATAATCTTGACTCGTCCCGTAATTGTGCAGCAATCTAAAGTACAATAAAAATTAATCAAAACAGAAATCTATACGTGAATCGAATAGCCGTCGTCCCTACGTTGAACGACTGTAAAATAGACCTCTGATAAAAAGCATTAGAGGAAGGAAGGTGTGTCTCACTGATGTCGGAATAACCAGGGCACAAGGTCACATTATCGCGTAATGGATGTCAAAACAAGTGTACCCTGGGCTCTCACTAAATGCAAGTACACGAGTTTTGATTGTCTCGCGACTTCATGCGACACTTCCTGGACTCGAATAATATCTGTATCTTACAAGTTAGTAGTTAGGATTTCTCATCGCTTGGGATTTACCTCATCATCTCACAGATGACGTGGACGATAAACTTTTATAATATCCATAAAATGCTAATGCAACCTACAAAGGACATTCATATAGCATTCTAATCAGAATAATTAAAGATTAGCTTGCGACGACTTAATGTCTGCCTTTTTAAGTATCGTGGGCTCGTCCTTCAAAAAAGTTCCGGATCTAGATCCGACTGTGGGCTGCTTTACGGGTTCCCCGTTATGGCACTTTGTTTTCACCTTATCCTCACCAGGCTTACAAGCTTTCTTTACACCTGCTGCTGGTTGTTTATTAACCTTATATGTGGCGGTAGACTTAGGGGATGACCTCTTGCTGGGACTATCCAGACTCTGCTGATTCGAAAGCGTCTCCTTTCTTTCTCTCTTTATTACATTAGACACTGCGCTCGTCGTTTGTGCACTCTGTCGCGGACTTGTACGACTCGCTACTTGGTGTACGGACTTACTTAGGATGTCAGGCGTCTTTGCGGCGTCCAGGAGATTCCTTCGTAGATTTGGCGAGCCCTGATAAGGCGTTACGGCTACTGCTCGGTTTCGACTGGCTGCTGTTGAACTTTCCAATGACCTGAGGGGTTTCCGGGTGATAGTCAGTGGACTTCTTTGTTGCGTCGGTGGTGATGTCTTCTTGGTACGGTCGTATACCTGGGTCTTGTTTATTCCACGACCTAATGTTGGCGACAGTTTGTTGGAGGTGCTTGACTTTGGCGTGGCTGTGATCTCTGTCATAAGACTGTCGGTTGACATGGACGTGTCCATCTTGCCGGTTTTCATCTTGATCGATGATTTCTTCTTGGGCTCGGCTAAGGAATCTACTGATAGACCTATCTCGGTATCCTTTTGTTTGAATGTTGGAGACTCGGGACGGGTGATGCCGCAACTCTTACTCGTTGTGTCCTTCCTGTTATTCACTCTACTGACATTGGTTTCCGTTAAACTGTCTGACGAGAGTGCCTTTACATCCTTCTTTATCGGCAGCTTAATTTTTGCTAATGGTTTCTTATCCACAGCACGTTTCACTGCTGGACTTGATGTCCGTGATGAGTCCGATGATGAGATCATTATTTTTCTTCTTTGTTGTACCATAACCTTCTCGGATTGCACTGCGGGTGGTGCAGTTTCTTTTGTGACCGACTTGTTCCTTGGCTCTAGGTATCTTGATTTCACCTAGGAATATAATCAGTTTTGTGATTATGTGTTTCACATATGAATTAACCAAGTCTTGTTTGCTAGAGAAAATTGTTACTTACCTCCATCTTATTTGGCCAAGATTTTGGTCTGCTTGAACTGTCACTTGGAGCCTGCTTTTCTTCTTGCACTTTGCGCTCCAGAGGATCGCTCTTTGGTTTATTTAAAACTTTTTTTGCTTGCGGTACAAGTGTTGCTTGTTTAATGGTCTTGTCGGTATGTTCGGTTATGACCAATTTAACTCGTCTTAAATCGAGACTTCGACTCGTCGTTGAACGACTGGATGGCGCTTTTGGTTCCTATAATATCATAATGAAATGTATCAAATACTTGTACACCCTTATACACTAACGGTCGTACAAGTACCAGCATGATACGTTAGAGAAAAAAGTGTGTCACCCGTACTTTTAGGAAATTAGAATGCCTGGATGGACGTTTCGAAGTTTCGTGGGGCAAGATAACGAGGCAAGCTAATTCTTGTATCCTACGACGAAGTTCCAAGTCCATCTTAAGCCACGAACTGGTCCTAGCTGCTCTAGTAGCTTCCCGCACAAGACATTTCTCTACTCTACTCTGAATCTTCTTCAGGAAGTCAACAAATAATTGACCCCATTTCATATTAGATGGTGGATCATCCGTTTGAGAAGTGGCCAACATTTTGTGCAGTTTGGAATAACTCTTGCATGCTTGTTCAGGTGGTAGGCGATCTGCAGCTGCTAGAAAATTATCCTCCAGGCGACTAATGTTCCATGTGAGTTCCCGACCCAGAGCCTGGAACTTTTCGTTTCCTAGCACTCCAGAAAAATTTTCAGACAAGAACTTGACAGCTGTTTCCAAAAGATTCGAGACAAGTCGAAATACTGGTTCAGCCCAACGTACGTTTGGCAAAGTGGCTAAGAGCTTGTCACAATCCATTATGGTCTGGAGTACGTTGTCTGTTGACTACAACAATAAGAATTAAGAATTAGAAAAACAAATATAAAAGAAGCAATGGAGAATATGATGATATATGCTTTACCATGTGGACTATATGCTGATGGTAGCATTTATCCATTAGTTCCCTTGGGAGTGTGGCAAATGCTTTACATGGCCAGATTCTTACAAAGTGTCTTGTTATCCATCGAAGGGACTTCCTGTATACTTCATCGAGACCATAAGCAGCAGCAAGTGGCATACATTCCAATACGCCTACTGCACATATTTGGCAGGGCTATAAGAAAACATTCGTCATTCTCCATATTTAATTATATATTTTTATACAGTGGGTTTTGGGCATTCAAAATTCTAGCCATATAAGTACTAGGTCTTTTTACTATTACTTACTACCAAACAACACATAAGGCAATTGTAAAATTTAATTATTATTACTAACCTTATGAAACAAGTGACAGTATTTCACTTTAAGCGTGTATCCTATTACTTCTTTTAAACCCTCTAAGCAGAGCATATCAGCTAATGTGGCCAATTCCACTATGCTGATCGAATCTGGTATATTACTCTCTCCGCTGTATATGTGGCACAGTGCAAAATGTACTGCATTGTATGAATACCTATAAAGCGACGTTCAGAGTTATGGTATTACATTTAGCAAATATGTACTGATAGTAAATATAGCTCTATTCACAAACTACACACCCCTGTAAAGGAATAACATTTCCAGCACTCTCGACCCAACCCCCACTCAATATGGCAGCAAAATATTGACAGCGTGAACTCAGTATGCACTTATGTGCTCGAATTCTACGACCAGCTACATCTATTGTGACATCAGGATTAATCTCTTCTAAGAACATTCTTAATAAATCTTCTCCTAATCTATTGTATGGCTTTCCTCCAGCTAGACTTGAAGTTTCCGTTTCTTCGGTGCTTCCCTCTATCACAGAAATATTAAAAAAAAAAGCATTAAAATTACTTTTACTACTTAAGAAATTTATGTGAAATAATTGGTAACACAATCACTTACCAGCGCCTGATCGTCCCATACTGCTTTGCATGCTACTGAGATCAGATTCTGAGATTATGCCTTCACCTTCACAGTCAGTAGCCATATCTTCGAGTGGTGACTTTTGCTTCGGTGGTAAAGACGTTGTCATAACTGATGTGAACTTCCTGGACAATGTCCTCACTGGACCACTGGATCTTGACATTACCAATTTACTTTCAATCCATGAAGTTTCTGGTATGCTGTTGCTCATACGATAAGTAACTCTGTCTTCCTTACTAAGAATAGCGTCAGACGTATCAATACGTGCTGGTGTTTTATCCAAATCTGACAATCTTACAAAAGATGAACCTGTTGTCTTCGAAGGTCCTGACTGATTATCTTTTAAGTCATAGTCATTAGATTTTTCATTTTTTCGCAATGATCTGCTGTCACTTTTGTCCTTATGCTTTTGATCCAGCATCTCACAATCAGGCCTTTTCAGTTCACATTCAATTTTTTTTATTTTCTCATTAAGAGATTTTTGTGCCTCTAAGATTTTACTACCCCCAGCAGCACCCTGTTTTTGCTCCACATTTGGTATATCTCCATTTAATAAGTCAGGTAATTCAAAGTCATGATTATCACTTCCTGGAGATGGTCCACTTCCGCTACTAATGTCAAATGTCTCGCTCTTACGCGTGTGACCTTCTGTACTCTCTGTACCAGTTTTATCCCAAACAGACACTTCGGAGTACTCCTCCTCGAAGAGCTTGACATCTGAAATCTCCATATTTTCCTCCACCTCACTGGAAATCAGTTCCTTATAATCGTGATGCTTTACAGAAACGCGAAGCTCCTCATTAACAATCTCAATGTGAGAATTCGGCGGAGTGTCACGAGTATCAAATTCAAAAACATCCTCCGAGGATGTATCCATGTTGCGACCATTATCTTGTTCCTGTAGCCGCTTAGGATTTTTTGCATTCAAAGTATCAGCACGTGCTACTTCACTCAGCGAATGACTAGAATTACTTCCTTTAGTTTGTATTCTCCTGATATCGCCACGGTCCACGGAGAGGCTGTGGGCTCGTTTATGTTCTTTCCTAAATAATAATTCCTTGCCAACATGTCCATTGCCACTTGCAGATTGTGACTTGTCCACATTCCAGGAATGTCGCTTAAATACTGGCCTAGAGGATGACAGGGTACGTCGTCTAACGACTGGTGAATCTGATTCTATAAACATAAAAACGCTGGGCTTACTGTTATCCCTAACAGATCTTTGTTCACGGATACAATGATTTTGTGCACTGCCACTGCCGCCATTTTCATCAGACTCATTCATATCACTAACTTTTGACTGATCTGCTTCTACCTTCTTATCGTAAACCTTGATTAAACTTCCTTTACATGATTCGCTACTAGTCTCATTGCCATTCTTCTTACTTGGCTCACTCAAATCGATGAACATGGAAAATATATTTTTCTTATCATTTCCCTCCTGGACGCTTTGATTCTTATTGTTACTTGGGTCAACAGTTTCTTGCTTTTTACACTTGGCATTGCTATCACTCTTCCCAGACATATCTATATAAAATTCACAGTATTGCTTTCCAGTCCCGTTCTGTTCCTTTTTCTCTGCTTCGCGTGCGTCCGTCATCTTCTTTGTCTCCATGTTACTTAAATTGACAAAAAAACCCAGACTTCCGTGCTGCCTATCCTGAGACTTGCATTTTTTCACGCTCTTAATGCAATCCGACGATGAAAAGCTCTGCGACATACCTTCCTGGGTATCAAATGTCATAGAAGACTTAGCATCACTCCTATTGCAACCACTCATGTCAACGACCCAGGCAGTCATAGAAGTAGACATTCTATTAGGCTTAGCTTTAACTTCCGGTTCATTCATAATAACCGAACCGCCGGATACGATTGGTGTGGATTCTGTTTTACGGCGCACAATTGGACTATCAGTTGGTTTTTTATAATCAGAAGTACTGGCACCACCAGAAACAATAGGTGCTCTCTCGTCGCGTTTCTTTATCTTCATCAAATCCAAAAGACGATCTTCCTTCTCCACAGTGTAATTTAAATTTACAGGTAAACTGCTGCTCGAGTTCTCTATCAGGTCATCCAGCAACTCGACCTTGTTCTCTATAACGAATTTATCACTGGCACTTTTAATCACGGGATAGACTGCATTGGAGTTTTCAATACTGATGTCAAGATGGCAATTATTCTCTGCTCCCTCCTGCGCTGCCGTGTGACCCACTTTATCTAGCAACAAAAACGGCATTGTCGAATCGTAACGCATGTCACCGGATTCTGAAATATCCGCTGCGGAAGGACTTGGCTCGGTGTCCAGTATAGGCACAGCAGTATCCACAGCGGGTAAAAAACAAGAGTCGCCGTCGACACGATGTCCAGAGTACTGTGGAATGGAATTTTGAAATACAAGGCTACCCTGACGTCTCTCGTACTCCTGCCTCAAGACTGACAGTGTCTCCTCGTTGGAATCAAGTTCGAATGTATTTCTCCTTATCAGCGAGGGTCGTCGTGTTTCATCCGTAGTTTCGGAATCCTCCTTTTTCTCACAATCTTCCTTATCCTGCACTTCCTCCTCGACAACTGTCACGTTGCTCGTTGCTTCTCTCGCGTTATTCACTATACTGATTTCATCCTTCATCACGTTGAGACTGGTACTGTTATCAGGACATGGCGAAGCCTGAGTGCTCTCTCCACTATCCGCTTCCTTGATCTCGACCACCAAGGCCTCCTTCTCGATACCCTTATCCATCTCAGGTTTCTCATCCAATGTGGAATCCACTCGTTTGACCTTACGCGTCTCAGCTAGAGGCTTCAGGTGTTCCGTAAGCTTTAGCTCTCTTTCAAATTCAGCGACTCTCTCGTGGCCGCCTTGTAAACTAGTTTGTTTTCTAGCAGTGTACTTATGCGTCTGCTCATCGCTTGGAAGATTATTGGATCTACTTGGTACATAGTCCATGGAATTGGAAATGTACGAAGCTATTCTACCAGATGGATGACGATCCCTTGTCCTCTCCATAGATAAAACCTCGTTCTCATCGCTAAGACTGGAAGCGTCTATAAAGTAATAACTGCTCGTACTCGAGGAACTCTTCTTAATGGGTAGATCATTCGAATGAGACAATTCATGACGGAGTTGTTCAGTAGTCATGCTTCTGGCCTCGGAGCTGCTGTTCAGTTTCTCGTTCTCGACTTTATTGAAGCCTTCGTACTTTGCGAATTCTCTCTCAGTGTCGGATGCGCCTGGTGACATGTTGACAGGATCGATAAATTCAAAGGACTCCGTAGGTACGAATGAGTTAGTCTGCTCATTCCCATCACTTTCACAATCAGATTCGTAGAACGGATCGTTAAGTACGCGATTCTCATATTGAGATACTTCCTCGGACTGTTCCTTTGTCTTATGGGCATTTTCGTCGGATGAACCAGATGAATCTAGTTGTTGTTGTTGTTGTTGCTCAGGTCGGTCAAAGGAACAAGTTGCGTCATCGTTAGAAATGCATTCCATCACTGCCGACTCTATCAGACTCTTAACGCCATGCACGTCATTGCAACTGGTTATCTCGTTAGAGTGCTTAGAAATTATACAGCCTTGCTTCTGTTTTCTTGCCTCCTTACTTCTACGAGTTATCTTGTTCGAATCCTCGTCAGTCGATATATCCTCAGCCGCTTGTGACTCCTCGAGATCCATACCGGAAGTCTCCGAGACACTGTTTTCCCGTGGACTTGCCGAGCCGGTTTCTAGTCCGGAATCGGCCATATCAGAAGACATAGGACTCACATCGATGATAACATCTTCTCTGTTTGCTTCGTTACTATCCAAGAGTTTACAATTCTTCCACAGGATCGACCTCGTGCCTTCCGTTAACGTCGTGAGTGGGATCTCCTTGAAGGATCTGTATAAATGTCAATATTCTTTATCACAATTCTACTCCATGCTCAACTTTAAGACAACTCGTACCACACTGATAATATTGACACAAGACTTACAAGGAAGTAATAAGAAAAAAAAGGCACGTTTCTCCTAAGAAGCCATCGTGACTATGGCTTCTACTGAGAAACGTGAGAACGGATATAATTTAGCCTTTGATTTTATGTGGTAAAATTAATGTCAGTTGTATAAGCTTTTACGAGACGGAACCTTTCTTTGTAATGAGATGTTTCATCGGTGTATGGAGCTTCTGCAGTTGGAACAGTGCATGAGATATTCAGAATGAGTTCTACCAGTAACCGTTCTTCCTGGGAGAGATCCAAGTTACTATATAGAAGTCTGCAATAAATTGATACTTTAGAATAAAAAGTGCTCTAACCGTATTGGGAAAATGGCGTGCCATGCATGTATAGTGTATTTTATTAAACTACTGATGAAACGGAGATCCAGGATAAATAAGCAGAACAAAAATTCCTAACTATCCTGAGTATAAATAGAAATACACACCAGACAATAACACTCAAACTGAAGAACTTTTTGGAATTGGTTTTTGTTCTTCTAACTAGTCAATGAGTTTTATATCATTTCAGTGTTGATATATTTGAATAGTAAACTTTAAAAGAATGTTCTTGTTTTCATGTCAACACTTGTTCAAGCTGTTACTGTGTAGCGTAGAGTGTAGAGTGAGTATTAACAGTAAACTAAAAATAGTAATGTGCTATGGCTCATCGAGTCATATGGTGAGCATGCAGGATAGCAGTAATAGTGTAGTTTTGTATCATTGATTGTTGTGCAAGAGATGATGTTTGCCTTGATATTTTATACAGAAACCATGCAAGGACAACGAAGTTCGTGTACAATCAAATATTGTGCAATGGCTCTGATCTTACTACAGAATATAATGATGTATCTGTACCTTATAAAACTTTCAACTTGATGAAATATTCCAGGTGTATCGAGAAAACATTCAATTTTTTTATTATTGTATATAAAATATGGTTTGAGAACCTCGTAAAATTCTGGCGATCTTGTCCTAACGATGCACTCGTTTGTATAAATTGCGTTAGAGCCGTGTATTATTTTAAGATCGCAATGCAGAGACTCCGCAAATATTCTGTACAATGAAATAATTTTTTCTTTTGATTATATAGTTCCGGTGTATTCTATATCATCGCTATAGCAAGCTCCATTAGAATTAGGAACATTGTAATAAATAATGGAAAATAATATTGCTACTGTGCCAAATGAGGAATACTTCAATAAAATAAACTTGCAACGTTTTAGGGTAACAGATTGTTTTACTATTAATAAGATGTCAAGTAACTTCCATATAAAATGTTGTAGAGTTCCAGAAAGACAATAAGTCACAATTTAGTAATAAAATGATATAATGAATGAACTACTGCATTGTAAGTCATTAAAAATGAGATTGTACATGTAACTAAAAAATAAGTCTCACAGCTTAAATGTCATGCCTGTCTATACCTGAGAATATTTTCTTGAAGTAATTCGATGTTTTTCAAACAAGTACGTTTAGTTTCTGCTCTGTGGCGCTTTTTAAAAGATTCGGTGGTAGGGGGCTTAGATGAAAGACAAGGGTACAGGTGATGATGATATAGCCACAAGTTTGTTCTGTCGTAACTTCCACCTTGTCTGATGCTGCCGCTGCCTCCAGCCATGAGGCATGTCTACTCTTTTATGCTAGCCCACCTTTAAACAATCAAGCAAATATTTCTCATTCATTACAGAGCCTAACATAAACCAATAAGAACTATGTCTTATACAGAGACATTTTTATCACAAAAAATCATCTAATATTTCCTATTCCTTCTGAGACTATTTGCTTGTTGAACATGCATATATGTACGGAATAAACTCAAACAATGTGATGACGCAGGCATATCAGGAGATTGCCAATGTGTATACCCAGAATGTAAATATTTATCATTGCATAGTTTGAACTTTCTCAGTTGACAAAACATAGATATTCTCAAAACCTATATGACAAGAATAATAAATCTTCATAAAAAAACGAGTATGCATATTTTTTACAGTTTAAAAAGAGGATACGAAACATCGATTACAATATGAATAGCAGCATTACTACTAAAGCTATTAAAAATTTCTTTTAATGTTCAATCCTGTGACATGGGCATACAAATTACACACTGTAATTGGTCTTTGGTTGAATTAATAAAAGTGGCCTTTTGGAGCACACATTATATGTATATCCTTCCAATACATGATGATTGTAATATCATTAACGAATAAACACATTGCCAAAATTGGATGCGAAACACTCAAGGTCAAATGTACAAGCCGCCGTCAGATTCGTAATTACTATTCCATTCTAAGCACGTCAGTAGCCCGTCAACGAAGTACTGCTAACCTTATTAATCTTTCACTTAACTCAATTACATTGCATGTAAAGATTTACATAAAATAGCGAAGCCAAACAATTAATAAAAGATAAATCAAAGCTATTAAAAAATATTATACAATTATTCAAACAAGTAAAGAGCACATACTCTCTGCTGTCACAAAGGAGCGACGACATATGGCGTATAGCATTAAAATTATATGAAACCTTAATTAACACAACTCAAGAGAGTTTAAAGAGTAAGTGGCCAATACAAAAAAAAAGTATAGCCACTAGACAACTTGTCCTGCTTTCATACTAGACTACGAAAAAATAGAAAAAAAAAAGAAACGCCAAAGAACTCGGCACCGAAACGTGAGCAGATCGCAAGACTAGGTTGCGGTTTTGATGAACGGGTGCGGCAATAATTCAATAACAATAGTATATCATTGTTGAATGTATTAACGACCTACAGTCAAAGAGATCCTGTCATAATTATTGACTCATTGACAGTACGTCAGTGTCAAGCGAACGCACCTTTACCACCGTCGACTGTCATTCGTTCTACTTTGATATACAGAACAGCAGCAGCAGCAGGTTACGCCGTATCGCGCACGCAACATTTTATTCTCATTGATTTGGAGTATTCCTCGGTGACAGCACTGAGAAAGATAAGTTCTTTATTCGCAGTTGGATTCGCCCTTCGGCCATCCGGTTCTGCACACTGGACGCGACTTTTCTTCAATAATTTATTGATCGACCGAACATACCTCGCGTTATTTTACACTGCGAACCAAGTTGCTCCGCACGATTACCGAGACCGTCGTGAACTCCGTATTTACCGGCGAATGCCGCGGCAAGAATTTTTTAACGATTTCACAGAAGAGCCGACGGAGAAGGTAGTCGACGTTTATTTTTCTAGGAAATACTCACCAATACCTTTACTACGAGGTACCTTCCAGGTCTTTCAGGTGTATGTAAGCAACGTGGTGGTCAGTGGTGGGAAAGTCTTCTTCTACGGGTGGGGACATTAATGATGCTGCCATCTATGTTGTAAAAAAAATCCCGAACTAAGGATTCAAGATGGCGAGAGATCCACGTTATTCGAAATGAAACGGAGTCATCTCTCTTGGTTTTTATAATCGGTATATTCTTTGCTTCGGGCCAACGCGAACTAACGAATGGTATTGTTTAACGCGGATATTATCAAGTATTTAAGTATTTGTTGCTGTTAATATTGAGAGAGAACAATGTAGTGCTTCGTCAATATGTGCGTGCTCGTACGGACAAGGAAAACAACCAGGGATCGTTGTGCTGAGAAATCTAGGGATTCAAAGTTTTGTAACATAAGTGATTGAGATCGTAGGAAGTCATCCGATATAATTTTGGTCTTAGCCTCCGGCCTTTTTTTAAATTGTCTTTTAAATACATGTAAGACATAAACAAGCAGATACTGACAGGCTGGCAAAGATATGGCAGTGGCTGTTTTGCCCTTGCACTTCAGGCACTAGCTTCACGTAATTTTTAATGAAAATAAAAAAAAAAGAATACCCAGAACTGAGAAATATTTATGAGAAATACACTGTATAACTCCGAATAATAGTTGTCAAATCAATTGCAGAATTTGGTAGTAAAATGGAATATATCTGTAAACCAGCATTTTTTCCCCCGCTTAAAAAAAAAGATTGGCCACGGAGAGTGCTAGTAGTCAATCCCTGACGTCACATTTGGATTCAACGGACCGCGTAACCAGTAATGCTCACACGAAAGTTACTTTTATATGTATATATGCATTGTGGCAATTAGGTTCCCAAAGGAAAATTGGAAAATGAATAGATTAAGTATAGAAGTACAAAAAATGCCTTATACACTTGCCTCTGTGAAATATAATTACCATAATGAATGAACTATAAAATAACTTTTGCATAACAAGCATCGCTGGTTTTGCGGCCTGTGTGATCAGCTGTGACGTCACGAACTCCCAACTAGCGCTCCCCGTGGCCAGTTTTCTTTTTTTAAAGCGGGGAAACAGTGCTGACTGACAGCTCGTTCTACAGTAAAGGAAGATTCTCATATTGCATTGACAATTATTACTCCGAGTGATACAGTGTATTTCTCATTAATATTTCTCGGTCCTGGGATCACTATTTTTTGGATTTTCATAAAAAAAGTGTGCGACAATGGTGTCTGAAGTACGAGACATTGAAGGGCGTCTGCCATGTTACTTTTATCAAGATGTTAATAATTGTGTTTATTCGTATTTACTAAATCTTGCAAAATTTGATTGAAAAATTGGATAGCGCCAAAGCCGATATTTTTTTTCCCAAGGATTTGTACCCGCTGAAGATTGAAGTGATAGAGTTTTCAATTACATGATCTATCCTTGTTCTAAAATTTCTAGTTCGTGTTCCTGCGCGGGTGAGTACGCACGCATTGACGAAAGCACTACGGTTTTTCTCTCAATACGAACTTCTTTTTTGTTATATGTTGTATGTGTAGACCTTATACGGGTTTTTTTTATTATACCGTTAGATACTTGGCCGGCATTGGGACTGTTGGAACGTAAATACGTGATATTTAGGAGCGTTTATGACCTCGCGATAACCGCAATTATAATGCAGGTATGCACTTCACTGAGTGTTCGTTACGAACTTTTCACGAGTAACAGCGCGGTGGCACTGCAGGCGTTTCAGTCTCAGGAAGGCAGTCGACAGCAGTCGATGACAGTAGTTGCTTGTGTTTCATTCTCTTTTCACGCTCTTGTTATTCTTTTCTCTGTTGGCTGGCTCGTTGTGTGTTTGTGGATGACCGCATTTACGTTTGTTTATTCAGCCTTTTCGGAAGATGAACACTAAGGAAAAGGAAAAGTATATTGAGGAATTCAACTTTCCCCACTGTGATGAAGCCACCAAGTATGAGAAGGTTGCAAAAATTGGGCAAGGAACTTTTGGGTATGTCAAAGACATTTTAAAAATTCACTGATATCTTTGTGAGAGGTTAGTTTTTTATATAACAATTTTATTAATGTTGTTAACGTAATTTCTTTGATACGTCTACTTACAGGGAGGTATTTAAGGCTAGGGATAAGAAAACAAATAAAAAGTTTGTGGCTATGAAAAAAGTATTGATGGACAATGAAAAAGAAGGGGTGAGTCATATTTTGTGTTGTAAGAACATCTTTTGTCGTTACTGGTTATTGTATAGAGCTGGAGTATTTTTTGAAATCTTGTGCCGTTGCAGTTTCCTATAACAGCTCTTAGAGAGATAAGGATACTGCAGTTGTTAAAACATGAAAATGTAGTAAACCTAATAGAAATATGTAGGACAAAGGGTAAGTTGAAAAAATGTTCTGTAAGAAACGTATAGATTTTTTAATTCATTCTTAGCGTACTATCTTTTTTGACTTTCTGGCTTTTATGTTTTAGCTGCGCTCTACAATAAATATCGCTCAACATTCTATCTGATATTTGATTTCTGCGAGCATGATCTCGCTGGACTGTTGTCTAATGTAAATGTAAAATTTAGTTTAGGTGAAATTAAAAAAGTCATGCAGCAATTATTGAATGGACTGTATTATATTCATAGTAATAAGGTTGGTACACCTTTAATATTTTGACATTACTTAGCACAATGTGAAAAAAGATGGAAAATATCTATTCCAGATATTGCATCGTGATATGAAAGCAGCAAATGTTCTCATAACAAAAAATGGTATTTTGAAATTAGCTGACTTCGGTCTTGCCCGTGCATTCAGTGCAAATAAAACAGGTCAAACAAATAGATATACAAATAGAGTTGTCACACTCTGGTACAGGCCGCCTGAGTTACTGCTAGGTGACCGTAACTACGGACCTCCTGTTGATTTGTGGGGTGCTGGTTGTATAATGGCAGAAATGTGGACAAGGTACAATAAATGGTTTAAAGTAATTTTTCAATTTCTCACAGTATAACATAGTAATTTTAACTAATTTCATAGGTCACCCATTATGCAAGGTAACACAGAACAGCAGCAGCTCACATTAATTTCACAATTATGTGGTTCTATCACAACAGAAGTATGGCCAGGTGTAGAAAACTTAGATTTATTTAACAAAATGGAATTGCCTAAAGGCCAAAAAAGAAAGGTACAGTATCTCCGGTAACAAGACATAACATAAACCTATAAAATAAATTATGACTTTCAATTGTAATTTTTCTAGGTGAAAGAACGGCTCAAACCATACGTCAAAGATCCATACGCCTGCGATTTATTAGACAAACTTTTAATTCTTGATCCAAGCAAAAGATATGATTCCGACTCGGCTCTGAATCACGATTTCTTTTGGACTGATCCCATGCCCTGCGACCTTAGTAAAATGTTGGCTCAACACACTCAAAGTATGTTCGAATATCTGGCACCTCCAAGACGACTGGGTCACATGAGGCATCCTCATCATCAAGTTCCCGGTGGAACTGCCAAACCAAGCTCCAGCATGGCAGACAGTGGCTATCAGGACCGTGTGTTTTAGCACGGTTATCTTGAACGACATTAATTATCTCTGCCATTTATAGAATTTAAGAATAATTTATATAATTGTTATAAAAAAAAAGAAGACAGACCAGTAACATTTAATTTTCCAAGTATCTTCGAAGTGTTCAGTTTAAATAGAAGAGCGAAAAAAGATTAATAAAAATGTACAAACTTTTTATACGCATAAATTTTGTTAAAATATTCTATAACTTCATTTTTATTTCCTCAAATTTACTATTTCGATGCACTGGAGAATTATCGTCTTACACGTCTTTTACATAACTAACATTTATTGCACTCCTTATAGTAATCGAGCATTAAGCAAGCTTTTTTCTCGAGAATGATACAGAAATAAAATAACAGCGTTACGATGTTAATTTAATAATGTCAGGACGTTTATCCTTTAACGTAAAATAATCGATCACACGCTCGCGTGTTCATTCGGAAATTACAATCATAAACTGCAACCTGACTAAATGGAGAAATGCCTTTTACAAAAAAAAATTACAATTTTATATGCTTAAATTATGAGACATAATATCGCTACGGTATGTGACTCGAGAATACAGAGAATCTTAACGATATTGCAACTTCGGTATTTGCATTATGAACATGTCGACGTCGCCTGCTAATAGATTTCAATAAATCTTCCCCTCTTCATATATTAATTTATATGGATAACTTTAAATTGTAACCGCACCTATGCTATTCTAAACAACAAAAATATGCACAGTATGCAGTACAATGATTGCAAAAGTAAACAATTACACTGCAGTATTGTTCACATTTACAGAGTATATACCTATTGGGATTTGACATGGAGATAAAGGGTCTCCTAAAAATAGCAGCGATTATTATACACTTTTCCCCTGATTCATATCCTCTGTATGCCAAATCTTGAAAACGCGCAAGAACAATTCCTTCAGTCATAAGAAAAGGAAGGAACAGTTTATCCTTCGAATACTTTTATTTTCTGCCACCAGATGTCACGGTATCACATCTTATTCTTATACACAAGATCCCAATAGGCCTTCTTGCACAATCTTCTTATCGCTGCAATTAAACGCTATTTTCCTATTACCTCTTCAAGGTCACTAATTAGGTATTTGATTTTAAAAAATATGCTTCTCACTTCGATAATACAGATTTTTTAAATTCATCTGCATGCGCATTCAAGTATTTGTTGAATATATATATAGGACTTATCATCCCTATGGAGTCTTATTAGGACTTTGGATCTCTTATTCATGATTTTCGTTTACATTTTACTCGCATGGTAATGTGAGGTCCGGAGTCCCCTTAATACAATTCGTAATACGTGTTCTAGGCCTTTTTCACTTTTCTTGTTTGTTTTTACTTTCATCTTTATAATACCTATACGCATAGAGCAATCGAGGTTGGCTTAAACGTAATACCGTTTACAGAGACTCGTAACAACCTTGTACGCGCTGAGTATCATTATTCCTTCATTTAGTATTTCATAAGGAACTATATATGATCGCCGGAAACGAATTATGTGTATTTATTATTAGTCCTTAATTATTGCGTTCACGTAGATTCGAGTCAAAAATTTTGTAGAGTTAATCCGACTGTTTTACTTTATTCTTATGGCTCGCTTAAACACGCGTAAGCTCACTGCATTGTCTGTTTACAGAACTTCGGAATCATGAGATTGTATACATATTGTATAAGCAGCTCTTCTGTATCTACTTAGCACCTTAGACGTGAAATATATAAATATACGCATATATATTTATATACCATTAATACTTCATTTAAACTGTATCGTTACAAATTATATGCATATAACATAGTATTATTTAGCTTTGAGGTACCGGAAAGAGAAAAAGAAAGAACTTACAAGAAAGTTTTACACGCTAAAAAAATTATCACTGGATATATAAAAATACAAATAAATTTAAAACAACGCGATAACCGGTATAAAACTTTATCCCAATTCAAAATTCATTCAACCGAACGAAATGACGTTCGGTACGCGCATATGTATATATATATATATTTTTCTCTATACCAACGCGTTTAATCAGATGTTTTAGCCATTATATCACATGATACTTTTTAATCGTCGCTATTCAGTATCTGATCCAAAGGATTTGGACCTTTTCTCTTCGGCTCCGACGTCGATGGCTTTTCTGGACTATCCACTGAAATATACAATGAGCTAATTAATCTAATGTCATACAGCAGTTATCACGTCATTCAAAGACAATTAAATCTTTTCATGAATGTTGTATGTACAACTGAAGATGAATATCAAATAATATTTAATACCTGATACAGAACGCTGTGCATTTAGGCAACTGAGCCATTCTGTCATACTAATCCTTCTGTCATTATTGACATCGCAGTACCTTGGCAGCTTCTTTCCACATCGTTGAAGCTGTCTATTGCTTGCGACCATAGTACGAAAGCTCTTCCATTCCTTTCTTTCCAAGACCTGCGCAAGCATGATTAGTAATAGGGCATTGAACTAAAATGTCTGAAGATATACTATACGAATAATAAACATTTATATACCTTATTCTTATTTTTATCAAGCATAACAAAATGCCAAGTTGCAATACGTTCCTCATTGGATGCTTGCCACTTAACAGATGCCTCGTCAGAGTCTGTGCTCGAGGCTTTCATTTTCTTTTGCATCAAGTCCATCAAATCTCTGAGGAACAGTTGCTTTTTCATTTCTGGACACCCTACAAAGGCAATGACAAAATTGAACAAAGAAGTTCTTGGCTAAAGAATTGAAGCAAGAGAAAATAAAATTTCATGCAATCAATTTAACAAAACTTAAAGTGCTTTAGGTTTTATGATCTCAAACATTTTGAAATATCAATAGTGATCATTCTCAGGCTGTAATTTCCCAAATTTTATATTATAAAAAACAAGAGGAAACCAAATACTAGCATCTACCTTGTTCAATCGTACCTTTCATTGGTCTGCTTGGGATTGGCACTGGATTACAATTTGGAGTATGATCCTTGGACGAGGTACCTGGTATAGGTTTTCCAGTATCCTGATAAACACACCAGCAATAACCTGAATAACACTGTACTTTAAGGTACCTTCCGTCTGGAGTACACTGAGGAATATAAAATTTCTCCTGTGTATTCTGTCTTTGATCTTCCAGAACAGATCTTCTGTCGGATATACAGTCATTGGCTGTCAAAAGAAAAGATAATATAAAACCAAAATTTATATATACTTAATAATGATTAATAGCGAATACCGAAAAAACTCACCATCGCTCTCCTCCTTGGTATCCGGAGGGTCATTAAATGCCGGCCGAGAATGATTAGGTGGGTGATTTCCATTTAAGACTATGAAGAAAAATTCGTTAACGATCAGAATTAATAACAGAGATAATTCATGCCAATAATATAAATACATACTGATAAAGGACCATTTCGCTAAATTTGTGCTGACCGATCTAGCACGTCAAAGAATTCAGTTTCACGAGTTAAATAATAATACGGTACAATTAAGGCATTCCGAGCGCGCAGGTGTGTGAATATCTAAACGGGGTCCCTAATAATATTTTTGAGCCTATAAAGCTGTAATTCCGTGAAACGATTTTAGATTTTTATTAAACCAATTAAAAATTTCTTTTCAAAAACTAAATCCCTCACGACGTAATAACGTATTTCTGATACGAGATCGAACTGGTTTTCACATTTTTAAATATTTTTTTTAACACGCTGCTACTTACTCAAATTGTATATTTAAAAAAATTATTAATTTCTCAAGACTACCCTAGCAGACCCTACCATTGACCAAACCACCTTCGAAATCACTACGGTGGTTTTATGCAAAAAGTATACCGAGCATTTTATCCGAACCACCGTGTTCCCTCCAGCTCAAAATCAGCCGCAGAGCTTTCAAATGGTGGTTTCGATGTTGGAAACGACTGATCAACAGTGGTTAGCGTAGTGCTTCGAACAAAATGTTTGGTATACTTGTAGCACAAAACCACCGTGGAACAGTGGTGAATTTCGCAGTCACCGGGTCTGCTAGGGTATCGTCTTCCGCTCGGAATATCTTAAAGTTCTCCAAGAGTCATATATATATATGCAAATGTAAAAATAACCAAAAACATCAAACCACACGGATCGCTGCAATTTAGGAAAACCGTCACCACCCGATACAAGGTAACCTCACGCATAACACAATAAATGATTATCTCATAGAGACAAACATTAAATATTGCAATTAAAAGCACATGCAATTAAATCGAAGCGATAATATGAGAATTTACAACAGAGGGTATAACAATCACAAGGAACGTAACAAGATTTACGTGATCATTTCATCGTAATTCCACGTCGCACGTTATTAATTACAATAGAGACGTAAACATAACCTAACAATGGGCTGGGTGGTGACGTTCGTTAATACACAAAGTATTGTATCATTCAAATATAAACGTTAAAGTGAAAGAGCACGTTAAAAGAGGAAATAAATTACAAGGAGCCAAGGTGCGGCCCCCGTCTACTATCAAACACGTAAATTCCTTTAACATTTCCTAATTAATCCAATCCTATTATCTCAATGCCATTGTAGTCACAGTCTACAGTAACGGATAGGAACATACAACACGTAAGGAGTATTAGTACGTATTATAATATATGAAAAAAATAAAGCAATACCGTTAAAGTCCAAAAATTACCCAGAATTCATTGCTTCCTTGTCTTGGACTTGTCGTTAAAAAATAATTACTTTAATCGTTAGCATTATAGTTTTACATGACTTTTTCGGTTTTGCTCGTTACAATGTATTCCTACTATCTACGGGTGTATTCATTCTCCTGACAGACAGGCTAGGACTCACCTTGGTCCGTGGCGCGGGTCCTCTGGGCCTCAGGGACCTCGGCGCGCTCGTCTGCAGGGTTCAGCGACAAGAACAAATGTACTAAATGATAATAATGATGTCACTCAGCCGACTGGCTTACCTATATAATTTATGTATTTCATTCAATGCACAATATTGCAATAGCAGTCAGCGCTTCTAATGGGATACGGTTATTAACTTTTACGCTGTACGATTAATACACGTGAATGTATATGTATATATATATAAGTCTATGTTTATTCATATATATATATATATATATATATATATATATACAAGCACGATAGAGATACGGAAATAAGCTACATCACTTCGGAATGCATGCCCATTCCTCTCCATAAAATCGTTCTACCGGTTTGACACGCGGCAATCTTCGATTCAACATCCATTAAACGCTATTCATACGATAATTACGATGAAACTTGGATATACCTATGTGCGATATGCTTTAAATTCTTTAGGAATATCGTTACAGCCTTATCATTTGAATTTTATCAGTGACACATTGACGAATATATTGATTCGATTTACATTTCGTTCTACCGTATATATAGGATACTGAGAGACTGATTTGAAAATTTTTAAAAATAAATTTTTGAAATTTCATATTATCCAGTTCAATGAATGCACTTGTTTTTAATCGATTCCGCGATTACGGGTGGATTTTATGGATCTGGATGCAAAGCGATACCAGGAACGATGTGCAAGATCCGGTTAGAAACACTGAGAGATAGAAAATAGATTTCGTGAAAGTAGATCACCTTTCGTATACTACAATCATCACGTAAGAAACTACGGCGTCGTTACAAGCGGCGCTTTGCTACAGTCATAATCAAGGATACAACGGTGACGAGAAAAAAAAAGGTGTAAAGAAGAGAAAGAGACAAGAGGAATACAAAAAAGAAAACAAAAAAGTGTAAAAATGACAAATCGAAGAGATCGTCCTATAAGAACGCGAATGCATACAAAGCTATGACTAAGACCGAGCCCAATTCTAATATATAAATAAAAAGCATATGCGTCGCTGAGCAATAATATATATATATAGCTGACACGTATTCTAACCAGGCATTAGCACATACTCCGATAATCCAGATTCCATATAATCGTACAATTTCTAAGTACTAATGAGTCCTAGCTGATCATGCTGCAAAAGGCAACATAGGCGTGATCCTCGATGATCCTGATTCATGCTTGAAAGACCTGAAGCGAGGCGACAGACAGATTAGAACATTGTCGAAGACACAATAAAATCCTTAACTTAGTCTAAGCTTATGAATGAAGATTAATATAAAAAAAAAAATTAACATTCACTGTATCAGTCTAATAAATAAAAATAAATTCGTCGCTTAAGGCTTGTAAATTTGTAGATCCATAATCAAAGCTTCGTTATTCTGTTTATACCGGGTGTACGTGTATCTATGACTTGGGAAGCGAACTTAATCGACGCGACAGCCAATTTACGTTTCCCTTTCCGAAAATTGAAGACAACAATTGAGAAAGAACGTTAGCGTCTACAAATAGTGCTTTATTGGCGCGTAGGTGCAGATTTACTCAGTGATGACCAGTGGTGCGGACAGTTTGTCATTGCCACACGCACATGAGGTCAATTGCTTCAATTTCAACGTGCTGCCGACGTGTGGGCAAACTTCCGGCAAGATTTACGAATGTTAAGTTTGTCGCCTGGACACGACATCCTGCTGAAAGCGCTTCGCGACTTATTTTAACTTTCAGTCCGGGCTCTATAACGATTAGGTGGGTTCTGATCCAAGTGAAGGAGCAAGTTCGGACGTCGGCCTACGTTTAACGTATAGGAAGTACGTACAAGTAGATTAGCATAGTTGAACTCTAATCGAGTATGATATTTGGAAGAGTTAGTTCAGAATAAGCATGGTACGTGGTAGCCATATATTATTACTCAAGCAAATCATTTTATATCCACTTCCTGCATGCCAACCCCAAGCACATTGCCAAATACGTACCACCTTCACCTCGTTCCCCTTCTCCCATTTTAATCGTTATTACGAAAGAACGTTCCTCGAATGAACAATCAGGATTATGATTTATGTTTGTTCGTTGACGTATAGAATTTTTTTTCAAATTTCTCGCCGCTGATACGTATATACATGTGTATACTGTGATAGCCATTGGCTGACACGTTTCTAGAACGCTTATCCACAAGGATCGCAGGACATGCAGACTCAAAGCCAAGCGTGATGATTATTACAGCAGGTAGGTTGGTGCGGGCTGAGCAAGACTCCAGCATCACTGGTACATTTATCAGTGATATTTAATCTTCCAAGTATTCTAACTTACGAGTGAAATCGTTTGCCAGGCAGGCACCCCATTCTTGCCGGGATAGTTTAAGGTCCCGATTGAGATCGCACGTCCTGGCGAAGGTCCTCGCGCACTTCTTAGGACGCACCGCCTTCTTCGCCAGCCTCCTTAGCTCCCTGTATTCGGCTCGATTCAGGTATCCGTCGCTGTCCTTATCCAGGGTCACGAATTTCCATGACAATACACGCTCCACGTTCTTATCACCTGTGGAAGATATCTCGTGTAATGACGTCTGTTATTTACTTGCCTATATGCACTCTAGATATAGTCTCTATACTGAGGTTAGAATGTTTCATAATTTTAATACAACATTAACGCATCACAATGACCTAGGATACTTTATAGATATTACTCATCTTCTATTTTAACATTGTGATTCTTTAAAGTGAGATTATACGTTATTGTGAAGCTTGTGTCAATAGATCAGGGTCGTGTAACACACCGTAATTTCACTCTTAGCAAACTGGCTTGAGGTATAGCCACGAATAAAAGTCGAGGGACATGCGAAATTTATAGCAGGCAAGGCAACCGCAAGGATAATTGCGAAAGGATCGGCTGGCAAATCGCTGTTATATGTGAATAGCATGTGAAGCCTTCCTAGAGATTCGTTCCAGTTTTGCCCCGAGAGTCGGCAATGTCAGCGACAATGAATCGCAACGTTAATCAGCGATTATCACGGTGATTGCGAATAGTTGACAGCCCATAATTATGTCGGCGTCTGCAAGATACACTTTTCTCTCTGGACGCTTGGACGTGCGCCAGGTGTCCTTATCTACATTTGTGCCAAAGATATCATAAGACTTATCCATATGTGTTTTCATATCTGTACCTGACTCTGTATCTATCGTACTCACCATCCGTGGATATGTTTGTCCTCCTGAATTCAATTTTGAAATTCTCAATGAGATTGCTATTGAATTTTGATTTCTCAGTACGATCACACGTGTTACGATGCCTGTTGTTGTACTGTCTTCTCGACTTCCAGGTCGGCGAACGTCGCCTCTGACCGCTCCTGGTGGAAGCACCAGATCTGGAGCCTGCTCTCGAACATCTTGGTCTTTGGTCTCTTACCGAAGTGTCTGGTATCGGTCGTCCTTGAGGAGTGACACACCAGCAATATCCTGTTTCCGTGTGACACTGGACCGGTGCGTAGGTCCCATCCGGACGGCAAACGGGACGAGCCCCAAGGCGGGCAGTCAGTCTGGCGGAGAAGCACGCTGGAGCTTCTGTAAAAGAGCGAGACGAAGCATTAAAGAATAAGAAAATTAGTCTTAGAAATTGTAGAGTCTTTTTTTTATATCTTGTCATTCAATAAATGTCTTGTTTGCTCTAGCAATATCTGGAACGCGTAATTAACCTGGACAGGTGTAAGATATCTTGTTACACGTATGAATTATTACGCTGCAAATAACAATTTGCATTCCTAATCGCTTTTATATATATCACAACAGCATTAATTCATTTTTTACTATTAAACTTTGCACGCTGGCGCTGACAGTTACAATACTTCTTTTTTCAGTGGTGTGAAACGAGCCTTATCATACATAGCAATAAAATCGTATAGAACTGACCTGGACAAGGGCCAGTGTGCTTGATAAGTAGAGAGACACCCTGGCACTGCCTCGATATTAATTGACACTGACTCGGATACGTAACGCCGTCGCTTCCGCAAACAGGAACATTCGTACCGTCGCTCATTGTGCACTCGGCTATCCTTCTCTTACAGTCCTCCTATAATATCAAAGATTACAATTACGACACACGTTATAACAATGGAATAACTTCGCTGTCAATATAATTAGCATGTACACCGCGCACACGTCACTTTTTGCAGGTTAGGAAATGCAATCGAAAAATGCAACAGTTGCGCAGACGATAATCGATGCTTACTTCACTCACGAAGTGCAAAGTACAGGCAGATTAGAGAAATCGAGTGGCTCGAGTACAATTTTTCTTCAAACCCCTTCTGCGCGTTCTCATAACAATTCCTCTCTAGCGTACACACGTAAATCTCGTAGGTATCTGAGACCATTTCGAGAATCGCTAGAAACTTAAAAATATTACTATGAATGAAGGAACTGTACATCTCTAGTGACTAATTTCTTTACCTTCGGATAAAATTGATCCCGCGGATAAACTTCTAAAACATGAAAATGATTGGTTAGTTGAGGATCTGTCCGGAGGATAAATTTTATCCGAAGCTGAAGAAATTGGCCATAGGTCAAACTACGAATTTACGATTAAATATCAGTCACGGATTTAATATCGATCGTTGAAATGTCTGTTCGACGTGCGGTAGTAACATTCAATTAGTATCGATGGGTATCGATTCGAGAATACATGGAACGATATCCAGTCGATTCCTAGAACGACATGCCAGGTGTTACCTTATCGTTCTCGAGTTTATTGAGAAATGTTTGCAGGCACAATTAATCGCAGTTGTTTCGTATACAATTTATTACAGCGAGGTACTAAAGATTCTGCGATAATGATAATGAGAGTGGAAACGGGAAGTGTATGTAAAAATACGTCGCGCCGCGTCTATTCACTAATTCTAGAATCAAGCGTAAGACAAATTGGAGGTTATACATCACCCAGGGAAGAGTTACGTACAGCTCGTAATTTATTGTTCTCTTCTCCCAAACATTTTCTCTCTTTTATTTTATTGTCACGCTAACGAGCTGCAGAGTTACAACGGCTTAAAATGAGACGCACAGTCAAGGTGTGGATTTATTTATAGAAGAGTTTCCCATCCGTTATATCGCGATACAGAGATTGCGTAACTTTATTTAATAATAAAAAAAAGCCACAGTACACGAAACGTGTAAATCATAATAGGACGTCCCCATGAATATTAAAGCCGGGACGTTTTTAACAGCATTGAATTCGCTTAGGATCGATCTTGCCACAACAATTGAAATATAACTGCCAATTCATATCGCGTCCTTGAATATCGACACACCGGCGACAAGACTCATTCCTATATAAATCATACGAAAGAACCTCAACGTGGAAAACCAATCGTAAAGTGAAAGATTGTCCAGCTTCGTAACCTTGTTTGTAAGCACGATCTGAGCAATAAAAGATGCGAACAGCATTTTTGCGAAATCGTTCAATTATTACGATTCTCAAGAAGATTGTCACAATCATCGCATCTTCTCGATCGTCAAGGTTAAGGTAAGAACGAACATAACCTAGTTCGGTCGTAGCAAACTTGGACTCCGGACGTTGCTGTTAAAAAAGAATAATTAATTAAGAATATACCCGAGTATCTATATACACATATCTGTCTCATGGAATTTCAAAATGTCATAGATTCATCTTATTACGTGTAAAAGTCTTTCGTCTCTCGTGTTTTAATGATTTCGTGATCTTATTACCCACCTCGTCGTTGACATTTCTACGCGCGATCCTCGCCAACTTCATACGACTCGTTATCGTTGTTGAAAATTATTTTATTCGTACTCCAAACACACAGAATTATGTTAGCACACACGAGTATTATACGAGATAAAAAATATAATAATTCAATGAGAAAATTTATCCATCAATAAACACATCGAGTTCTTCGTATTATAATCATTTGTATTCATCGTACTGCCTGTACATTATTTATACACGTTCCGATCATTTTTCAACAGTAGATTTTATATTTAACGATCCAAGAATACTGTGGGGATTTTTCGTATCATTTTTGGATGGAATTGTTATTAAAAAAAAACATATTGCGCAAATAAAATATTATTCCAGTCGCTATCATTGGGTCCATCTGAAATCCGGCGATCCTGGTATTCAGCGTCACTTCTGTATGCTGTAAAGTGTTCAACACCTTTATTATGCAATAATCATACAACTCGTTTGAAAACCGACTGAACCGCCTTAATAAGTTACGTAATCGCGTAAACGGTAGCTTTCAAAAAAACTTTACCGACAGTGAACAGAATTGTCGGTAACATTGCCGATTAAGTTATTCGGCAGGAAAGTAGCTGGGATTGTCCGTCTGTTAAAGAAGTTTGCAGTCGTTAATGCAATCGAGAAAGCTTTCTCACTTCGTTAAAGTTTATGTAATTTCAAACATAGACGAAGAGATGAGGTCTGAATTAATAGTTTGACACTTAGAGTTTCGTCTAGGAAGTTTTATACTCTCCATGGATATCGTTTGCATTGTACGAGCTTTATTGGCCAGAGGTAAATGGAAAGGCTTCTAAATAATTATTGAAGTGAACCCGAGTGGCCTTTGAGGACGTTAAAGCAATTTTTCTGTTCGCCCATAATTCCAGTAGGGTATATAAACTCCTCGCAAACTTAGCGATCGCGTGAACATAAACATTTTATCGGTTTTTATCGTAGGATTACGTAGAATACAGCCCCACAGGCATTCTCGCTACGGCTTGAGGATTTTAAACATTTAGAAACTATTTATGTACGGCTCTGTTTAATCTCAGGATCACCCCGATGCTCGTTGTCATAATAGAACCGCGTGCATCCGAAGAGCTAGAACTGCCAAGGAAATTTTTATTTTGCGAATTACCACGTTCTTTCGAATAATCGTGTATCCTGAAAAAAAGGATGGCAGAGTATTTTTAAAAATTTTCTACTGATTACCTATGACGTAATAATAATGATATCTTCGATCATGCGTGAGTTCCTGTCATTTAAAAATCTTGAGAACTTACCCTTATCAGACCTGCCTGACACGTACACGTCTTATATCTCTATAAAGTGAAATACGCATAAATCATTCGGGAGGATGACTATCATTCTGACGATTTTCCTTAGGTTCTTTATGCTCTGAGAATTTCCAGGAACACGTCGAATGGAGTACTCGATCGTTGTGTCGCTCGATAGGAATGTGAATTTATTTTTACGGTCGTACTTCGACTCTTGTTCGAGATTTGCATTGAAACGAAAGAGCAGTCGTAGAATTATCTCTTCCAGGTACAGCATCCGCCGTAAGGCTTTTGAGAAAAGTATATCATAGAATAAAAGAGAGAAGCACGGAAGTCCTATAGTACTCATGAGAAAAGTCCGAACGAATAGCATATAATAATACCCCCGTGACGGTAGCACTTCGTAGCTTTAATAAATTAAATTTTAAAAAACGGCGTCTCTACAGACAAGAAGGAGGAAATGGTAAGATACGTATAGTCGGACCGCAACTCAATTCCATTTGAAGGAGACTTATTTACGATTCAGTTCGTAAGGCGATGGGACCTTTCAAAGTGAAACTGATGACTGCGGATGAAAAATAACATTTCTACTTACCAACTTAATGGCATCGACAGGCAAAGGCAGTAACGTAGGGATGTCAATAGAGACATAAGGAGTGCGTGTCGCAGCAGAGAATGATGTAGTAACGCTAGAAGAATGAGAAAGCACTTTTGCGGACTACCGCAATAACGTGTCTATTTGCATCGAGTCGTGAAACACCCACGAGAAAAATGGTCGAGCGACGAGACACGTTAGAATCCTATCGGATCCTTTTACAGTTATTTAATGTGATCTTTCGGTATATTTTGTACACACATTACACGTTTAACGCGCAGAAAAGTGGCGTCAAGTATAAAGTGCATTCGGCATTCCTCAATAAATCTCTATAAAATATTGAATTTATTGAATATATGATTGAGGAGAACGAGAACGAAGCTTTCGATGATAACGGATTAAATAGGGCGACAGAGATGAAGAGAGTCACACGATAAAACTCGAAAGTATCGCGTCTAACCGTATATGGTTAGAATGCGTAAGGTAACATTGTCTATGATGTGAATGCAAATGATTAATAACGTATGCGTAATGTGCCTGACTTGGCGCCACCTCAGCCACGGACTGTACAGAGAGGGGCTACTCACTGGTACAATATAAAGTACACGCTGTATCTTACGTGCCACGAACGGTGAGGCAGAGAGGCTTGTTAAGTATCGCCAGTTAATACCTACATTCCAAGGAGTGATACCGCGCGAGTTATAATTATGACGAAACCTGTTAATACAGGACACAGAGAGCAAGAAGGAATCTTTCCCGGAGGCGCCATGCCTTCCTTGGCGATCGCAGCCCGGTGGCGCCTACCGGCGGCGGGAGATATATCTACCGAGTAGATATAATATAGTGGCCCCTTTGTGTCACTCAGAGACTCGAGACTGGATGTTATTACAAGTCATTATGTGTCTATATGTATATCATAATAATTGACATGTACATCGCACGGGTTATTTACGATGCCTATACGTGTATTTGTTCTAAGTCTATATAGGTATACACGGGCAAGAGTTTGGTGCGCGCGTGTGTGTATATACGGACGCGCGAGTCCCGATGACATAACCTGATTAATTATTATCTGTCATTCAAATCTGACACTACGATCGACACCCGTCGCGACCCACCCTCGTTAGGAATGCAGGATTTTCACAAAGTCCCGGAAGAACGACGAGTCGTAAATACAGCTGGGTAATAATGGCCGCCGAGTTAAAAGGTGTCGAAGCATAGTTTTGCTGAACGCATCGAGACCAGTCAGGACACGCTTGACTATTGGGGTGCTAGCTGGTTTCTCCTTCACGAAATTCCTTCGTGTCAGATAACGATGACAAAGTTTCCTTGTTGGCTGTGTCCTTCTCAGAAGTCTTCAAGCGGCTTTTCAACCGTGAGATCTCAATGCGTCACAGGAATAAAGCTGCACGGCCAAACCCGTACAAGAGCTCGGAGTCGTAACGGTGGTATGTATTTCTTTTAATCATTTTGTTTTTTAGTTATTATACATTGTCCAAGGTAGCAACAGTGTCTGTGACTGCACGGTAGTTAATTGAGAAAGCAGACGCGTGTACCCTCGTTTAAAATTTCGCTGGATTTTATTACTCGTCTACCGACCATTCGAGTACTTGGGATGCACGGTAGACACGACTGCCTACCGCTTGGCTTCGCCACGTCTCCACGCTTAAACATTCTAAAGCGATTAAAGCATAAAATCGTAGGACTCTATCGGAATATCAAAAGATTATTATATCATCATTGATAATTGATGTGATTAGTCTGTCGTACCCAGCGGTCGCTGCCACTTTAAATGGAAATACGCGCGCCATACAAGGACTTTAATCGCCGGCAATATATCGATGGCTAATATTAATTGCGTCAAATTGTATTCAAGACAGCCGGTAGTCGCGGATATTAATATACATTTTATGTACTGTCGATTGTCGTGAAATCGGCGATTATACACCGATACGCCTATTACGGAATAAAGGTTATGTCTCTTACGAGTGCCTCGTCTGCTCGGTAAGCGTCGGTCGGCTGCGTGCGTGCACTGATGATATCTTGTAACCCTATAAATCTATGTATTAAGTAAAGTGCGCCGAGATTGATGATGCGTGTACCGCTGCGATTGCGTACATCAATATTAGCAATTCCCTCTCAAGATCATTAACTCGCTCTAAATGTTTGACACGCATTTGAGTAACGTTTCCCTTTATGCATTATACAGAGTGACTGTAACGTAATATACATATATATATATATATATATTACCCAGAGTGTACTTGACAAATACCGATAACCGCTAGGAGCGAAAAGAATACAAAATTTCTCGTAATTTGTTACGATCAGTAACTGTACGTAACGAACGATTTAATTGGTGTCGTGAACCTTCAATGAGTGACAATGCTATTTCTGGAACCGATAGCGGTACAGCAGAAATCTATAAGAAATGAGTATCACGATTTGGTGCGAGACAGAACGAGTTTGGAATATGCAATGGAATATACGATTTCCAGGCAGTCGAATAATAAATTTAAAGAATGCCAGGAACATATTTAACTCCCTGCAGCAACCAGCGCAAACCGGCAGCATATATACGTGTATACACATACAGACACTCGTTTTAACTGCATGCAAATGTAATGTATACAAATAAGTGTCAGCCATCCTATGACCTGCACCTGTTTCTAGAAACATTTTCCTTCTACGTGTCTATTCCTTTCAGGTATTCAGGATTGCCTTACAGCAAAAAAGTCAACTGCACAAAGGCTCGAAAAGACATTGGTATTTCAACATAACGCACCGTACGTATTATTTTCTCTTTTCGTTTGGTAAAATGTAATTATCGTTTCCATGAAGTTTTTTCCATTCTCAGTGTTTCCCTCGTTTTGTAAATTGCCCAAACGCACCTAACTTATACGTAAAATACGAGTGTCTCTATATCTGCAAGACCGTGTCGCACTCCAGACTTATGTCTGTTGCGGGCAACAACGACCAATAGATATACTCTCCCCAAACAGGTTTCTTAGATACATTCTTAGTACCAGAGTTCGCCGCCCATGTAGTCACTGGTCTCTATTAGTTATTACCTACTTTGCTGGGACCAGCCATTAGGAAGCGTCAAAGCTGGAAATAACTTCCGCAATATTTGGCTTTGTAAGTATGGCTTCGTTAGAGCTTGTTGGAGAAGGTAAGTATGGTGTTCTTGATAAGAAGTTCAAAAGTGTGATTAATAACTTGTCTGTATGTATATATATAACCATAAAAAAATTACTAATACAAAGTAGAGCTCGTGTACGCTTCTTTTCCTTATTATACGTTCGACGTGTAAGTTCTCGTTTAAATAATCTCGGTAGGCACGTCGACAAGTGACAGGGGACTCAATTTTAAAATCAATAGTTTCTGCCACGTCACTCGCGACTCGTTCTTACCTCTGATATTAGTTAAATTCCGATCCCGAATGCAGATTCGATTATTATCGATCGATACGAAATATCACAGCGCCAGGGTGGCTGTAGGTTGTATCTCACTTTTATCTCGGAAGCTAAACGCCTCGAGCGTATCTTTTATATTTACCGAGATTCGCAGATAGGCTAGAGCAGCGTGTGTATACGCTTAAGATTCCTTGGATGACCTTCTGCCATGTTGATCGCAAATGCAGCCGTATCCACTCAAATATTTAAGTAGTAGTTTGGTAAGAGCTTTTTGACTGCGCGAGGTGATTCCGCGCACGAGCTTCACAGACGGTCGTTTGACTTTTTAATAAACCTTCAAGAAAATCTCGACCCGCATACTTACCGGCCAAGAGGAGAAGCAAACGAAGAGAAAGAGAGAATCGAGAAAGGAGAGAATACAGCACGGTAAGGAAAAGTATTTATTTCGGTCTTGCAGTCCGTTACGTGGCAGAGAACATTCGAACGTATTGAAAAATCAGAGGCGAAGCGTGCCCACGTGAATTCCACGGGCGAATTTTAAACGAGCGACCGTGCCTACGTAAGTCAGACATCGAGCCAACCAAATACAGTGGATTCTTACCGGTACTTGTTTATACATTTTTTTCAACTTGATTAAATCATTTTTTCTTTTATTTTTTTTTACTCGCACAACGAAGATGTAACAGTACGAAGCTGATTCCTCTCGTTCATATATTTATACGTAATTTGACTCGCGTAGTAGCGAAGCGTCTGCCTTCCATATTACGATGTACTACGAACGTAAATTTGACAGTTTATTGTAGTCGGTTTTATTGTGCACTGTATACAATGTACGTCGCACTATATCCTCTTAACAAACGTGGGCTTTAGAGTTATTTGTCGTCACGTTTCATTGTGCTTCATTCTTCCGTCTTTAGTACGCGTTACGGCGTTTCGCCTCGCTCGCACACGCCTGTCTCACTGGTATCTACCGTCCTCCGCTGAGTATCCTAGTAGCAGCGTCATTTTACTATTGCCACTCGTAGAGTATCTCCTTTGAAAACCGTAGGCACCTGTGTTATTCTACTTAATAAAGTCACGGTCATTATCCTCTGGTGTGTGTCGTGTATGCCCAACGGTTAGAGGAGCCTTTGCGCGCAACATCCAGGGTTGGCCAAGCAGCTTGATTGGCAGAGTAAATAAATCGTTGGGAAGTGTGAAAATTTGCGTGTTTATTTGGAAAATTTCGTGGTAAGTACGCTACGGACAATTTCAAGGATTAATAACCGGCTGGTCCAAAGTAACGAAAAGGTTAGGAACGGCCAATTGGCATAAGACTTGACTCCTGGTTGTTTATGCTTCAGAATGAAATATTGCAAATCACATAACGGATTACCTTCTGGTAAGAGGTTAGCCATCTGTTGCTCGTCCGAATTGTGACTATTGGAAATCTTTCTATGTTTTTATAAGAACTATGGCTAGTAACAGTTTCTAATAAGAATACGTACTGTCGGCAGAGTCTCGGTTGATACTGAACATAACCTATTAGCAAGCTTTCATTCATGTTGATTTACCGCATCCTCCGATGACTGCTCTTCGATGCTCGTTCGTCCCTTTTGGTCTCGTGAAACATGGTTATTAACAAGCAAGGTAATTATAGGCCTTTGTTAAGAGCCTTTTGACCGCGTTAGGCCAATCGCCTGCAGTTTCTTTTTTTTTTATTCTGGCATGAACGTTTCGCACGTAATACATGGGTACCGGGTATAATAATGGGTCGTCATGACTACCACGTTGACCTGCCAAAATTGAGGAGCGAATCGTACGTACAGTCCAATTAGTTAAATTAACAAATAACGCACGGTAGTCCGATTGGGATTTTACTCGAATTAAAAGGTGTAAGAGGTCGTCGGTTGATTGATCGAAATTTCAAAGGCTTTCCGTAGGCGTTTACTCGAGTGTAAACGGATGAGATACTCCCAAGAGAATATATTCTTGGTGAATCATATGCACGACGTGATATTATCGTGTTATCGGTTGTCACAATTTTTCTAATTGGTCACGAGTACATTTGTCGAGACACTGAGCGAGACATGGAAGTAATGTATTCACTGCAATCTGTTTGGTAATTAATCTTGAGAAAGGAACGATCCTTGGTACATGTACTGGATGCGACGTTTTTTTTCATTGTCATACGTACTCGTGTCTGTTCTGTATTCTTTGCTGATTGTTTGAATCGCTTAAACTGTATAAGTTATACGTGTAAGATGTACGGGGTATCGTATACTTCTTTTTCATAATAAAATCATATATAAGTGAAATCTTGGTAAGAGCTTGATTTATAATAATTTATAACTCAGTATAGATAAGACTGTTAACCTTTTGATATTGGAATTAAATATCTTGGCTATGCGTAGACTGAGATTTTGACTAAACGATGTCTTCTTAAAGTCGCTAAAGAAAAAAAAAAAAAGAAAGCGACAAGAGCGTCCTCCTCGTAGGTATTGAGAGCCTACCTTGTCCGAAGGCGGTGAAGTTGCAGCGGCGATGATATTAAGGAAGACCAGAGTGCAGAACGCGCGTAAACAGACCATCGTGGAGTCGATGTGTAATAAGTCACTTCACTTGGTCTTGACGAAGGTGTCCGAGGCGGCGTCAGGGTGTATAGCAAACACTAGCCGCCAACTCACTCACTCGTTGACACCGTCTTCGGCGCACATGGCATCGTCTGACATTTGACCGTCGCGACGTACGACAGTCCGGACTATCTGACAGGTGGACTCGATTCAGGCCCAGTCTTCAAGATGGGTAAGAATAATGAAAATTTGGTTTCAGGAAGACCAATCGAGAGGATAATAAGGAACTGATGATGCTGATGTCTCAGGAAGAGATCTTCTACGGGCGGTCTTGACTCTTGCGAATCCCGCAGTCCCGGTCTGTGTCCGGCCAGGGCAAGTGCTGCTGAGCAACTGGCACTTGCCACTTGCTGTTCGAGCCTGTCCCACGGCAGGTCTCTGTCCAACGCTCCTCCGACTGCTCTGGCTATACGCTATCAGAGGAGAAGTCAGCGCAGGCTGACTCGGCTCCATGTCTGTGCGGAGCACAGCATACCATCGCAACCTCGTACCACTGCTGTACCATTGCCCTGGACGCCTCATCCTCCATCTCCTTCTTTCTCCGGTATCGATACTCCTTCTTCTTTTGCTCCTCCTTTAGCACCAATACCAATCTTCTTTTAGGTCTACTTCTGCTTCTCAAACCGCCACCATTACCACCACCGTGAACCACCACCTCCTTCTTGTTCGCCTCCCTCGCTCGATTTCGTCGGCTCTCCTTGGATTCCTTCGGACTGCCGATTAGAGATCGGTCGATCGGTTCCAGGGGTCCCACGAACACGGCCCGCCCTGTGGGAGACTTTGGCTCTGTCACACCGAAGCGAGATATATCTAGCCGGGCTACCCTTACCTGGTTTGAGATTCATTAGCGATAACCCGGATGCTTTGCCGGCTTTTCTTACAAGAGAATTTGTCCAGGGGTACGACTCATTGGGAAACCAGGGTGAATAGAGTCCCCACGTGGGGTTGATTCTGCCTGGAGATTCTGCTCTTGGATTCTTGCGATAGTCAACAGGTGGTTCGTTCCACTGCGTCGGTGTGTTACGTCTCCTTAGTGAAGATTTCCTAGAAACGTTTCCACGTCATTTACAAATTATTATTATGGTAGATGAGGTGGACGAACGTTTAGCTTCTTGGAAATTGTTGACTGTGTTTTATGTCAGAGTCATCAACTTCCAAGAGGATCTTTTTTTAATTTATACTTTCCCAGTACTACTTTTTAACTTGAATATTATGAGGTCACTTTAAATATTCTACAACAACCAATTTGTTAGTGACTCCTGTCAATGAACCGTTCGATCCAGTTCGTACCAGACATGATAATAAGTGCAAAAGAAAGTACATAGGCACAATACGTCATAATGTCCCATTTGAACTCTTCTATTAACAATAATGTTTTGATCCAATCCTCGTTTAACGGTAACAGACCAATCTCGATATAAACTACGTAAGGTTTAAACGAGCTGAGATCCATGAGTCACTGGGAATTCGAAACTGATTCAGAACTGGTTATAGGCATTGGAATGTAGCTTTTAATGCAAGCCGGGGGTTATCCATTCGGCTCGTGTTAGAAACGAACGCGTGTTTCCAGTCTGGACGCACCTGTGAGCATCCTTGGTCCTCATTAAATTTCAATCGGTGTACTGATTTATTCCTCCCGAGATGGGACACGTACCACGGGGCTCCAGCGTCACCATTTACGTAAAACCTATCTCACCAATGACTCTTGATCAGTCGTTCAATATACTTCCGGTCCATTTAACAATTTCCGAATATTATCTTACACGTCATCTCACTCCCAGACCTATCCCTAGTGCCTAGTCCAGCAGCCGTAGGCGTACCACACAATATACACACCTTAGCTGCATACTCAGAATTACCAATCACCCTAGGGATGTATCGAGTCCAAAATTATTTGACTATTGGATCTATAATCACTTGTGGATATGACAGGTGATATCCTTGGATCTATAAATACAGCAGTGGTAGGAACATACTCATATGTCTATAATACCGTGTAATCAAACCTGAAAGAAAAAGATAGTCAAATCCAGTCAGTTTTGTAGAATCATCAAAATCTTAACTAATCATCATCCTCTTATCTACTTTGTGAGCACGCCCAAAAGTTACCTGCTCTGTTATTACTGTCAGACCAAGTTTATCGTTCCAATTCCATACACCCTAAATCATCGTATTCGCAGGATCACTCAGGATGGCAAAAGGGAGTTCCTCGAGAACGTTGGATGCGTCCCTGTTCTCTGCACGAAGGGACTTAACAGGCTGCTCGTTGGCCAAGCCGCCGGCTGGACAGCAGTTCAGCCATCGTCCAGGCTGGCACACCTGTTCACTCAGGTATGCGGGGGTCTCTCACTCCCTCGAGGCCCAGTGGTAGTTTACTTTTGTTCCACTGGTTTCGGAACGACGGAACGAACGAATTCAATCCCTTCGAAGAACCATGCGATCGGACGGTGTAACGAAATATACGATTGGTACTTTTTCCTTAGCTCTGACTAATGCTGCCATCTTAGAAATTGAAAAAAATTACTTTTTACAAAATATCCCTTACCGCGGAACATTTACTATAATCAAATGCAAAGGGCGTTCTTGACGATGCTGTTGGAAATATCAAAAACTGTTCTTCGCTCCAAGTGACAGTTATTAATACTCACCTAACCTATTTTTCCAAATCCACTTGATCTTCCATCACGACTATTTCTTAAGCTGTCTTTTACAATCCTTACAAGTAGCCTCAAGAACTTATTCGTAGATCAGGTCAAATTGATTGAATACAACTGGAACAAGCACCCGGTCTACGGAGGGGGCTTCCCGACGTGTCGAGCCAGGCCCCTCCTCATCGGTCGAGAGAGCCAGACAATAGGACGCCACGATCTAAACTCCTATGCACTTGACTCGCTATTCTGCACATTCACTTGCGTCCTACTGCTTTACAGAGTGTATACATAAAAGTCGACGTCTCTTGCGCATCGGTAGCCACCTAGGGGAGCCGTAGGAACGTGTTTCGGTGTGTAATCATATTTCATAGTAAGCACGTAAGATGTCGTTGATACGAAATTTGTATAAAACCATTCATACAAACGATTACTGCATAATCACACTATATCAGTAGGTACCATGACAAGTCACAGGAGTAATGTAAAATGGATTATAAAGGAAAAACAAATTTACAATAAGACAATACTAAAATATCACGTAAGAGCGTGAATACTAATTGTATGTAATATCGTACGGTTTCTGGCTATTTATTAAATTCCGGAAAAGTCAGTAACGAAGGATACAAGATTTTGGATTTCTAAAACATTCTTAAACGGTCAGACTGTATTCTCCTATTCGTATACACTTGGGTCCTGGTACCCTTAGGTATTATGACTTGCAAATAGTCAGTGGGATAATGGATGCATAAAATTTAAGGGACCCTAAACTGAATGCCGATCCCCTCTAACGGTTCTTTTATTTTCTAGGTTCTTGTTAAAGATATATATATATATACATATATATATTTCTACTAGTAGAAAATACTTTTACCATATTAGGTACGCACTGTATATTATATAGGGTATAGTATAGAATCGTATAATACATATATAAGGGAGGACTCGGCTAACCTGTTTCTACTCTATGACACACCTGGTGCAATTGTTATTGAAAGTTTACTCTCGTTCGCGTCAATCACACCAGTGCTATTCTGGTTGAGCTAATGGCAAGAGAAAAATAAAAATAACCAAGGAAATACGTAATCGAGAGTGTGAGTATTTGTTTTCTTCTTCTATACACCAAGAGGTAACATCTGCGAACTAACGGACCTTATACAATTAAGCATCGCGTTTCTCGAGGCTATACTGATCTGCTTAATGATATGTAAATTGACAGATAAATACTAAAAGTGATACATTGATAGTCGAGAAAAATCTTCACGGATATAAAAATGGATCTACGTTCATGGATTCTATAGGATGTTTGTCAGTGTCCTCAATGGCTGTAGGTAATAGATCAATATACGAGGCTGACGTTTATATCCAGATTCAACGAAATCCCCTGTGTAATATATACACAGCAATTTACTATCAAGTCTCGTCTCTTCAGTTCTGTCATTCGATAAGCCATGCCTTTTACGTGACTGTGACATTCCATTTGAAAGTATGCCCATCCATCGACAAGTGTCAGGCCATTTAATCGTTCATCTTCTTGCACAATATTTCTTTCAGTATAATCGTACCGTCCTCGAATTTGGAATACTTGTAGCTCTTACTTCTTGTCTCGCATCCTCCTTCAGCTTTCTTTACCAGGATACTCTTGTCTTCGTCGCACCTTTCAAGATGCCAGATATTGCCAAAGTAAATATTGTAAGCGGCTGATCTACGAGCGCTGGCAAAGACGGTGGCGCACACGTGAACTTCTGTCTTGAGTATTCGACAGCAGGCGTTCATACTATCCAAAATGAAGGCGCAGGTTCTTGCAGCATGAAAGTCTTTCTGCTCCCTTATAGAATCATCTTCAACGTAGTGGTCCAGATTGTCTATCAGTAGTACAGACGGCAGACTGGTAAAGGTATGGAGTTCGGCCAGCTGTTCCACCAGATTCTCATAGTTGGACAAGTACCTAGAAAATTATATTCATAGTGAGAAGTGTCTCTGTTTTTTTTTTCTTTTTGTAAATAGGAGAACAAAATGAGCTTCGATAGAAACGGCATACGTAACCCTTCCTCGAATGACGGCGGTATCTCAGTGAAATTGTACCCTTGAAAAAGACGGAACGAGGGTCTTTATTTTTTTTCTCTCTTTTACTCCCCTCCCGCCGCCTCTTCTTTCGAGTCTTTCTCTTACGCTATCGAAACGAGCCGCACGTGCTGTGCAAGCGTCGCAGGGAAGGCGGAGGATCCTGAAGGATAGCTGGTCGCCATTGTTTCTTTATTCTTTTGTTTTGTATACGACAGTAGCGAAATGTCTAGAGCGACTTTGCGGGGTTAAAAAAAGAATTGTGAAAACGCTTGGTGAAGAATATTAAAGCTAAGCGAGAATATAACTGGATGTAATATAGCGAGTGGTTATTTTTGAAGATTTTGTATTGGAAAGAAGGAATTTCTTGGAAGTTAGAAAAAAATGACGCTGAGGCCGAACGTATTGATGCTCTTTATGATTGGCTTTGTTATGGGTAAATTAGGTTGCAAATAATCGGTGGATAGAGTATGACGGGTATTAACGAGGTTATTCATGATTTCTTTATCCAGGAACCGCCGTTAGCGATACCACGCGCCGAAGTTCAGCCGTGCTTCAAGTAAATAAACCACCGCAAACCGACATTCCATAAGAGTTGCTGCAATAGTTTATTTACCACGTACGTTCGACGCACGTTATAAATTATAATGATTCTCGATATATCGATATTTATGTGCGAGTTCGTACTCACTTCACGACGTATAAACGATATAAAATCTTTTTGATTTTATACGAGCGACGAAATGGATTTGAAAGATATCAAGAGTTTAACGGCTGTTGATCATTTCTATTTTTGCGAAATTTTCTTTTTTTTTACACTTCATACCGTACCTGTTCGATTCGATATATTAGGGAAGAATTTGACTAAACGCTACTCAATAAACACGTGCTGAAACTTAACGTACAAAGCTCTTTTGACTTGGTGGGAGATTTTAACTGAGTTTTTAGCTGATCTGCGTCTACGTGATATATATATATGTATATAAAAGTATAGATATACTGTGTTACGGTTATTCCTTGGACTTCTCCATGATAAAGAGTGCGGAAATACAAGAGAAGATTCTGGGACTTACATAAATCTTATCAATTTGAAAGCTGCGGCTATTGGAGGATTTCTATCGTGGTAGGTCGATGGCAGTGATTCCAGTGGCGTAGGTGTAATATATATTACACGACGGCCTTCTTCGGCCCAATGCATAGCAGCCTGCACAGGAAAATCAACAGCAGTTAGAAAGTTTTACCCTGGCAGATCTCCTCCTTATTGAAAGAGGCAGCCCTGAGGAAAGGAAGGAAGGAAGAAAGTGTTGACTGGAAAAGCTGAGAAGGTGGCGCTTTTGAAATTCTCGCGGTACATTGTTGGAAGAAATAATGCAAGTTGTATTATCGGAATAAAAATATACCTCAAATATGAATGATTTGGTAAGCTCCAATGGTCCGCATAACAAAGTTGTTTTTACTGTATTTTCCATTGTAAATATGGGAATCTTTTGAGATTGAGGTTATATCTGATCTATGGGATATTCAAGTGAAGATATTTTAAAAATTACTAGGATACGATTGCGAGGAAGAATATCTATTTAAAATTATGCAAGTAACCGAATGATTAAAATGCTATAATTGTTTTATTTACACTGATCAGATTTTAAAGAATTTAGCACTGGCTTTCGCGCTGGTTATTCTAATTTGTTCAGCTTCAAGTCAATGGCTCTATTCTGCCATCTTGTTACGCATCATGGAATTAGGTATAGCATCTACGAATTAGGTAAAGTAGATCAAAGTCTTGGGGAATCTGTAAACAGTCCCTACTCATCTCTGTCATCTCTGCTGTAAATACTGTTATTTTATTTGTGTAGTCTATGCTTGTAAGTAAACTTGTGAAATTCTTTAGTAATTCGGTACAAGTTTGTTTACAGGTGTTATGTATGTATAGGTTGAGTTTAGCCGGATATTTCAACGATGCTGTAGCTGCAAGAATTTTGTATATTTTTTACTCACAGTGCTTTAAAGCATTGATGATAATATATTCAAAAGATTATTTATTAACTCAGAGAAATGAGTAGTGAAACGCAAATCGCAAGTATTGTTAATGACATACTGGTATGTATACATAAGTAAATATATAGTTAGTTAAGATTAGTATAAATAATTGGTAAAGCTGTGATAGAATGCTTATTTGTACGAGGGAATGATTTGTGTAAAATAATTCATGATTGCTTGTACGATACTGATAGAATTTGACAAGGAAGAAGTATATTTCTTACATCAAAGTATTTTTCTTGTTAGAAAGTGGAGGCTATCGAAGAAGCATTTAGTTGTGTACTTGTCCATCATCCAGACAGTGAGAGTGAAAAAATCAAAACATGGCAATCAGAATTATCTTCTGCAATGACTGGATTAACTCCAGAACAAAAGGAGACTGCTGTTCGTCAATTTCTTTCCATGGCAGCTGCTATGACAAATCATAGTAGATTGCAATTGTTATTGTCCCTCCTTGAAAATTTAGTTAACAAGAATGTTTTACCAGCCAGGTTTGTACTTGTAATTTAAACATGTTTTACTGTATTGTATGGGTATTGTTTTATTACATTTAACTTTATATATATTTTTTAGATTGGTTTGCGAATGTATTTTAAGTTGTGATAAACTTCAATACCAGTTGGAAGACTTTTGGGTCGAATCTTTTATTCTTATAAGACATATTATTGGCGGAGTAGATTACAAAGGTGTCAGAGAGATTATGAAGGTACAGAATATATTCAGTGTGGAATATTTTGAACAAAAGTAAGCTATGTACTTAGTAATATATTTTTATAGGGATGTAGAGAGAGAGCTCAAACTATTCCAGCAAGATTAAACACATCGGTCCAACCACAATTAAAAGCGCTTGAAAATGTTATTGAATACATTTTTGACAGAAATGCTTGTCTGTTGCCTGGCTACTTTATAGTCAATGAAATACAAAAAGCTTATCCTGACAATAAAAATTGGCCCCACTGGGTAAGTTGTAATACGTATAACATTTATTATCGAGCTCGGTGTATTTAACTCAAAAAAAAACTGTAAATTTCACTAAGTTAGTATCATGAAATTTGTTATAGAAGTTGGCTAAATTATTATCCAGTTTTGTTGAAAGTTTTCGAGCAACTGCACAGATGGTATCGATAATTGGACACTCAAAGATGCTACCAGTTGTTGAACATACTGGATACGCTGATCATTTGATCAATCCATGGTTACTGGATCCTACCACTCTAAAATTTTCTCTCAAAGGAAATCTCCCTTACGACCAAGATTTGCTTAAACCTCAAACAGAGTTACTTCGATACGTCTTGGAGCAACCGTACAGCAGAGACATGGTCTGCTCCATGCTTGGTCTACAGAAACAAGTATGAAGTCCATAAAAAAATTAATGCTCTTACAAGATGATCTACCATCCAGTAATTATATAATCACTATAGCACAAACAACGATGCATTGCACTAGAGGAACAGCTAGTGGAGCTTGTCATTTTGGCGATGGAGAGGTCAGAAAATGATCCTCCACCTGCAGAAGGTACTGATGGTACCGTTGCGAACCATTGGGTCTGGTTGCATCTGTCATCGCAACTCATATATTTTGTACTTTTTCAATTCGCCTGTTTCCCAAACATTGTAATGGCAATACATGACAAAGTAAGTTAAACGTTTTAATTACATACAAGTTCATTTTAATAAACAGGATAATACAGTTAATCAGTTGTTATCCACGAACACAGCTAGCAGGTCGAGAATTACGAAAGGGACGAGATCATCTGATGTGGGTTTTATTACAATTTATTTCTGGAAGTATTCAGCGAAATCCAGTAAGTGTACAACTGCATTTTTCTACTTTTCGCCCATTTAAATCTTCAATTGTACGAATAATTGTATCCTTGCAGCTTACAAATTTCTTGCCAGTACTTAAGTTATACGATCTTCTCTACCCTGAAAAAGACCCTCTACCAGTGCCTGACTTTAGTCAAGCGTTATGCACTCACCAAATGGCTATCACATGTATTTGGATCCATTTACTCAAGAAAGCCCAATCGGAGCATGTTAACATTCACAGACCTATTCCACATACTCTTAAAGTTCACCACGAGTAAGCTCTACGTTTTACAGTTACTATTATAATAATTAAAAATACATTGAACAGCACTAACACGTTAATTCTCTTATCTTCAGATTCCTCCAGCATCTTGTCATGCCAAACACATCATTGTGTATGGGATCGGACTACAGAATTGCCCTTCTATGTAATGCTTATTCGACAAACCAAGAATATTTCTCAAGACCTATGAGTGCACTCGTTGACACTATATTAGGAACACAAAAAGTAATTTAATCAGTAATTTAAATCTATAAAAAAAATTAGTTTAATCTTAACATTTTAATTTAACTATCAGAGTCAGCAACAACAACCACTGCAACCTCTGCAGAATAATGCAGCACTTGCCAATGGACCTACGACTCCATTGTCTATGTCAATTCTAGACTCTTTAACGGTTCATTCCAAAATGAGTTTGATACATAGTATCGTTACACACGTAATCAAATTAGCTCAATCCAAAAGCAACATGGCTTTGGCACCAGCTCTCGTAGAAACTTACAGCAGACTGTTGGTCTATACAGAAATCGAGAGTCTTGGAATCAAAGGCTTCATAAGTTCGTAGATTAAAATTATTTCAGATACACTAATAAACATCTTAATCGTATTCAAAATGATTAACAAATCTTTTTCAGGTCAATTGTTACCGACTGTATTCAAATCCCACGCATGGGGAACACTGTACACTCTACTGGAAATGTTCAGCTACAGAATGCATCACATACAGCCGCATTACAGAGTCCAACTCTTGTCACATCTTCATAGTCTTGCTGCTGTGCCTCAAACTAATCAGACTCAGCTGCACTTATGGTATGTTTCTTTGAATATATATATTGAGCAGATGTCTCTTAATCATTTATGATTTTACAGCGTTGAAAGTACTGCCCTTCGGTTAATTACTGGCTTGGGATCTGCTGAGGTACAACCGCAATTATCACGATTCCTATCAGAACCGAAAACACTTGTGTCCTCAGAATCCGAAGAACTTAACAGAGCATTGGTTCTTACTCTTGCAAGGTCAATGCATGTGACAGGTAATGATAGTAGCGTATGTATAATAGATTATATTACGATTGTTATGGAGTATATAATTGTTAAATAGGAACGGGTGCTGATACTCTTAGTGGTACATGGTGTAAAGAATTGTTAAACACTATCATGCAAAACACACCACATTCTTGGGCTATGCATACACTGCAGTGTTTTCCACCGGTGCTCAGTGAATTCTTCCAACAGAATAGTGTCGCTAAGGAAAATAAACAGCAAATAAAGGTACTGTCGTATCACAGCGTAGTTTATTAATGAAACCCTTCGATAGTATGTCTAATTAATTATATGTTCTTCGCATTCCTATTAGAAAGCAGTAGAAGAGGAATATAGAAATTGGGCATCGATGAGTAATGAAAATGATATAATAGCACATTTTTCTGTGCCTGGTACACCTCCATTATTTTTATGTCTATTGTGGAAAATGATTCTTGAGACTGATCGAATTAGCCCAATCGCTTACAAGTAAGAAATTCTAGTACTATATCTATGTTGAAAAGAAAATATAACATTATTATTTACAGAATCTTAGAGAGGATAGGAGCAAGAGCTTTATCAGCTCATCTTCGAAAGTTCTGTGATTACCTAGTGTTTGAGTTTGCTAATAGTGTTGGTGGACAACACGTGAACAAGTGTGTAGATACTATTAACGATATGATCTGGAAATATAATATAGTGACGATAGATAGGTTGGTTCTGTGTTTGGTAAGTATTTTTATATTTAAAAATATCCAATCAGCGTATAAAATCTAATTAACATAATTCATACAGGCTCTAAGAACGCAAGAGGGCAGTGAGGCTCAAGTCTGCTTTTTTATCATTCAATTACTTCTTCTGAAAGCACCAGAATTCCGCAACAGAGTGCAGGAATTTGTAAAAGAGAATTCACCAGAGCATTGGAAGCAATCAAACTGGCACGAGAAGCATCTTGCGTTCCATAGAAAGTATCCTGAGAAATTTGCACCCGAAGGTATCATGGAACAAACTAGTGGTGGTCCGAGTCAATATCAAAGTCTACCAGTATATTTTGGAAATGTATGCTTAAGATTTTTACCAGTATTTGATATCGTGGTACACAGATACCTAGAGATACCGCCAGTATCTAAGAGCTTGGAAATACTGTTGGAGCACCTAGGATGCCTTTACAAATTTCATGGTTAGTATAATATTATAAGTAATCATTGCAACCTAATTTCATTGATATATTTTTCTAGATCGACCTGTAACGTATTTATACAACACGTTACATTATTACGAAAGAAAATTGCGAGATAGGCCGCCATTAAAACGTCGTTTAGTATCAGCTGTGTTAGGATCCTTACGAGAAATTCGTGCACCAGGTTGGGCACTGTCAGAAGCTTATCAAGTGTATATGGCTCGCTCTACGGATGACAGTGTTACTTGGGTACCTGAATTAGATTATTATGTTAGACTGGTGCAGCGAATCGTGGAAAGTAAGTTATTAATCTAGGAAATTAATATTAAATACTACATAAGACTTTACTAAATAAAAAATTATTAAAGCAATGTCAGGAACGGCACACTTCCCAGCCACCGATTGGAGATTCAACGAATTTCCTAATCCAGCTGCTCATGCACTCTACGTTACCTGCGTTGAACTAATGGCTGTACCAGTTGCACCGAACCTGGTGGCCAATTCTTTGCTGGATGTCGTTGCCAAAGGGTAACCTTGCTAAATACTGTATGATACAATGAATCGCCAAGAACTACATATTCTATGTTTTTAGATACACTGTGGTTCCGTCTAAAGAAATTCATCTCTGGATCAATTGCGTAGGACTACTATTGGCAGCATTGCCTGAATGCTATTGGTCAGCACTTCACGATCGACTTGTGGAAACAATAAATAGCCCTGGATTAGCAAACTGGCAATACAACAATCTTACGCCATTCCAGATGTTCAATTTTAACATAACGCACAACAGTCTCTTGGAGAATAAATATAGTTATATGCTCGCGTTAGCTCATTCCATTTGGCATCATGCTGGAGTCGGACAAATCACGACAATGCCACAGTAAGTAACACATGAGCGATGATCATGTTAAATACAATTAATATTTTTTTCGTTACCCTTACCAACAGATTCATTAAGGAGAAACTACAGCCTGTTGTCAGTAGCGAGGAGCAATTAATATTTGCTTGTCATTTAATTGGACCCACTTTAGCAAGATTTAATGCAGAAAGGCCAAGATGTGTTGTCGAACTGGCTGTCAGTTTATATGAAATGCTGGAGCAAGTTGATCGGACACAATCTCACTTAAAATACATGGATCCAATATGTGATCTACTGTATCCTTTTTGCTTGGCTATACAAAGTTGAAACCACTATTGTCTCACATTGATCTTTCTAATTTTCCTTAACTACTCCTTTCACAGTTATCATATAAAATATATGTTTGTCGGAGACATGATGAAAACTGATGTGGAATGCATAATAAGACGATTGAGGCCAGCATTGCAGATGCGTCTACGTTTTATTGCGCACCTGAATATAGAGGAGATTAATTCCTCCTGAGGAAAAACAACAGTGCCGCAAATGTTACCGTGTCCAGTTAATCGAGATCAACTACAACAGCAACAACAACAACAGCAACAACAACCACAACCTCAACCATTGCCAACAACATCAGGTCAGTCGGTGACATTTGCATCAGCCGGAAGTCAAGCAGAATCAACAAGTGCTCCGTAATTAATGAAAAGATATTTCAATTTTTCTAATGAGTGACATGCATGATATATTGAACACTGAAGTGCTAACGAGAAATCTACCAGAGATTTCTTGCCAACTTATTTACTTTGATCGGAGTAAATATAGTGGGGGATAACAGATACTGTTACGTAAGCTAATAACTACAATTAATCAGTCGCGTAATCACTACAGTAAATGTAGGTTTTAAAATGGATTAATTAGTTCAGTGCTGGAAATGAAACACAAGACAATGTGTATATTGTGATTAATATATATCTATATACAATGCATAATATACAAGCTTATCCAATTCAACTGCATTAGTCAACGTTTGACAGATCTCATGCTATACTTTTTGGTAATACGTTTTTATTGTTAAAAACACTTTTTCAAAATTTAATATTCAATGCGTTTGAATTAGAATAATCTTGGATATTAACCACCTTGTTGATTACTACAAAACATACTACGATATCTTTTTCAAAATTTCTACATGTTAATACGAAACGTAGATTAAATAGTGGGATTGGGTAATCATTGAGAAGTACGAATGTATTTCATTACGGTAAACTATACTGTAATGGCCTTGGGGTGACTCTGAGGATGACTGGTGAATTACGAGATTAGGAAATAAGGGCGAATATGCAGTATCAACATAATTTCTCTTTCAAATGTATTCAGTATTGATAACAGGCCAATAATAAATATTTATAAAATTTTATGGAAAATAAATACTGTAATAATTAATAGCTTGGAATATCGTATGTATGGATAATAGTACAGTTGTAGAACTGCACATGGAACTTATGTATAATGGAAATTATGTATGTATGTCTCTGATAAGCGTAGATATTTTGCAAATATACTTTTTTTTACGAAATTTGTTAACTTATCAAAATAGGAATTCATAATTATTTTTCTCTAATTCTCAACAAGATTTTAGTGCGTGGCACTCATGGATATAACTTACTGGTATAATAGTTCCAAGAGATTTTTCCAATAATAATAATAATGTTCATATAAATATTATAATAAAGATATGGAAATATAAGTAGATATAAGCATAGAAGCACTTGATGATACTGTTCATAAGATAATATTGCACAAGTATTATATACTTGCTAAGGGATCATCAAAACTTTAGAATTTCTTTAATATTTAAATATTATCAAAGTCAACCTCACCACCTCCCCTCATTAGTTCGATTAACTTTGCGAATTTTTCAGGCGAACACGCGTTGTTCTCTATGAAGGGTAATTTCTTCATCTCATCCTTCCAATTGACCTGAAATTGACAAAGTGTCATGAAGTAAACTCTCTCATTACTATTAACATATTTCTGTTTGGTACAAACTCAATAACTTACAATGTGTGGAAACTTTTCCTTTTCAAAATTCAGTGGTGTTTTATAAATAAGGGGTAGAGCCTTTGCGCGCTCAATCCACGGCCACATTAGTATATCCAGCATACCAGGCTCGTTACCTGTAAGCAAAACAGTGCCTTATATCTATTGTCTACAATTGTCATATGAAGAATCAAGTAATGTTAGTTGAGCTATGTACCTCCATAGAAAGTTGTTCCACGAGTAGCTAATTCATCTTCAAATTCTACCATATAACTTGTGATTTCAGAAATAACTTCATCCAGAGGTCTTTTATCATTACCATGTATGCAGTTACTCAAGATACTAATTATCTGTAAGTAAAGGATCGTTGTACTTTAACCTTGATATTACAAGTAATTCCATTATCAATTATATATGATGAATTTTACCATTCCATATTTAGTAAGGAGTTCTAGATCACGAGACTTTGTTGTTTCATGGTACAGTGCTGGCTTAGGATATTTTTCCTCTATGTAATTTGCAATTATCATAGAGTCAACTACCACTGTACCATCGACATCAACAAAAGCAGGAACTTTCCCTTCAGAATGAATCTGGTGATAACAAATTAATATCTAGATTATTCAAACACAAAATATTTGTGTTTTTAATATAAATTGGACTTTTACCTTGAAATACCATTCTGGCTTTTTCTTCAAATTAATATTCACTATATCATATGGAATTTTCTTCACAGCTAATAGTAAGCGAATTCTTTGAGCGAAGGGACAAAATTTCATACTGTATAAACGGGCTTGTCCATCAATTGTAGCTGGTTTCTCGGAACCTTAAAGATAAATAGACATTCACATTTCATGCTAACAGACAGCATTAAAAAATAAATATAATAGCTCCTCACGAATCGTTCAAACTAGATGTATCAATCATGTAATTCAAGTTTATAAGTATTTTAAGCAGTATTATCAAAGCTCATGATAAGACAGTACCAAGTAGTAACACTTGAAATATCATATCATATTTTTACATGTGATATCTATCAGTTAAATTAATAAGAATGTAACAGTAATTTTATATTATTAGATTTTTTGGAAAGCTTACCAGTAGTGAGGTGTAAGGAACTCATGATCTTCCTTTTAATTCTACAAAATATAAAAAAACACTTAGATACGTATTGTCTGGAGAAAGCTGCCGTTGCTAATGGCTGCTAGGCCTCAGTTAAATGATTCAAACAATAAAAAAAAATAAATACTAGGGAGGCGTTGGTATTTAAATATTGTTTAAGTAATCTGTTCGAATATGGCAGTTGGATGTCGAATATATTGATATGTATTTATTATTTAAATATTAGATAAAATTGTTACTCATTGTTAAAATACCGTTATAATTCGATAAAATATCGATTTTAAGGCCGTTCCGTGTCGCTACCCTTCATGAATTTACGAAAGTAGCGTCACCTTTAATTTGCACGAGAGATCGTTAAATATATGTAGGTTATTCAGGAATGTCAATGACTCATTGTCATACTTGTTTATTGATTATTGTTTTTATTATATATTTCTAAAAGTAGACAAAATAATTATATCTTGAAAAATATTTAAATTTTATTATGCATTTATCCCGGTTTCAGAAGGTATTTAATAACATTTGTCATTGATGTGTCAATGATCTAATAGGTAATCCCATTTTAGTGTCGAGAAGATGATCTTTTTGATCACTAAGATATTTTGGTCCATCACCAACTCTTGTATGAATAATGTACTTCAATAACCCAGGCACTTGTTTCTCAAGATTAATTTTTTCTATAAGATCCTGTTGAAAAGAACAATTAACAATGGTATTTATGATTCTTAATCATATACATTATACAATTGCAGACCTGCTTAGGAGAAATGAGCTGAATAGGAATTCCTTTTCTATATTCAACAGTTAAGTCATCTGCAGGTGGGATATAAAAGTCCAGAATACTAATAAATTCTGCTACATTTTTTTCTAATATGTATACTGTAACATTTGGACCAGCATCGCATGTATATGCCACCTGCAAATGAAAATTATATTTGTAAAAAATAGTTCAGTATAAATTGATTATAGCAAACATTTGAATTTACCTTAATTTCATTTGCAGCTGAATTGTACGAATGTGCTAAATTCACTAAAGTAAAGGATACATCGTTCATGTAATGACATGGAGGATATGTATCCTGGCATACTGCATGCATTTGATTAGAATCTTTGATAGTTAATTCAGCAAACTTTTCAAAATTTTTTTGAAGAATTGCTTCGTTCATTTCATTCGCTCTCCTTGGTACCACATGTTCCGCTCTATACTTCAGTAGTTCTGAAGTTTCAATAGATCTCTTCATTCCAAGTGCACTGGAAACCTTTTTACGACCATCATTCACCTGTACAGGTGAACAAGATTAGAATATTGTTATTCAAATAATCCAATTTGTGTAAAATATTGCTATTGATATATTAAAATACTTACGACTAATACCAGAACTCTCATTTCTGGCCAATGGGAAGGTGAAACAATTTGTTTAGCTAAACTATCACTGCCTTTTGGATCGGAGCCCATGTGCCACCTTACAAATCCTCCCATCATACTACGACATGCTGATCCAGAACCTGATCTAGCTACTGCACTAATGTCACCCTGTTTAAGAATCCTTTTTTGGAGTAACTGATAGTATATAATTTTTTAATCTTTTTGTATAAACTTACCTCTACTTTGTACAATTTAGCTAAAGCTGCAACGAGACATGCATAGCCTGCAGCACTAGATGCTAAACCAGCTGCAGTAGGAAAATTGTTTTCTGAACAGATATGAATTTTCCAACATTCCATGTCATTTGAAATTTGCGCCCGCTTTCGCACTATGAAACGGAATATTTATTAGTTTTATGTAGAAATATGCTGTTTGTTGTTATAGTGATTACATACTCCCTATCAGGCAGTTTTGTAATCTCTTGTTGTTTATGGATTGTTCCCTGAAAAAAAATGTACATGTTAAAATATTTATGACATAGTTAAGTCTGAGCCTAAAATTTCACAAGCCTTTAAGAAAAACGGTTGATTAAAAATTAGCGATATTTTCATCGTCATAAAATAAATTACGTTTTTTATAGTAATTCCAAACATACTTTCCATTGAGCCATATACGATCTTCTTTAAATTCTGGACTGGCCATTATAGTTGTCCTTGCACATAACTACACGAAAAACATATAAAGATTTCAATGAGTAAAAATACATTTTTCAATAATTAAAAAACTTACGTGTTCTGTATCCAGAGTCGCGCTAATTGAATCATTAACCGGTAATATTAAGTTTTCATCACGTTTCCCCCCTGAAATACAAAAAAAAAAGTTAGATCACAGGTATTTTTTCCCTTAAGATATATATCATTCAAAGTTTTAAAATAACTTTGACCTTTAACTTGCACATTATTACTTTAATATATGAGACTAGATACAATAGCTTTTTTTTTCTATTTTTAGTTCATTCATCTTTTCTGAAAGTAACATAAGTCCAACAATGAGGTCGAGTTTCTATCGTATTCAATTCTTCCATATTCAAAAACGGAACGTAGAACAAATGAAGTCAAACGAGCAATTCCGCTCTAATAAAACGTTCAAGCCCCGTATAAGATTGCACAAACGATATAAAGCAATTAAAAAAGTCTTAAGCAGATTCAAGCATAAACTTAAACGATAAACCTGTGTCCAAAGAACATTAGTAATAATAAAAAACTTCTATACAATAATATCACATAACTATATAAAAAGAACCATTAAAAATCTACCATGCGTTTTATGAATTAAAATCAAATTTCTTATAATAGTCTCTGCTCCGATCATTAAACTTTCATTCCGGTTCCGGAATTTCCGTATTCCTATCAGTTAAATTCAAAAGTATGTCACTTCGATTTACATGAGGAAGTCTCATACGAGTAAATCATTTAGCTGTAAACTTTCTATATCAAGCACGAGGATCTCTTCTACGTAACACAATCTTCAAATCCGAATACTAAAGCTCCCATAGAATACAAAAAAATAGATATATAAAATAATAAAATCTTTCCAACTTACAGTATTTGATCACAGCGATATTAACAGGTGCAATGCAGGTGACAATACTCATTCTTAAAATACACAGTCTCTGCCGCTCTGAACACTTTGTACAAATAAGAACGTACCAACGAACGGTACAGGAATGTTATTACTGTATTACTAGTAACGACTTATACGGCCAGCATGCACTGTAAAATATAACGATTGGAAACTCAACGTGCAAGACAGTATTCATCGAACGGGCTTCGTGGGAACTAGAAAGCATCAACGAAACCAGTGGCGCACTATTTGTATGTACAAAAACGACACGTGTCCGAAGTATATACCACGTACACACTAATAACGCTTTTCCGTAATTGCTAATTCGCACTAATTCCAAGAAAATGATAAGAAATTACTGTGCATACGTTCTAACAAAATATAATAATAATAAACATCCTCCATGTTCCAATTTCTCTTTGAATCAAGTAAGAAGTTAGCTCAATCTAACAGAACGTTAAGAGATAAAAAATATTCATTGTTAAATATCATGATTCAATTTTATATATATATTTAATAATATAAATTCAAATGTTAAGGTCACTCCGAACGAATGTCGGCGAAGAAATTCCGCGTAGGCGATATCGACCGTGCGTGGGGTTAGCCGTAATGGTCACAGATGGAGCTCAGGCGAAGTATACGGACTGTTCCCGCTTTGAGGTTTGTGATTATAGCCAGCAGCCGGTTTTCAGTGTGATGCCGGTTCGGCTTACGGCGGGGATGTTTCGTATCGTTCCCAAAGGGCCATATTTACAGCCGCGCACGCTGAGCATCGCTCGTCGTGACGTGCCCGGCAAAATTATTTCATGAGAAATCCCATGTGTAACTTAACGCGATAGAGTCGTGTATTAAAATCACAAAGTGAGCGTGTTAAAGTAGTGATTACAGGAGCAAAGATATAAAATACGATACAAATACAGAGTAAAGGAATAAACGTGTCGCGATCGGTATAAAACAAATAAAAGTGATGAGTGATTATTTAAAAATAAATGTTGTCAACCCTCGTTTTATCCCTTGGATAATTAACTCGTGACATATTGTCCGTTATAGGAATGAGGTAATTCATTTCGAGTGATCGGATTTGTTACTGTTAAAAGTCGTGATTTCTCTGATTCACACAAGACTGCTTTTTTCCTTTGCTCTTGTGCTTACGGGAAGGGTGTGCGCCACTATGAAATAATGGACGGGAGTCTTCGGAATGCCACTGGCAGGTTAAGTGCTTCGCTTTGTGTAACGTAGCTTGTGGCATAGGTGGTCCTGCGGGACTGGACGTTTACAGGGCAAGAGTCCCAAGCACTGTCATCCGTTTCCAAGAAGAGAGAGGCCAGTTATGTGATGGAACATTGGTGTACGTTGGTTCACCACTGGGAAACGTGAATGTGTACGTATAGCTCCTGCCTGACTGCCTATACTAGATTTAAGCAGCGTCCACAACGGACAGAAAGTGAAAGACAGATTTTTACGAGAGAGTAGTCGATAAACAAATGTCATAACATTTCTTTTTCTTAACGTACGTAAATTGGAATGTTTCGATTTTCACGCAAGATGCACATGAAGATTCTTCTTTTGTTTTTCCATATCTGATTCTTTGTGATAGTTGCTAGTTTTGTATTTCTGATAGGATAAAATTGATGCGGTGGTTAAATTTATTTATTTATATGAGTCTGAAGGTTTTCTTTGAACAAATACCTTAGCTTCTCTGGGGTTAATACTCTGTGTGAATACCAGATCTTAGGGCTACGATTATAGACTATTATAAAATGCATGCAACGCACGATTAGCGTAATGCATATTTATTAGAGTTGGAGGTGATAGTTTGAATAAAACGACAAGCGGCCCTTGAGTAAGCACTCTGTCTCTCCGATGTGAAGACCGCTTTATTCAGGTGTGCGTACACAAAGGTGCATCCTCCCATGGAATTTGAACCTTGTATCTCGACCGAGAGATAGACCAGTAAGGTAAAATTCACGTAGAACGCCGTCCCTGATGTGTTTCACCCTATAAGAAGAGAAGCAATATATTTTATATTGTATCGGAGAGCCTAATGCGAATCTCTTGTCAGTATTTTTTTTTCGTTTAAATAAAACATTATGTGTTTGGCGTCAATCCAATATACCTATAGACTGAGATTCAGCGATTTGAATTAATTCTCGTGGGTAAACATCCCTGGACGTTAACCGTGCTTTTGTCATTATTAATAGATGACATTTGCAGAGCTGCGAATAATTTCGTATTCTCCTCACGAAGCCATATTGTATTTTCCTTCTATTACAATGGCAGCCATACACCGGGCGGACTCGAGGACTAAAAGAAATTGTTAATAGGAAGAAGGTAATTTCCTTTTCAGTATAGCTTCCTTTTCTTGTCGTCGAATCATGGTCTTGCGGCATTGGTCATTCAATCCTCTTGGATGATACTTTTCTAATGTTATTAATACCTTTAATAAATACACCTGGATCTTCTTTCGTGATAGCGTTATACGAGCTATCCGATATGTCGGTTCCTCCTAGCTTTACCTTCGCGGATTTGTGAAACAAAGCTAGCAGTCTCGGACTGTGTACATACATTCCAGAAGGAACTCTAAGAATAAATCTACCTAGCGAGTGTCAAGCAAGATACGAAGACTTTCGAGTTTGCAGCCTGTCGAGGCCCTCGGCCTTCTAACTTCTTCCTCGACCATTTACCACAAGGATACTTCCATCTCCTTCTCTTAATCTCAGATTGGCTTCGGTAACGTGCAGCTGCTGTTTCTTTGCTTCGAAACTCACAGAACCTTTCAAAGCATCCTTGCACGATACAGGATCATCGGACTCATGCATTTATCCACCGATTCTCCTTTGTTTGACATTTATAAGACACCCTGTATATGGACGCCGCTTCACTCTTCCCTTGTGATACAAATCCTTCTAGAGGGTTTCCAAGCGTTGAAAGATTCTTCAGGTATCTACGCACTGTAATCATCTGATAAAAAGTTAAATAAACGAAATAGATAAATATATCAAATATGGCGGCAAAGTTTAAAACGACAATAAATCGTTCTCTGTTCTCGACTGGCTATATTATCGATATCGAGTTTATTTTCTCATTTGATTTATTTAGTCTGTCGAATAAAGTTTTCCGATAAATAAACCATTGACAATTTACCCAAGCCTCTGTCTTTAATTTCTTTTGACTTTACTTTTATTCAGTGTACTCATAAATCAAAAGTCACAACATTTCGTTAACACGTTCAATCATGTGAATTATCATCGTAGAATATTTCAATGGTTTGTCGTTAGTCCTGTCCACACCGTCACGAGCGTCCATTCGCCTTTGATCGTTTCAATTCCATTCCGCAGCGCCATCTGCAACTTTTATATAAAATGAACGATGATCGAGTGCGTTCTTGGACTATTTTCTTGGTTGGCTTAACGCGTTTCCCACTGTCAGGATTACAGGGGAGTACGATGGATAGTTGGATAGATGGATGGATGCTACAATTTCGTATCTTATGAAAACAGGCTCGCCGAGCCAAGTCAGTTTTGCGACTGTCGTCAATTGGCCCAACGGATTTTTTCAGCATTCAAACGTTATTTATCGCCGACTAGAATTTAATCGCCTCAGTCAAATGAAATATCCACAATTTATATTTCAATCGACATGTAAACTGCATCTCATATTTTTTTTCATAGGATATTTTAAAAAAATGGCTCTGATACGATGTACTCGAAAAAATCATTTTACGACCATCCGTCGGAACGCGATATACGCAGGTAACGAAATACCAGAATACAATGGAATCATTGTCTTATTTTTTTACCCAACATGTGACCTAATATTTCATTTATTTGTGAATTATATCGTTTGCACGTCCATCAGATATTTATTGCTTTTCATAACGGACTTGAAATTGAAAATGGTCCGAATTTTTTTTCTTCCAGCCACAATTTTCTTTGACATTGTCGCCCTTGTTTTTTTTAGTTCTTCTACAAAGGACATACCTTTTCAAATAGAACGAGGGAATCATAAATCTTTTCCAATAGTGTCTCCTCTCCTCGGTCTAAGAAATATCCAAGGGTTCTAACCTATATCGAAAACCCTCTAGCGAAAATTCGTTCGATTTACGTCTACAGACCTGAAGGATATCCGAAAATCCACTTCGCTCTCCTAACTGACTGTGAAACAATCCATTTCGTGGAAATCGATATACTCCAAATTACGTTATCCCTGGAATTAAATTTATCACAAAAGTTTTCGCTTTACCATTCCATCGTTTATGATTGCCAATGTCTCCCTGGCTCGATTGGATTCCAATCTAGACACATATGGAATAGGTCGGCTTGACAAATTTATTAAAATTTTCAATGAATCCAGGAACGCTCTGATATGAATATAAAATCCTTTGATAATAACACAGAGTACGTTGATGTCATATCAGGTACCTATGCAATGTACTTTGACACAGGGTTATGCAGATTGCACGTGAAACATGCAAATTGTTATACCTACTAGAAATTAATGATGACAATAATTAAACTGCTATTATTGAATTTTTAATTATATTTTTCAATCTATTTTCTTACAGCGGAGCTAGAGGAGCATAATCGGATGAAGTCGGGCCAAGCATGCCCTCTAAGAAGCAGTACAACCTCGTGCATAATGACGAGTACGATACGCGAATACCGCTGCACAGCGAGGAGGCCTTCCATCGTGGAATTATTTTCCACGCCAAGGTACAGCACAGCGTAGCACGTAATAGCAATAGCGCACTTTAGTACAGCGCAATCCATTTCTCCGTATATACGTAATATACGCGATACTACGTACTGTATTTTTTCTACGGAGCACGCTCGCCATGTTATTCGTGATTTCCTTAGGAATTTCATTTTACCATCCACTACCTTCGCTGCTACGTTTCACCCTGAAGCATGCTTTGGGAGAGTGGGAATAAAGCAATTTTATATTCACCAAGTAGAATATATATATATATCTTCTATCCGATAAAACGCATTGTGACGCTTCGATTTTTCTCTTATGGTAATGTCGGTCGAAGGTTCTATCGAGTTCAGTGCTGGCAATGTCACTTTACATATTTACTGAATCGGACTGGGAACGAATAGTAAGATCGTTCTATATCAACGTTCATATCTTCCTGACGCCGTCGCTGCGGATTCCAATTGAGATTCTCGTGGAAATTCAGAATGAACGAGAGGAAGATACCTGATAAACTTTATTTGCGAATCTTCAAGCAACTTCTGGATTATTCGATTATTCTATTATATTTGTCACTGTTACGTCATAAAAATACGATTGTCATTCCTGATAAGCTTCTTCAGTCTTTTTGCCAACCGTTATCAGTTCTTCGATAATTTATACATTTCTCATACCTCAGGTAGGTTGCGTGTCGAACGTCTAAATTATTTTTCTGACAAACTGCAATCAGTTTGATTGACCTTTCCGAAAATTTTTGATTGGTGGTTAGATATATTAATTTTTTTTATTTAAAATTTTTTAGACCTATGGACCATACACGTCACAGCATCCAATCTGATCTAGATCGATAAGACGAATATCAATCAAAGAAACTGTACTCGATGGACCATAAGGATTATCATTGTCAAAGTACAGAGACAGTTCAAGATATTGCAATATCATAAGTAAGAATAGATTAGACGTGGATAAGATTAGATGCACTAGACGGTGCATCTTCTAGACCTGTCGCAGAGCACGCGACGACGACGCCGTCAACGACGACAGCGACGACGACGCCGACGACGCAGGATATTTTTGGAGCTTGCTACCGCTACCATAGTCCTATGACGTCACTTTGCACGTGTTTATTTCAGTAGCTCTCGTTCTGAGAAAAGGTGAAGCTTTTGTGCTGCTCGGATATACTCATAAAAGCTGCGTACACGCAATTGCGTATCCACCGTTACATCTCCGTTATCATTCCACGTATTTACATCGGCATCAAGTTCCCGGAAGAATTCTCTACCAGCTCTGACCATCATTATTAACCAAACTCAGTCTGGATGCTGGAGCGTAATCTTCCTGGCACTGTAGGTCGACCTTATATGCGTATAAAAGAAATTGAATACATGGAGGTACAGTTTTTCAAAGAAATTTTCGTTATCGTCAAGTAAAAGGATGTTGAATCCAAGTCCAGTTAACTGAAAGTCTAATCTCTGTTTTTGTTTCCTTCATTTTAGTCCCAGTGACATTTCGGATTCGTCGCACTTGGAATTGTTATTAATTTCACTGGATTGAATCCTGAAGTCGACCAAAGTATCAGATCTCGTTTAAGTCAGCGTGGAAGATGCTGCTATGAAAAAGTATAGAAGAGGAGCAAAAAGAAATAGGAAAATAGTCCCGAAGATACAAAAGAAGTCGTTTGGATGACGTCGAGACCTAGTCGTTGCTCCAATTTCTATATTTTCTCTGGTTCAAGCTGATCCACTGCAGCGTCACTTCCAACCTCTTTCGTCTTTGCACACGTGTGTGCATATGCGATACGACCTGCACGTGGCCGAACGTAACTCAAGCAGGGATTTCTAAATTCGGATTATGCCTGTTCTCTTACTCTCTTTCTATTTTCTATGTTACATTGATATATCTAGATACTTGTAACTATCATCCTGTCTTACAACTTGAGACTATTGCCAATAGATAGCGTGTCTAGGATCACGTATTATCACCTTCCTTGGCTAAACCTTCAGTAGATTTCAAAGCGTGTCTAGTACACGTCTTCTTAGTGTGACTGGTTAGACTTCGGAGTGAGGTGTTATTTTGCTTACTTATTGTCAGACATGCGAATGTAAAGCCTTGTTTTCAAGTGAACATTTCTTATGGCAGTGCGCGATGGAATTAGAACAATATACTGTCATTAGACTAGGATTTCTGGCGTCTCATTGTATAAGCAACCTGTCACCAACAGCTGATTTCTAGCTTGGTATATATATATATATATATATATATATATATACATACATATAGATTATTTTTGCGATTCATATTACCTATTTAGAACGGATCCTGCGTATAAACGCAACGCACCTGCGTATTTACACCAGGCTTACAGGCTTATTGTAACGTGCGGTTTATGGAATTTATTTGTGCGGCTCAATGTCTTTTCACTGTATCTATTCATTCCTGAAAAGGAAATTGAATGCTCAGTGATTTTTGAGACTTTGACTTAGGTTAATGCTGAGTCTAGGTATCTCTGACTAATATAAGATCTCTTGGGACTTTATACAGGATTTACCGGGTTCATGGGCGCTTTGCATTTCCTGATTGCATTATAAGGAAGTCCTGTTGACTTGAGGTTATGTAACAATGGAACACAAGCTTGTCTTTCAGATGATTATAGGTGTTTGCTATTGTTGTATTATGGGTGAATTGAAAGTTTTGATATTTTACACTCAATTAATTATTCTTGCTTTCTACTTGAAACAAAAACAAAAGGAATGCCAGGCCGTGAAACGTAGCGCTATTAGCAGTCAATCCAGTGCATTGTGAGTCATTTAACGCAATAGTTCCTGAGGCTGTGAATTTATAGTCAAGGAAGTGAAGGGTGCTAATCGTACAGTGCTGATAACAAAGGGAAAATAAATTTCTCTTTACTTCTATTAAATCTACATTATTCGACGTTATAACATGTACATTAAGGTGCGTTTCTTGCTTGCAGTTTATCGGATCTATGGAGGTACCCAGGCCCACTAGCAGAGTGGAGATCGTGGCGGCGATGCGGAGGATCCGGGTGAGTTTGCTTTTCGTTGAGAATTATAATCTTTACGCTAAGTATCAATAACTGGTAAGCTTTCTAGTGAATAAGCTATTCAGCATGAATTTGTTTCTTGCACTGTTATCAGTGTGATTATAATATTCTGTAAAAATTTATTTACCATTGACAGTACGAGTTTAAGGCCAAGGGGATCAAAAAGAAGAAAGTGACGTTGGAGGTGTCTGTGGATGGATTGAAAGTGACTCTACGGAAGAAGAAGGTAATAATTTTATGATAGATTTTTGAAAATTAATTTTTAACAAATTTTCAAGTTTCTCATACAAAAGTTCAATACGTCTAACAATAAGAGCTTATTACATCTGTATCCATGTATTAAAATTCTTTTTATAATTTATTGTTACAGAAGAAACAACAATGGATGGACGAGAATAAAATATTCCTGATGCAGCATCCAATATACAGGTTATCCTCTTATACGTTTTTTCCAGAAAGTCTTGTTACTCTGCCTTTCCACGCTTCCTTCCTATTTTCCATTTCCGTGGGGCGAGTCGCGCTGATTTTCTTTTTCTTTTGAGCACGTCAGTCTGAGTCAAGATAATTTATACATGAGATTCTCACCTTTATACTCATCGGCTTCGAATAAGATATCTTTTTTATTTTCAGGATATTCTACGTCTCTCACGACAGCCATGATTTGAAAATCTTCAGTTACATTGCTCGTGACGGTAGCAGCAATACCTTCAAGTGTAACGTCTTCAAATCTAGTAAAAAGGTAAATAAAGATAAATATTCAAATTTACTCTTGTGACTCTTGCACACTTAATGGAATCATACGATTCAGCAGGGTCGCCACGAAAAATTTATACAATCGTTATCTCTTTATTCTAAAGGGTTTACCATGGCGCTTTGCTGTATGAATAAACAATGAAAGTGGATCGTGCCAGCTTTGATTCTCCTTTAAATGTTTAACTCGTCACTGGCAAAATGATCTTCGCCATTTGCATGACAGTACCGACTGGATGTTGCATTAATATAATCAATGATGAAGTTTTGATTCTCCCTGTCAGTCTGTAAGAAACACAAATAGAAGCCATTTCGGTCTTATCTAAATTTTGGTATTAAAAAAAGACGTAGAATAAAAATACCATGGATACCTTAGTAATTCGCTTAGTCAGTTATAAAATATCTAAATATATAATCCAGACTCGATTCAGCGACTGACTGTATAACGCTGACGATATTCCGTTCTCAGATATCACTTTTATTTGTCCAATATGGCTGCCAAAAGAGCAGCGCCCCCCTAACCGTACCATTACAATTTTATTCAGTCATAAACTGTTCAATCCTTTATTTATGACGGGGTTGGGGGACGCCATTAACAACCCTGCTAAACTACACTGCGTTTGCTAAGCAGGTAGATAAAATAAATAACATTGCGGTAAGTATAGATTGCATTTGTAACAAATTCCATCAGCAAAGCCATAGGACTTTGGCCACGTAAATCTTTAATCGTACACGGTATAGTACGGGTAGAGGGACGGTTTAAAAATCTTGCGTTATACAAAGCCCAAGCCAGGGAAGTGCGTCAGCGATTCGCGTCAGCAATAAAGCAATATCTATAAACACGGAGGAAACTACGCTTAGCTGTCTCACGCCTGTCTCAAAGCTGTCCTCGTGTCCGCGGCGGGAATGGAATCGCGACGATTACGTTAAAAAATAAAAAAGAAACCGGACTATTGGAATTCCGTTAATTGAGAGCCCAGAGTTACGTCGCTGGGCTATGTGATTTTTCACCTGGCAATTCCGTCCCGATCGAAAGTCACTTGGAACTCTTCCATGTGCACGAAAATACGTTGGACTAATTTGTAATAACGACGAATTAAAATAGTCGGCTCTGAGAAGGACAACGGAAATATGGAAAATCTTTTGAATTTAAAATATATACAATCGCAACTTACCATAAATACACTCCGAGGAGTTATCTTCGTATGATTATCTTTGATAAATATTTACTGCATTTTTCCACGCGATATACGCGTTTACAACGAGCGATCCTAGTACGGATTTAAATTCTTACCCGCCGCACAGTCTTTCTACTGTTTACCCTCGTGCGACTGACTTCACGCTAAAGAAATAATGCAGGTGCGCTCGGCCGAAGCTCACGGCGTAAAAAATGAAGGTTAAGCGAAAAAGGACATCTTGGAACGTTAACAATGGGACATTGACGTTATTCTAAGAAAGTTCTTCGACGCTCATAGAACCGAGCTGTGAGATAGAGCGAATCACCCTTTTGTATTGGCAGCCGTGGGCTTTTATGACTTCCTCGAGTTTGGTGTCCCTGGAGTTTGTGGAACTTCGAATGCACGTGTCTTTGACAGTTAAGAAGGAATACGAGGTCAGCGAGCGGAATTAGACGGTGCGTTATTAAATCTAAAAATGATCTAAAGTCGAACGGTATAAAATCTAAAGGACCGAAGACACGCGTGGACCAGTAGAAAATTGGACGTTGCACCACTCTCTGCACGATGCCTAAAAGCTGCTTTACGTTAAATGGGGTAAATAAAAATTGTACGGTTCTATTCACGGAGCGTGACGGTCGCCGGGTACGTTACGGGTCCGTGGTACGTGGACTTATAATAATTTCACGGATTCACGTAGTAGCTGGCGTTTTATCAACTGACATTATTATCCGCTATAAATAGGTGTTGCGCTTTTCACAAGGCATAAACAAAATCGTCCGGATGATCCCTGCGGTTTCATATACATATATCAGTGCCAAAGGAGACAGATGCATGCCGGGAATATTTTATAGTTCTTCGCGTAAGAGCGCGGTCGGTATAAAAGAAGATAGACCGAGAGAGCGATACGTCAAATTGTAGAGGAGAGACTGAGATAAATAGGATGGAAAAGCAGAAATAATAAGGCTAGTGAAAGAAATAGAAGTGAGAAGAGTATAGACCAAGAGCCGACTGTACATACAACAGCGGGTAGGAGGTTATTAAAATAGCTCGTATAGTCTGCCGACGCGAGACGCCCTCAGTTCGTGGTTATGTTCGCCGCGTATACCTTTCGCATTGTCCCACGTTGCGAGTAAACGAGAATCACGCGAGACAGCCACCCAGCAGACGTGCATATCTCAGCCAGTCAGCCACCCAGCCAGTCCACCGGCTTAATAGTCTATACAGTCAACAGTAAAAGCAGTCGCTCGGTCGTTTGGTCTCACAGCGAAGCAGACGAAAAACCAAGCGGCCAACAGGCCTGCCAACGACGCTATAACCCAAGCGAGCTACGAGGCGGCAGCCTCTCCAGTCTGCGACGGCCTGCGTCGAGTTCCCCCGCGGAAACGCCATTAAGCTTCGAACCGAGAATATTAATGCACTTATAAATAAGCCCGAGGAAAAATAATCGAAAGCCAACGATGACGGCCTCGCACGGAAGGCTTCGCACTACCGTCCAATTAAATATCACGGAAAAAGAGCGGCAAGCCAAATCAGTATGACTTTATAAATCGAATCGTACCATGACGACGTAAATAATTCTTATTGCCTATGTACAGGCTCGCCCTAAATCACATTAAACAACAGGCCGGAGCGTCGATGCGATTCTTCGAAAGAGAAATATGCGCACTACCTTCAGTACGTTCTTTGTTAAATCAGTCTGAGATGACTTGAAACTGAAGCTATTTGTGATATCGACACCCACACGAATGCCAAGCACTATTGACTATGGCTCGCGTGTCTAACTAATCAACTGGCTTTTATTGTGATACCTACTGGCAGCCGGGTGTTTATCGTATATGGTGACTTTGTCTCGGGCGATAATAATAAGTGTACCACTACACGTGTTCGGTTAATCTGACACAATCGTAACGTCTGTGCTGTTATCAGTGATCCACATGTATCCCCTTTCGTTGTATACAATTCGGATTCGTGGCTATCTTCGTGTCTCTCTACTCCCTCGGGATTCATACCTCCTGTATTAATTAAACGGGACTGAACTCATCAGTAGGACTTTCACACTTGGATTACATCTAATCGCGCTTTTCGTTCCCTGTACAAATTTTATTCTCTGTCTCTCTTGCTCTTAGCTTAGGATGAAATACGACTAGCACCCTTGTCGCTGCACGTTCACAAATTCTTAACTCTTGTACTTGGCAGTTCTCATGATTTACTATTGTCTACCGTAAGGGAAGTCTTAAGGCCTAATAATTCACAACAAACATCCTGTCACTTAGTACTTCATACTTCTCAGGGTACTAAGTTCTTCTCGCGAAGCCTCCATTGTTACACGTATATTTGACTGAAGGCTATTTATGAAACTAAAGGGAAAAAACATTAACGCAAAGGCAAATTGCCAAGTGGCGAAGAGACTTGAAAAAAAAAATTCCTTGATATACACATATTACTTTTTACTTTCTTTCTTTTCACTCATCCGTTTTTCTTCAATATTCTCCTTTCTCATAACCCCGTCCTTTTCATACACCTCAGGTGTGCTTCTTCAAGTCTCTCACTCGAAGAATGCCCAGACGTTGTTTCACATTCCCCAATCTCTTCTCCAGTATGTATGTTTCTTGTATCTGTCTCTGAAGTATCCGACGGGCTTTGGGTATGCCTTTAAAAAAAAGGCGTCGATAAGGCAGGCTCATCTTAGGGCGACTGATTCGCATTGAAACGACGCAAATTTCATTGCAGTCCATGCCAATGTTTATACGGTGTTCGGTAGTGCCAGTTTTCATGCGAGCGACAAGTGCACAGTGAAACCTTGTTCCATCAGTCGTTCTCGATCGTTGGCAAATTTGATAGGAAGTTTTGCTACTATTTAAAAAAAATATTTATCCACTCGATAAACCTTTAATTCTACCCACAAAAAATTGGATCACTGTTAACGGCACTGGTAACGCGTTACGTAACGTGTATTGTAAAATGATAAGGAGCGACCGGATGCCGTGGAAATAGCGACATGCTCTACGATATTCTGCCATCTGATACCAATATCGATATCACCGAGTCTCTGTCGAATTAGCGTGGAAAGGACGTCCACGATGTTGCAAAACTCAACGAAGCAAGCTGGCGCACCAGGGGATCTTCCGTCGCCCGGAAGCGTCAGCTCCGGCGGTAGTCCCAGTCCAGGAAGTCCTGGCTACGAAAGCGCAAGGCCGAGGAAGAAACTGTCATTCAAGGAACCCGAGATATTCGGATACTACATGAAGATGAAAAAGCCGTCCAGCTCCTTGAAATCATCTCTCCAGCAATCGGTATCCTCTACTTCCGGTTTTACCTTCGACGAGAATCCATTCGAGGAGGAGAATGTCGACCTGGACGAGCTCGAGGTAAATTGCAAGCTTTCCGAGGTACTGCGCTCTTTATTATATACACGTGCGAATAAAATCTGCTTGTCACGTTGAGGGAGGGTAGGAATCTCACGAAGGGTGTCAATGCTTCTTTTTATACATTGCTTTAAGAATTTCACGGATGGCCGGATATCGGTTCACTGATAATACAGAAAGTTCACTGTGAGAATCTTCTGTCCTGGATGCTAGGGAATTTTTCCGATATTCTTCGTCGCGGGTTGGTATCAGTCACGAGTACCTTGAATCGAGCGTGCTGACACCATTTTGAATTTTCAAAGAAATATTTCTTTCGATCGTTGCGTCCTTGTGCGAATATATATTTTTTTGAGATATTTAATTAACGTAGTAACTGTATTCATTGTGAATATTTTTTTTATTAGTAAATCGTTCGATCTAGCATTAATTCGATCAACGTCGCCCGAGGAATTAGTTCGAAGCTCGGAAGTTCCGACCGACGTCGTGACAGTTGTGACAAAGAGGCTTAACGAGTCTGGGAAGCCTCGACGAATTTGCCCGATTACGAGTTTCGCATTACAAAGTTTCGCCTGTATCTGAAACGTGAATCGAACTGACAGGTTCGAAGCTCTTTTGGCTCTGGAAACCATTAATAGTTTGAACTTGTGGTAAAACGCGGCTGACTGCCCCGACGAAAATAGGTTATGTGAATAGGAAGGCCCATATCGTGAGGCAAGGAATCACAAGATAAAGAAGAGCTCGGAAATACTGTAACTAAACTACAGTCAGGTTTTATTATACAAACTCAACACATTTATCCTAATCTTTAAGGTTAATCGTATGAAAAAGTGCTTTTTCTCTTTATCGTATTGGCGGGAATCTCATAAATTTCAAATCGAACTTCGCGATCCGTCGAATAACTATTCGAGCATAAACCATTGGTTCACGAGTTAGCGAAGCTATCGTAGACTCGAGACGATTTATATACAAAAACGTTAGAATTAAATAGCCGTCGACAGAAATATTTCCGGTCGTTAACCTTACTAACTCTTTCTTCCCTGTGATCGAAAATGCTGTTGAAATACATTCGACTCGTTGCCGCACTGGCGTTAGGTAAATTTTTACCAACGTTAATGGCTGCCATTATTAATTTCACGCGGTCAGTGAAAAGACTGGTATAATTCAGGCGTACGCCAGCGTGGGAAGAATTAATTGTCTCATTATTTATAATTTTATTAAAGACATTAATAAATGTTGCTTGCGAATTCGAGTAAGCACGTTGGTAACACGCTATGGTTTAAGACAGAGAAAATTAATGTCTGCAAGATTTTTTTTTTTTTTTAACAGAAGATATTAACATCACTTAGTACGTAGTACAAAGATTTATCGTTATTTCACTAACGAACTGGACCAATATACTTCTTAAGACATTTTATACTGTCAATAGCAATCTGTCTATCCATATAAAATATATGAAACTTCATGGCTGCAGTCTTTCTGCACAATATATGTATACCCGTATGTGAGCTATCAAAATATATACCTAAATATTCAAAAATATTTTTACATAGCCCTGCACTCATGTATATAAAATATTTTTTACAGAGACCAAGGACCTGGTATTTTCATACTTACAAAGTATACGTATCCCTGGACTTACTCTTCATCCCTTGAAAAACTAACAAGAATAACAAAGACAATGTCCTGCAAGAAATTCCCTACAAATATCTTCATACTCATCCTACAAATCCTTGAATGAAAACGTTCTTGAACATATATGCGTTTAATATATATGTATTATACATATATATCATCAGACTCAACATCCCCAAGGATCAGTATGTCCTTTTCTATTCTAATGATCTCCTTGAACTTTGCAGAGCCAGGCGATGCGCGTTGTGAGAACCGTAGGACAAGCTTTCGAAGTGTGCCATAAGCTGAGTTTAAATACCGTCGGTGAGGAACGTGGGGAACGTGATCGAGAGAGAGAGAATCAGCACCAGGACGAGGATTACGAGGATCAGGATGAGACCGCAAGTGAGCAACCACAGCCATCGCCAGTCTCAGTGCACAAGGGTTAGTATCGATTAATCTGATACCATTTGTGTCTGAGTCCTAGACATGGTATAACGTAGTGTGCCAAATGGTACTTTGTTCTGTTTTGTCTAACGTCAATCCTGTTTGCTAATGCATATAATGACTTGGTCATTTTCCATGGCTGCACGCCGTCTGTCTAGGTACGTCTGTCTTCGGGTAATAAAAACCCTGGGGTAAACGAGAAAGAAGGGTCAGAGGAGGATATCGCGTGACGGCAATGAACTCTGCTGCTAGACGTCTAGGACATCATAGTCAGATGTCATCAGGACTGGGAGTGGTCTCTTTTGTCTTTTTCTATTTAATTACTAGCTGCACTAATTATCGATTAGGGTTATGTTACATTGTGCAGTGTCTTACATTCGTGTTAGAATGGCAGTGGAGTTTGTATATGAGTGTCATGGTGAAAAGCTAGTAGATATTACAAAACGGAAATGTACTTTCTAAAAGTGTTTTAAAGTCTTTAAGTTACCATAGGTTCTAAAGGAAACGACGTGATTCCTCTACGTGACTCGAAGCTTCTACGGCCACGACTTCCGCAATGCGTTACCAGTATATTCAAAATATTTATCGACTTCGCTCTCTTGGTTGTTTCGCTTAGTCGTTAACCTCCTACTGACTTTTGCGACTGTTTACACCGTGGCTGTTCTGCTGGATATATTTTACATCTCATGAATGATTCCGGAGAGGGAATACGCTTTTCCGGTTTATGAGAGTCTAGATGGATCTCGTCTCTTACAAGTCAGACAGACTGATAGAATATTTGAGGTGGTTCCTATTAGATCCTCTTGTGGTTTTATACGTAGCACGTATTCACTCAGGAGATCAGGATATTTATCCAGGTGTCCGTAAAGAATTCAATTTCACACGTTTCAGACATTTCTCTCCTGGGAGATGGAGAGGATACGGTCCAGGAACAACAGACTTCAGTACCTTGTCTGCTGAGATCACACGAGGTACCAGCAACGACAGCTTCCACTTCACCCATCCAACAGTCCCCATCCGTACGTAATACATAATATTTATATTTTATTTATGAAATTCTACATTGAAAACCAGCCTTAAGGACTGACTGTGCTCTGTTTATCACATAGAAGAGCCAAACTTATCGCTATGAGTATCACGTAGCAAGCGCATGTATGGTTTTACAAAGTGTGAATACCTCCAAGCACCCCTACTTAACCAAGGACTCTAAGGGTATAACCACAGGAACATTCTCTGGTCTTATGAAGCACTAAGCTCGACTTATTCAGTTAAATTCATCAGGAATTCACATTGTTCCCGGCCATTAGAGTCGAGTCCATTTTACTTGCATTCACCTTCGCTGCGCTCCCATTAGTTCCAATTCCGGTACGTTCCTTTTTTTTATATATCCTTTTCTACCATTATCTAGGGTACGGTTACATCCGACAGCGGCGGATTACTGGTAGGAGGTGAACTGACAGCCTTGAAGCATGAGATTCAGCTACTTCGTGAACGACTGGAGCAACAAGGACAGCAGACCCGTGCAGCAGTCGCTCACGCGAGACTTCTGCAGGATCAATTGGCGGCTGAAACGGCTGCACGCGTCGAAGCTCAAGTAACTCCCGGTTTTGATTTTTCAGAATCGTTATTTTATTTTTCGTTCATCCCTCCTTCACGGTATCGTTCATCCTCAGGCACGGACTCATCAACTGCTCGTGCAGAACAAGGAGCTCTTGGAACATATAGGCGCTTTGGTTGGTCATCTTCGTGAACAGGAACGTATCTCGGGCAGTCATATCAGTCCTCAGTCTCAGGTTCCTACTGGCACAGCTATGCCGCAAACACCAACCGTTCCTGACTTGTCGACTCTTGGCCAGGTAACTCTCTACCGAATACCATGAATCCGCTCGACAGCCAGCAATTCTTCCTGCCTGCCTACGATGCGTACGCATTAACGCTTAACACGATGCATCTGTACTTTTATAGTATATATATAACATAACATAACACGTTTTGTACTGATTTTTTAAAAGTTTTTAATAAACCAATCTTCTCTGACAAACATCACACTTTACGTTTTACAGCCTGCCGTAATATTATATTTAAGTTACTTAACGATCATTTAGTGTCGGTATTTGATTTTGTTTTATGAGTTTTGCGCGCTTATACATACAATTTAATATTTAAGGGATACATCCAAATATTCTCATATACTTGCGATACTGTCTTAACGTTTCGTCGCTGAGACGAAATCAATATCGAAGCCTTAGTACCGACTGCAGTAACAGAGAATGAAAGCACTGTACAGTTTATACTGAGTGGAACGAATGAGCTGTTTTTTTAAAGTGAACGTAAATATTTCGCTACTACTTTGCATCGCAGGAACGTTGTCTCCTTTCTATAGAGATGTCGACTGATCTCAAGAAAGTGAAGTGATTTAATTGTGATACTTGCTAATACAATAATTATTAAGCACCAGTGTGACGGTGTTGTCCGACAGGTCTTCGCACGGGATTTTGGATTTTACGCAACCAACAAATGCTAGGTAACGCTATAAAGGACTGATGATTGAAGCAAGGTCGTTAGAAAATTAATGTATTGTCGACCAAGTACGGTTCTTGTTTTTATATGCACATTAAAATCCTCCTTTACGTTGTAACTAACTATACCATAGACCAGCCAATGAAATCCAGTCTTACCATAAAGTCCAACACCTTCCCGTAGTAAACCATGTATAAAAACGACCCCTACTTTTCACAGCTTTGATTTACACTCGGCAATACATTAATGGTGAATTTGATCCTTTTAACAAATTTTTTTTGGTAACTTACTTTTTCCACGTGCAGTCTCAGCGCACCGGGGGTCAAAGCTCGCCTTGGGAATTGGATCCGCCGCCATTCTCCTTCTACTCCTATCCGCCAGATCGGATTTATTCTGGAAATCCTGGAGCCATGGGAGTTCAGCCTACCAGTAATTCCACAGATCAGCTACACTTTCAGACCCAGTTACTTGAAAGGCTTCACAATATAAGTCCGTATCAATCTCAAAGGTCCCCTTATACCACACCATCACCTTATCCAATGGGACCTGGTCTACTATTACCACCAGCCAGTAGACCATCTGTAAGTATATTTGAAATATGTAATATTCAATGTTATAGAATAATAGAACAAAGATATTGAGCGTGTTCTTCATTCACAGAATTCCACGCAGTTGTCACCAAACTCCATGTCCCTTCGTGTATCTCAGGCGAACAGTTTCTCATCGTCCCCAGTAATGAGCCACAAGCTGGAAAATTACATATCCGGCTTGAATATTATCGAGGATGAGCAGTCAGCTTTTATTAAGCCACTACCATGCCAAGGAATACCTGGTCAGAGTACACCGGATGGTGATGTTAAAAATCAAAGACCAATCCTCTTCGAGGAACCTCCACCTATAATACTGGATCCACCACCTCAGGGTAAACGGACGGAACAAGCTAGCAAGCAGATACGGGACACTTTGTCCCCGGGTGGTGAGAAAAGTACTCAGAATCAAAAGAACCTGGTCAACATTCTCAGGACACCTGGACCTCCGCCGTCAAGGACTACTAGTGCTCGATTACCTTCGCGAAGTGACCTCATGTGTCAGGTTCAGAGGACTACCTGGGCTAGACATACGACTAAATAGACATTTTCTCTCTCTTTCAATAACGCTTAAGGCGACAGCACTTAAATAAATAAGGAGGACGATCCTAAATGTGACTATAATGTTAAGCACGTCGCCATTTTCACCCTGAAGTATCCGCAACGTATCCCCGGCTGAGTTATTCACAATTTCCCATGAACGTTTACACTCTCAGGATGCTGAGCTCGTATCAAATCTTCAACTACAGTACCACCAATCAATTGTGTATATACATAGTAATACGGAAACGTGTAAATTTTTGTAAGACAGCTTGCTCGTAATTAGACACATTTAGAAATAAAAGTAGAGCATTGGGAGCTAAGTTACGTTTATTAAAGGCCAATCCTGTTTGTATCGGCTTACAGTATTCAAAGGAGCTGTATAAGTTTTACAATGTTTAGACAGACGTTGATCTGTAGAAAGACATTTAGATAGATTCAATATATATATATATATATGAAATAAGAAGATTTACATATCGGACCGTTCGATCTGCGTAATGTTACAGAGAAGAAAAACAACACTTTCTTTTTAACCGTCAAACGTCCCAATCTATTGGTAGTACCGGCGTGTTACATTCGCATGGACATTTCTATTATCTAACTCGGATTAGACCTTTATCACATATCGTCTGCGCATGCGCGACAGATCAGTTATAGCAATAGAACAGAATAGATCGTCCATTAATTAAAATAAACGTTAATTATAAAAATAGTTATTGGATCAGTAAGCGCAGTGAAAAGAATTCAATTTAGATCATTAATACAATTGGGATAATTCTTTTAGGTTATATAAAATTTTTAATATTGGAATTCCGTTAAAAAAAATATTCGTATCTTCAACTGTTTTTATCAACCTGGATTAACGAATACAAAAGAATCTAGACGACATATTGAATAACGTGATTTATGGTTTCCTTTGGTGTAATATCCTTTAGCCTTATCTATCTTTCATATCACAGGACATATCGTTAACTCTGTAGATCAGATGTAGAAAGAAGCAATAATAAAATATATAAAACTGTTATTTAATAACGTGATGCTCGTTAAATCCATCCAATGTACCCATAGATAAATAAATATAAAAACCTTTTTTTCTTAAAAAAATTACCCAGCATACTCACACGAGCTCAATATTTTCGATGATTTAATAATTAAAAATTCAATTAGTAACAATACGGCAAATCTCTGTCTTGGATTTACAATATTAATTGTAACAACAGGCTTCCAAATCCGTAGTATTATATATTTATAGGTTATAGTACGTGTACGATATTTTCAATATTATTAATGAACAATGAAATAAAGAAAATCTGTCAAAGATAATACAAAAGGTACTGCCTCTTTAATTCAACTCCCTATTAATCAACTTCACTTCTGTATTATCTAATCGTAATTAATAAACGTCGCCGATCACCGTGGCGAACCTTCTTTATCATTCGCTTAAATGACATATTTACATGTGCATTACTATTACCGTAGGAACAAAGCAGTGAACCGGATGTGACAAGGGATAGGTGTGTCCGGTGTCACATAAAACATCGGCATCCACCCTCGTCCCCGTGCGTAGGTGGTAGCATAAAAAGGTACAGTGTCGAACCGTATGTGTCCAGGTACACATAAGTTAATAATGGGGATGGGATTCATTAGCGAATGTACCGGCTTGCTGGCAGGTTTACTAAGCAGTACTACGATACGTGAGAAGCGTCACCACGCACCTGGACAACATTCAATCTTCAGGATTCCCGTGAGTACTGTTTCGTTTAAACGTTCCGCCAGGTATACTTTTAAATACGGGACATCAAAAATATATCTGCTAATAAATTATACTAACTTTACATAAATACACTATATTTTCTTGCGCGTACACACTTAGTATACTAAGTACATGCATTATGGGGTCTTCGGGTGACCTATGGGCATTTTTTTTCTTTCTCTTGGTAATTAATTATACGCAGAGAAGATTATGAGTACAATTCTAGGGAATTAAAGCATCAAATATTACCAAGATTAAAATCGTGTTTTTCGAGATGAAATTCATGGGGATATACATGTTGTGTTTATATATCGGTGCAGTGTGGTTCCCTTGCATACCTGCACTTTGCATTTGATTATACTTGGAAATGCAGTGGAAGAGAGATTGCGGTTTTGAAATTCACGCAGCTTATACCATACACGGAATATAAATTTATATATGCATATTATATAAATTAAATATATATTAAAGGATTTCTGAGAGTGAACCTCGCGTTCACAATTAAAGGTCACTGGTGCGTTTGCGTGTCTCGTTCCGACCTACGGACTTAATTAAATGCTCTCTTGCGGTAGATTAGATTGAATAGTTTTTATTCTAACGAGTTAACGTTAACAACGAATCAAGCTAGTTCCATGCTTTAAACTGGGCGAGACTCCAGAACTCCCGAGAGTATCCTTCCGGTTGGCTCGAGTGCTCCTCCTGGAGTAGTTTCCAACTGGGACGTTTAAAGTTTCTCTGTTATTCGTCAGCGTGGTAGTTTATCACGATAACTTGTAAATTCGTATAAAATCAGTGGATGAATAGTCATTGAAATTTTTCCAACTCACAGCACAATATCCATAAAGTGATACGTAATAAAGACACTATTTAACTTTTTTTAATTAAAAATTAATTTTCTTATATAGAAATATCTGTTAAGTAGCTGCTATTATTTGATTTGCTTCAGTATAGCGACAATGGAAAAATTCAGCAAGAAGATTCTGTCAAAGTCACAAGAAATTTTCCCAGTGACACACCCGGGAATTCAGACACCCCAACCGGAAGTTACCATAGAATTAGTCAACCAGGAATCAGAGATGCTGGATTCCTTGGCACAACCAGGAACGAGCAGCGCGAAGAATTCGGATCATCAATTCAAAAGAGGAAGATCCGCAGAGAGAACGAGAAATAAAAAATCAAAGGAACCAGGAACACCCGGGATTCTGCGAGTAGACAGCACTCGTTCATCCCGTTACTCCAGTTCCATGCCGTTCTTATCGCCCCAGGTGCCGAACCCTTATTTCAACCCCAGACACTCGCCTAATCTAAACAAATCGGTGTAACGGTAATCAATACCACATAAATCCCCTAAAATCATTAAAACCCTATGGTAGCCATCTTGTCCCCATGATCAGGACTGACAGATATCCCTAGTAATTTTTCATCCGCAAAACGTACCTGACGTCCCACTGTATTTGAATCCTCGCCTGAGCGCGTATCCTCTGATGATCAATCATTCTCTAAGGTAGATGTCAGGGTTTTCAAACTGCTTTGTCGTCTCCAGACTGGCAAATGGACATCCCTCGTCCTTTGATATCACCCTAATCTTTCTATATATTATATATATACATTTACCTATATACATCCCTCACGCGAAAAGATGGCTGCTTCCTATCATAACACGTCGAAGGGGTGATTTTCGTAGGTTCCCAGATGTGGCGTGTAACACGTATCCAAAGGTGGGTAAGAGTGATTAGTTCCAAGTAAAGGGTGGGGTCACGCGAAGGATACGAAGTGTATATGGGCACGATAGGTTGTTCGAGGGTAGCACTAGGATTTCTCGCCACCAGCTGGGGTTTAAGGTGCGGCACGTCACACGCGAACTCGAGTGTTTCATCCCCCGTTTCTGCTGGCTGTTGACACCTCACAGGAAATGATTCTCAACTTGTTCTTTTCTTCGTTTTCCTTTGCTTCCACCCAAGCTCAAGAAGCCTATTTCCCTTTTAGCTTGATCCTCAGAGCATCCGAAGCATATAGATGAAGTTGGCTTGGACTTTGATGACCTAAGGTTAATAAAGTGTTACAATTTAAAAAAAAAAAAGTAAGGTTAGATTTCTTTTTTTTTGTCAAGCATCATGTAGTCAGATCATCAGTTTGATCAGAGAGCGAAGACAGGGAATTGTGGGAATATTTGTTTTTGTTGTTGATATAAAAAATTAATAAGATGTTTGTTTGTTTACAAAGAGCAAAAGTTGGGATCCTCTGTATCGAAGATAGGAGATATTAGTCTTAGCTTATAGGTATAGGCGCGGTTGGAGCAGAAGGGATGGCAGAAGTTTGCTTATACAGTACAATAGAACAAGTGGCAGTCAGTTCAGACTTAGCTTTCCTACTTGGACATTACCTCAACGGAAACTTCTTGTTGCGTTATATTTTCAAGTTATTAGAAGTTTCAACCGTGACCGAGTACTTTTCAATTATATTGAAACGGACGGGCGCTCACGACGGTCTATTAGCGTTAGAATCGAATTCATATTTCCCGCGCGTTCTTGTTGCTCGTAGAAAATTCATTCGCGATGTATTTGTGTTATTCGACGAAGCTCTTCGTGATTATTACAAATTCCTTGAAAAGTAGCGAGTTAATAACAAGTTTGCAAAGTTCCCTAGTAATTCACTAGATCGTAAAGTGCAGTCAAATTGGTACTGAATAATTACTTAATCGCGCAGTACACGCTAGATTCGTCACACTGCTAGACAAGTTCTGTCAATTCGGAATCGTTGTTGACATTTTCGCGTGTGCTTCTCCAGGTCGAACCGTCGTCGCCACAGCCATCGGTAGATCGTTTGTCAGTGACGTTTGCAATTGCGGAGGATAAGACGAACGTTAATAGCGAAGGATATAACGTTAATTTCAAAACCTCCAATTCTTTAAGTGAAGGGCCCACGATTAACAGTGGCGTAGAGATGCAGAGAATTCCTACGATTCCCGGTACGTTTGAGGTTTATTTTCATTAAGTTCTCGAAGTGTGAGACCTGAGGGAATATTTTCAGATACCGAGGACGGTGGTGAGGACGAGGATTATTCGGCGTCTGCATGCGCTATTATACAACGACGAGCATCTTCTCGTTGTCATACGCGTCGCAAGCGTCGATCCTCTTCGCCATTTAGTCCAGACGCCGAAGGCGCCCTGCGTCGTCGCTCATCAGCATTTACAACGAGTTCTGGCGAGTGGGTACTTGAACTCAATGACGTTGTATATTGAATCTTGATTAATTACGCATGACGATGCTGTGATTATACGAAATCGTATCTTAATTATCGCGGGGAGGGTTTTGAGTGATTATTCAAGACATAATTACTCCGTGGGGTACCGATAGGCAAAGCTTCTTGTTTAAATACATTGGTATATTTTACAAACTTGTACTTTTTTTAATGCTCTGATTAATTTCACGTATAAAATGTTATGTATATTATTTTCAATGTGGGATAATTTAAGGAATGTGTACTGTAGTACAGCGATCTCGATAGAAGATGGCGGGACGCAGGAACAAATTTTTGAAAATCTTAAACTTCACAAGGAAGTTCTAAGCGGCGTGAGGCAGCAACCATGGCCACTTCGACGTAAAATGAAACTCGTTCAGCAGGCGAAGTCTTACGTTAGGAGACATGAAGGTGCCTTGCAGGAAAGATTGGCTCAGAGTCGAAGTACTCGTGACGTAATTGCACGAGCTTCCATTTTGATTAACAAAGTAGGAATATATATAATTGATTAATAATTGTAATAAAAAAAGGTGTAGAACATAGTAACGTCGTACTTTTTATATTTGTAGAAGTGGCAATACTTTCGGCGGGAAATCGTGAATCTTCAAACGTGGTTAATACCTTGGGAACTTCGTATAAAGGAAATAGAGTCTCATTTTGGTTCAGCGGTTGCCTCGTACTTCATTTTTCTTCGTTGGCTTTTTTGGATAAATTTAGTTATTTCAGCCACCCTAACTACCTTCGTAGCTATTCCCGAGGTAGTACGAAATAAATATTTCTCAAACTCTTATATGTTTATTTCCTTAGAAATTTTTTAAATTTTGTCTTATGCAACAGGTACTAACGGCTAATCAAACTCTTGCTGGAGAGAGGAAAGTCATGTTACCGGAGGAAAAGCTTAAGTCAAAACATTTCTTGACACTGTGGGAATTCGAAGGGATTTTAAAGTACTCTCCATTTTTTTATGGATGGTACACAAATCAAGATTCTACTAGTGGATACAGATTGCCACTGGCTTACTTTGTGGCAAATCTTGTCGTCTATACCTACAGTTTCGTCGCCATTTTACGAAAGTACAAGCGAATCGATACTTCTTCATTTCTTTTTATTTTTCATCTTTCAGAGTGCACGTGTGTATTTGGCTTTCTTTTTTTGTAGAATGGCGGAAAATTCGCGAATGAGCAAACTCTCTGAAAAGGAAGACGAGTGTGCCTTCTCCTGGAAACTTTTCACCGGCTGGGACTTCATGATTGGAAATCCGGAAACGGCGCACAATCGAATAGCTAGCATAGTACTTGGCTTTAAAGAGGCGCTGTTGGAAGAGGCAGAAAAGGAGAAAGATGAGAGAAAGTATGTTAAAAAAGTCTCATGTTTTCTCCACGACAACTCTAAACGATTATTGACATATTTTTCCTTTATCAATTCAGTTGGAAAATCATATCTATGAGGATCTTCGTGAATATATGTGTCATGAGTTTATTGGCTCTGTCGGCTTACGAAGTGGTTGTCATTGTAGCTCGTAGTATGGAACCGGAAGCAGCTGAAAGCTGGTGGCGACAAAATGAAATTACTGTTATAATGTCATTGATTACATTCATTTTTCCATTTTTCTTTGAGATACTGGGTATCTTCGAAAATTATCATCCAAGGAAACAATTGCGCATACAATTGGCACGGTAAGGAAAACACAGATCTTGTAATTACCGAAAAATAAATTATTCCAAAAATACTAATTAAAGAAATTTTTTCCTCCAGGATAATGCTGCTCAATCTTCTAAACATGTATTCCCTCATATTTGCCCTTTTCGATAAAATCAGCAACATGGTAAGTCCAAATTTTCAAATTCAATATATTATACCTACAACATAAAATGTATTTCTCTTCATTTTTAGGAGGCCCAATTACAAAATCTAAAACCCAATTCCACCATCGCTCCTCCAATTTGCAGAGATACTTTAATACCATGCTACACTAATACTACTAATTCCGTAGTCACGCTATCCGCTTTGAGTCTTATATTATTAACAAACGTCAGTTCCACCGGTACGACTAATGGCTTTTTAGAAAATAATGCTAATGGTCTAAACAACGTAATTAAAAGTACTCCATCTCTTTATGATACAACGGCGTTAAATAGAAAAAAGCCAGAAAATTTAATGGACGCTCCTGATTATTTCAACGGGAATGATGATTATAACAACGTTGATTATAACAATAGCGATTACAATAACTATAGCTATGACATGAACAATGACGACGAGTATAACGAGTATTACGATCTAGTTTATGGAAATGCTACTACCGAGTATTACGATTCTTATTATTACGATGATAACGATACTATTAATATCATCGATACCACTGCAAAAATATTAGAAGATGATACGTACAACGTTACCACGTTCACAGAAATTATTGACTTCAATGATACTAGTACTTTCGATTACAACAGTACTGATGGTACTGAGACAATGAATGATTATAGTACGTTTTCTACAATCACTTCTCCCGTTACAACGAGTAGTGCTACTGATAGCAGTACTAATGATATTTCAACGAATACATGGACAACTCCTGTTGCCAAATCAACGAGCACTTTTGATAGTATCACTGATGAAGTAACTACTGAACTAATCGCATCGAGCAGTAGCACCCAAAGACCTGTAAAGGATACAACCGTAATAGAGAAAAGGATAGTAAGGTGTTATAAAAGATCATGCGAAAGTCCAACAATGTCTCCAGAAACGTCAATGGAGAGTACAGGTGAATGAAGTATTAATGAAGATAAAAAAATGAATGAATTAATTAATCCTTTAAAATATTTTTAGTCACAGTACTGCTAAAGTTGGATAATACAACACGTAGGGAGCTGCGTCGATTATGCTGGGAAACAATGTTCGGTCAGGAGTTAGCAAAATTAACAGTAATGGATTTAGTACGTAAGAATGACAGTTATGCTACTAAATAATTATATTCATTAATAGTTTCAATTATTTAAATTAATCAAATGTTCAGATACTTACGATATTGTCAACTCTCGGTATGGATTTTGCACGTGCAGTCTTTGTACGATTTATGAACAACTGTTGGTGCTGGGACCTGGAGAAACAATATCCTCAATACGGAGACTTCAAGATAGCTGAAAATATTTTACATCTGGTAAACAACCAAGGGATGGTATGGATGGGGATGTTTTTCAGTCCTGGACTGGCTGCCTTAAATCTTCTCAAGCTTGGTATTCTCATGTATTTACGTTCCTGGGCTGTACTCACCTGCAACGTGCCGCACGAAGTTGTATTCAGAGCGTCAAGGTATAATTATTCAATGATTTTGTGTAGTTCGATTGAAACATAAGTTATAATTACAGATCAAATAATTTTTACTTGGCATTGCTACTGACCATGTTATTCCTGTGCGTTTTACCTGTTGGCTATGCCATTGTATGGGTAGAACCATCCTGGCACTGTGGACCATTTGCTGGACATAGTAGAATGTACCATTTAGCCACGCACAGTCTGAAGAATGTCTTACCGGCAACGTTTCACAAGTAAATATAATTGTTTCATTGTTTGTTCTGGTATAACTTTCACAAGACTTTTTTATCAATGTTTCTATATAAACGATATACAGGTGCTTGGATTACATTGCTTCTCCAGGAATTATAATTCCGTTGATTGTTTTGATGGCGCTTATCATCTATTACATGGTATCTCTCACCGGTTCGCTCAGGGAAGCTAATAACGATCTTAAGGTAAGGTAGAGAGGTATTTTTTTTACATGAAATGAATTACTAGAAAGTATAAAAAGTAAGACAGCATTTCTGCTCGTACAGATTCAACTGCGTCAGGAGCGGACGGAGGAGAGAAGAAAAATGTTTCAGAGAGCAGAGAAGCGACAGGAAGTGCACGAGACGCCATTTGTGCGTTGGAAGAAGATACTACCGGTATTACCGTCTAGTAAATCTGCTGATATTGCAATTTCAAAAGGTCTTAAACAATCATATAATATTGAGTAACCTTAACGAAAATTAACTTATTTTTCTGTATACAAACAAGGCATAATCGGAAATGTAGTACTGGAGCACAAAGAACGTAAACGGTCAGCCACATCGGAAGCGGAAGAGGCTACGGATATAGAGCAAGACTCTTTACCACATGATCCTGCGTTGTGCCAGCAGGATCTTCTTGTTGAGAATAATTCAAGACACAGAGCATTGGTCAAACAAAGCTCTAATAACAGGTAATTAATAAATAAAATATAATTAGCCGTTGGGTTTTTATTAATTTTATATGATTTTATTGTCAGGAGTTTCTCCAGTGGATCAATAAAGGATTCTTTCGAGCAACACTCCATTGATTATGGTGTAATACCGGAAATTCGTATCAGCGTTACCGAAGTTGGAAACGAAGTTCCCAGCAATTCAAATTCCGGAAATGAAGCTCACGCGTCCGATATCCTTGGCGAATCTTCAGTAAAAAATGTCACAGTACTATCGGATAATAAAGATAAATCATCTTCGGCCAAGGAAGAAGCTTTGCAATGAAAACAACAGAAGCTCTTCAGATATATTGTATTACCTATATCCTGCGTTACGTAAGTACTCGCAGTAAGAACCTTAGACAGAATTGTGTACTTATTAATGACGTCGTCCTCAGAATGTAGAAAAGAAAAAAAAATATTATATACACGCAGTATGGTTGATAAAAAATTTCCAGAAGAATGGTGTTTTACAAAATGTGTGTGTTTACGTATTTTTTAGATATCACGCATGTAAAGAAATATTCATATATAACAATATGAAAATTCTCTCCTGAATTATTGCTATTGATGTATTTGCATAATTGTTTTACGATAACAACATGACATGACTTTGTTGCATTTAATGCAAATCTTTTTCGCTTATTCAAACGTTCTTCAAATAGTATTTACATAAGAGGAAAAGCAAATCGTTACGACGTCTTTGCTTTTTGTAAATTTTAAAAACTTTTCACATAACAACCGACATTGTTAACCTTTTTTAATCAGAATTGCTTACTGTCCCACAGAAATAAACTTGGGAATGTTCACATGACGTCTTATACTCTATTCCATTGTAATCTAGATTACTGAATGCTTAAATATATACAAATTGTTCAATTTACTAGATCATTGTTAACCCATCGAAAAATAACAATCATTAAACGTTACCAAACAGTGTACTATTATAAAATTTGAACAATCTTTCTCGAAGATAATACACATAAATGTGTACCCAAAGTGAAAAATCATTATGAAATGTATCCAATTTGATTATCGTACATAAACATTAAAGACTAGCATCAAATCATCAAAGAACACCCCCAAAAGCTTGCAGCAGATCTTACATTTCTTTTTGTATTCAAATAAAAAAAATCTAAAGTATCGACGCACAGGCGGTATACAGACTCTTGACTAATCGGTAATATCAACTTAACTTATCAATGTCCAGTGTGGCCAAGTTCTAATGATATTAAAAAGTGCATCTCCAGGACTTGTAGTCGGTGAAACTTGTCGATGTGCTAAAAGTTTATAATCGTCAGCAATGTATTTCTTCTTCACCCCAAACTCTATTAATTTCTGTGTCGCACGTATTTGCGCCAATGGCGGAGAGACGTTAGTGAACGTTCCTATAAATGCTATACCGATGCTTTTGATGTTGTAGCCAAAACTATGAGCGCCAGCGTAATCCCATCCGCGACCTACGTATGCCAAACCATCACCACCCGTTAGAAAATTATAAGCTATGTCCGACCAGTTTTTGGACTCGATGTGAAAGTTTTGTGCCAATCGTACAAGATGAGTGCAGGCTGATTGAGTGTCGCAGAAATTGGTTGCTGTGTGAGTTATGATCACGTATGGTACGGGGTGTCTTAACTTGTCCATTTGACTTGCTGGGGGTTGTGCCAACCATTCATCCCTTCCTACTGTCCTTACGCCATCGATAACCAATGCTGTGAAAGGATGCCAGATTAATATTATGACAATCATTTTCGTTTTATTTATACTATTTGCGATACTATGTACTAGGAATTATCATTTCACGTATTACCGTCGCGATTTATTGAGATCTCTGGTGTTTCCGGTACATCCGAACCACGTGACAGGAAAACGACGCTGATGGCTACCAAAATCAGAAGGACCAGCGCCAATGCAGACGCTATAGCCATGGCAGCGTATTTCTTGGTCCATAACCGGTGCACTGTGAAAATACAAATTTTTTTGTTTTTACATGTATTCCTTTGTGATATCTTTTTTTATCAAAAAAGTTTTGAATTATAAATATTCTATGGGACATTGTATTATTTCGTTCAGAATGGATGTTATTAAGTTGTCATGTGGTTTATTTATGATGAGTCTACCTCCTTTACGAGTCTGTAATTTTATTTTTGTTATACACGTAAAACCGGTAAAATACGGTGCACACGTTTAAGTTACTTATTGAAAGTCCACGTTAAAATTGAAGTATAGAATTTTTACATGCGTGGATGAATCGAGATCCGTCGATTCCGCTTATAGAAATAAATATACATGTATAGACGCTAAATTTTTTTTTAAATTCATTAAAGGATAAGGTAATATCTCCCAAGCAGTTCTGTCGGAATAATTTATGATGAGTCAATTTTTAAGAATACTTTTTGCCTATCTTCATACATTAAAGGATTCAAGTTCAATTACGTATAAAAAATACACATGTCGCTAAACATAAATATGCAGTCAACTTTGTCTATATAAGCGCTTCATATAGTCGCGTTTCTCGAGTTGTCATTTTTTAAGCCATCGCGCCAGGAGAGGAAGACGGGAAGCCATCTTCTTCTTCTTCGGGAAGCACGGAAATCACTCTTCTGTCTTTCGGCGCGAGTACCCGCTCTCTGTCAAACGTTTGGTCTATTAGAGCGTAGTGGGAACGGTGGGAACTCCCCAAAATTGTTCTCTCGCTAGCTCTCGCGTCTCAAAGTCTTCGGTGCACAATTTTCGAGTCGACTGTATATTATTAAATGATAGCAAATGAACCTTCATAACCAACATGGTGGCGAAGTCGAGTCAGATAATGATTTGATATCACGTATATAGCCATATTATTTTTATTGAGAAAGATGATTATTAAACAAGAGTCGACCCTCAATCCTCTGTTTCATTTGATAAATCCCTCGTAGGATATTTATATGCGTATATATATAAAACAATGGTGAAAAAAAGTCATTGAAGTTACCTTCTCCGTTATTACAAGAATCAGCCGAATTAGGAGTGACAGTGCTGGTACCATTATTGATGATCTCTGATGCCTCAACATCCCTTTGATTGGTTACTCGTTCATTCTCAATAACATCATTAACAGTACTAAAGTCTGGATTTGTGTATACAAACTGTTTGATAGTAACAGGTCCCTTGTAAAATGTTTTATTTCCCAAATTAACATTAGACGAATTTTTCACGCAAACATCACCAAAGTTGGGAGGCGGTTCAGGATTAAACTGACTGATACAATTGCTGATATGCTGAAGAGCTGGTACAGAAAGTTCAGTTATCCAGCCCTCCTCTGCCTCAGAATCTACATTATCGAGATCATCCTCTACGTCACTACACAAAGTCGAGCATCCTTGTGAATCATTCTCCAATGTATCAATTTCGGTTCTTGCCACAACACAAGCGCCATTCTGAATTCCAGAATGTCCTTGTATATCATTTTTAGGAGTAGTCACAAGATTCACTCGTGATGTCACCCTTTCCTTATCCTCGTCAGTCTGAAATCTGTCATCCTCCTGCTTCTGGTGATCCTGTGCCACCATCACCATCCCCACGACTCGATCATCGCAAGCTGTTCTTCATACCGATAAACACGTCAATATCAGAAGTCTGTATAAATAATCAGAAACATTGTTTCTCACTGTTTTCCTCTTGCGAAATTATCACGTTAATTATAAACTTCAATGTGCAGGACACACCTAGTCACCAACAGTCTTTGTTTTCAATTTTCCTCAGGAATTTTTACTTCGCTTCACTCTTCACAACCAATGTTCACTTCTTACTGGTTTCACGACTGAAACGTGTCTGACACAGCAGTGACGTCTGCAGACGATTCCCCCAATGACGTAGACAATTCAACTTTTCACTGAACTCCTTTTCCAATATATTATTTCTTATTAAATACCTTGCTGACCCATCCAGTGATTGGATCTTGCATAACGTTCTTTCGAATGACTGTGAGTTATACTGGTGGCGTTAATTGGCCTTTAGAATTAAGAGAAACAACGTGATTACTACGACGCACAAATTCCACAGGCTTCAGGTGCTGCGAACGTAGCGAACACTCCAATCTGTCTCCACGCCACTGTTGACTGGACCATGTCATCATAGTGTTTCCGTACGGTACACAGAAAGCACCAGCCCCACTCTTCATTGCTTCGCGATATCCAGTACGTTTACATCGTTGTTGAAGGAGGTCTCGGCTGGTAATGGCGCGTAAGTATAAAATGCCTTTATAATCTAATTGTTTTGAATTTGTTTACCGTTATTAAGTGCGTGCAAAATCTTTGCAGTTTCCATTTTTCATTATTTTCATGATTCCTATATTTGTCGAGATTATAGAAAATGGGAGAAACTTGCGCAAAACTCAGGAACCGTTAAATATTCAATTCCATAATGGCGTCATTCGTGACGTCATGGGAATTTCAGTTCTATTACCGTCATTAGAAAAGACTTGTAAGTCTCAGGACATGCTATTTTGGAAAGTTGCTCCGAAGGATCCCTGAGGCATCGAATTGCTAAGCAGTTTCTATACGAAGTCTATTGGCTTAAACGTGAGTACATTTTTAAGGAATTGTGAATTTTATATTAACTATATGTATGCCTAAAGAAAAGACGATGAACGTTCGAACGTTGTATCGTGTTTCTTTTTTTATTAACCGTTGAGAAGCCAGTTATAAGTATTTCTTTCATGCAACACGATTCAACCTATAGAATGACACAGCAGTGAGACTGAGACAACAAAAATGACACGCCTACTGAGGGGTTAATATATCCTACCGGTTAACAGTGAGAGATTATAAAAGCTGCGGGAATCTTGATTTGATACCTTGGAAATTAATTGCTGATATGGCTGCAACGATTTCTATGGAACATAATCCGTATGCAGATATTATATTCCCGGAAAGTGGCATCTTCGTGTCATGAATAAACGTGCAAACATTTTCAAGCTTACTCCTGTATATATGGAAAAGTCGACGCACTTCAGTGAGCAAATTTACTTAAGCAAGAAATCATAATACACTCGTTTATTGCATCTTTTTACAGCTTCGCACAGTGAAACTTATTTGTTTTTACCATACAACCAGTTTGTAATGCCTGTGTACAGTTTTCAAGTTATGAATCTCATACTTAATGATCATTCGGTTTAATTTTTTAATATCGATCGTATCATCTTTACGGCTCCTTGTCAGAATTTTTAATGTTCGTTTGGCATTTTAGTCTAATAGAGTATGTGGATGGGAGTTGCATGAAACCAGTTTACAACTTATTCCTCGTTTATTCCAAGTTATTCGCATTTAGCTTCTTTGTTTGAAATCTTTGAATTCTATATGTTATTTATGTGGGTTCTAACAACAAGATCTGCTGACAAGAATAACAGTACATTTCTAAAGAAAATTCTTAATTTTGAAAGTAATGGCGTTGACCGTATTTCAATACATTCTGTGACGGAAGTGACGTATATGTATGCTAAGTGATAATCTGCATAGTCAATCTATCGAACGTTGCCAGAAAGAAAGTAGCTACAATGACTGTTTTATTAAGGGCAGATTAACGTAGAATAGATAACGTAGAATTTATTTATTACAGAATTTAAAAATTAGACTTACTGAATAATTAATTAAATATTACATGAAATGCTTGACCATACAGTACAAAAGATTTAGATACGTTTTAGAAACATTGTCGAAAGATATAAATCTGCTTGTTAAGTTTCTGTTGTTGGGTGAAAAATACAATTTAAGCCACGTTGTAACAAATCATAACAGAATTATATTTTCTGCATAGTAATTGTTTAAATTCTTAATGAAATTAATTACATTCTTACCGGGACTCAGCGTTGATTTAACTTGATTATGTCCTACGAGTTTGTAGTTAATATCCATATATCCTATATTTACAGTATACTCTAATAAATCCATAAGAGCCTCTTCTTGTTGCTTCTTCAATTCGTCATATATGTAATTACCGATAAAGGTTACAAATAAACAATTTTTCGAAAGGCTGTTTGTTATATTCCAACCGACTCCTTCATATATTCCACCATCGCCACCTACGAGGAAGTTATATCCTGCAAGTTTTTTAAATTAATTAAGTTTCCAAAAATATCTCTACGCTGGCACTGTTGCATAATTTAATTAATATAAAACAAATAGATACCTATGTCCACGAATGCTAGAGATCCAACTTGCCAGTTTTGTATGGCACATACAATGTAGGAACAGTTATCATGACTTTCACAATATCTTCCAGCTGTATGACCAATCACGACCAATCGTATTGGATGCGTTAGATATTCTGTATCATTTGCAAGACTCTCTCGTGCTCCCCAATCTTCTCGAGTGTAAATCTTCCTATTGGCTAACATAAAAGAAAAAATATATAAATGAAAATTAAATATTGTAAGACATTTTGAATATGCATTCTTCAAAAATTCAAAAACAGGGAGGTAAGGCGAATTCTTTCATACAAACGAACTTATTTGAATCGTTGAACAAAACCGGTTCTTAGTTCCGTGAGTCGATACTTTTCCGCGACGTTTACAATTTAAAAACTTATTTGACTATTTGATTGACCTTGCGATGACGAACCTTGATGAAAGTTATCATGTTAAAATCATTCTCTATATTAACATAAAGAAAATTGAAAACTAGCAAATAGTTCTGTGAAAATTATTTGTATTTACAGAAAATAAAATTATATCGTCGACAACGTTCTAGGTATAAATATATGTATATGTATATTTATAATCTGCTATACCAGAAAGAATCAATTGTTACCAAGCAACTCAGAGTATTTAAATCTTAAAGTCATCTTTGATAAAACTACCGTCACATCAGACGTTTAAAAAATTACTTTCAAAAAGTATATGTTTGGAACGCTTATCTTATTTCGATTATACATAAGGTTATTAATTTAATAATAATAAATTGTAAATTAATTATTCGTTTAACATATTACACTTAGCACGTTGACTGCCGCGGTACTTTTCAGAAGTGAGTCAACGTGTTAAGTGTAATATATTAAATGGATAATTTAAACATACTTAAGTATGAATTTTCAAACTAACACGTGACTTCCGTTTCTACTGTTATGTTCTCAATGTTCCATGAATCTTCAGTGTTCTTCACGGATGTGTAATATTCAAAGGATTTCGTTGTGGTGTCAATTATCTTAACTTCCTCTGCGTCGTTATGAATTTTACGTATTACCAACCAGATGCACACAACGCAAACACCAAAGATAAAAGTCGTGAGCCATACAAAAGGCCAATAACGATGACAGCCCTTTTTATCCGTCGATGAGGTATTTGGTGTTGTTTTACAAGAATTTAGAAAGCATGGACTTCGAATATTATTAAACATACTTTAATCGAAAATACTGCCTAATATTTGTCATCTATAAGCCCATTCCACACTTACAAGTGAAAGTACTGTTCTCTGTGGCGCCAACAGATAAACTGTGTAGTATCAAAGTGTCATTCAGTGATAAAGTTTGGGTAAAATAATTTCTATATTTTTTTAAGATGATATTTGAATACTTTTTTTTTCTATAAATAAATGGAGGTTGGTAAACACTAAAAAAATACTTGAGTTTTAAAGTAAATCTTAATTACAGACTATAATGAAGGTTGTTTGAATCACGTAGTATATAGACATTTTTAATTTAATGACTGCATAACGATATATTTTTTGTATATAATCGTTTAAAATTATTATCGTTACGGCTTATACATTTTGTTGAATTATTAATTATTAATTAACAATTATTGTTTACGTTCGTTTAGACATTAACAATATTTTATTAGGCTCACTGTGCTAGGCTTTGCTTAACTGATCGCAGCTATACCGCAAGTATTACACGAGCTCACTGATAAGAGTTATCTAAAAATGACGGAATTTTCATTGTTCCGCCTCCTTCTAAATTCTGTTGTGAAATAGACTGAGAATGACAACTCAGTGGCCATTAATTTTATCGATGTGTATCACTAGGGACAGCATCACTTATAGGACACAATGTTATCTCTTATATAAATTAATATAAATTGATTTTTAATTTCTATATATTGCAAATCATGAGCAATACGTATTGTACTTATAGTTTTCTTTGACTATATATAGTATGACATTCAGTATAAAAATATATATATATTTTATACAGGATAGAAAATATCTTGTACAAGTATAATAAACATTATTTACTTAAAAAGTAGCTACGTATATGAAATAAATTTGTTAGAAGACTTTTTATTCAGAGTTCGTCATTGATTGTATCAAAATATAAGTTATTACTAATCTTTAATCTAGATCTAAATATTTAATCTTAATTAGTAAATAAATTGTTCTAAGAGATATTAGAATTCACATTTATAATTATCACATATTTTGATCACCGTTTATCATCAATTTTGATATTGCAATGATCAATAGTCAAAATCTATATGAGTAACGATATTAAAAAAACCCGTAAGTAAGATAAGACAATGTTAGTAATATGTGCTAATATTTATGGAGGAAAAATTATCCAATAAAGAGCGGCTTTCTTATATTTTGTGTCTGATGGCTACTCGGTATACTAAATATAAAAATGACGAGTCAAAGTGGAAGGTTGTTGAGGCTTTCATGACTAGCATCTTTGTGAATCTTTCAGATGCCATTTCCTCTAAATAATTTTTTACTTTTTCTTTCTCTGTTGATACATATCTTATATAATATAGATACTAGGTCAACAGAAACACTTGAACAAAGAGAGTGAAAGATGACTAGAAACAGAATTTATAAGTACAAGGATCATTGTGGCAGGAATTGTACATTAATTATGGTAGACATAAAGCTGCTCGACTTCCTCAACTACTGGCTGTGCTGTGGAGCTAACTGAATGTGTCATAATGATTTGATAAAAAATATTGCACGGTTAAACCCCAATAATAATTTTATCACCGTGTGAAATTAATCAAAGTATAGTATTAAAAAAAAATGTGGCAGCCTGAATTATTATGCAAGCGTAAAATACAGGAATGTTCTCCTTAAATATATGTTGCTCTATAACTTATGAAATGCTTGAGTTGTCTAATTGGCATTGTTTAAACAATTGGTCCATCGTAATAATGTGGCCAGTTTTTAATTGTAATGGCCAAGTTCTTTCCTGGACTATCTGTCGCACTGGTTTGATTATGACCAATCAAACGATAATTAGGACTTATCTTTTTTCGTTCTATTCCACGTTTTATTAAAGCTTGTACGGCGTCTCGATGTTTGTCGTTAACTTTATCATAAATGAAATTCCCTATAACAGATATCATGATACTATTGTTTCGTATGTAATTTCTGATATCCCAGCCAAGAGCTTGATAAATATTGCCGCACCCATCAAGTAAAAAATTGTAACCAATATCTATGAATTCTAATTCTGATACGTGACGACCTTGAATTGTTTGTAACAGTGACGAACAGTCTGAAACTGTGTCACAATAATTACTTGCGGTATGACCTATAATAACATAGGGCACAGGGTGAGCGAGTGGTCTGCTGGATTCATTTATGATGGGACGTCCACCCCATCTGTTTCTTGTGAATATATTAAATCCATTGCCAAGGGCATAATCGGATTCGTCTATAAAATAAAATAAAAGTTATTGAAATATTGGGTAACAGAACCAGAATTATTTGAATTATAGTATACCTTTGATCCAAGATGATGATGAGCTATCGTTTGGCAAAGGATCACTTAATGTCCAATAAAGAACAATTGCACATACGATAAGTGTAGCTAAGAAGATTACTACATATGCTGTTTTCCAATATGAATTGGAGGTCTTTGAGCATGATACATTCGAATCTATATTCCCTGTAGTATTTTCAGAATCAGCATTTTCAGATAATTTTGCTAAAACATATATTGGATATTAACATAATAAAAAAGATGTATAAAATTGAAATAGTAATAATCTAATACATTATAGTACCTTTACTAGAAGAGTTTGATTCTTCCTGTAAATTATTGGAATTTGTGCTTATCGGTAATTTAGGATGACTTCTACTTTGACTTGACGGAGGATGTCCATTTAAATATTGATGAATGGTAACTGGTGCATAAAACTGTGTAGTTGGCTTAACTTCCACATTGCTAGTGTTTTCCATATTAACAATAATGGTGCCATGACTAACATCAACAACTGGTATTCCATTATTTTCAGAATCATTCTCGTCATCTGTCTCATTCTCAGATGGTACTTCATCCAGACAAATCTCTTCATAATTTGCAATAGGTCGTATTGTATTTTCTGTGACTTCACTCATCTTCGTAACATTATATCTAATTTATTTTCATATTAACACTATACATAATAATTCTTCATACGCCTAAGAATTTTGTAACTAGTTGAACAAATCAATTCTTCTTTAGTATGAAAATACAGATGTGACGATAATTACACATATACTTACTAATTGAATAACTGTATATTACACTGTCTTGATTAAATTCACTTGAGGTTTATGCATAATAAATTAATTATTGGAATTCCCGAAAAAATATCCTTCCTTTCCTTATGGCTGACTCCTCCAATGAGGACATGTGCCAGAACTCCAAAATATATCTGTTTACATGATCAGAGCACATGAACTATACCACTTATAGATAACACATGACAATAATAATGTTTAAGAATCAGCGTCGTGTTTCTTTTTTATAAAATGTTAATATTGATTGTAAAATGTTTTGTCGCGGGTATAAATTTTCTACACAGCTTATTATAATTCATTATAAATACATACAACTGATTCTATTGGCAGGTCACTACCTGTCATTTGCCAGAAACTCAATGTCGACAACCGTCATTTGTCAAACCATCACTTGTCAGAATCGCTATATATCAAAAACGGAAGCGGCCTAAATGACATTTGTGTTCCTGTTGCTTCAAGCAGCAGGACGGACCAGTAAATGTATTCCGTATAGCTAGACATATATTTTTGCTAGATACAGTGACAGCTACCCTAAGTAATAGGAACACAAGTGGCGTTTAGGTAGTGCTGTTTCTGGAATATGACAATTCTGCTTTATGGAGGTTCTGGCGAAGGCCATTTTTTTGTAAATAAAGATTTTGAACATTGATTTTTTGCCAACTGAGAGCGATCCTTTTAAACACATACAACAAGCGACATTAGTGTAACAACATTGTCCCTAATAGGAGGAACTTCGTCCATTAGCCGTTGATTCTGTTGAACGTTTCACACCACCTCTAGAGTCCTTTAATACCGTTGAGTCTTCGATATATATTATTTCATATATTACATTCTATTAATTGGTAAGTAATTGGAGATGCGTTTAATGATATAAAGTGAAGAGCAAGGATAATGCTAACAATACAGTTTGGCCAGTGTGGTAACCAGCTTGGCCATACTATTCACTCCAAAATATTGGCTGACTTAACTTTTCTGAATACCGGTGTGCAATCTCAAAGAAATAAAGAGTATGCTGAAAGTACTTATAACAAATGGTTTAAAGATGTATCAAGAAATGGAGAATATATAGCAAGAGCAATTCTGGTAGATGCGGAGCAGAAAGTGGTCAACAAAATATGCAATGATGCAGATTCTGGATGGAGATATGATATGAAAAATGTAGTTTACGATGCTGGAGGAGGTTGTGCGAATAATTGGGCATTTGGATATGGGAGGAAGGGCAAATATTTGGGAGAAAAAACTGTGGAAGCTGTTAGACATGAAATTGAGAGATTGGATCATTTTGAAGGTATCCTTTTCTGTTTGAGTTCTGCGGGTGGTACTGGATCTGGTGTTGGTAGTTACACAGCTGAGCTACTGCGGAATGAGTTTCCAACTAAAAGTGTAGCAAGTATTGTTGTACTGCCTTTTACCTCAGGGGAAGTGGGTACTCAGAATTATAATTCGTTACTGACTTTATCGAAGCTCTATGATGAAACGGATGCTGTGTTTATTTTTGAAAATGAGCAAATACATGCAATATGTACAAATTTATTGAAAAACTTAGAAGCAAAACTGTATGATATAAATGAGGTTATATCACAAAAGTTAACAGCTCTTTTTCAGCCACTTGAAGATTCGCAAATAAATTTGAACTATTTAGTGTCAAGGATAGCATCACATCCAAGCTACAAATTGATCACTATAAAAAGTACTCCACATATTGCAGCATCGAGTACTGTGTATGAAACTTCTTATAAATGGGAAACTTATATACGTCATCTTAAACAAACACTACGAATTCCCAGTTATCATAATGAACTGGTAGATGTGGAAACGAAAATGCCATCTCAAAGTTTCAGTGCTAGAAGATCCCTTATGTATTCTCAATCAGTATCCAATTTATTAATAACTCGTGGCACGTCTGTGAGAAATGATCCGATTGTTGGTGACGAATTAAAAGAAAAAGAATTATATACAAGTTGGATTTCTGAAGCAGATCAATTTAAGCATTTACATCAAACACGTAGATTGCTTAATCAAGAAAAATTCTGTGCCCTGATAACAAATAACTCCCAGCTCCAAAAGCCACTGGATACATTTTTAGAGAAAGCCTGGAATGCATACACACATTCTGCATTCTTGCATCAATATAAACGATTTGGATTGGAAGAAGATGACTTTCTACAAGCATTTGCCAAAGTAGAAAATGTTATTAAATCATACAAAGACTTAAACATTGCTAACACTAACAAATGATAATCAGCCATAATCAAAGCAAAATAGGCAAATATCAGTTCTTATCATTTTCTTACAAGAATTTATATTATATGATCTTTTTTTAAGATTCAATACTTTATCAATTAAAACATAATTAATTTATGGAACATGGGATTCCCAATACACAAAATATTTATTACAGAAAGAAAATGGCTATGGAAGCCAATGATGGGAAAAGCGCTGATGAAAGTGATGGAGAATACTTTTTCGAATCCGATCATTTGGCTTTGAAAGGAAACAAAGATTATACAGCACTTCTCAAAACGATTGTTATACTGGAGGCTCAAAGAACACAAGCAATAGTTGACCTAGACAAGCTCTTAGCAGCCCGTTGCAATGCTACAAAGGATCCAATATCCTTTGTAGCCCAATTGCAAAATGGAGATCTTCCTGAATTACCCGGACCACAAAAAGTTGCAGAAATTCCATACATAGATTGGGCCGGGTATAATATAACTTTGCCTGACAATTCAATGAGACCTCAAACACGGCACGGGCATGTTCTCCCGCAAATTCAAACTAAGACAGAACATGACGATGGGAAGGTAAATACACCGTCTTTCTACTTAGAATTCTAACGCGTTAGATCTCCTAAAATCTATGTTATTTCCAATTATATTTAGGTTTTAGTACGCGGACGTGCATTTGATCAAAGTAAACCAGAGACCTTCAATCAATTATGGACAACCGAAGAACAACGTCGTCTGGAAGAACTTCTCATTCAGTACCCACCAGAAGAAGTAGAAATGCGACGTTGGACAAAAATAGCTAATGCATTGGGTACGCTTTCAGAATTACATGTCACATAGTTTTATCTCAATTTAGAAATCATGATAGCATTGTGTTTTATCTTTTAGGAAATCGAACTCCGAAACAAGTCTCTAGTCGCGTGCAAAAGTATTTTATTAAATTGCTTCGGGCTGGACTACCGATACCAGGACGTGGACCTAAAGTAAAATTAGATGTTAAAAGAAGTTTGAGTCATCGTCATCAACGCAATAACTATCTACTGTTTAGACGTTCGACATTCTTTCCGCATCAGGATATGTCCTTTGCAATCGGTGAAGACACGAAAGAACAATTTGTTACTGAAGAGTCTGTGAGTAATTTGTTCTTGCTAAATCTGCTTTTTGCGCCAAGTATATATAACTTAATGATTTCATCAGGAGGATGATTGTGATAACGGTGCAACAGAGGATAATTCAGAGCTCCGGCAAATAGAATTGTTAAGACAGGTCAAACTTGAAAAAGAGGAAGATCCATCATTTCTTTATCAACATTTTGGATATAAGGTAATTCAATACGAGATACAAACAAGTTCGCAATGATATTAAATGTATACATTGCACAACTTTATACATGACCATTTGCAGTGTTCAGTTTGTGGTGAAGATCCTCTTAAAGGGACAAGATGGCATTGTGCAGAATGTGAAAATGGAATTGATCTCTGCGCTGATTGTGCTGTTGTTCAGTTGGAAACAGAACATCCAATACATCCAGTTTCTCACAAATTAACTGTCGTAAGACCACCACAGAGTACAAAGAGTTACGACACAGACTATTTTCCACAAAGCTTTAATAGTTCCTCATATAATTATTTAGATCCAAACTTTTTACCAGAATAGTATTTTATATATTATTTGTAATTGTTCATGTAATTTTCATGATATTCATTTTTATTTAAATAAATAATATCTAAGTTTCAGCTTTCTTCTTTTTTGTCATAAATCAAATGTATCTTCTTTTGAAATTCTTTAAACGTACCTTCCTTTATATGCTTTCGAATGGTTTTGAAGAATTGAAGATAATAATGCGTATTGTGTCTGAAATACAAGATGAAACTATTATGATTAAACATTTTGAGAAGGTTATAGTATATATAATACGTACATCATTAAAAGTACTAATAGTAAGAGTTCCTTGCAGTGACATAAATGGTGAAGATAGGCTCTAGTGTACTTTTGACATGCTAAGCATTCACATGACTTGCATATCGGGGTAAAATCATCAGCATACTTATCTTCTGCCACTGATATGACATAAGATGTGTGGTGATTGTCAGTAGGCTGATGATCACATAGAAAAGTCAATGCAGTTGCCTTCTCCGTAGCCAAATATGCATACGAAGAATCAAACACATCTACTCCCATGTCAATTAGATCAACAAGTGTAGCTGGGTTCCAACTGCCCATGGAAACTCTTAATTTATCAGTGGGCAAAAGATTCTATAAATAAGAAAACAAGTGGGGAGATATAATATATTCTTTATATATTGTAATGATAAATATGGAATACTCACTATGGTATGTTCTATCACATTTCTTATTTGGTCTGTATTTATTTTTTGTACTTGTGGTCCATTCTTATGCAATCCATCTATAACATACCCTAAAAGGGTTTTATCTTTTAGGTAGTTTATACACCTCTCTCTAGCATGTAAATTGTAACCACCCTCAATAGCTCCCAATATGCCCTTTGATTTTATAGTGTTTGAGCTATTATGTCGTAATAAACATGTCTCCAGTTGAGTTTTACTTCGTTCTATTGATTTTGAGATACGTTTTGCACTACTTTTTTCATCTGTGTCTCCATCACATAAAGCAACGTACATATCAGGTTTGAATGTTTCTACTATATCCATATATGAATCTGGTGATAAAATGTGCCTTCCATGCTTTGCCCATATTGAAATGGAATGTTTTTCTTGATGACCAGATGTAGTGGTTTCTGCAGGATCATTAATCGAGAGGAATGTAGGATACTCCTAAAAAACATATAATCAAAAAGTATATTTTCAAGTATAATTTTGACATTTCTATATGTACTCATCCTACCTGCATGCTAACAAAATCTGTAAACGAAGGAGTCTGTTTCACAAATTCAGCCATAGTAATTGTCGAAGGTAGAGACACGGAGAGAAACTGTTGTTCAGTGGTTACCATCTTAAGAACATCTTTAGTCAAGTGAGGTACGCAACCTCTCTAAAAATTAAAATGAAGTATGAAATATATAATAAAACACTTATTTCTTCCTTCGTAAAGATAAGTAATTACCTTTGTATAAATTAACAATAAGGGTGTTTCAAAAATGAGGTCAGGCATTCTTTCTATTTCAGACAATGTGCCTATACGAGCTGCACAACGTGCTGCAGATTCCGTGAAAAACTTCATTTTTACCTACGAAAAATTATTGTTTAAAATAAAGTATATTGTACTGTGCTAGAAAATTAGATGATGGTTATCCTTGATAATACAGATAACTGTAGGATCACAAACTTTGTATACACAATAACTACACCCAATATTTGCAATAATTTAGGATTGTTTAAACTTATTATAAACTAAATCCGTACAATCATACAAGCACGTTGTGTCTGATTATATTGCACTTGTTAACACTTCAAACATGGTAGATCGAACTAGGATTACAGTATCCTTCCATGTTTTTCTAACACTTATCGATTATTGACTGCCGCTACAACACGTGCTTTCAAAATTTAAACTTTTGACTAGGATATTACACAATTCACGAGTGGCACGTAATGAAATTTACAACCAATTATAACGTTTGGTCCAACAGAATCCACCAATCGTACACTAGCATTTTATTGCTAGCTACATATAAACTTTACCCCATAAGAACGATTGGTTAAAATCAACTAGAATCGTCACGACGAACGAAAACACTCGTATAGAGATCTGCCCTAATTTTATTTCGTGAATCAACCCTACAGTCATCCAAGGTTCGTAAATACGATTACGTAAATCAGTATCTCTACGTATTCCACAACGGCAGGTGTATGTACGCTGGGTGTGAAGTTGGCTTTATATTTTTCTAAAAATTCTTATACGTTCTCTTTTGTGACGTACCGTCCAAGTGAGAGTGCCCAACCTCAAAAGGACAACTATACTGTCGTTTACGTTCTTTTACGTTCATGTAAACATCTACAAGTCGGTATTTAACCAGTGTATATTAATCAGCCGTTCAAGTGGGTTCTGTGAACGACGGTGACTAAGAAGAGACTCGCCCGTGATGAGAACGATGTATTAATAATTATACAAGAAGAAAAGCTGTGACTGTAAGTTCAAAAAACGCTGTGTCCATTACGGTCCATTAAATCGAGGTTGACATTAACGAAAGTGTTAAATAAAGCAACTACTAACTTTAACGTAAATACATAAAAATCTATTAAAACTATCACAACTGGCTTATACCGTCGATTGCTGATAACTGATTATGAAATAATTTAATACTAATAATAGCAAAATTATCAGTCCTTCCTATTCTTTGGGATTACAGAACATTATCCAAAACTATCGTTTGTTCTTTGAGGTTAGCATTTATTTTCAAAGATTGCTACAATCTGTTATAAGTTTGACTCATACGCGCTTGCATTGTTATGGACATTTCTTTTAAGGATTATTTAAGTAAAGCACAAAAGAAGTTTACTTCTTTGTTCTGTTTATATTTGTGCTTGGTTTCCATTTTGTGGTCCATGACCTACACCATAGCTTGACCCGAATGTCCAGCCAAGACGTTCATGTAGAAACAGAATACAAGAAATCCAATCCCTTTAAACAATAGGGCAAACTGTTATGTGTTCTTTGTTTGACAAGATTTTTTTATTTTGCCAATCCTTTTCTATTCCAGCCTTTCTACTTAAAAGCAAAATGTCTCAAACTACGACAATCGAAACGGTGACAATCACCAGACCATTGAAGGTAAGATAAATAAAAAAGACCTACTATTATCTTCATAAAAATAATATAAATAATAATAAAAAACTACCCTTTATCGTTTAAAGTCAGAAGATAATGAAGTTGAGTGAATGATTGCGTAATGAATATATATACATATATACACGATATTCTTCTCTTCTGGTTAAATTCTACGAAGAAGCCGCGAGGTCGCCACCCTTCATGTAACACAGCTACCCTATTGGGATCCTGCAACCCCCGCTCGATCGAAGTTAAAATAAAGATGGCTACTGCTGTCAAAGGGCGGTTTTCGTTACTCGATTAAATGACATAAATTTTATTAAAAAACCGGATCGTTTTTCGGGGTGACAATTCGATGAATATTTTGCGAGCGTTGGATCTTTAAATTGTGGATAAGACTTACGAAGGGGGTTACTCCGTCCGTGACTGGTTTATCTAAATGTTCTCATCTCACCCTCGTTCAATGCTCCATGGCGGGGTATACGATGTGCCGTAAATCTTACTGAGAGGGAAAGAAGGTGCCAGAATATTTAGATTGCATTTTGTTAACTGGCAAATTGATTATAATTTAACGGAACGTCACAATGATCATGTATACCGTCGCCGAGGACCACATGGGAGAGAATGAGATTGCTCAGGTAATTTTCCTGTCATGATTTTTTTTGCGCGCTTTCACAGGTAGCCATCATAGCTTAGTTTAGTTAGTAGTTGGGTTGAACGGCGTGGGAGAGCATGTATTTTTATTTATATTTTGGATTATGTTTCGTTTGCAGCATTAATTGATTTTTGAGAGAAACATCTTCTAAAACGTTTAAGTTTTTCTTGTTCGACGTGGAGGTAGTAGTTGTTCTGTGTTTAATATTAACATTTATTTGTTACTTAGGTAATCGCCTTCATATGTGGAGTGATTGTCATTCTGTTAATGATTATGGGATTGGCATCTACGGATTGGTTAATGTCTCTTGGATGGAGACAAGGACTCTTTGCACATTGTATCGAAGAAGGTGCACCTACTCCATTGCCATTTAATATGAATGAGCCTGCAGGATGCTATCAAGCCAGAGATGCTGGTCCGTTTTAATTAATACACTCTTTATGCAAATCAATTGGTATTTGTTTGATAAATTAATGCTGTTAATATATTTTTGTGTAGAATATATCAGAGCTGCTGCGGCACTCTGTGTGGTTTGCCTCCTGGCTGATATTGCAGCAACAATTCTCACAGGGCTTGGTCTCCGTTCACAGGATCATCGTGACAAGCACAAGTATTATCGGTTTGCAGTCTTCTGCATGGGAATTGCTCGTAAGTATTTATGAATGTACTACCCCCCTTTATAAATCTGTATATAAATTACCTCTAGTACAATCTCAATATAATTTATGTTTATTATTCTTTACAGTGGTGTCTTTGCTGATTGCCCTGGTCATATACCCTGTTTGCTTTGCAGCAGAGCTTAATTTTGGTGAGTACCATTTCTCACATGCATTGGCAAAATTTAGTTTAGTGTTCCTTATGATGTCAAATTAATTCGTATCAGGAAACCGTCCCATGTGGGAATTTGGTTGGGCATACGGAGTTGGCTGGGGTGCCGCAATATTTCTCTTCGGCGGAGCTGTCCTTCTACTGTGCGATAAGGAAAGCGAAGAAATCTACTATAAGGAAAGGAAGATCGTACGCGATGATATTGGTGGGGGTGGTGGGGCTGGTTCTATGATGGGCGTTGGCCACCATGGAAGGAGTGGTACGCAGCTCGCCTAGTGGCACTGCTCCCTGCCCGACGTTGTCCTCTAGATGAGATTGGCACTTCTATTTCCCATCGGCGGCGGAACTCTACGCGGAACTCTACATGCGGGTCGAGAGTCCGACGAATCAACGGTATGTCTGATAATGCGTCTGACCGAGTGAATAATTTTTGTACAACCGTCTGTTTCTCTCTTTCTATCTATCTCTATGGAAAGACCTCTATATCGCGTAGTGTACACGCGAAATTCTCGGATATTCGTGTCTACTGGGGGACTGGTGGGAGAATGCAGGGATAAAATATTTTTTTTAATCTATTACTGGTCCAGTGTACCAGTATAAAATGGGGATATATATGACCGGTCTAATGGCACAAAATAATAAAGTTCACGCCAGTTCCTCGTGAGATATTTTCTAGCCTGCATACGTAACAATGTCCTGCACTTCACTACTCATCGGACACTTTGTTGCCGTCGGCCGTCGCAGGTTTTTTCCTTGATTTTTCGAGATCATTGATTAGATTAAATTTTTTTTTTCTTTTTTGTTAACAGAATCATTTGTTCTTATGTTTTTGAGACGTTCATAGGATCCTACATACCACTTACTCTGTTTACCCGGAGCCATTGCACACAGGGTGTTCATTAATTTTAATCGCGACCCTGATGTTTGTTAAACGACGTAAATAGACACGAAATTAACGTTACTGTCCAATGTGAGACTCGATGAGAAATCAATTTTCGGATGATGGATTTAATGATCTTAACGACACTCCAACTATGGAAATTTGACTGACAATTGAATTTTTTTGGTGCCCTTCACATCAGAGCTATCGGGACATGTTGAAATTTACTATTGGACAGACAGTATGGCGATACAATATCTAAACGAGGATCATTCGATTTTGCAATTGTATTGAGAGTTGTTAATCATTCCAGCCAGAATTTTCGGACGATGACTTTTTCCAATGATATGTTCCCTTTTCTTTGACTTACATTGTTTCCTTAACACTCAATTTTGTTCAATGAAGATTTCACTTGCAGTGGTAAAGATTCTTAAATGCCTTGCGCCATAATGTGAATTTTTTCTTTTTTTTTTTATGCTATGTATATATGTGGACAACGTACGCTCTAGGGAATACCTTTGAATTTATTATTTAAGTGCGTTCCCAACCGTCGCAAGGGCGTCGTTTACTTTAGCCAAAACTTATGATATTTTTGATAAATTAACATTATTTATGTGGACATAGCAATTAGCGTGACCTTAAAATTAAGAAAAGAAATAACGAGCGCCTCCATTGAAATTAACACAAAACTGTTTGGCTTTTAGTCTGAGGGAGATTGAGAAAAGGATATTATTTTCATGAATCGAATATAAATCTCCTGCGCCCACTATGGTAATTTTCGTACGAAAATCATTGTTATTTTGTATCCATTCAGATAAGACCATTGATTCTTGCTTATAATCATTGTCGAGGATATATTAAACATTCGGCAGCTATTTTATCGTAAAAGAGAAGTTAGAATTGATTTAACTATGGCGCAAACAAAACCAACCACTTGTATAGGCAGAGCCCTGTAATTGTCATGCGTTTAATTAATTAGCACACCTCGACGGAGGGCAGGTGAAAAAGAAAATACCGTCACCAGTTATTATTAAATATTATAACTTCCGTCAATATTGCACAAATGCTCTACACAATCTAATATCATTCTCTTCCAAGTAAATATTTGTATCCTGGAAGTGAGAGTAAATCTAACATCGGGAGAGCGACCAAACTATACTATACTTTAGGTTTATATGACGAATCAGTTGAGTTCTCTTGGCTCTTACTTTTTTTTTTTTTTTTTTTTAATAAAACTTATAAAAGAATATTCCTTGGAGACGGTACCGTACTTTCCACGCAGCCCTGTCGAGCTTACCGGCGTTTAGTTGGCAGCAAAACTTTTAATTTCACCACTCGGTTCAAGTAACGGGAGACCGACGTCCAAATGGTCCTCGAAGTAACAATATAAGAAACAAAAAAAAAAGAAAATGTACAAGACATAATTCTCTGATACCCAACTATACCGTCTCTCATCTGCAATGACATTATTTTCCTTCAGCGTATCTTAAATTACTCCAAGACGCTGGCTCTGAAATTATTTTAAATTTCATTGGTTTTAAAGACTGAGATAACATCGATGTACGGTACCAGAGAATTATTTTTCTTGGTTACACCCATCGACCAAGACGACCGATAATAGGGAACTAGAATAGAATATTAAGGAATAAGAAAAAGAAGGACGCGGAGTGCTGTTTGTGAGTGCGTGACGTAAGAGAGGCAGCTCGGGCAGGTTATACCGATCCATTGCGTAAACTTTAAGGCGGCCCCGGTTTTATAATTAGCCGGTTTAATTAGCAACGCGATGGTGATGTCAAAAGTAATGTACACGGGAAAGACGCGTAACGTCTTCTCCGTGGAACTCTCTATTCCACGATAGGCTCTATCGACAAACCTTTTGTACTTTATTAACCAGAGAGTAATAAGATAGGAGAATCCCTTTGTATTAACCAGTGAGAGAGTATCTTTGAGTTCTGGCAATATTAAACTGACAGGTAGTAGCTGCAACGAGAAACATCCTCGTCGCCTGTACCACTGTCTTGTCTCCAGAACGACCAGATACTTCTCTCTTCGTTGTACAGTATTCCTAGAGTTAACGCTGATTTATCGAGACACTTACTCGCAACGCTTCCACTAATTGATCTCCCCCTATTATCTCTCGACTTCAAGAGAAAGAGAGAGAGAGATATACTTTCTGGATAGTTTGATCATTTATAACATCTGTCAGTTAGTCTCCGCAAGCTGCATCGAGCTCACTGAACTTACAAGCTATGCTTTCTCTGCTCCGAAGGACCATTTTAAAACCAATTATTAGCCTCGAAGGGTATCCTTCTGGAATTACAATTAAAACTGGTAGCTCTTTTTAGTAATACTAAGAGAATTTGAAAAATATTTCTTCCAAGAGGATATCTTACTCTCTTTTTTTTCTTCTTGTTCTCTCTCTCACTGACAGAGGCACAAATATAATCAATATCGAAATGCAACTTAATAATCTGTATGCCATAGATCCATTAATGACTGCACCAGTTGCATTTCTCAGCATTCTCATATCGGATAGTAGTAGTAGGGCACATGACTCGCGTATCTCCGCTAATGATTCATTGTTATCCAATGCCACAGGCAAATGGATATCTACGAGGCAAACCTACGAGCCAACATATCATGCAAGACTATATTAAAAGACTTGAGAAAAAATTTCTTTGTCATTCATGTTGCAGACTTCACATATATATGTATATACTTATACATATTGTGATTATTCTGACAGCGACCGACCGATTTGTTCAATTGGAATGTCGTTAACCCAGGGAACATTGTCGGCACGAATTATCATTGTCATTTGTTTTTCCAGGCTGCATTTAATTAAGTAGACCATAACAAGAATGACAATGTAGAGGATAATGCGAATCATTGCACTACTTAACGGGACGTGTGTTCACGCTTACATGATTCTGCACTACGTTGAGTGTATACATATCACACGGTTTTGTACAAAGGATAAGGAAAAAAGAGTTATTTAGAAGAAGAAAAAAAGGAGGAAAAATATAGATGGTATGCCTCGGTGTGCCCTCACTTTGTCGCGATTCGGCTGACGCCTATTGGCTTTGTCGTTCGTTTAAAAACGTCGAATGTCCTGAGTAAGCCACGCGACGATATTATCCATTTTTACGTTACGCAACAATGTCTCGCCGTGAAGAAAAACTTATTATAATTGCATTGTACAAGTTAAATGTAATAATTTATTGTGATTTTATCGTGTTAGATCCGTCACGGCATTAGAGATACTCGTAGGCAATGTAGTATGTATACACGTTATACATAGGTATATATATACACCTAAAACATTAATATCATAAATACACGCGCGAGTGTACAATTGATTGACTGTAACTGTATAGATATAAATATATTACAATTTATTACTGATAAGAAAATGAATTAACGAATAGACACTATTTGGTTTATTGATATCGTTGCTGTCGGTGGATATTTTATTTCGTGTACTTTGTGCATCGACCGCGATTGTATTGATACAATGGTTATATTAAAGTATTATAGTGTATTAAGTAAAATTGTATTTATATTTACTTATTTAATAAAATAATACAAAATATAATTGATCAATGAAATATGGAAGGATTCGAGTGTTTATGGATTAAATAGCGCATCTCGTAGCTTCTGGTTCTGCAATAAGGATGTATGATATATATATATATATATATATGTACTATTCGATAAGGTTTGTTATGTTGTGTTTAACTTACACTCTCTATTTCCCTGTCGTATAGCTCTTGACAATCTTTCAGAAATTTTTTAATGTCTTCCTGTACTTTGAGAATGTCCTCGGCTAGTCGGTTTCGTTCCAGACGAATCTCGTGCAGACGCTCGTGCTCCTTTTCGAAGTTTTCTTTGGCAATTTTATTTTCACTGGAAGAAAGTGATGCAAGGAAGTCATGGTCATATATGGCACGAATCATAGTTCACGAGTATAGTTTACTATTTTAATATCATTTACTTGGATAGTTCAGACTTGAGGATTCGTAGTGGAGATAGTTGCTGTTCGCTCACCGCTCGTATCTCTTTGATTTCATCAGATCCGTATTGATTTTCGTGCTGTTCCATTTCTTGAATGATTTTCGCAATCTCCATATCTAATTCTTCAACTTTCTTTTTCATAGTTTCGGCATTCGTCTCGGCATCCCTTTGAATATACAATTACCTTAATGATCTTCGTGGTGATTTTTATTGGTTGATAAAGGACAGTATTTTCTGACTTACTTCAAAGAGCTAAGCGTATTTTTTATCTCGGGAAATTTGCCGTGTTGCTCCTGCACAAACGCCATGATCTTCTCTAATTTCTCAATCAAGTTATTCTTTGCGGAAATTGCTTCCTGCATATTTTCACGACGCTCTGACTTCTCTTTACTCTGTTGCTCCAGTTGTTGTAAGTGGTTCCGATAATCTTCTGGGCTGGTCACTACGTCAGCTTCTAGCTTAGCTATGAGTTTCGCTTCCTGCATAAATTATAGTTTAGACAGTGTCTTGCGGCAGATTTATTACATTAGTTTGAATTTTCATTACTTTTAAGGCCTTTGCTTTTAAGGCACCATGCTCCGTTGCTACTTCTCGTTGATCATTTTGTGTTTCTTTGAGTGTTGACTCAAGTTGTGTTTTCTTACGTTTGTTTGCTTCTACCCTCTGACGAACTTCTTTTATTTCTTTTTTTAACTTTGATACAAGAACAACATAAGTATTTTGTAAATGGATATCACATTAGTAAAAAAAAAAAAGAAATTACTAAGTTATGATACCTTTTCTTCCTTGGCTAATTGTTTAGATGTATAAAGAGCTTCACGATTAGCTTTTTCTATAACATCATTTTTTTCTTTTATTAAGTCTTCAAGAGTTTGACGTCTATTTAAGATTGCTTGTATATCATCATTTATATCAGAGAGTTTGTTTGTTGAGTATATGACAAAGTTAGATATAAATTTGGCTTGTCTTCTAAGCAGTTTTGGTCCTGTAATTCAGGGAGTTTTATCACATTGTTCTTATGCATCTAGAATCTAGATGGACGCACCAGGACTTGTGATATCTGTTAGACTGAAATCCTTGAGAAATAATTTTGTAGAGATTCCAGATATCGTTGCTTTCAGATTGACAATTCCAATTATGCTATCGTAAGCTTCCGCATAATACATTTTCTGCAATTGCTCGAAAGTTGGCTAAAATTTACAAAACATTAGATATAATTTTTCATAATTTACAGTATTATTTCACCATACCTTTTGTAAAGCATTAGTATCGACTTGAAATCGTGCTAAGAAACTTGTTAGAAGATTAATCACATACTCCTCGGTGGGATTTCTTATGTCAGATATTGTGGATGGTAATTGTGCGTCTAACAGGATCTTATGAATATTTTCAATATCACCATCCATGACTGAATACACAACAAATTACTAAAATCTTTAAATATTTATAATTGAACACAACTACATTGCTCCGAAGCACTCAAAGCGTTACCAAGCGTTACTTTCATACCGTGCTTTTTAAATGATCCAATAAGAAGCAACGTATAAAACTGACCAGTGGGATGAATGATTCACGTGCAGATGGCGCCACAATCGAAAATTCTTATGGCGGAAGTTACGTGGATGCTAATGCAAATTGCATTACCAGAAGTCCTCAAGCAGAATTAAAACAAGAAATAGACTTTTGCAGACAGAAGAATTCTTTATTGACACTGATGTATCGACTTTCTCACTGCGAGGCTGTCAACACGACAGATTTTAAAACCATCATCGACAGTGAACTTAGTCCGGGTATAAATAACATCGAGTACTTTATTCTGCCCTAACGCTAGGTGCAATATTACAAACAAATAATAAACCTGATTATGCTACGGAATAGAACTTATTAATGTACAGAATAACGACGCTCCCAAGCATCCGATTACAAGACGTAATCGAGCTCGTACCTGATGTACTGATTCTTTGGGTCATTCATGATCCTGGGATAGCCGGCGACTAGTGCATCCTGACCACCGATATAAAGCGAATTATATATTTTCCAATAAACGTCGCGCACTTTCCGCGCAGGATGGAACAATCCTTGTAGCGTATACTGAAGTATCTTAATCGGACCTAGAGCGACACGAAGACCATCCACGGCGTCCATGAAAGCTTGTACCAGATGCGGGGAAGTTTCGAAAACGTTCGGCCATACGTGATTCAGGAGATGAATTAAAGCATCTTCACAACCAAATCCATAGACACCGAGTGCCATGTGTTTTATTGCTGCACAGGCTGTTTGCCTGTGTACCAGGTCTCTGTAATGAATAATCAATTATTGTCAGGTAACTATTAATCGTTTTATATCAAGTACTCATCGATGACTTACCTGTCCATAAGAGCATCTTCCAGGAGAGGACTCACTGCATAGATGTAATCTTTACCCATCTCACCGATGTACTCGAATAAGAATGACAAGGATTTTAGTACTCCATTCTGTACATTTAACTCAGGAACTCTGTACTCGTTCATCAGGGCTGGTAGTACTGTGAATGGACTGCAAGTTTCAGCTACGATGGCTATTGCGACAGTAGTGCAAACGCGATTTTGTCTCTCTTGCACCTTCAGATTGTTTAAAAGCGTCGCGAGAACGTCGTGCGGGCTGTGATAGAAATTATAAAAACATTGCCGATTTATTTTAATTGCTCGGATATTTAAAAAGATAATTAACGTAAACAAACTCACCCGATAGCTTTAGCTATGTAACCGAATGTATTAACTGTGGCTCTGCGAATAGCTTTTTTATGAGCTTTCAAGAGTTCCAACAACTCAAAACAAATGCGCATCCATTCTCTGGCTGAAACATATTCCGGACCTCTGTCTGCTATTCTTCCAACAAGATCAATACAGTTTTCTTGCACCTGTAATGAGAACAATCACACATATAATTTACCGTGCTCGCGATTGGGACGAATTTCATGTAATCGAGGTTTTTTTACCTTCTCGTGTCTGTTTTTGAGGATCGGCGTCAGACGAGGTAGTAGATCCTTTATAGGTGGAGTCATCTTTGTCATTCCGATTACATTTACAATAGCTTTCAAAGCTCCAAGAATACTGCCAAGTACCTCAGGATATTCTTCACCTAGATACTCGTAAAGGACAACACCCAAATGTCCCATAAGTTTCTCCTAATAAATGAAAACAAGCATTAAAGATTATGATTATCGAAAAAAAAAGTTTAAGGAATCATAGTAAATAATATTTCACCTCTTGACAAGTCTTCATCACGACTGCAATTCGCGATATAAGATCTGCAGCCTGTTGACGAACTTTGGCCGATTTGTTATTCAATCGCCAGAGAATCGTACCACAAATTTGAGGTAGATAAGCCTTTACACGTTTACCCAATGTATTGACAATAGTACCGAAGCCATTGAGCATCACCACGTCCTGAAATAATTATAAAAGGTACAATACGATAATCTTAAACAACTATGGTTAAAAATAAAAGGTTCATATCTTCATTCTTCTCACTTACCTCAGTTGTCTGTTCCTGAAAAGCGTAAAGGATTCCGTCAATGAGTTGTTCCTCCAAACGAGAGTCCACATCGGCCGCACCCAAATTACCCATAATCTTTTCAATTGTCTCCATGACCATCTTTCTGTATTGCTCATTTTCATCCTTAAGGTCATCGACTACGCGATTTATTATTTCTGAAGCGCCAACTTTGTTGGCTATCTCCACAGTGGTGTCTACTAACTGAATAATATTTGTTGTTAATTGAAAAATTAAAAGAGAAATACCTTATCAAATGATAAAAAAATATGTTTGATACCTGTCTGTAATTTCTACGGTCAAGTGCCATACGATGATTCCAGAAATGTTTGAAAAAGTGTGGAAGAATTTCGTCCTTTATGTATTGCGCTTCCACACCATCGGTACCGCAACATTGTTTAACGACCTGAAATAAATTAATTTAAACGTTAATATAAAATTACTTCCTAAATCGAAAGCGCCAATGATTTATTCTATCGTCTACCTTTAATACAATCTTCTTCATCTCCTCGTCAGGCGACTGGAACTCCCGTATGAGAATCAACATCACTTCACGAGTATAATAGTTCGCATATTCGGCGTCCATAAGAGGGATAAGGTAACCAATAGCTTTGAGAAAAGCAGCTAAGCCCTTTCCACGATGAGTCCTTATACCTTTCCACAATGGTTTTAGAACAGAATCGAAACTTTCAATACCATAGGGAGTCGCAGCTTCGGCTAAGGCAGCAATAGCCAAAGCTGTGATAGTACGAACCTTTTGTTGCTCATCGACCAGTCCTAGAAATAAAGGAAATAAATATTTAAATAAATACTTGTCAATATACGCGATAAATGTGTACCACTTAATAATTACCGTGTTCAATGATTTCTACTAAGCTCTTCAAGTGAGGCAAAATTGCACAGCCCATGAGAATTGCTATTTGCTGAACAATCTTTATGCCAGTGTGTCGAGCCTGCCAGGATTTTTTACTACGACATACAGCCTTTAGAAAAGGCAACAGCGATGGAATTCCAAGAGCTGATGCAACGACGGCGAAGGCCCTGGCTGTGGTATTCCTGACGTATTCGTCAATGTTATCAATGTCGGGTCTCATTGTAGAGATCATTGTGGCCAACCCTGCAGCCTTAGCCAAGTTCGATATAATTTCACGACCTTCCACACGGGCATAGTAATCCTCATCGATAAGTAATGGTTCGATAACGACCAAGATCTGCGTAAAAGAATTAATAAATTAAAAAGAGAAGTTTCCTAGGTGAAATAATTTCGTTTTAGATCTGAATAAATCGTTGTACTTACTTTGTGAACGTAGGGTCTTACGAGGTCATCAAGCTTGTAGAGTATTCTATCAATGACTTTGACAAGAAGATGACGTTCCTGATCCTCCAATGTGGGTGACATAAGAAGCGGCAGAATCTGATTGAACAATGGACCAGCACCAAACTCTCTGGCTTTGTCGGTGATCTGCCTCAGTGCTGCTTTACGCATAGGTGGTGTACCGTTTTTTATTTTTAACAAAAGCTTCATGATTTTACGTTCCTTCTGTTCCTCAGGACTCAAAGACTCTTCGTCAACGTCCACTAGAAGTTTGTCAAAGTACTGAGCGTCCTCAGGCTTCATGAAAGGAAGATTGCCTTTTGGTTGGTTATCCACGAATTTAGCACTTTTATCTTCAGTCTGGATGAAAAATCCATGAGGAGTTCCGGCAACAGGAGTAGGTGTTGCTGTAAGTTTCCTGGCAGGAGTCCTGATGGGTATGTATCCTTGAAACATAAACAAAATGTCAATCAACACGATGTATTGCGTGTTCCAATTAGTACATAGAAATAAGTAAAATTACCAGCAGGCGGTTGAAGAACTTTGTATCCTGGTGGAAACATAGCATCCAATTCATCATCCGAAAGTGGTCTGTTACGTTCATCGATTTCTCGTTCCCAACGATAAGCCTGAAGTTGTTCAGGAGTCATGGACATGAGATGTCCAGGTGTCGGAGTGGCCAATCCCATAGCTTTTGGCCCTGTCGGAGTGACTCCACTAGGAGTCAGTATAGAACTTTGATGCGGAGTAGTCAAAGGTGTGGCTGGAGTCTGCGGTGTCATTGATCCTGGAGTTTGATTAGATGGTGTCTCATCCCAACGACTTCTGCGTTTACTTGCAGACGGCGTAGGTGTTTCCTGAATCAAATCTCCGGCCACACGATCCGTCCTGGGAGTCTCAGCCCAACCGCTATTGTGTCCTGGCGTTTCTATAATCAAACCCAAAATAATAAATTAATATTTATCAAACGCACTGTAAATAAGACGCATCATTCTTCCCTATTCAATGCCACTTACCTCTTTCTGTTTTAGGCGTCTCGTCCCATCTGTTTCGCCGACTGGAGACAGCCTTTTCATGCGAAGGAGTCTCTCGACCAGGAGTAACCGCACCAGGAGTCGCATGCCCTGGAGTAGCATCCCACATTCTAGTACTAACACCAGGTGTGGCACCAGGAGTTTCACCTCCTTTGCCATGACCTGGTGTCTCATCCCACCGTATAGCAGCAGGAGTTACCTGGATAAATAAGACAAAGCGTAAGTCCAGAAAGAAAAATTACTATTAAGAAAAAAAAGAAAAACCAAAAATATCATTCTTACATCTGCATTGTCCCAGGAAGTTGGTGTAGCAGCTGTGCCAGTTGATTTTTTTGGCGTAGGAGCGTCATCAGTCTGATCCCACCGACCACGTTTTTTAGGAGCAGGTTTTGGCTCTCCATTGGCTTTCAGTGTGCCATCCTTCGCTTTCTCCACCAGTTTCTTTCTCAACTAATCAATCAATTAATACACAACGGTAAATAATTAATTTCTCCATTCTAATGTATCTCTATCCTCGTTAAAATAATTTTACATACCTCAGTTTCTTCTCCTTTGAGCAGCTGCTCTCGCATAATCTCCGTATAAGTCCTAGATCCGATGTCCGGTGTCTTACCGCCTGTAACCATTAATCAAACGTCACGCAAAGCGTAACAGTTAGTCGGATCGTACGATAATTGTTCGACTGTATATAGAAAGAATCTTCCTGACATCAATAATAGACTGTATATTAACTTGTTCAACGCCCAGAACAGTCGGCGATACTCTAAAGCGACTACTGAATTCGCTCCCTTTAATATTCTACCATTCGCAACGATCTTATAACGAGCTCAGATGAAGGTATTATATCCATTAATTTATTATTAAAATCGCGTATCTATAACGAGAGCTGCAACAGTAGTCGACATTTTGCCATACGTACGTGAAGATTCGTCGTCGACGCAGTGAGCTAAGATTCCCGCTCAAGTCTTCCGCATCGAAAAATACTTTAGCCATCTAAAAATCAACTCATTCTCGTTATTAATAATATATGCATTCGGACCACTCATTCTAGTAACTGCCTTTAAAAGGACGTCTGGACGAACCGCTTGACACGACATAACAGAGAGGAATTCTTTATAGCCATGTGATATTGTTGGATAAATGTTATTCAGAGAATCTGAAGAAACTCAAAGAAAGTATGTGGTAAACCATTTGTGATGTAAAATGATGGAATCACTATTCTTTTATATCTTTTAAACGATTAATGTTTTGTCGTGTCAATTAGACGAACGGACTCATTACGGAAGACTACGACTCGTGGTCGCTTAACCTTCGACATAGATTCCTCGGTAAGCAGATGATCCGAATGTGCTGACCGTCACTAAGATTGGAAAAAGAATGTTCACATTAGTAATGTGTTACGGAAGAGACTCATTCATTCGCTTCGTTTGCAACCAGATATTCGCAATGCTATAACATATAGCATGTTCCCTATACAAGTAATGCCAGAGAAGTCAATATAGAATTTAAAAGACCATAAGATTTGTCCAGATCAAAAAGCAAGAATTGGAATTGGTCTCTTGCATTACAGTATATGGCGCAGCATTATCATTAAGTATGACATCCTACGATGGAAGGACATACAGTGTATCAAATGTAACTAGAAAAAGTGATGCAAAAGAGAACTCTCAGGCGTGAGAAGGCTTAATATATAACTCGGCTTGTAACAACACGTTAACTTAGATACTTAAATTTCTGCATGTAAAGAGTGGCATAACTGATAGACAAGGACTTTCATATCTACAGGTTTTTGTGAGGCCGTTTTGATTGTCACCTGCGTATCAGCAAATGCTTCACTTTGCATATGGATCTTATTGGATCTAGATTGTCCATTGCAGTTATGGTTATCCATAGATAGAGAATGATAATACCAACCCTCGGCAAATGGATCAACACGCTCTGGTGAAATGATCATGCGACGACGCTTTTGACGGTATTCGTCCTCGCGATCAGCTATGGTGGGTCTTCTTCTGTCAGCAAATGGATCATAATCCTTGTCACTCTAAAATTAATTATTTCAATTATTAAAATAGTTCAATGATAGATATGAATGTATTAATTGTTTCTATAAATACCTGTGCCACATCGTTAAGTAAAGCTGCTGGTGCATTGTAACCTGGTCGTTTACTTGAGCTAAATGTGTTGTGCTCAAAATCTTCGTCCTAATTCAAACATATAGATTTAATTCAATATTATTATCAATTAAAACCTTTAAATCATCAAGTGTACTATATATCAATATCTTAAATATAATTACCTCAATCTCATCATTTGCAGCAATTGATGTGACGTAGCCATCATACTTGTTTTTTGCACCATCATAAATGTCTTGATCATAAAATCCAGTTTTTCCTAATGCAACTTGGTCCTTCTCTGCAGAAGCATTTTGAATGTCTTTCTTCTTTGATTGAATCTCCCGAATTTGGGCTTCAATATCTACAAGAGTAAATTAATATTGATTATAATGCATAAAAGTATCGTTGAAAGTGTAGTCGAACTAGGAATAAAATGTGAGGTGTCCAAGACACTTAACGTTGAAACTTATAATACAAAACACATTTTACTGGCAATCCAAATATATTACCATAATACATTAACGAAACTAAAAAATCTAGCCTATACGGTACACGCCTGATGCAAAACTTTAACGTAAAACTATATACTGAAAAACTCAATGAACGTGACCGTCTACAAAGTAAAGTTCTTCAGAGTAAAAGATAAAACAAATAAATATATTGAAAATATCATAAAATACCTTCGTGAGTTCTTGGAATGGAGTCCATAATGTCTACGTAGAAGCGCCCTTGCGTCAAACAAACTCAACGTAAGACCCTCAACCTCAATCAACCTCAATGGAAACTGAAGCCAACGGACGCCATGTTTTGGCAAGTGCCGCTATATAGCAGAAGTCAAACGAATAAAAGATAAAGCTATGGCACAAAATTGAATAATTCCGTTAAAAAATGCTACACTGAAAATACTTGACCGATTACGTTTATACTTGGATGAAGATAAAGTAAAAAATCTTAAGGTTTAATGAAATGAAATGTGCTCAGAGAAAATTGTTTTTTATCGACTTTTGGTAGGAGATTTTACAATCACGCATGTCCACTGTCAGCCAATCGTAGCTCTGCATTCCCGGAAAGTATATCGTCATTCGTTGATACCAGCGACGTACGTGTAATCTTAAGGTCCCGTCACAATTCCAAACGTGCGTTCGAACGCGATCTATCGGTCAATGGTGCAGAGCGTCCACAGAATTTACGTTGTATATTGGTCGAAAGTTAAGTTCGAAAGTGCGTTCGTCGAGTGTGACTGAGCCTTTAGGAAAGCTGCGGCTGCCGCTCGAACAATATCTGAAGCTCATAAATGCTTTTCGATACCTATTTATTATTTGACGCTAGAAGGTATTTATAGGGAAATAAAGATTAGAGGAATTCTGCTTTTATTATGTATGTTCATACAGTGAATTAAGTATTTAATGAACCATATACTGAAACAGAGTCGATTAAGGTTTAGCAAGAAGTTTCTTTCATGATGGATGGAGTACCCGGCAGTGAGGTTGGTTTTGATCGTACACCTTAAACTGTTTTGATACGCATAGACCACTTGTCTCATAAATAAAATTATGAATTGAAAAATTATTTCTAGGGTCAGCCGACGATGCTGGACCCGCAGCAATTACGACAAATGGAACAGCAAGAAATGGAGAAACAATTTGCCAGTGTTCCACAGTCGATGTATGGAGATCATTCGAGCAATGGTCATCCCCCAATGGGAATGGAGTTACCTAGTTTGCTAAGCCTAAAAGTTATGCCTCCAGGAGAAATACAAGATCCTAATATGGGTGATAGGGAGATCAGAGCTGGGGATATGGAGTCTATGAAACTTCCTGCTGCCTTGGAGCAAGCTCTCGCTTTTAAAACAGAACGCGCTAAGGAAGTAGGGAGTGATGCTAATACGTTACTTCCTCCTGGAGATTCAGCAATGCCAGACATTCCTGGAGAAGAGTTGATTCATTTAGATGAGCCAGTACCAGAGGTGGAGATTACAAAAGTAAAATCCGATCCACGTGCTGCTCGCACCAAAAAGAAGAAGAAAAAGAAGAAGAAGAAAATTGAGGAAAAGAAAGAACTTGAGAAGAAAGACAATATTGACAATAAGTCTGATAAAGACAAACCTGAAGTTGAATATATTCAGGATGTTCCTGGAATTGCTGATTTAGAGCCAATGTATCGACAGTTTGCTAGAGTTTTTGAGGCTTTCAAACTCACTGAACGTGAACCGCAAAATAATGGGCCTTCCGATATCGGTGAAATAATTGGCCAGTATCCTCCAGTAAAAAATCCAGCAGGTACTGGCAGTGCACCCAGCAAAGTCCCTCCTATCGATGATTTTGATGATGATCAGGGACTGAATCAACGTAGCACGACAGAGAACGGAGCACCAAGGTTATCAAAAAGAAAATTGAAAAGACTCACCAGGCTCAGTGTGGCAGAATTAAAACAATTAGTGGGGCGTCCTGACGTTGTCGAAATGCATGACGTCACAGCCAGAGACCCAAAATTGTTGGTACAACTTAAAGCTCACAGAAATACTGTGCCTGTTCCACGTCACTGGTGCTTCAAGAGAAAATACCTTCAGGGAAAGCGTGGTATTGAAAAGCCGCCTTTCGATCTGCCTGACTTCATAAAACGTACGGGAATTACGGAAATGAGAGCCAGCCTCCAGGAACGCGATGATTCTCGAACATTGAAGGCCAAGATGCGTGAACGCGCCAGACCCAAACTTGGAAAAATTGACATAGATTATCAAAAGCTCCATGATGCTTTCTTTAAATGGCAAACAAAGCCCCGAATGACAATTCATGGAGATTTGTATTACGAGGGCAAAGAATTTGAAACTCGTCTCAAGGAGAAGAAACCTGGAGAATTATCCGATGAATTGCGTACCGCCCTGGGCATGCCAGTTGGCCCAAATTGTCACAAAGTTCCACCGCCATGGCTCATTGCCATGCAGCGATACGGCCCGCCTCCTAGTTATCCCAATCTGAAAATCCCAGGTCTTAACGCTCCAATTCCCGAAGGATGTGCCTTTGGTTATCACGCTGGTGGCTGGGGTAAGCCTCCGGTAGATGAGACTGGTCGTCCCTTGTACGGAGATGTGTTTGGTCTTGCGAGGGCTCCAGGAAGCGATGCTCTCGACGAGGAGGTCGATCGGGGTATGTGGGGCGAGCCAGAATCTGAATCTTCTGGCGAAGAAGATGAAGATGAGGATGGGGAAGAAGGAGCCGATGGAGAAGTTGATGGAAAGGATATTGATGGAGATGCCAGTGGGCTTGTAACACCAGGAGCTGAAGGTCTAATTACTCCTAGTGGAATTACGTCCATACCAGCAGGACTTGAGACTCCCGAGACTATCGAACTTCGAAAGAAGAAAATTGAGAGCGAAATGGAAGGTGGAGAAACTCCAGCACTTTACACTGTCTTGCAAGAAAGACGTGCAGAAGGTCTTGGAGCTAGCATGATGGGAAGTACTCATGTTTACGATATGACTGGTGCTGGCGGACAAGCACCGCCGTCCGTAATTGCTGCAAGGCGAGGACTTGGATCGGCTCCTGGAGATCCTAGAACAGAAAAAGATGGAACTGTAGAATTAGCACTCGATCCTAGCGAGCTTGATTTAGACTCTGAAGCCATGGCTTCTCGTTACGAAGAAACGATGAGGTCCAGACAGGCTCATCTTCGGCGTGAAGATCTTACAGAAATGTTACAGGATCACGTCCAACGGCAAAAGGTTCATTTCTTTTGCACTACATTATTTCTTTCAATATTCTGTTCCTTCATTAATAATATTCTTTGTTACAGAGCAAACGGAAGCGTCAACAAACTCAGGAAGCAAAATCTTCGAAGAAGTACAAGGAATTCAAGTTCTAGGCACATTATATTATTTAGAGTATAAATCGTGTAAATATATTCCGCCATATACCAGCAATTTCACAGAACCCTATAAAAATAAATGTTCTTTAAAACTGTCAATAATTCTTAGTCATTTTATGTCTATATTGTATAAACAGAATCTGTAATCGTTTAGATACTTTCCATCACCTTTATTTATATGTAATGAATAGTAGGTTGGCTAATGGATCTATCGCTAGTAGCCATACCATTAAATAGTAGAGCTGCTTTACACATTCTAATTCGATTATGCGTGATTCACAAGTAATTTTATACGGATTACGTACATAATAATAAAAATAGAAAACAGAAAATGATCTGTTAACTTAATGCTAAAATTTCTTTTTAATTATACTAAAAAACCGTTAGTCCATACCTCGTCAAATTAAGTCCATAATTATGTATGTACCATTGACAATCGATTTTTTTCAAGTCTTCAGGCTCATCTCCTATGTAACAGCAACCAAGGTTCATTGATTAAGAAACAATTAACAAAGTTGAATTTGACCGGCAATCTTAACAGAAATTATTTGGTGTCTATGAATTCAGATGGCGGGTCAAGACCATTATTAAGGCTTGGCATATGGCGGCCTAATGTATGCCGTAGCATCTGTATCAGCGACGTGAATAATGTGTCCAACGTTAAATTTGTAACGTAAACTTCAATAGTGTATAGTTTTTGCTGTAATTAAATATTGTAGGCAATGCGGTAAACATACTAAAGAAAAAAAAGTAAAAAAAATAATGAGTGAGGAATTAGTGCTAATAAATAAGGAAGAAAGACATCAGTTATAAAAATTGTTAGAGTTACCAAAATGATATGTATACGTAGAGCGTTTGTAGCGTGAGCCACGGTCCATGCACGTTTCGTGTAAATAACTATAACGTAAACGTTATGTCTCCAGGAGACATGCAAGATCCTAATATGATTGACATGGAGATGAGACCTGGAGATACAGAGGCTATGAAACTTCCTGCTGCTTTGGAGCATGCTCTTGCGTTTAAAAGAGAACGTGCTAAGGAAGTAGGGAACGATGCTAATACATTACTTCCTCCTGGAGATTCAGCGATGCCAGATATTCCTGGAGAAGAGTTGATTCATTTAGATGAGCCAGTGCCAGAGGTGGAGATTCCAAAATCAAAATCAAACCCACGTGCTGCTCGTACAAAAAAGAAAAAGAAAAGGAAGAAGAAGGTTGAGGGAAAAAAAGAACTGGCGAAGAAAGATAATATTGACGATAAGTCTGATAAAGACGAACCTGAAGTTGAATATATTCAGGACATTCCTGGAATTGCTGATTTAGAACCAATGTATAGACAGTTTGCTAGAATTTTTGAGACTTTTAGACTGATTGAACCTGAGCTCCAAAGTAATGGACCTTCCGATACTTGTGAACCAATTAGTCAGTATCCACCATTAAAAATTCCAGCAAGTACTGGCAGTGCACCGAGCAAAGTTTCTCCTATCGATGATTTTGATGATGATCAGGGACTGAATCAACGTAGCACGACAGAGAACGGAGCACCAAGGTTATCAAAAAGAAAATTGAAAAGACTCACCAGGCTCAGTGTGGCAGAATTAAAACAATTAGTGGGGCGTCCTGACGTTGTCGAAATGCATGACGTCACAGCCAGAGACCCAAAATTGTTGGTACAACTTAAAGCTCACAGAAATACTGTGCCTGTTCCACGTCACTGGTGCTTCAAGAGAAAATATCTTCAAGGAAAGCGCGGCATTGAAAAGCCGCCTTTCGATCTGCCTGACTTCATAAAACGTACGGGAATCACGGAAATGAGAGCCAGCCTCCAGGAACGCGATGATTCTCGAACATTGAAGGCCAAGATGCGTGAACGCGCCAGACCCAAACTTGGAAAAATTGACATAGATTATCAAAAGCTCCATGATGCTTTCTTTAAATGGCAAATAAAGCCCCGAATGACAATTCATGGAGATTTGTATTACGAGGGCAAAGAATTTGAAACTCGTCTCAAGGAGAAAAAACCTGGAGAATTATCCGATGAATTGCGTACCGCCCTGGGCATGCCAGTTGGCCCAAATTGTCACAAAGTTCCACCGCCATGGCTCATTGCCATGCAGCGATACGGCCCGCCTCCTAGTTATCCCAATCTGAAAATCCCAGGTCTTAACGCTCCAATTCCCGAAGGATGTGCCTTTGGTTATCACGCTGGTGGCTGGGGTAAGCCTCCGGTAGATGAGACTGGTCGTCCCTTGTACGGAGATGTGTTTGGTCTTGCGAGGGCTCCGGGAGATGATGCTCTCGACGAGGAGGTCGATCGGGGTATGTGGGGCGAGCCAGAATCTGAATCTTCTGGTGAAGAAGATGTTGATGAGGATGAAGAAGAGGGAGCCGACGGAGAAGTTGATGGAAAGGATATTGATGGAGATGCCAGTGGGCTTGTAACACCAGGAGCTGAAGGTCTAATTACTCCTAGTGGAATTACGTCCATTCCAACAGGTCTTGAGACTCCCGAGACTATCGAACTTCGAAAGAAGAAAATTGAGAGCGAAATGGAAGGTGGAGAAACTCCAGCACTTTACACTGTCTTGCAAGAAAGACGTGCAGAAGGTCTTGGAGCTAGCATGATGGGAAGTACTCATGTTTACGATATGACTGGTGCTGGCGGACAAGCACCGCCGTCCGTCATTGCTGCAAGGCGAGGACTTGGATCGGCTCCTGGAGATTCCAGAACAGAAAAAGATGGAACCGTAGAATTAGCTCTCGATCCTAGCGAGCTTGATTTAGACTCTGAAGCGATGGCTTCTCGTTATGAAGAAACCATGAGATCCAGACAGGCTCATCTTCAGCGTGAAGATCTAACAGAAATGTTACAGGATCACGTCCAACGGCAAAAGGTTCATTTCTTTTGCACTACATTATTTCTTTCAATATCGTGTTGCTTTATTAATAATATTCTTTGTTACAGAGCAAAAGGAAGCGTCAACAAACCCAGGAAGCGAAATCTTCAAAGAAGTACAAGGAATTCAAGTTCTAGGCACATTATATTATTTAGACTATAAGGCGTGTAATATATTCCGACAAATACCAGAAACTCCACAAAATCCTTAGAAATAAAGATTTTTTAAAATGAGCTCCCTTAACTTTTGGACCACCGGATGCTTTTATATAGGCGCGGAACAGATTGCTAGACTTTCATTATTTATGCATATAAACTACGCATTGCTTAAATATATCGGAAAAAAGAAATAGTAGCGGCAGTCTGGAGATAATCGTCAAATATTGATGTATATCCATCAGAGATGAGTAGGTAGGTAGGTAGATACTCATCTCTGTATCCATTATGAGATCAAGTACCAGAAATGTTCAAAATGGTACAGTCTGAAGTTTGAAGCACTTTTTTATAACTTGTGTTCCTAAATATAATACGTTTTATGTTGGACAAGTTACTCAATTCAGAGGAATACCAACATGGAACAATTTATATGTTTCAAGAAACCAAGACAAAAAACAAACCTCATCTCTCGTTTCAATCACTACGAGATACTCAGTGTCAACGAATTCAGACGTACATAGAAGTGTATTTCCTATGCTTAGCTTGAAGACTAGTATTCTCCGACTCAAATATCTACTCGATGGCGCGACGATCGCATCATATCCCCACTGTATTAAGAGTACAAGAGTACGAGAGACGGAGCGAGAGTGAAATCGCCACCACGAATTAGAGGAGGTGGAGCGCAAGAGGGAGACCGCATCTTATCCCCAAGGCATTAGAGATGTAGGAGAACGAGAGATAGGATAGAATAAAAGGCGGAGCCTGTTCTTTTTCTGGTATCTAGAATAGCGTACGCGCGTCGGTGATATATTGATGTACCACACAGAGCCAGCGGTGCTGCCAGCGCCTCTACCCATTGGGGATAGGAACTAACCCCTATCCCCAGCAAAATCGAGCTTCAAGAGGGCTATAAGAAATACACTTCTATGTACGTCTGAATTCGTTGTCAGTGTACAATCTATATTACTTTTTATCGTAGTCCAAGCCAGTGGAAGCTCGTTGCGGTTTGGTTACAAATCCCGCCATGTCCGCATTGGAACTTACCTTTCGAGCATACTTAGCGTTTTAAGAGCCGGGAAACAAAGAAAATATAAAGTATGTCTGAACGTTCAGTCGAATCTTAACGCTTGGTCAATAAACAGTTGAAAAAAGGTTTAAGCGCTTTAACTATTGGTGTGCGACGTGTTGTAAATTTCAACTGCGTTGAGCTTTGAAATACGTTTTCCAGTACAAGCAGTACTGGCAGTGCTTAGATATAGCGCGTTCCGGCTTAAGCAGCAAAGCTGCTTTGTGGTTTACAACCTAAAACGGATTCGACATCATGTCAAACGCAACTCTCGATAAAGACACGTTTTTCCGGCGTATGAAGCGTCTTTACGCTGCGTGGAAGGTAACGTGGTCGTCTCCTTGAACATTGATTTTTGTATTTCATATTATATGAGATTGAGCTGATGATTCTTCTTTTTTATACAGGATGGCGAAGTCGGCACAGATGATAGTTTCAGCAAAATGGATTGCCTCGTCTCCGCCGTCGGTACGGACGAGGATATTGTCTATAGCAAGTCCACAGCTCTTCAGGTAGATCAGATTAAATTTGTGTAAATTTCTGTGAGATATTTGTGTATTGAGAGATACACAATGGACATGTATTTGTAATTATTTCTAAAGAACATAATAATAATTATTATTTTTAACAGAACATAATAATTATTATTTTTATATCTCAAATTAGTGCGACATGCTTGGAAGCCTCAGGCTTATTGTATCTTGTATTCTTGCAGACGTGGCTGCTTAGCTATGAATTGGCTGACACCATCATGATCCTTGCTGAGGATTCCATTCATTTTCTTGCCAGTAAGAAGAAAATTGAATTTCTGAGGAAGGTCGAGAATCAAAAGACAGAAGACACAGGAGTCCCACCAGTGAAGCTATTAGTACGTGACAGAGTAAGTATATAAAGGATGTTTTAGCTTTCAAAACATATTGATTTTAAAGTCTTATATGCTGTATAACTTTTTCAGAATGATGAGGATAAAGCCAACTTTGCCAAACTCATTGATGTTATTAAGGATAGCAAAAAGGGCAAAACTTTAGGAGTATTTTCAAAAGAAAATTATCCTGGAGCATTCATGGATGCATGGAGAGCATCTCTCAAACCGGAATCATTTGATACTGTAAGATGTTCTTTTAAATGGTAATTATTGAGTAATGCTTAATAATTCATTAATTATATTTAAAGGTTGATGTAAGTGCCGCAACAGCTTACGTTATGTGTCCAAAGGAAGATTCAGAGATTTTGACTATCAAAAAAGCTTGCCTAGTTTCTGTAGATGTCTTTACAAAGTATTTAAAAGATCAGATCATGGAAATCATTGATTCGGACAAGGTTTGTAAAATCCCCTTATCAAAGTATTCCTATTTATTTGAAATGTAGAAAAGTATTTCGAATTCAAATCCAATGACAAAATTCTCTTGCAGAAAGTAAAGCACTCAAAACTCGCAGAAGGAGTAGATGCAGCTATCTCAAATAAGAAATATGTTACTGGCGTTGACGTCACTCAGGTTGATATGTGTTATCCAGCCATAATTCAAAGTGGTGGAAATTATTCACTTAAATTTAGTGTAATCAGTGACAAAAACATTGTTCATTTTGGAGTTATCATTTGTTCACTGGGTGCGCGATACAAGTCGTATTGTTCGAACATTGTGCGCACATTGTTGGTTAATCCTACAAAGGCCATTGAGGTACGAAGAAGTCCTGATTCTAATAAAATAGATTAATTATTTCGTGATGCAGTGTTTATAAAGTGTCAATTGCACTTAGGACAACTACAATTTCTTGCTCCAACTGGAGGAAGAAATTTTAAAGAAACTCGTAGCTGGAACAAAAATAAGTGAAATTTACGATACTGGCATAAAATTTGTCAAAAATGAGAAGCCCAACATGCTTGATCACTTGACTAGAAATTTTGGCTTCGCAATGGGTATAGAATTCCGGGAGAGTTCCTTACTTATTGGACCAAAAACGCATGCTGTTGTCAAAAAAGGCATGGTTTTTAATGTCAATGTTGGTCTTTCTAATCTCAATAATCCAGAAGCTACCGATAAAGAAGGAAAGAACTATGCACTGTTCATCGGTGACACCGTTATAGTGAATGAGGTAAGTTACATAAATAAACATTATATACATACGAAATCAGAAACAGGAATTACGTATACCTTTTTAAAAATTCTTCCAGGGGCAACCAGCTACAGTTCTAACGCCGTCGAAGAAGAAAGTGAAGAATATTGGTATCTACTTAAAGGACGATGAGGAGGAGGAAGAGGAGGGTAGTGGGAAAGAAAATGAACCAAAGCCAGAACCGATCCTGGGTCGTGGAAAGAGAACGGCTGTTATAGAATCCAAACTTAGAACAGAACACAGTTCCGAAGAGAAAAGAAAACAACATCAAAAGGAATTAGCCCAACAACTTAATGAAATTGCTAAGGCTAGATTAGCTCAACAGTCCGGTGGAAAGGAGCAGGAAAAAATTCGAAAATCTACAGTCTCTTACAAAAGTCTCAGTCATATGCCACGTGAGCCTGAAGTTAAGGAATTGAAGCTCTACGTTGGTAAGATCATCTATATTTCACATTGCCCATAAATTTTAAAGCTGTAATGAGTACCTAAATAATTTTGTTACAGACAAAAAATATGAAACTGTAATTCTACCAATCTTTGGCGTTCCTGTACCCTTTCACATATCGACTATCAAAAATATCTCACAGTCTGTCGAAGGGGACTATACCTATCTTAGAATTAATTTCTTCCATCCTGGTGCAACTATGGGACGTAATGAGGGAGGCACTTATCCACAGCCTGATGCCACATTTGTCAAGGAAGTGTAAGTATACGTTAAATTTTCTCAACTAGGCAGTATTTTTTAACATTGTACATTGGTTTTTATAGAACGTATCGGTCCACGAATACCAAGGAACCTGGAGAAATATCAGCACCATCTTCTAATCTCAATACAGCATTCCGATTGATTAAGGAAGTCCAAAAAAAGTTTAAGAATCGCGAAGCCGAGGAACGCGAAAAGGAGGATCTTGTTAAGCAGGACACTCTTATTCTCTCACAGAATAAGGGTAATCCTAAACTCAAGGATCTTTACATCAGGCCTAACATTGTTACTAAAAGGATGACTGGTGGTCTTGAGGCGCATACTAATGGATTCCGATACACTTCCGTCCGTGGTGATAAAGTTGATATTCTTTACAACAACATCAAGAATGCCTTCTTCCAGCCTTGCGACGGAGAAATGATAATTCTTTTACATTTCCATTTAAAGGTACGTCAACTATTTCAATTCAAGTAGATAAGAGAATTAATTGTTGTTTTTCTTATAGCACGCTATCATGTTTGGTAAGAAGAAACATGTGGATGTACAGTTCTACACGGAAGTCGGTGAAATTACTACTGACTTGGGAAAACATCAGCATATGCATGACCGTGATGATCTTGCTGCTGAGCAGTCTGAGCGAGAATTGAGGCATAAACTGAAAACTGCGTTCAAGAGCTTCTGTGAAAAGGTATATAATTTATTATTTGTATTTTCACAATTGATTTGTTTCTTCAATAAATGATTCGAGGGGTATTATAACTTTTTTCATCGTCTTCCACAGGTTGAAGGAATGACTAAACAAGAAATTGAATTCGACACTCCATTCAGAGAATTGGGCTTTCCCGGTGCTCCATACCGCAGTACGGTCCTTTTGCAGCCGACCAGTGGATGCCTTGTCAATCTTACCGAATGGGTGAGTGTAAATATAGACCTGTGACAGAATGATGGTTACTAAATGTTAATAATTTGATTTTTTATAGCCACCATTTGTCATTACACTCGAAGACGTGGAATTGGTACATTTTGAGAGAGTCCAATTTCATCTGAAGAATTTCGATATGATTTTTGTCTTTAAAGACTATCATCGCAAAGTCGCTATGGTCAATGCTATTCCAATGAACATGCTGGATCACGTGAAGGAATGGTTGAAGTAAGTGTAGTTTATAAAAGTAATTGGATTAATTTAAACAATATAGCTTATGATGTTAAATAATAATATTACAGCTCGTGCGACATTCGATACTCTGAAGGTGTACAGTCTTTGAATTGGACGAAAATTATGAAAACTATTACGGACGATCCTGAAGGTTTCTTCGATAGTGGTGGTTGGACTTTTTTGGATCCAGAGAGTGATGCAGAAAATGAAGAAGTTGATGACGAGGAAGAAGAAGAGGATGACGCTTACGAAGTGAGCTTTTAAAAAGAGCCTTATTAAAAATAATCAAACTTCTTACAAATTAATTGTAAATATTAAACAATTTCTTACAGCCCTCTGATATGGAGAGCGAAGAAGAATCTGATGATGATTCTGAATACTCCGAAGCTTCAGAAGATTCCGATAGCGAAGGTACAGTATTAGAATACTTGTGATTCTATGAGTAGATACAAAATATTGAATCGATGTCCATATTTGCAGAAGAGGAATTGGGCAGTTCTGAAGAGTCTGGTAAAGACTGGTCCGATCTTGAGAGAGAAGCTGCGGAAGAAGACAAGGAGAGATCAGATGAGAGATTCCGTGATGATTACAATTCTACCGCTAACAAAAAGAAATCCAGCAGAAGAGAGTCCCCGTCTCCGTCGAAGAACAGGTAATTGCATGAAGCCTTAAAATTTCAATCTAATATATATTTCTCATAGAATTACAATAAATCGTACACTGTCCTTATCCAGGCACAATTCAAAACATAAGAGCTCCTCCAGTTCAAAGAGTAAAAGTTCATCGAGTGGCAAAGAAAGAAGATCTTCAGACAAACACAGGTAAGCACATTGGAATGATTTCTTTACTTTTTCACGATTAGTATATGTGGAACTCGGTGATTCAATATTCAATTACCACTGAGTTACTCTGATTTAACTATTAAAGAACGGATCGATCACGGAGTGGGGGTTCACACAAGAAAGTGTCTCCTTCCAAATCGTCCAGACACAGGTGATTACCGTGAATTTCGTTCTATCGTTAATAAGTTTCCTAATTTTTGTCTTATTTCTTTTGTACCAGTCCAAAAAAGAGCGACAGACACAAGTCCTCCCATTCGTCGTCGAGTTCGAAAAAGCGGTCTCGCGAGGATAGTTCCGACAGACGTGATCGTAGCTCTAAAAAGTCCAGGTAATTATTAAACTATTATATAAAGTACAAAGCAGACATTCTGATCCTCACAAGATCTCACGTTATACGAGAATTATTCCATAACCCCATAGAATAAAGCAATCTTTTTGCTTTTCAGGAAATAAGTGATACCACGTTATTATATGGACTTGGTGAAGTGCACCACACGTTTCAAGAAGACAAAACGAAAATGCCAACAAAACAGTAAAAAGAAGATGATACCCATAACGGAAGGAGGTGTGCAAAAACTTTCTCATTTTGTTATTACCGTAAACAATACGATCGTATTTTCTTGTACGGGCGAAAATTTATCTCGTGTCGGATCCATTTTTGATTTAGTCATACAGACAAATTATATTCAAAATGATCACATTAATTCATTATACACCCGTGGACCAAGATTCTACGTGCGGCTTAATTCATGCGGGGAAATCGTGCCGCAATAGTGTCAGTCATGTCACGTTGTACTACGAGCCGTAACAGTTTACAGTAAACTTACGAATATTGCGACAAAAGTGCAAAGGATCACTTTGCAAATTCTCGACAGTTTCGGTTTCGCAAATTCCAGCCTTCTCGAGTGATGATATGTTAATGTATAAAAAGTATATATACAAAATAATACAAAACCAACAGACAAGGTAAAAAGAAGCGAAAAGACACTTTCAAATAGCAAGCAGATCCCACCCGGGATAATTAATGTCTAAGTTATTTATCATTACTGTACAAACATTAGTCCGTCATGGTTTTTATATTTCCAATAAGATGATTAAAAAAAACGAATTGTGTATGCGAACGTTATTACCGATAACCAAGCATAGTATGTTATTATTAAATAAATCCAAGTCGCAAAGAGCTAATGGAAATGCGCGAGAGAAGACTATTGATTTTTTTTTTTCTGTGTCAATTTCGCGATTTTCTTTTTCTCTTTAATTTACAACGTCACGACGTACGCAAGCGGGAAGAAGAATTGCTTAATAATAACGCGAATCTATGTGAAGTGAAAGTAAAGTCGTCCAGCAGCTTTCTCCGAGACGTGTCACATCGGCTGCATACATAATTTCTAAAGAGGCTATGGTGAATCTCTCATGATTTCACAATATAACATTTCCTCGCAGCATTAAATACAATTTAGAGCCGTATTTATACTGTAATAATAATACTTGATAGCACAACCATATTGTCATGGTAAAAAGGGCTCCATTGTCAGTTGACAAATAAGTTTCGTTGTAGCACCGGTAATGCCTTGTATCGAATATGTACTCATGTTCCTTGTACATTATTTTTATTGAATGTACAACAAGAACTTGATTTCATATAAAACAATTTTTTTATTGTTCGATACACCAATGATGCGTGATACTTAACAAGCTGTAAAACACTTGTCGCAGTACAATGAAACAGTAACTTATTTATTCCTTACACCGATCCAATATCTAAGCATGTATTTTTATGGACATACATTGCATCGGTGCCATCAATTTTACTGGAATTTTTGTTGTTCTCTCAATGGATGCTTAGATATGTGATTTATGTACGTACGCACGTAGCGTATAGGGAAACAAGTACAATTTTGTATTTCTTTTGTTCTCTTCAGTGATCATTCAACATCATTTGGTTCGTCGAACAGATTTAACGAAGTACCAAGGATTCACGACTGGATTTTCAATGATTTATTTTATGAAAGTGAAAAATCATAGACGGTACATCAAGGTGTAATGTCGCTGTCCCTAATAAATATTCTACGAGTTAAGAATCAAGTATGTCAGTTTCGGCCTATCTGGTCGACCTGACTTTGAAGATTGTTCACGACTTCCGGTGGGACGTGCTCGCCAAGAATTTCGAAGAGATTGATCCTCTGGTCGCCGGGAATCGATTCATAAGCTGCCAACTCAATTCCTTCTTGGACTTTTTGGATTGTTGCGTCCTTAGGTATCAGATATGTATTTTGGGCCTGTCGAATTGCCTCGTTACTAAATATCTGGCCATCCTTTTGCGGAAAAGCTATTGATACTCCGATCAGCATCATCATTACAGACAGGACGTAGGCGTTCATCTAGAATTATAAGATACTTTGAGCTTAAATTATACTATTGATTATCAAACATAATTTTCTTTCTCGTTTTGTAATATTTTTATATTGGCAAATAAACAAAGTAGATACTTAGCTTTATAATTACGTTAACTATTTGTTATTAATTATAACACGTTACCGAGTTATCAGTTAATCTAGTTAAGAAGTTAAGATACTTCCATATGAATATCTTATTATTTCTTTCTTGATAATTTTCTCCATTTATTTTTAAATCAATAACTCTTCTTGCTTACTCGAACTCGTTTAATGGATACAGAGAGCGAAAGCGTTTACTCGTCAGGGATTAAGTATTCTTTAATTAATCAATAGCGGAGGCTACGTTTACTTTACAGTACTTAGGATACTATTTATTGTAAAGTGGTTTATCGGGGGTGATGGAAATACAAATAATTTCGAAAGTTCCTCGTGTGGAGATCATCAAGTCAAACAGAATTTATTATGGTTTCAAAAGGCCAAGGAGGTCATTGAAACTAAAAAAAAAAGAAGAATGTCCAACTATGCCTCGAAATACCCGTTACTTCCATCTCACGTATACTTTCCCACGCTTAACTTTCCCTCTTACAGATCCTCTTATAAGAGACTTGCATTAAAATTCAGTTTACGAGTTACGTTTTAAAGTGATTCTGAATTATAAATTAAGAGAAATATATCAGAGATTCTTTCAAAATTCTCTCAAATTATCATTTACAATTAAATGTCTAAAATTATCCCTCAAAAGATTGTCTACAATCTTTTAAATTGTTAGTTTTAAAAAAAATGGGGTTCACTCCAAACTGTAAACATAAAATTATCCATCGGCACGGTCTTATCACTCTCAAAGAAGTTTGATGTAATGACAAGTTAACAGAGCACTATTAAACAATAATTATGTCCTACTCACTGTAATACTTGTGGTCGCACGTAACGTGTTGCAATGGAAATGAAACTAGACGAGACTGTGTTCCCGGTGGCTTTTATACTCATCATGAGTTTTGTAGGGAGTCAAAGGAGGAGTGGCTGAAGATTGAATTGGTAGTTGATCGCACCAGTGAGAAATCCTTTTACCCGAGTAACGTAGAACAGTGGGAGAACTTCTCAAGGCATCCACGTACGTTTTTACCTATTAAAAGAATATAGGAAAGAGACCAACGGAACATACGTGTATCTTCTGCCAATCAAGAATGATATGAAATATCTGTGTGTCTATTCAATTTGTAAATTTTTACGTAAAAAAAAAGTCCGAGTTACGTGACAGACTAACTGGTCATGTAAATACAAGACCCAAACGATTACTCAATTATTACAATTTCACTTGTGTATTTAGATACGACTACTTAAGCCTGTTTGCCTGACATATACACGTTGTGAATAGTAAAAATCATAAAGATGAACGGTTTAGATTTTCTAACAGGACACCTCGTGCATTTTGAATAGGACACAGAATTGAAAGGGGGATTAAGGTGACCTGGTTTTAATGAAACGAAAGTTTCAGGTCGGATTATTCGTTGTTCAAACGTACAAAGATATGAAGTACGTTTCGAGTAAAAGAGATATTTAGAATTTGAATTTGTATCTCATATTTTTAATTCAACGTATCGCTCAAGGTTTACGAGGCTACGAGTAATACTGGAGTCATGAAAATAGGAAATGGAAGGACATTCCTATAAAATGGCTTTATTCAATCGTTGAAAAGTACAAATCAATCACGAGACTAGACAGCTACCAACTTCTTTGCAATCGAGGCTCGTCAGGCAATGGCGAGCGTTTACGTAGAAATATATATTGTTAATTGTACTTATATCGAATACTGCTTCGTACGCTTATCAGTTTTTCCCATTTGTATTTCTTATTTGTTATTCCTACGTTTCTCTCTCTTTTTCTTCCTTAATTCTTCATTTATCTTCTCTAGTTTTTCTATCTTAAATCTCCCTATTACATACTTCGTCCACGGGGAAATATTAATTATTCACAATAAGCTGCACTCAATTTTGCTCAATTGTTCCAAGAGGACTTTTGTGCTCTTATTCGGCTGGTTTACATCGCCTGGGTGGCTCGACGGAACGTTTACGTTTTTAAATGACGGTTTTTCTCCTTTTCATATAATTGGTCGTTTATACGATCGCTGTATTGTTTTAGGTACGGTCGGATTATTATATAGAAAAATATACAAGTGACACGGCGAGCGGCCGAAAAAGTCTTTTAAAATTGAATTCACAATTCTTTCTCTTTCAATATTACTCGTATTTACAAGGCACTGCTCTCCGGTCTGTTTTGTATATATATATATTTTTTCTTAAAAAAATTACTTTAACACATTCATCGCCAAAAGTTTAACTGTTCCATTAAAATTATTATCAGCCACTTGTAGGGTTTTTGTCGATACTATGTATACTCTAAATGTAAAAAAACCACTAGACAAATCACAATTGTTATACATGAATTATATAAACATCCCCATTACGGACAGACAGTCTAATTAGTACCGGCGAATTAGATTAATAGAAAATCCCTAAGTTAAAGAAAGAGAGCGAAAGAGAAATTAGAATATAATCATTAAATGCTTTGCAGTGAATGTGTTAAGGCTCTTCTGAATTGCGAGTCCTCGCGGACCTGATATGCTCGTATCGGCTCGATATCTCTTTAGTAGTGTGATTATATAAAAAGAAAGAGAGAAATTGATATATGGATAAAAAATCATCGTCCACTCCATGCTCTCTCCATTAATTAAGATTAATCTGGTCTTTGATTACGTTTAGGGCTGCTTGGGAATCCTTAGTAATCCTCGTCACGCTATAGAAACTAAGCTTAAGATGCTCTACGAAAGAAGAAGGCAGAATATTTTAGATTCGAGCTACCATTATTTTTCTTCATTTATCTTCCTTTCACTTTCTTCTTGTTCCATAGTAAAAATCGCAAGATGAGTTTCTCGCGAAAGTCGAAAGCACGAGCTTAACGTCGCGTCTCCGTGGCTCTCGTCGCGACATACACAAGAAATCTAATGCGGCCATTGATTAAAGAAATTTCGCATTCTTAGCTGCTCGGCCGGGCGGATTTCCAGTCTCACCTGCTAAACTCCGGCAGCGGCTTCGCAATGCCTTCCGTATATGCTTTGTGAACCGCTTCGCAAACGAATCTGTACTGACTCTGTAACATAAAGATTATATGATTAATTTATTGTGATAGCTACAAATTAATTTGAATATCCAGGGAAACTATACGTACAGCATTCTGTATCATCATAGCACGTTGGTCTCTCATGGAACGAACAATGTCCAAAGGATATACTGGCTGGTTGGCCTCTATCAGGCACAAGGCAGTTTCCATTAAAACAAGGACACCAGTACGTCCTATTCCTGCTGAACAGTGAACCACTGCTGGTTCAACGATACCTGTTCTTGCCGAACGGACACGTTCTGTGAATGTGGTGAACTGTCGCCAGTCGCTGGGAACACCATGATCTGGCCAGCCGCAATATTGCATGTGAGTTATGTCCCTTTCTTCCCCGGTCTAAAGATTAAAAATATATACTCGTTATAATTGATAGTCACGTTATGACTATGACGTTTCTTACTGTATTTATACGAGATACCCACGTTTATGTCGCGAAGTATGAATTCACGAAAGACAAAGGTGTCCTCGATCGTCTCAGACGTCGAGGTCAATGTAAGATTTCTCAACGTGAGAGTCTCATTCATCGCGGGCCAATACTGATGACATTTAGCGCGACCTCGTTCCACCAATGTAGTAAGCATCACAACTAATGTGCTACCAGCTTCCAATACCATCTGCCAGAAATCCGCTACCGTCGAGGACAGCGGACCCTGCGTCGCGATATAACGATTTATTATACCAGAACCGGGAATCTCCATGTTTACGTAATTCGCATTAATGTAGTCTCCGTTAACGGAACCCATTAGAATGACACGAGTAACGTCATCTAAAAGAATATATATTTATAAATATATTTAACGAATCTACCTAGCGCACTTTGATACGCGTATCAATATATTTATACTTACACGGCGATATGTCCCGGTAACGATTTTTATTTTGATTCTCTGGCTTTTTCGATTCGAGGCAAGTCAATTCTGGATTTTTTCTATACAATTGTTCGTACTGAGCAATCAGAGCACCGCTTGCTAAACCATCAGCAAGTAAGAGCATGGACTGCGCAAGTGCATCTGATCCGACTGCAGCGTGTGGTGCATCCGGTACGTATCTTTATAGGAAAATTGATAAAATTCATTAATTATCTAATAGTTGATAACAATGTCTTTCTTATAAAAGAATAACTGTACCTGTAGGGAGGTTCCTCTTCTGACGTTTCGTCGGTTCCAGCTAGCGCGTTGTAAAGTGCATTTGGTCTGACGGTCAAGGTGAGTTCGCCAATACCGGAATCTCGGGATTGTCGTATCAGGTTAACTACGTGCTCGTGTAACATTCCATTGACATCAATACCATTGATGTAGACAACCTAAATTTTGAGGTATGAGTTTCACGTCTCATGTTTCAGTGTCACTTTTATATTTGTAACTAATATGAAATACATACTTGATCACCTTCATTGAGTTTCGGGTAACAACGATCAGCTGGAGTATTGGGTGCGACCCTTGAAACTAAAATGGGCATATCCAGGTCGAGACCACCTTTCACATTGAAACCAAACCTTCCTTGTTCATCTGGTGTTAATCTTATTGTCACCAAACCATCTTCCAAAATCTGTCAAACAACCATAACATTACAAGACTGTCTTATCACGCAAAGTATCAGAAAGACTAAATGCACAAAATCGTGTAGTCTAGGATGTGACAGAATATAGGGAAAATCAGGTGAACTGATAACATTAGAATAATAAATGTACACGACTATGATACCATATTATTATCCCTAATCTGAATAGAGATCAGTTTTCAATCATTCTTTATCGCGAGTTATTGCTAACGTGTTAATATAGATAATAAGTAAGAGTTGTCGACTACAAATTTCATAAGGTTAGGGAAGGAAAGATGTTGTAGGAAATTGATTGAGGTACCTGAGGAGCTGGTGAACTTGTGGGTTCACTGTAATCCGGTAGATCATAGATATTCCTCTCGATGGTAGTGTCATCATCTGCATAGCTCAAGACCCTGGAACCGAGTACTGGCGAGAACGCACCACCCTGGGTATGGGAGCCGTTGAGCTCTTCTCTGAGGGACAGAAAACCACCCTCACTGCGTAGCCAGAGCATGCAACACAGAGACGAGAAACGTTAACATAACGCACATGCGACAAGCAGCAGCTAAAGCTGCAGAACAATTAATACTAACTCATCACTTGGATTTCCTTCACCCCAAGCCTGACGTGGTTCCCTGGATCCAAGACTCTGAACCTTATTGTCGTATGGACGTGGTGGTCTACCTGGTGGAAGTGCAATCTTGCCTTTTTCCTCGACGATCGGTGCAGAGGTAACTCCGTGTACTAGTCTCTTACTAGGCGATCTGTAATAACAACAAAGACGAGATTCTACGTAGTTCCATGATATTTTGATGAAAATCAGTTAGGTCTACCTAGTGATAACCCGGAGGAAAATCGTCATCATTCTGCAGACGCGAGATACTGTGCACTTCTTTAGCCGTCTCATAACCGACTTTTATTTTCAATTAAGAACGTCGAATCATTCGTTGTACGACAAGGTCAGATTAATTTTTATCTCAAAGATGATAAGAACTTTGGGTAGCCTATGTCATTTTGGCGGAGCCTTACCGTATAAAAGTTCGTTCAACGCGTGCACGATGTTTCCCGTCCTCTACTGTCTGGAATTCTGTGCGACCTGAGTAAGTAAATCTGCTACTGAGAGTCAAGGGGAAACGTCGCGGACGCATCTTCGGGCTGTGCAATCTGAAGAAGGTATGATGCTCCACGCACGCCTTCCACAGGTTCTTTGAGCTCCGATATGTTTGCATGTTGAAGCCCAAGAGCGTGTCGTAATTCTCTGACTGGATAGAAAGTTTTCTTGAGTTATACCATTCTTAGCGAATATTTTGCTTATCGTGTAACTCATCGTAAAGATTTATGATACCCATCTACACTAGATACTTATTTTTTTAAGGTAATTTATGAATTTAATACGCACCTGTTCTCTGCGTAGCTGTATGAAGAATTGTTTCCTCTTGAAAGAGATCTTGACAATCTTCGACCAGGAGAAGATGTTGATTCTTATGTTATTTTGGAAGACAACCAGTCCTATCGAAGTGACTCCTAATTGAATCTCTTTATTCGTAGAATCCTATAAAATGGTATTAATTGCTGTTATAATTTTTTAACTAATACAATTTACGAATGCTTTCTTTCCTTGTACATCACGTGCGTTAACATATCGTGCAATCTATTTGGAAATATACATTAATATAAATGCATGCAAAATTGTAAGTGTTCAACAGTGATCATTACATTCGCAGTGGACAACAGCAAACGTGCATACCCTTGCCTTATGTAACTCCACGCCGTACATGTCGAGACGTTTTGCATGGTCCAGGAAGTTGAACTCAGCATCCGCTGGCAACTGACCTCTGCGCAAACAAATTAATTACGTTAGTCGTTAATTAGCCCTGGGAACCAAACGGGATGAGGAAGTGACATATTTCTCGCTGATTGCTCATACTTGTGGAGTTTATGGAGCTCGGCTATTTTCTTTTCCATCTCTTCTGTTTGTCCAGGTATTAATTGTAAACGAGATAGATAACCCGGACCGTGTTCCTCTGGATGATAATCTCCTAATTCGGCTTTGGTGATTAATGAAATAAAAAGATAATTGAGATTAATGAATAGCACCTTGGAGAGTGGTCAAAATTATAGTGATTCTTTGTACTATGTAATTACATTGGACGGTATAGCTGGCTATTAAGCAAGCAGTACTCGGAGGTAGCTGTAGCCTTCCTTGAAGGATATCCCGGCGTATTTGCAGATAAAACTGATACCTAGTGTACTCCTCCTGGAGTTTACTTGGATCGGATACGTAGAACTTAACTCTAAAAAAGAACTGCCCACCTGCGAATAATAAATAAGTGTAATTATTACAATAGACCTCAGGCAACTTTGATTAAATGTCATTGTACTATTAATGCATGTTATGACTGATTAGTATTTTTTAAAATCACGACCTTTACCCTTACTTCTTATTTGCTTCTTGACCGGTTTGGCAGGGTCGAGCCAGCGCTATAAATGAAAATTATAATTGACTTACATGACTTTAAATTAAAAATCATTAAACGTTATCGAGATGATAAATACCATTACGTCCGCATTCGGACACGTGGACGGTGCAGCCCCATTATCGGCATACTGTAAGCCAAAGTAGTCCTTCTCGATAAGCTCCAGGTGTTGGAATACGAGATCCAGAAGGGCTTGACCTTTAGCTCTCTTCTGAAATAAAATACCGAGATTCTCCATAACGTTGGGTTGTGACTTTTAAGGATTCCTTGGTTTCTTATGTATTCAGAATTCAATACAAGAGAGAACTTTGGATTAGAAGAATTTGAAAAAGAATCTAATGATATACAGTATTGAAGTAAGATATTTTAATAGAAGAAGTATGTTTTAGATACTTTGAAAGCATGGAATATTTTTATTGCATGACTTACATCCAACTGGAAGGTATGTTGAGTGTCATCAAGAAAGACAACAGTGGCTGAAAGGGATTTGAGTCTACGATCTCGCGCCAGCTCAGCACCACGAACGTGATAGCTCCCGCTGGAGCCACTCAGGGCTCGTCGGGATACGCTTTCGATCATCTCACGTATCCGAAGGCGACTCAACCACCCTCGCGACACCACCTCTCTGCCGTGCAAGCCACCTAGTGCAACAGAAAACAATGCAGCTAGTAAACCTTCGATAGAAAAACACTCTTCGCTATCAAGTTTTAGGATGGTCTTTGAATGAGAATAGCCACGGAACATAGTTAAAGGGTCAAATTGAAATTTAAGGGTTTAAATTGAAGCTTAGAATACATGTTAATATAAGTTAATATATGTTAATGGATCTAAGCAATCAGCAGTGTTGCTTCTTATCAAAAGGTTAATAGGGAATATGCTGAAGTAAGCCGAGAACTATTTTTAAAACCATTAATGGTGCAACAGCTCTATCTCACTCTCTCATGCTTTTTAACTTTTTTCTCTCTCATCCCCTCTTTTCCTCTCTTGTTCCTCCCTTTGGAATCCAAGCATGAACAAAAGTGTAATTACATTCCACAGATGTCATCGGGACTAAATTTACTGAGTTTTTGGGTCAGTGATCCAGCTTATTATATAACTGGCCGATACAACCAGACTGTTCTCAAAATAGTCCGGACACTAGCCAATGTAGCATGATTCAAAAAACATTGGAGCAAATCATTAGCCCTTAGGAGAAACACATATTCTATAGATTTCTCTTTACAATATGACAATATATATAAACATAGTATTTAAAAGTCCATCCGGTTTCAAACATAATGTATAGAATCAAGAAAAATATGAAAGATAAATATATTGTCATAAATCCATATTTTTAATTCTAACAGATCTACAAAATGAAACGAGTATAGCACCACTGGATTAGAAAATGCTATACAATTTTACCAATTAGAAAATCAAATAAATGTCTTCCAAAACATCTACTTACATTCATGATACAATAAGACTCCTCGGTATCTCTTCTTTTGCTAACAAACTTTATAAATTGGATGGTACCAATGTCTCTCAATTAAAAGTAGTCATTCATCAAAACCATTAATAGAATAACACACTGCTCCAATCTGGCTCCAAAACTGTCTTCCAGAAAAAACTCAAGACTGTTCAAACTTGTCCATGGCCCAACAAAACAAACTAGAGCACAAAACGTGATTACTAGAGAGTTCCTGACTGAAGGTTCTTTCATAAAATTTCAATAAGATTCTAGAATATTTCTAAATACAATAGCAGCTGAGTAAAGGCGTCAGAACCGTAGGGCTCATTCTATAATCGAGGATGTGTAATAGCAATGAGAAGCCTCATCGCAGCAACCACGAAGTGTATCAAGGAGTCTAAATTCTCTTTAAACCTTATTAGTCTTTCTTCTATTAATGTAAAACTTCACTTTCACTGACTACGCGCGTCGATCTATCAATGCGAGATCCAACGGGGGCCATACAATGTAACTCGTGGGCGAGAACTCACTCAAAAGAAACGCGCAGAACGGACCTCACGGCTCACCAATAGAACCACTATGCTAATAGCAGTTAGTGGCTGCTGTTGCTTGCTGTCACAAGCTCATTTCGTAACTGGCTTCCCGGTGGCGAAGATATGCATTCGCGTGAATAACTTTCGGAGCTGCCCCATCACGCGTGTGGCACTATACTATCGTCGCATAGTAAATACGAACAGCAGTGAGCATTTTGGCTATGTAATGCGGTGAAAGTAAACTCCAGTAGTAAAGCGACATCGACATATCCAAGACGTGAGGAAGTTCCTGGGTTCGCATATGAGCCAAACCGAAGGCAACCGATGACCATGCAGGGCGCTGCTGGTGCGCGTGCCCCGATTACACCAGTAAAATAACTGACAATTAATCGGTAGGAACTGCCGCGCCCTGTTCTCGGAATTATTCCTGATGCGCTCATTCAGCAACTTAGTATACTTCTTTGATTACTTTGGAAGTTCGCTTTAGTCTTTTTTATTACTCTAGGCAAAAATTATACGGGAAAGGGCTTGGTGGTTGTATTACGTTGAAAAATCAATATGGCTTTCTCAAAACAGGTGGGGATACGACAATGGTGGTCACGTGACGCGAATCAAGGATTGTGATTGGCTCGCGGACGGCGGGATAGCAATAATGAATTTTATAATCGTGTCTGAATGATTCTATCTGTTGGTGAAATAACTGAATATTAAAAGTTTATAAAAAAAATGTTGTTTGTTTTCCTTGAAATAGTTCAGAACTGTAAAATTTTACCGTCGAAAATTGAACGCCATAGCGGGAGAACATACCGGGCGAGGAGGTGATTACAAGATTTCAAGTTCTTTAAAGAATACATATAACTGTTTGAAATAGTAAACAATGATACCGATATGTATAGATACGATATAATTATATAATTAACTCCATATCATCTGTGTAGTGATAAATTTTCTCCTCTTCGTTATTACATACACTGTCTTACCGGGAAGTCGCGAATCATTGTAATGACAACAATTTTAATGTTATTCAACAGCTAAAACGAAAACTTGTTTATGATTTACTCAAGACTATGTTATACTGTCAGTATATATTCTTATCTACATAATCTAACGTCATGAAAAACTATTATATCATAGCTACACCTAAAAGACGAAAGATAAAAACCCACGTTACTACCGGAAAAGGAAGTGAAACTCATCAAAAGTCAGAATGCCACGTAGCCGACGTTCTCACAACTGAGCCCACTGAGGAATCATCATGACACTCCATGGAATAACTATATGCAGATATCCTTAAAATCAAGTGGAATCACGTGTTGGTATATCCACGTTGTATTTCCCATTCATATTATCTACTTCCTCTTCAAATAAAACATTTGGAATATCGATCATACCATTGAAGTCATTTCAAATTGAGAGTACTGGTCTGCCTATCTAATGTAAGGTAAAGTTATTATTTCAACATCACTATGGAATAACGAAGAGACCAGATAATTATTTGATACACGTTTCAGTTAAAAAGAATATGACGCAGAAGTAAATCATAGATGGATTAGATACGTTAAAGGTTTCGCGGGTCCGCCATAATAAGTACTGAGAACCAATAACAACCAGCCAGCGTCACTGAGTTTTGTGAACTCACGCGAGCACGATTACTCGCCAAGTTTCTCGACTGTGCCCCTGTGTGTCCCTGAAGACAAGTTCCTGAATCCGGTGCACTTCAATTTATGTTTGATAACCAATTAGCCGTGCATAGTATGCCGTTAATTTTGTGCGTTCACCTTCGTCAAACATAGGTTGTTATATCACGTTTGTGAGCAAGTTCCCATCAGCACGGCCGAAATCAGGTAAAACCTGAAGCTATTTTAGAAGGTGATTTTACGAGGTTAGGATGAGGAAGTATTATCAGTATCTTCGTCCTGATGGGATAGGTGAGGATAAGAAGTCAGGACTGATGTGCTCAATTGTTTTCTGGCATATGTAGTCTTGTGGGGAGTCAATTTTGTAATAGAAAATATTTGGTAGTAGGTTAATTAAAGGAAGCCAATATGACACTTTAATGAGCTTAAGTTGCTGGTTATCAAAGTGCTACGCCAAGATTGGAATAATTGCTGATGGACAGTTTAACTGTGGGGATAAAGAACAGATAGAATACGTTCCGGAGCAGTGGATATTTAACTAATACAATTTTGTAACAATGGATGATGTGATTCGAACTTACTTTAAAAGTTTCTTAAAGAATTTCATGACAGCTGAGAAGGATTCATTGGTTTTAATTTGTTTTATATTTATGGGTAATTATAGATAGATACAATGATGCAAGATGAAGATTTGAGTGGTCCACCAAAGCGTAATGTGTTCAGTCAAGCAATAACAAGAATATCGCAGGTTGGTGTTATAATCTATGCAAAGAAACTAAGTAAATCTTCTATTAATACTTGCACATTATATTTTCAGATTTACCAAAATTATCTTGATCTTTGGACACCCCATGCCATATCAAGGTGGATATTCGCTGTATTCCTCTTAGCATTATTTCTCTTGCGTATAGTACTCACACAGGTAAATTTAAAATTACTTGGATCAAATAATTTTTATATTATTCACTATGTGTCATTTTAAAACACGTTATATTTTTCAGGGTTGGTATATTGTCACGTACGCACTAGGAATCTACCACCTTAATTTATTCATTGCTTTCCTCACGCCAAAAATAGACCCGGCGATGGACTTCGATGGTAAGTAAAACATCACGTCCTGTATAAAATCCTCATACAGAATATAAACTACAAACTGGAATTTCTACGCGACACTTTGCAGACGGAGAAGGTCCTGAATTACCAACGCGATCAAACGAGGAGTTCAGGCCGTTCATAAGGCGCCTACCTGAATTTAAGTTTTGGTATTCAGTCACGAAATCAACACTGTTTGCCCTCGTTTGCACATTATTTGATTGCTTCAACATACCAGTGTTCTGGCCAATTTTAGTAATGTACTTTATCACGTTATTCTGCATCACAATGAAGCGGCAGATAAAGGTAATTTATTCGCGTAAATTTGTATAACACTACAACCTTATCATTGATAACCAAATCATTAGCATTATGCTATAGATTGAAGTATTCCTAATGATGTTGATACCTACTAATTAATTTCTTGTCTTTTCAGCATATGATAAAGTACCGATATCTGCCATTCACGCATGGAAAACCAAAGTATCAGAATCACGAACAAGGTTCACGATTAACGGCTCCAAAGTGAATAAATTAAATTAATAGATCACAGAAGAAGAGAAAACAGGAACCACAGAGAAAGAAAAAAAAATAAATTCAACCCAGATGGGTATAAAAGATAAAAAACAATCTTAATGAATAAAAGAAGTATGCTTGTATATCGTACATCAGTGTGCGTAGTTTACAATAACAATTCACGATTATATCAGAAATAGGATAAAAATTGAAGGAAATGTCGAAATTGGACTAAAGGTACAACGGTTCGAGGGTCAAGAAAGACAAATTGGTGCACTGTAGACGATGTAAAACCGAGAAAAGAATGTCTTAATATATTTGTATCATAAATCTTGTACAAAGTATTGTTAGGTCTTACGTAAACGTGGACACGTCAACAATATGAACAGTATGCAGTTGTTAATGTAATGATTAAATTATCGCTGAATGTAAAGAATGGTAATTACAATAAGATTCGTAAAATAACGATCATGAGAACGTTCCTCTTTTGCTTTCTATCTCTTCATATCCGACGTATCGAGGATCAATACATCTTCGCAAATACACGATATATCAATAACACAAACAGCAGAATTAGTTTCTGGCATTAAAAAAGAAAAAAAATGGAAGAAGAATGAAAACAAATCCTAAAGGATTATTTAATATTACTTTATGTGCAATGCTCATTAAAGCGATATACGAAGATAACTCTAGTGACGCTTTATTGAGATACCTATCCCAAGGAATTCTCAAAGTACTAAGATTAAGTAAGGAATTCGAACGATCAGGTACAGTTTTCATTATTTCAGTAAAAATTGTCCGTAATGAAGGATCTAGAAAAATTCAATGTCCTGAGATATTTTAAGTCAATGTTAAGCATATCGAAATACCGATACCCGTTCACAGCAATGACTAAATCAGATCAAGATTCAACGAGTCAATTGATATCGATTAAGTGATGCACGGGCTAGCTAATGCCGCAACCTTCATGGTTAATGTACTAGTAGCAAAATCGTGAGTGTATGCTTGATATGAAGTTAAGAATTCAGAGAGGCCAACGTAAGCCGCTTTATCTATATATCTACTTACCCTCGCTCGTCGAAGTGTCAAGTATACCAATAATACTTTATTATATAGAATATAATTCTATTTTATAATAAACAGTGATACACATCAAGGTACGATATCCTCTTCGTCTCCTGCAGTAGCTCCGGCTTCGATATATGTAGAATGACGAGCAACAAGGAAAAACGAAGAAGTGGGTTGTTGTGCGCTCTTCGCATCTTCACTCGTTCAGGTCTTTGGATATGGCTTTCTTGTTACGTTCCAAAAAGGCTGTCGCAGAATTGGGCCCAATTACCGTGGTGGTTGTGGTTTCGCTCACCGTCGATTCGCGCTTGCGATATGGATTTGACGGCTGGCAATATAGCCTTCGAGCAAATATCAAAATGGGCCCCCTCAGGACGTAAAACTTTACGAGTCATTAGGTACGGCCACATATATTTCAAAATTGTACCTTATGCTTTCAGTCCTTGAACGTGGCGACCAGTTATTGTAGTATCGCCGATCGGTCCCAAGATTTCGTGCGTTGCTCCATCTTGAGAAATGATGTCTCATGGTGTTCTGTACTTCGGTATTCAAGAAGCAATAGAACAACGCTACCGAGAGGCCCTGCAATAAGAATAGAAAGGGCAATAAAAAAAAACATTTAATTTCACTTACTCCACAGTATTTAGTATACTAATCCTAGTAGTTTAATCGCCGCTTCATTGATTCACCTGAGAGGATAGTAATATTGCCCTGGCATAGGAAAATACATTTGCCACGTGCCCTTCGGTGGGTCCGGCTAATACCAGGATGTAAGTCACGCCCAGTAATGGGATTAAAACGAGAAGGGCTTTGCTGGCTTTACGATATTGCTGAGTTTCGACGTTGTTGGCTGATCTCAGCTTGGTTATCAAAACCTATTAATGAAACAAACACTATTAATAGAGAGATCAGGGTAGTGCCAATTAAATGATAATGACGGGGCTCGCTATAATATTCTACTAACCCACATAATCATGAAGAGAAATATGACATTGACACCGAGTACGATAATGGCTGGTGCCTGATAAAACCAGTCATAAGGATGCGGTGACATCCAGGGACAATGACGCCAAAGCCCGACCTGTAGAGTTAAGTAAAGCAGATTTTAAATGTTTTGCAAGGTCGGCTATAATAATGGGATATAAATGAAATTTTAATAATTCTTTCTGCACCTGGTTACCCGTCTGCGACGAAACGCCTGCGAGGGACTTGGCGATTGCCCAAACGGCTATTACCAGAAGGGGCAATCCTGAAAAGAAAACTCGTTAAGTATAAAGTACAAAGAGCAAAAAGTTAGATGGCGTAATTAATTCAAGACGAATCAGTAAACACACACCCCAGCCTATAACAAGGCAGAGTCTTAATTTAATATTGTCTCCAGTAAAAGTTTTTACGACTAGCAGGTACAGGTACAATCCTGAAACAAAGAAGAACAAAAAGTGTAAGTCTAATTGCCAACTGTCAAAAAGTATCGTTCCCTATTAAAATATCTTTGTAAGCCTTATCAGTCCGTTTATACCTTAATCGTTCTATCCCTTTATCAGTATCCCACTTGACTCGTGACTGACTCTACACTTTACCATGGAATAAATTCTATTAGCTACCGTATCATTAAATTTGAGTAACACTCGAGGCAGTGATGCTTCAAATAAATTTCAATTCAAATAACTTTAGTAGTACTTTGCCTAATTTTCTTATCTCCATTACCTTCGACAAACATCCAGAAAAAATTGGTCAGATGAAAGTAATGAAGGAGGGAGAAGATTGCGATGCAGGTTGGTACGTCCGTTTGTAAGGAGATCTGTGAAGAAGAAAAAAGAAATTTATTAAGTAAAACTTTTATGTAACTTAAACGTAATTACGTATCAATGTTCCATCGTTCATTTTCAGATATTACATTTTACGTTATCCAAGTACACTTGATGGGCAACGAATGAAAATTGGAAATTCCCCCTTAGCCTCTTAATATAAATTACCTACCACGTCACGAAGATGCTTCAGATATATATGAGGGTGCGAACGAGACGTTGGTACGCGGATTCTATAAACTGTTATCTGAATAGGCCATTCAAGCGCTTTGATTGATGAGACCCTATTGATCAAGAGAATCAGGCTTATTCGATTTTACTATTAATTACAAAGAAGAAAGTAGGGCCAGTGAGGGCAATCGATTTCAATTTTACCTAACCTTGACACAATGATGCTCACGTTTCAACCCTACATATTTCAGGTGAATAGCAACATATATATATACCGAGTGTAAGTTCACCTAGGTCACTATCTGCTGTCATCAGTATATCTATATAGCCCGAGCATATGGCTGTAATGTAAGTGGATCTGAAGCGCCATAATATTACCTGCATCGCGGTCGTTAGTATCCACATTAGATCAGCCAGTATATACGTGAACATTAAATTCGTATGTATATTGTTACGGAGACATCTTAATTCCCTGCAAGAAAAAAAAAGAATTAAAATTTTAAAAATATGTCAATAACAAACTCACAATGAAACCCTCACGAGACTTACTCTTTAAATATTTATATTCGCTTAACTTTTACTCTCCACGCATAATTTTTTTTTTGTCGTTACTCAAATTTCCAAGGACATTTCAGAGCTAGTCTTTTATCGATCACTGAGCACGCCCATGTTTCTTTTTATTTCAGTCTCTTGTGAATATTGAAAGCAGATACTCTAACACTTATTCGTAAAATTTTCATTAAAAAAATATACACAATTAGCTATTGCCAATCTTACAATTTCCTACTGACAGATACAACAGTCATGTACGTCAGTTGTGTATAAAATTATTGTAAGGTATAAAATTTTAATATTACCAATTTATAATTGTTACTTTGCGTTAATCCGGGTTCTACTTGATTTAAAAATAATGTCAGATGACCAAAAAAAGGAACTTCCATATTTAATCGTTACCTGTTTTGAATGCACACATACGTCATCTCGATGATAAATAAAAAATCAAATAAAAAGTGTGAAAAGACCGGTCACCGGTAACGCTAGAGTATGCCATATATGCATATGCACATATACTGGATTATTCAGTCTAAACGTGCCGCCTGAAGATGATTCTTATGATAAAACCACATTAATTTTATTTAGTTCCATTTGGACCGAGTGCACAAGTTATGTATTACACACAATGAGATTCACCTGAGACCAAAATAATTATCAGGTTTTTACGGTAACAATTATTATGAAAATATCGTATAGGCAAATATATCTGTAGGATTCTCCTGCCAGTGAAAATTAATCGAGCATAAGGGGTATTTCATCCTCAGAGATTTATCTTCGACTAATCCCGAAGAATAATTCGTGGCTCCAAATGGGGTTGAAGCTTGAGCAGGACTGGAGGTTAAGCCTAACGACTCAAAAATGATCGAGCACTCTGTACCACGCGATACTTTGAATTGCAAATGAGTCCTCGAGGATCTTGAATCGTGGCATTAATCCGTAACGAGATAAACGTCTTGAGAGGTTTGGCACGAAAGAAAAAAAAAAAACAGGGATGAAAGAATTGTAAGGAAAAAATTGTTGATTGCCAGAGGGTAAAGAAGAAAAAGACGTGGAGAAAGTAGAGGGCGTAAGAGATATAGTTAACGTACTTGTAATATAAAAATATGGAAACGGCGACGATAAGGGTGAAGAGCGAGAGGCTGTAGCCGACGAAGTAGAGCATCGTCGTGATCTCAACATCACTCTCGACGTTGGGCGTCCTTACGTCGGCACATAACGAATAATTCGAAAAGCTCCAGGTTCCGTTCAACCAGCACCATCTGCTGGCATTTTCTGTCGAATCATAAAGAATATAGTAAAATACAATTAATAATGTATACATATATATACATACAGGGGGGGATAGAGAGAGACAGTTGAGAGGGTAATGAACTGATATTTGTAAAAGAACAAAAGGTGGGTTAATTTTATGAGAAAATTTGTATCTTTCAATGGAGAGTCGCGAGCATCCCCTCGTTATGTTACGTCAAAATAATTTCCCAGTAGGCATCCCGTACGCAAACAACGCCATCTTATGCGAGAATTTAAATATTTAAGAAACAGTTGCGAAACGCTGTTCGAGAAGCTTATCGGATGTTTTTATTGTAGGCTGTTGAAAGTACGATGGTGTGCTTTCGAGCAATGTCAACAGACGCTATCGAATTATTACAAAATGGAAAGTTCCAGAATGGTGGGGAGAATGGGAATATCCATCCAGACATAAGAATCATGAATTATACTTTGAAATGCATGAAATGTATAGAAAAGCTGATTGGCTCAATGTCTTGGAATAGAGAAAAGCTGAATATTTTTTTATTTCTTTTTTTATACATAAATATGTCTCGTCGAAAGAAAGTTTAACGCGTTACTTGACAATACGTATACCAGGGTAATTCGAAATAAGCGTTACAGCTGTTATTGGTAAATATTAGAAATTATACTGGACGATACGTGTTTTGCCGTCTTGATTCAACCCTATAAATGATTTGGTATTAGAAATGACGATTTAAAGGCTGTATACATATACATATAGCCGTGTATATCAGCCTTAGTGTACCACCTGAACATGGTTTTACCGTAAGAATAAAATATGTGCACCGCCAACTTCAGGTGGGTGGAATTAACGATGATAGCGAATATTGTCTAATCTAGTGAAACTTACTTGCCTGTGGTAATATGTAGCCATAATACATAAGACAAAAGACGAGTATAAGACGACTAATGGAGTACCTTTTCTGTTCTTTAGAGGATGTATGAATAGCAACAACAAAGAACGGTATTCCTTTGTAATAAAGAATTATAGAAGACACAGCACAATTCATGGATCAAGAGGGTTAAAATGTCGGACAAAAGGCAGACACGAAAAAAAGAATAAACACGAAGATGAAAAAGTTAATTGCCAATTTTTTTTTTTCCTTTCAATAAATACATTTTCTCATAACCTTCCCCTAACAAACGCATAAATATTATAAGAACATTACAAATATTAAGCTCTATGGTAAATTTTTATACAAATAAAAAAACTGCTCGCCCAAGTTTTCTTCTCGTTTGCCAATCTTGGGTCAACTCGTCTTGCAGAACTTGAAAAAAAAAGTATCTTTGCTCATTAGTTCGACTAGTTTGATAACCTCAAAGTGAAAATACAAAATCAGCATATTTTCCTAAATCAAAGTCTAATTAATCACTCGGCCAATTAATCTACCGATGAGTCAGTGGGTAAAATCCAATGTCTACTTACGGTAATACCGAATAATTAGCGAACTGACAAAATAACAGAACTGTACAACACGAGTACACGACTAATTAATGATAATTAACAAACTGACGCGTTCAAAATAGTCAATGGAAATTTCAGGGAATTCGATTATCCGCCGTGCAACAAGGTACCCACAGTATGTACATGTAGATTTTACATACACGCTATATATATATACAAATGGAAGTAAGTTACATTACCTTGGAAAATTTTCCAATTCAACTTTTTAATCGAATGTTTGGTTCAATAAGATATACAACCTAATCTAGTCAAGGGTCTACCCGTGTTACCGACCGAAGGTACTTTTAAAAAAAATATTCGAAGGTCTTGAACTCGTCGATAAAGAGATTCTTGTTAACTTGCTCGAGTATGATCAAAGCATAACCTAACTTCGTTACAGCATCGCAACGATATTTCGGGTTTATTCGTATTTACATTAAATGAAAAGCCATTGAAGCCTACAGGTAAGCAGCGTCCCAGTTCTGTTTACATCTAACAAGACCCGAGCTTCTGAGAAAGACGTGATAAATAACATGTATTTCCTTGGCAGGAAAAAAAGGTGTATGTAAACTTAAGAAAAATAAGGAAAGAAAATGAATTGGAAAAAAAAGACGTTGGAACCGACTGATAAGATTAAATGACAAGAATCATGAAAAATTACATGTATAAAAAAAAGTAGCGAAGAACGCTACAGACTCGAAGTAAATGGTGCGGGAAAGCAGGTCCGGCCATTGTCTTTTTATAGGAACCTTTTTCTCTGCGTCATCCACGTTAAACCCTCTGAGGCTTTTTTAGTTACTATAATTAGAGTGCGTGCTTACTCGAGTTAATTATCAACTGCTCCTGGTTACGCGTACAATGTGCCTGGTTATCTAAGTTCGGTAAACTGTCCGTTAATTTCTTGGTGTACAGGGACCACCGTTCCTGATAACCAAAGTTAAATAGGAGGCCCGATTACGTGCAGCTATAGGCACTGGGTACAGACGCTTCCAAAACCTTTGGCAAACCGCTGATATAACCTTTAATGGCGTTTCGCATCGTTCCTATCTGATGTCGTGTGATATTTTCTGGCACGGATTATTTTCTGCCACGTATATCAGTGGAATATATATTTTTGGAATACATGCACAGCGCGTGCTGAATCTTTGACTGGTTATCATTTTGTGCCGTACAGTTGTAATAAATTCTATAAGAACGTACAGGACCAGCATGTTGATAATACTCGAGGAAAATCCATAGGTATGGGGATAGCTGGAGTATCTATATATGTAAAGCATATAAATCTATAGTCCAGGATTACATGTAGGGTAGTATATTAAGGATGGTCCACCGGAATACTGATCACCTAAATATCTTTTTTGGCACTGAATATCCGGGAAAAAATTGTCGACACGTAATATCAATTTTCGAAGATAATTTTATAGGTATTTACGTATTGAAATTTATTTAAAAAATCTGAATAAATTGGAAGTATCAAAAATAATTTAAGCAGTATTCGTTTACGCGCATGAAACATCTTGTCGCACCAAAAGCTGAATAAAGTAATTTTTGAAAATTGAGAAGCGATATGTTGGAAATTCGCTAATCAAATAGCGATATATATATAACATAAATCGTTAAATCCGCAGGTGGCTAATTCCGTAACTAGCTTCAATGCACGTGATACGAAAAACTTTTCCAGTCTGCCGACTATTTGACAGTAACTTTTTTTTATTACCCATGAGAAGATTTCCAAGGAATAAAAGAAATATTAAAATTAGATTGAGGACACATGTTGTCTTAAGACAGTAAGAATTTGGAGTATTCGTAAAGTTTGAATAAGATATCGATTTGAAGAAAAAAGTTTAAAGAAAGTTTCATAGCAACCGTTAAACGGGCGGGTTAAACGAAAAATGTAATCTAATTTTTAAAAAACCAATTTCTTTATAAATAATTCATTTTACATTGTATCTGCTTTTTAAAATCATTCAAATAATTTTGCACATTTTTTTTCCAGATTTTGATAACCAAAGAATATATTTGGGTATTCCCTTTCTAACTGTATACACCCTATATACGCATCGAGATTCTTTATAGAGGGTAAACAGTTCAAATCCACCGTTTACATTTGACAGCTTTAATTAAACCTCGGGTATGACTTTTGAGAAATTTTACAGAAAATCCACTGAATTTTCCAATATTCATTGACGCACCATGTAATTTCATTGCTTCACACGAATTCCATAGGAAGCCGTTACCGCGATTGTTTAACGAATAAATCATGCACAAGTGTACCCATTCAAATGTAATAGACATAAAGAGTAGCAGTGATTCGATAAAAACTTTAATTTCAAACTACGACTACGTCTGTTTCTCTCTTACTACGTACTTCCCACCAAGCACCGTCTCCCTCGCACCTACGCGGGTTACAATAACACTCAAGGATTTAAAGACAAGCCATATTTCTTTTAAAACATAATTAAAGCGATGCGTTTCCACCAAACGATCCTGCACAGAGAAAGCACGTATTACGGATTGAAAAGGCTTTACGCTCTATCGTCCAGTAATACCAACATAAAATCAAGCTTGATTTCCGCGCCTTTTGACTTTATTTCCTATTTCTCCATTGTCGCTGAAAAAAATAAAGGTACATTTTCGTGAATTGGATAAGTGTCGTCCGGCATTTCGTCTACCCGACATAACGCCCAAATCTGTATAGAAGCTCAGAATACGAATCTCAGGGGCGTAATAAACGATGACAAAGCCTCAAGGGCTGACTAGTATATCTACGACAGGCAAAATCGTTTTTCCTTAGCTCCCCTAGTTATATAGCACATAATACATACATATATATATATATAAAGACAGTACATAAACTACCCCACATACATATACTAGATAGAGGGAACATCGTTTCTATCTAACCGATCAAGGATTCCCCGCTATCTCTTGGGATGAAATTCGTTCCCATTCAACTTTTATCACCGTCTTTTTAGCCTATTATCAGTAATATCCCTATAGGTGACTTCTAGGGCGAGATCGCATGTAAGCCACAAGCCTATTTTGCCTTCCATAGCTATTCATATATATACCATAAGAATTTCTATACCAGGTATGTATGTAGCGATAGTAGATCCCTATCTCGTTCCGTAAAGCATACGGGACGAATCCGCGTTCACATTACAGGAGGAACTAGACCATCGGCGTAGAGTGAGCTGCGTAAAGCATATCGTTGCTATACATAAGGCTAGTCTACGTTAGAGTTTATAAAACATACAGTTAATAGCGGTACATCGCACATAGATGCTTATGTACAGAGGTATGGAGAAGCTCGCGTTGTAAATATCGCAGCGTGTAAATCATGAGTACATCGTAGGTCATTCTGTGTACCCTATAACACCAGACAGTCTATTCCATCAGGTCTTTGCATATAGATAGGGTATAGCTGCGCTGGGCTAGGATACCGTCCGTACAATGGTCTATTATGTATATATGCATCCTATAATAGAAGCTCCTCCGCGGTTATTATATGAGGCAGTTAATGGAAACAGTGGTTTACTACGTCGAGCGGGCATAGGAAGTGGTGGAAAAAGAAAAAGATACGTAAAAATCAAAGGCTAGGTTTCGTAACAAGATAAATATACTGATTAAGTGCCAGAAATTAAAAGAAGAAAAGAATAGATTTTAAAAAAGAGACATGCAAATATTTCTCTCTGTTAAGTACCTACAAGTTGTCAATGTAAATATCTCGTTGTCTCTTTGATAAGATATTTTTTTGCTTCGTTCCACTATTGCGAGCGTCGCCATCGAGCGACGGAGAAGTTCTTGGTAATCAAAGGTTCTCTTTGTCAACGGCCGTAAATCGTTTGGTAAACACGCCACCATGTTTGACTGCGCGCTAAGAAATACGTTCGTTTGGTGTCTGCACTGTACGTATAGTCCGTGCTGCTACCTGGTATTATTATAAGACAGCTCTACTCTGTCTCTGAACCTCTACGAATTGTCTTGTGCTATATTTCTACGAATACCAGTTCGTATTCTATCTGCTTAGGGAGTTCGTTTTTCGATTCTTTCCACGGGAGCAGTGGGATAATGCAGAAATTAGGGTAATGCGAAATCTTCTATAAATGGAGAGTTTCGATAAGAGCACGGATTGTGAAAAGCGTTTAGAATAAGAGGAGAATGAGTTAAAATGCTTAAGACTGTCTATGGTGTTTATATATAGGTATAATGTCTTTCAACGGATTCTCGAACGTGGTAAAAATATCGCCGGGAACCTGACGGCGGAAGGAAACGAGATTCTGAAGGAATCATGTTGAATGACGATAATTTTTTTTTTTAATAGGAACACCACGGCCATTTACGTAAGACTTTGAGTAGATTAACATTTTTTACGCGATAATTACAAATCTCTGGATATTATAGGGAATATACGGACGTAGTACTATACTACTTATAATAATAACGGTATGGTTAAATGTGTGAATTATCTACATTGCTTTATCTCGATATTTTACGGTATAGGAAACACTGTTCTGTTTAAAATAATACCAGAGTGCATTCTATTCGCAGTGTGCATATTATGTGAGAGCATAATAATACTTAGTTATTCATAAGGTTGCGATAGCTTATGGTAATAGACGGTACTCAAAGAGAATATAGGTATATGGGAGTAATGAGTATGACAATTTAGTATGTATCATATATTCAGAGTAGTTATAAATGTTTGTATCTATTGAGGTAAGAGAAAAAATACCCTTTATCGTTGTAACGATCCCGCTTAATCTCGAATAATAAGTCTTTTGATGCATGAATTTAATTAAATAAATCTTTGCCTCATCCAATGGTTTATTCAAGGGTCAGGATTTAATATTTCACTTTGTGTAATTGATGCTTATCATGGGAGTGTATAAACGACCCAAACTCATGAACACAGAAGCTGCGAGAACAGTTTGTATTGGGCAATTCTCATGGGTAGCTGATAGCCCTAAGGTGCGACTAATAGACTCTGAAGGCTTTGTTGGACGGTGCCCGAAGTCAGGGTACTGACTATCTGGTGCAGCAGAAGTTTTCGAAAAGTTAAGTAAATGTTTAACCTAATTGTAAATTCATGAACTAATACCGTACTGCTCCTATAGGTTACGTATAGGAGAGTAATGGATCCTGATATAGGAATATGGAGACTCCCTAGAGTCCTCCTAATGGATTATAACGCTGAGGGACACTCTTCAAGTATCGTGTAGTCTCTCTGGTTATATTCCTGTGGGTCCTTTTGAGTTTGCTTCCAATTCGTAACGAATTAGGATTTCGTGTGTCAACGATAACAGGATTTGCTGACATTTAACTAGAAGGACGTCGCTAATGGGTTTCGGGACAGTTCCAGCAGGGAGTTCTTTCGCTAGACAAGAAAAGCAGATAGAATTACATCTAATTCCACGTGAAGTAATTACAACGTGTGTGACAGATCGTTTGAACGACATGGACTGGTATTTGAAAGGCTTGATATTGCGTTACAGGACTATTAAGTTCACTGGATATTTAAGAACGAAATTCCCTAAGATAGTATAATAATTATATTTATTATTATATATTATATTATATATTATATATTATTATATAATAATTCCCTAAGATAGTATATTCCCCCAGATAGTATAATAATTGAAACTTTTCGTACTTGACTGTACTAATTACCAGCAATACTTTGCAAGCGCTCTCAATTCAAGGGTTCGATATTCCATCAATTTTTTAAGTATACTTCACTCTGGATATACTAGGTAGAAATACCCATTTCGTCGATAAAACAATTCAATCCAGAAACCGTGAAGGGTATTGGGTGATATGGAGAGAGAAATAGATGAGTGATCAGGAGAGAAAGACAATCCAAAACACATGGGACCCACTACTGGAAACCAACCAATGTCTATCCAATATTATTTCAGACCTCAGGCAATCCAGGCATAGATTTTGGAATAAAATTATATTCAATGAAGATGAGAAGATAATTCATACCTTGGGAATATAGAGATAATAATGGTTATATGATTGTTATCAAGGTATAACGATGACAGAGTAAATATTCAGTTAAAACTCACGTGTGCTGTCATATTTAATTCCGTTGAGTTCATCGAAGCAGGGTAATGTGGCCAGTGTTCCAGGTGGTGTACGCGGCCAACAGAGCAATGCATCCCAGTCAAATTCGCAACGAAGATCATACGGACTCTTAGGATCAATGTGCTTCAGTCTGAGGCACTTGAGCTCCTCGGTGTAATGGGATTTATTTAGCTCGTTGATATAGTTGAGTACTTCGTGGATGTAGTTGCCTTCAAGCGGCTTGGTGCCATTAGCCACGGAGGTGATGATGGATTCCATTTCGGATACCATTATGAGTCTATATGTATATATATGTATATATATATATATCTGTATGTTTTTAATTAAATTTAAATATCCCAATAGGATCTGTATTCTCTAGGCTTCTGTCCTGGTTGGGCAGACCTCCTGAAGAGCATCCTGGACGATCCGTACGCGTCGCCGGACGCCGACGATATCCGCTATTCCTTGAGAGCAACGCGATATGGATTTTCACCACTACGCGGTACCCGCAGGACGACCTGGAAGAGCATGCGCCATCATTCCCTTTTACTTCTGTACCATGTATCCCTGCTGTGCCCTAGGAACAATATGCCTGCAGATGTGATTTCATCCGTTTTCTGAAGGGTCTATAGAGTCGATCGATCATTCCAAGATTCTTGGTAACATCTGATCATGTTAGGAATTCGGCAGTGATTGTTTCTATTCCTTCTGATATCCTCCTGGATTCCCTTTTTTTCTCCTTTTCGGCAGGTTATTCTTATCACGGAGCTATTTTATTACCTTCAGGGCTTCTCTAACACCTATGCGTGACCGAACTTCTCTTCTTGTTTAATTTACCAATCGAATGAGACTTTTGATTATTTACTCAAGAGAGCAAAGACTTTCTATATTATTTTTACTTGTGTACTTTGGAATTTTTCTTTCATTCGTCTTTCTCTCTTTACATTTTATCTTGATTATCGTCTGAGTATACCTGAAATTTCAAGAAGTCACATAGACAACTTTCCGTGGCATGTATAATTAATTCAAGGAATATATTAGCGTATAATAAAGACTGATTGATTGTCTTTATGATTTATAGTGACTCTCTTTAGTATTTGGTAACTAAAGTGAAGTGAAATGATTTAATTTGCGAACGTTGTGATTAATTAGAATGATAGGTAACGTATAAACGATATATTGTTAAAATTCCTATTTTCAAATACTCTACTTCTCATCTTTATAAATACTCGATACAACCGACGTTCTGTAACGGTATCTATAGGAGAAAAAAGTAACTTAGGGAATACTTTAAAAACTTTTAACATTATTTCCGCCATCCTTGCCGCGAAACTCATTAATATAATTATAAGCCTACATTAACCTCTGGTCATTTAATTCATCGCTTGATTACCCCATTATTTCTTTACAATTATGAGTCCCGCTAATAAAGTGTTCACAACAAGCCGTAACTTTGGCTACACATTTTTTTTTTCACGGGAATCCTTTATTCTCTGTCGAGAAGACGAAGGAATTTAGGAAAAATAAGATGAACCTACAAAAATAATGTTGAAGTAACAATTACTTCAGGTCAGCCATTAATGTAAGGTAGCCTCTATTGAATTATTAGTCAATAGACAAAACAAACGAACTATTTTTAGGCTTGATAAAACACTTCAATGCCCCTGGCACATCCCTTTGTATATTTTATTAACAGGAACTTCGCAGGCACTTCTTTTCCCATTTATTCCAAGAAATAAATATGAGAGATAAATTATTTTCTATCTTGCTACCTCCCGTTGACGTCTTTTAGTAACTTTAAATGTCCACAAGGCTGTCGCCATGATGAGATACGAGATTATTTGCAAAACTCTGGAGAAAGTAACTCACTTCCTGCGTTAACTTATCGTTAATCTTCCAACACGATGAACACCGCAGACAATCCAACTCCAAGTACATTCCACAAATGTATTAAAATTCATAACATCTAAAAGTTTATGACAATTTCACAGTTTCCCCGTGAGCGTAAGATGATAAAGTTTATCAGTTTTTCGCGGACGTATAATAATTTAATCAAGCGTTAATCTAACAATCAAATAAAAAGTCGTCTATCCATCTGCTTCTTTTTCAATTGAACAATCAAACATTTTTTGTATTCCATGTATCCTCTATTACATATTCTTTAATTGAAAGAGTTCTTCACTGATGCTGTATTTAAAGTGTTTTCTGTAATCTCATGTACTAAGTAACCGTACTCGGATGGAGTGCTTAGAATTTCACAGATTTTGTTATTCAACTTTTGATCGGACATTGTTTTTTGAACTTATCGTCTACGGAAAACGTTTGAGAAAAGAGACTGCACGACTGCCGGTTAAATCGTAAATGAGTGTAGTTTTACCGTAAGGTGATACTAGCGCCATGCTGTTCAGAAGCGACTTACTGCAAAGGCAAATAAACGATTATGTTTCGACCAGAGTCGAACAAGATTTGATATACATAGAGTGTATATCTATATTTTTAGTAATATATAGATATAAATTTGAATTTCAGCTTTCAACTTGGCTCCGGTGAAGACCGGCAATGTAACTTATCACATGAGGATAAATTTACTTAGGTATTAAACACTGTAGATGGCTGGTAGATGCTAAATGGAATTTGTAACAGTTTGACAGTGTTTGCGTATGCCAGTACCGTTGGCCAACTGCATTTTCATCTTTTTATTATATTTTAAGTTTGCCTTGTGAATATTGACTTATTTGTTATTGCGATACTATGGCCATTTCGAAATATTCAAAGAAAATATTAGTTTGTTATTACAATGAAATGTAGGATTCATTCATAATTCTATGGGAAATTTCTGAATGTCTTTTTGGAGTGCGAGCATTGGACGAACTTAAACAAGGGTTTGTAATTGAACTGTTAAGGAAATTTCTTTTCGGGTTTGTAAAAAAGTTATTTGGGATGTTAATCCTTTTCGTTTTTGATTAGGTCTGTCATGACGACTGATAATGTCACAGGTAATGAGCAAGTGATTTTTGTCACTGGAGGCTATGACCATACTATTAAGATATGGCAAGCTCATACTGGAGTATGTCAGCGGACTGCACAACATACAGAATCGGTATTTTATAATTAATGATTTTTTAAGTTTTATTTATCATGTATTAGGTTTTACTTGGATATAATTTTAGCAAGTAAATGCATTGGATATTACACCAGACAAGTCTGTCATAGCAGCTGCTGGGTATCAGCATATACGAATGTATGATCTTGGATCGAGCAATCCAAACCCTGTTATAAATTATGAAGGTGTTTCAAAAAATGTAACAGGATTAGGATTTCAGGTTTGTGATTGTCAAATTGTTCAATTTTCCTTTTGTAACTTTCTTGGGTTTATTTATAAGATAGATTTTATAGAAATTTGTTTAGGAGGAGGGTAAGTGGATGTATACCGGAGGTGAAGATTGTTCTGCTAGAATTTGGGATCTGAGGTAATTTTTTGAAACTAAGTTAAGCTAGTATTCTTATTATCAATGAAAATTTTGTTTAGGTCTAGTAGTTTTCAATGTCAAAGAATATTTCAAGTTTCTGCACCAGTCAATTGTGTCTGTTTACATCCAAATCAAGCAGAGCTTATCGTAGGAGACCAAAGTGGTGTAATACACTTATGGGATTTACGTTCAGATCACAATGAGCAGCTGGTAAATATAAATAAATTTAATATTTTCAATAATCATAGATGATAACAATCATAGTATTTCTCAGATCCCAGAAGCTGAAGCTTCTATTCAAGATATAGCTATAGATGCCGATGGGACCTACATGGCAGCAGTGAATAACAAAGGCCATTGTTACATTTGGACGTTAACTGGAGGCGTTGGAGAAGAGCCAACAAGATTAAATCCTCGTCACAAACTTTTAGCCCATAAACGTTATGCTCTCCGGTGTAAATTCAGTCCTGACTCGTCGTAAGTTATTGATAAAAAACATTATAACCACAGTGTTACAAGCAATATTTCTTTTATAGTCTTCTGGTTACCACATCGGCAGATCAGACAGCCAGAGTCTGGAAAACCGCAGATTTCTCCGAAGTTCAAGTTCTCCAGCATGAGGCAAAACGATGGGTATGGGATGCTGCTTTCAGTGCAGATTCCCAATATATATTCACAGGTTCGATATTTTCAGTCTGACTAAAGTCCGTACTGATCGGTCAAAGACTAGATCTTTATTAGATATATACTACACGCTTTTGTGCTTACGACAAGTACTGTATTTATTACAGCCATATAGTAAATTTGTAAAGCTATATATTCCACGCATGTTACTTGATAATACTTTAACGTTGAATTTACGGCCAGCATTCACCATATAAATAATCAACGATTTCTTTTAATAAAGCTTCCTCGGATGGTGTGGCGAGATTATGGAATGTCTCTACAGGAGCAGTGGAACGGGAGTATCAAGGACACCAAAAGGCCATAACAGCTCTAGCCTTTAGAGATGAAGTTCTTCCTTCCCGCTAAAATACGATAGTTATAAACAGCAAAAAATTAAAGTAATCATCATTTTCCGTTCGAAACAATCTCCTTAGGAATATAGGAAAGGCTTAATTTTCTTTTAAATACCATTAGCTTCATTCTTTTATATTCTTTTCTTATTTTTCGTTTTAATAATAAACGATTTAAACGCCCGTCGCACAGCTGGTCGGGGACAAACGTATGGATTACTCGTATCATCCTAAGCCTAGCTATACAAGACTAATTCATAGATTGCACGATCTAATGAAATAATTGGTTTATACACGCTCTTGTTTCTGTCGTCGTGCATCTCTTCATGTTTAATACTAAATCCAAAGAGCGTGTCCATAGTAAGAAGTCGCAAATGAAAAGAATAAAAATAAGTTAAAACAGAATAAACTGAATCTCCTTTCACGATGTTTGTTAAGTAATCATTGGTGCCACTAAGAGTGTGACGCTTGCATTGAATAACCAGTCTTAAAAGTGATCTTACGCGCTTAAAAACAGTTATCACGTTCTGGAATCTCGGCCTGATAAGCAAGCGACACCGGAAATGAATAAGTAACAATTGAATTGGCGTAGATTTACGCAGACGGCAGCTTATCAACTTCTCCCATTTCAGTAACAGTCTCGTCGTCCATTGTGTAACTGAGCATGAACTTCAGAGACACTGGTTCCTGAATTATAATATAGAAAATCGTTAACAATAATTTGGATTGATTAGTATTAATTAAATTTACCTTCAGTGGATTTGCTATCAGCATTATTTGTGTAATCGCAGATGGCGGTAAAAACGGGTTGTGAGCTGGAAGTTCCGTTCCGGAAGGTGGTTGAAGTCTGCACTTACATTTCTATACAAAAAAATTAATAAATATTGACAAATATTGTATTGTCAAGAAAATAAATAATTATTTCAAATACCTTAGGCACTACTGCCTGGAATAAATAATTAGTGAGGGCCTTGGAATTTTTACTCATGGTCGTGACAACGATCACAGAGACATCTGGTCGTGGGCCATCTTTTGCAAAATGTAAAACTACTGATATTCCATTCTTCTCCTCGATAACTGTTAAGGGCGGTATTGTACCTAAATGGAAAATTGTTCTATCTATTAAGTTGTTACCTAAAACTTTTAAATCGCAGGTCACGTTGAAGGATACAAACTATACCTGGTTTAATGTTTTCCAGTGTAACATTTATGTCAGTCAAAGGCTTGATTTCTGGTTCCACAACAACTGGTTTTTTTTCAACAGTACCCTCTTCTACTTTTACTTTAGAAACTTGGACACTTCCTTCATCAATGGTCGATTGGACAGATATATCCACGAGAGAATCATCTCCATTCAATAAATCGGTACTAATACTATCGATGTCAACAGGTTTTGCCGGTTGAGGTAAACATACTGATGATTTTGAATTACTAAAAAGCGAATCGGCCTGAGTAACAGGCTCAGGTATCACCAAGGGTTTCATACTGTTCATCGGTACCCTAACTGCAGTTTTACTATAATCGAGATGAAACATTAATATTCTTTTTGTGTAGTTCATAAGAATTATTTTATAACAATTCAGTTTAATTTATACCTGCTATTGTTAAAGTGACCTCGTATCGTTGTCGATGACAAACTTTGCTTCAAAAGAGATTCTCCGAGTTCGTTTAAATCTTCTAAAGCTTTTGCTTTACTGTCAATTTTTGAAGTTTCCTCGGTACCTTCTACTGCCCAAAATGCAATTCGACGATAAATTTTGTATGTACTTCTGCATATTTAAAAAAATTGCCAATTGCATACCTTTTTTCGCAGTAGATGCAACACTTATTGGTTGCATAATATCGGTTTCTGGAAGAAGAAGACTGGAATCCTTTGCCGAAGAATTGCCAATTGAATTAAAAATGTCTCCGAGCACCTCCAAATCCGATTGAGGATTTGGTACTGGTTCTGATTTTTTATTTGGAATTGAAGGTCCGGTGTCCGTGGATTCGATTTCAATGGGAGAGGACAGATCAAGTAATGACGGTCCATTGTTTAAATTTTGTTTGGACTCGAAAGGTCGACCAAGAACTATCACACTTGCATATTTATCAAAGACCTGTCCAAGTTCATCACTTGCTGCAAGAACCTCATCTAAAATATAATAAAGCAGTTGACCATTAAATATTATCATGGTAAAACAAAAAGTTATAAATAAATTGGTATGATAATTACTGAGCATTTCTTCGTTATCTTGAGTCTCATTGGCCAATCTTAATACGTTGGGTCTGAGTCTTTCGCAAGCTTGATATAATTCTTTCATTAATTCCAAATCATCTACGCTGGCTTGCCCAGGATTGTATGAATCCAACATCTCACAAAGGAGTCTAACGTTATTATGAACAGATTCTAATTCCATTATCCGCCGTGAATTCTGCTGGACCCTTTTTTCATCCTAAATTATTAACTGATTAGTATAATTGAAAATACATGAAAATTATTTTAAAAACGAACCTCCTTCACCATCGTTTTAATAAGTCGATTCGCAGCCTGCAAATCATCCGGATTTTTGCTCTGAAGAAGTTTCTGTAGGAGTTTTGATTTCTCCTCATCCTCAAATATTGGGTTCTTTACTTTAACTGTTTTGACAGGATCCTCGACACTAGGTATTGGAGCCACTTCCTCCTTTTGGAGCATCCAATAATGTTTAATAAGAAAATGAATAGATACTTTGGATTTTTTTACAAAAGCTCTACAAACCTTTACAACACCTTGCTTTTTAAGCATATCATATGCCTCTCTAATCTTTGTTTCCCGTGGGTATTCTCTAGTCCATGAATATAACAGTTGAAGAACCTTCTGTCTAACGGCTGAGGGTGTTCTACTTCCAAGATACTTTGGTGAGACAAGTTTAATCATTTCATTAAGAAATCTAAACTTTCCAACTTCTGCATGAAATGCAGGTCCACAGCGTGTCATGCATGTGTCCAACAGCTGAAATAAACAATTGTAAAAGTACATAAAGCAGAAAGACAAAAGTAGCCTAAAAGAATGCACCAAAAGATACAAAACTGATATAAAAAATTAACTTAGTAATACATGACGAACCGTGAGTGCCTGCAAGGCCTCCCATTCTGTCGGAGACTGTATATGAGTAGCAAGAAGTTTACTACCGATATGAACACCTTCAGATTCTTTAGTAACCATAAAACAGAATGCTTCGATAGCAGCAATATCTGGTTTCTGGTTCTGTGGATTGGTGACCCTCTCTAAAAGTGAATAATATTGTAAATATGACACGAGGATCGTTACTTTATTAAATAATACTCTATGAAAATTATCCGGTAATGCGCAAAAAATGACACGTCACAAAGCGATAGAAACCGTACCGGTACATCAGACTATTAATAATACACAAATTCTTTCAATAACGTACGTATAAGAGCCTCAAGGCTTGTCGTGACTACATCCATCTTCGTAGTTTACTAATCCAGAGAATTTTTTTCCTTTGAAGTCATGTGAACTGCTGACAGCTACAGCAGCGCGAACATATCTGACATTTTGAACGTTTCGGTTCAACACGATTCACAAGCTTTGATATTACGTTTAAAAGCTTTTAGTGCCGCAATTAGTATCTTTACCTCAATAAGCATTTCTCGGCTTGACTAGAACTCAGTGCCCAACGTCATGGGCGTGTTGGCAGAAAATCACAATCTCAGAAACCATTAAACTCTCGGCAATTTGTATACTACAGCTGATATGAAAATTGCAGCCATGTTGAGGCTGCCGTAAAAATAATATTGGGATCTCTGGATATATATTCATAGGAAAACGCTAGAACTTGCGTATCATGTGATTACGGTTTAAGCATTTGAACACTGGGGTTGGACAAGTTCGTTTTATCCTTGGTGTAGTTCAAAAAATAGAACCGAATCGACCGGGTACACAAGCACGCATTCCCCAAAATGGCGTTGAGCAGGGGTAAATTTTGGTTATTTCAGCGCTCAAGTGTTTTTAATAGAGATATAGTAGAAAGTAACCTAATATCGCGTCCTGCCACTACGTCTCCTACGGGTTCAATACTACCGGAACCCAAGAAAACGCGATTTGGAATTGTCGGAGTAATATGCGGCGTGATAGTTGGGCTTTTAATTGGAGCCGCTATTAGTAAAAACGTTGCCAATTTCCTTGAAGAAAATGAGTTGTTTGTGCCATCCGATGATGACGACGACGATGATTAACATGATAAACCATGTAGTTGACTCTTATAGTTGAAAGGTATTTAAAAGTTATTAGAAACTTATATATAAAATTCCTCTTGATGCTTCCTAGATATAGCATTTCTATTTATATCCAATATCATTTGCTGTGAGATCCGGAAAAATATTTTATAAATTGTAGCCTCACATAGTTTCTATTTTAATTCGCAATCCTTATTTTATTCCAGAAAGTATGACATCGACACAATGTATGACCTCTAAAATATATGTCAGGAGATATGCTTTGACAAGTGTGCATAGTTTCAGATTTATTTATTTACAAAAATGACAAAGGTCAGTGCGAGAATCGTTAATCGTACAAGTACCTATAGACGTATACAAATATATTTATGCTTTAAATAAATTATATTTTGCGATGAGAAACTATAATACAGCATCGAGTTTTCTTCCTGTTTCAAAGGCCTCTACTAGCCTGATGCTCAATTCAGCAAATAAATAGTTTCGAAATTCTCTTAAAGAGTTATATGACGGTAACTATAGCATATCCACAAGTAAAAGAGCTTTTGGAATATCCTTCCTATGACTTTTAAAGTGAAAGAGTTGCCTAGGCTGGATCTTTTACTCATGGAATAACTGTGGTAGTTCCATATGTAATCTCTAGTGACTATCCTTCGGTTGTATGAATAAATGCAAGGGCAGAGGATTGTGAAGAAAATCCAAAAAAAATACAAACATACCATTCAAACAGTTAAAATAAATACAATCAAGTACTATCTTATATACAGTGGCGACCTGACTCAAACCGAGCTTTATGTTTTTTGATTTGCGCGATAGAACATTATTAAACAGTACGTACTTAAGCAACAGCGTTATACTTTTCTTCTCTTTTTCATGTTTGCTCGTTTTCATTCGGGTGGCCTCTTGTGTAAACCCCAACCATGGAAACATTTTGTAAAACGACGCGATTCTTTTCCCTTTGCTGTTAAACATAATTTACGTGGCCTTTCCGGCTGTTTCACGCGCAAATGCTGAATGTAAACCTGATGACAAGAAAAATTTATATTTTTTCATATCTCACGTTATATTATACATATAAGTAAGGTCTGGCTCATAAATATGATTTAAGATATTTTACCTGCGCCGATTTATAAGCCAGCTTAATTTCAACTTCGGAGCATCTTGATCCGAGCCACAGGAAGACTTGCTCTCCGTTATCCAGAATCATGATATCGTCATCAGCCAAGTCATCCTGCAATTGAATATTTTGTTAATGAATTGCATTATACATTATTTTTACACAATGGTGAACTTACTCCAATTATTAATATTGTGACTGTTCCTGATCTTATTATATTTGGATGTTATTAAATTATAAAAAGTTACACAAGCATTGTCGTTTCTCTAATATCTCAAGTAATCCAGCTAATAAATAAAGTTTGCTTGCCTGACAGAAATCAGTGCATTTCTCACTGATAGTAAAGTATCCTTTATTGTTTGAGCATCTGAACAATCTTGTATGATTCATATACTCTGCATCAGTGTCATAAGGCTTCTTTCCACCAAGACCAACCCAGAAGAAATTATCTGGTTCTTCACCTTCGTTCAGAACTTGTAGACTGATCCAAGGCTACATACAAAGTAATACAGTTAACAAATATAATCGTAAACAATAGTTTTGAAGAATAAAGAAATTCAATTTACATTGTTGAACATTTTCTCAGCAATCTCTTCAATCAACCTTGCTTCGTCAGGATCTGCCTTTGATCCAATCCAAACGTAGACGATGCCACTCTCATCGTCGTTGTTAAATGGAACGTTTAAAATATAACTGAAAGATCATATAAAATTTACTTAGAATCACACTGTTCTGTTCTTAACAAACAAATAGTCTTACCAAAAAGTAGAATTCAATAAAGACGCATCAGGTGGCACCTGGATGAGTCTAGTACACAATGCACTACCACTACTACGCAGGTGATAAAATTCAACTTTACTTCCACCAGGTGGTTTTGGCTGTTTTCGTCGACCTTGATGAATAATAAATTTACGTTCGAAGTGAGCCATAAACTTTAAATTCTCTTGTTGCTGATGTGTGCGGACAACTTCCAGATTCTTTCCAAAAAGTGATTTGAAGTTCTTCTGTAGACTAGAAGAAAAAGGATTCTCTAAAACATTATATTCCCTGATTGAGTAAAATTAAAGATACAAACTTACCCAAATGCAAATGTTAGCCAGCCCATATTGCCTGCATCCCGACCTTGCCAAAAGTAAACTGTGTATTGAAAATCATTCTCGTACTGTTCATCATCCTCTTCATTATCCATAACATCCAAAGGCTTAAATACAAAAAATAAATATTTCAAAAACTAGATCAAATTCAATCGATTCAAAGGAACCAAATAGACTTACCATCCAATATCGACAGAGAAAGACATAACAGTCTCCGCTATAAAAGTGACCACGTTCCTCTTCAGGAAGCCTCACGAATTTCCTTCCTTCAAGAACAAGAGCATCGATTCCATGTAAATCCTCATTCCACTCAGCCATTAACTGTTGCGCCTCCACAGGAGACATCATCGGTTGTCTTGGCATAAACAGAGCAGCCAGATCTGCCTTTGACTCCTGTTTCTTTGCCCATTTTGTTAAATCAGCTCCTGTCTTTGCAACAGACTCAGCAGTCCTTGTGAAATCCACAGCAATGACTTCATCCCATCCAGTAAATTTCGATTTAAATATTTGTGATTCAGTTCCTTCTTGAAGTCTTGTAACCATAGCATACTCTGGTCTATCTATCATATTAAATAATTCCTGAGACAGTTTCACTGCTGCAGCCCTGACTAGTCTCGTGGACTTCTTTCCAAACCAAACATAAATGTCCAAATAACAATCCAATATATAAACATTCTTATTATTAAGTAGCGTATTAACAAGTTTCCCATGTGGAACCTCAACCTGGGGTAACTCGAGGTATCCCATACCAAGTTTCACTTGGTACAATCTTGGCGTAATAGGCGTGAAATTGGGATCGACGTGTTCCTGAAGAAGAATCAAAATGTAATGTAATAATGTCTTCCACATTTAAATAACCTAAAATGTAGAAACGTACAATAATTTCTGGTGGTTCTCCATCGACTCCTAAACACTTCCAAAAATCTTCTGACTCCGTACCCATAAGCTCTGTCAGGATATCTGCCTTGTTCTTACGCTCATTTTTATTAATCTTCTCTACCATTAGTCGAGACTTAGACTTTAAAGTGTTCTTTGCTTTTGTCCCATACCACATAAAGATTTTGGTTCCGATATCCAGAATGAAAACGTATCCTGGATCTAGTGATTCTGCGGCGACGGTTACCGGTTCAAGATGAATTGATGCACCAGCTGCATGAACCCGATATAATCTAGTAACTGCTGCTATATCTTCAACAGTATAAAAACCAGATGACGTTCTTCCACCTTCGATGTAAGTTATATCCGAATCAAAAAGAAGAAGAAATTCATCTGATTCGTCACTTTGTTCCTCACGAATTGTCCGACATTGAGCGCCGAGGAAATTTCGAAGGTTGACAGCGTGAATAGCGGCGCAAGCACGTTTGTCCAACTATATTATTAATTATAAATGAATATATAAAAATATTTCTAATGCCAGAAATAATTAGGTGTTATATTGTTTAAAACAAAAGACTTACCGTCGCTTTTTCGCCTATCCAGAAGTAAATAGCCCATGAAAGTGAACCAGCTTCGTCTACGACGGTTTTTAAAATAATATAACAGTCCCCCTCATAAAACTTTCCATGCGCCACTTCCTCGATTTGATTAGGTAAAAAATTCTCGATTTCCCATATGGATATACCAGGAACCTGACCCACGTCTTCGTCGAAGAACTCCGAGTAATCGAGGGACGGCTTTTCCAAGGTTTCATCCCAACGTTTTGGCTTTACCGACTCAGCCTTTGCGTCTTCAGCCAATTTTAAGTTCTTGTCTTTATTTTTATCTTTAGCGATATCCTTCATTCCTTTGATTATCTTTGCCTGATCCTGATCAGCCTCTTCTTGGTCCCTTCTACGTCTCAGTCTCATTTTACGAGCAATTCTATCTTTGCTACTGTTGGCTGTTTGCACTGGTGCAGGCACGTTCGTGCCAGCTAATCTTAGCTGATGTTGGAGCGAAAAATCAATATTGTAAAATTCAATTCCAGAACCTTTCTGGACTTCACTAGGTTTTGGTGGCATCACCAGGTTAGGATTATCCCGCAGATCCAGCTGCTCGAGATCAGTGAGAAGATGAATCGCATCAGGAACCGTGATCAGACGATTCGAAGTTAAAATCAATTGCTTGAGAGAACCGCATCTACAGGTAATATTTAATGTTTAGCTATATGTTACATTAAATTATTCAAATTATTCATACCGGCATAATCCTTCAGGTATCATCTCTAGATGATTCTTGGCTGCGGAAAAGACCTGCAGTGAAGATAATTTTCCGATTCCAGACGGGATACCTTCAAAATCTAATTCATTGTCGTTCAAATATAATCTACGCAGTGTTGAGATTTTGCACAGAGAACTCGGTAGTGCAGTAAGTTTGTTACGGCAGAGATTTAATGTTTCTAATTTTTGCCACGAATCTGAATATTAAAAGATTTAATTAATTCTATGTACGAAGATTTTAATTAGTCTGTACTAGAATTGTAGGTAATTAATATTTTACCTATCGCAGTTGACAGTTCAGTAATCTGGTTATCACTAAGATTCAATCGTCGCAAATTTGCCAGAGAATAGAGAGCATCCGGTACTCTTAGCAGTGCATTTTGTGATAAATCGAGTTCCTGCAAATTTGTTAAACTTTCTAAACTCGATGGGATGTTATTTGGAGTTCTTTGAGTATCTCTCATTAGCAACGTAGTCAGATTCATCAGGGATGGTAATTGTCTGTATGAAAAATTAACTCACATCTGTACAGGAGTTTGAATCTGATAGCCATAAGAATAATTAAATTAATACTGAACTTACCTCAATTGAAAGTGACCCAGTGGATTGTGATTTAGATTTAAAGACTGCAAATTTGCTAAACGACGCGTTTGCGGTGGCAACGTTTCTAGTTGATTATGACTCAAGTCAAGGAAGAGCAAATCCGTAAGGTGAATAAATAAGGTATTTGGAATTGTTTCAATACTGAAAAAGTAATGTATTTAGTATATATATATATGTCAATTTTTATAGTTTATTTTACTCACTGGTTATGGCTTAAATTGAGGTTTAGTAGGGATCGAGCTCTTTCAAATCCTTCTGGTACCTCTTTCAAATTATTATGGCTTAAGTCCAGAGTCGTTAATTCTTCTAAATGAAATAATTCTGCTGGGATTCCACTGGTTTTTATATTATTGTGACGAATATTTAAAGTTCTAAGACAACTAAGTTCTGTCAATTCTCCATATAGACGTTCCAGCTTGTTTTTCACCAGCGACAGATGCTCCTAAGTAAATTAATCTTCATCAATTCTAGTAATATTTGGAGTATCAGAATGAAATTGTAATACAAATGATATCATTAGGATTAATTAAAAGTTAAAAATATCTTACCAGCTTCAACAATTTTCCCATTTCCTCAGGAATTTCGGTAAGGTTTGTTTTATCTAGTTTTAACCATTGAATTCCAGTCATAAGTCTGACTGACTCTGGGAACTTCCCTTCCTACAAGCCATAACAAGTTTAAGTAAAATTTTAACAGAATACTTAAAACTTAATATAAACATATATCTTACTCCAAAATCATTGCTGCTGAAGTCGACACCTCGAACGAATGGAAGAACTCCGGTATTGGCCATTTCTTTAGCAATTTTCTTAAGAATAACAATGCTCAAAAGGCTTTAAACAAAACGTCTTGATTTTGCATTTATTAACAATTCACAACTACGCTTTGACCTAGAGAAAAACCACGTCAGACAGAACAGGCCAGGTAAAAAGAGTACATAACTTTCACAATAAATCCATTTACAAGATTGGAATAAAGAATATATAGTACCTGATTCACTGTATTTATATTGCACATGTCACACTGTGATCGTCACAGTGTGATATCTCGGTAAATAAAAATTAAAGTGGACAAGCGGGTCACTTAAGAAAGACATGTAGAGAATCATCCGCCATTAATGTGTAATGCAGCATGAAGCATACGCCAAATCCTGAAGTCAAAAAAACCCAAACTTCCTAAAATTCAGATTTACTTCCAAAGGATCTAAAAAAATCTTAAAACCAAATAAAAACCATAATCTTTATAAAATCTAAGCAGTTTACGGCCAAACATATCCTTAAATCACAGAAAACAATTATGCACATTAGCGTATCACTATCTTCAATCGTGTCTGCTCAATTCAAAAATAGAACCCAGAAACACAAGACGGCTTTTTATACATTCTTAAAAAAAAGAAAGTCTCAAATCGGTTGAAGTGCAACTGGTGGACAGCATTTTCTCTTTAAGATCTCGTTTGGAGCAAGGTAGTAAGTAGACAAAAATAATATGTATATTTGAATAGGGTGGTTTTTCGCGCAGTAAATTATGAGTTACGTAGTACCCATAATAATCCCGGTTAGGTTGGGCATGACGGTAGCTCGGCTAATGTTCTTTGCTCTTCGATTCTTTTACACGAGGATCTCTCGTTCGCTAACCGCAAACTGAATTTTTGGTCGCTTTTCGTAAGCACCGATAGCTAATTCTTGTATATGGCTTCTATTGAAGAGCTCGACCAGCTGGACAGCGGTATGGGGAGTAGCGACATTCGGTCTCCTGAAGTGAAATCAATCCTGCCTGACGACGACGACGACGAAGAAGTAATATTCACATCCATTTTTATTTAATTTACTCCACTTTTCATGTTCTCCTTTGGTCTATAATTTATCCCTAAACTTTTCTCATCTATCTTGAGCTTCTTTATATTAAATATGGTTCTACATAGGTATTTGTTTTATAATCAAAATTCATCTTTTTACTAACCTGATAAAATCATTATAATTTTCATGTTTTTAGTTTATTTTTATGTAATTGTTGTAGGTAATTTGATTATCTATTAATCATTTTCTGATTCCTATTGAGAAGTCGAACAGAATTGTTTCATTTTGCACAAAAATTTGGTTAGTTTTCTGTGAACTTTGACTCTATAATCCTGTGATAGTATGTAATAGTTTTTTACGTTGTAGCATACTTAACCATTACGCATATTTGTTTATTGTTAGGATGAAACCTTGGCTGAAAGGTTAGTAGGTTTGGCTGAGATGTTTCCAGAGGATGTGCGTAAATTGGGCCATGCAACAGGGACCTGTCTTTGTGCTTGCATCAAAGGTACAATTTGTCATTTATAATGTTATCTTGTTAATGAAATTGTATATGTCTAAATTATTAAACAATTTCTATATGATAGAAAACTTTTACCTCTTTCAGGACTCTATGCATTCTCTTGCACAGCAACCTGGCTGTTCTTTAGCTCATCCGCAATTCTCTTTGCTCCAATAATATTTGAGATGGAGCGAGCGCAAATGGAAGAAATGCAACGTACTCAACAGAAACAAGTATTGCTTGGGCCAAGTTCTGCGATTTCAAATGTTGGTCCATCAGGTCTGCCAATGTCACCACCATTGCAACGATAACTGGCCACTTCTTGACTTGGTCATCCTGAACTCAGCTAGCGTTCAATCAATGATTTTTAATTAAAAACCAATTTGGCGCTAATCATTCAAATTGAACGTGCAATCCCCCACATTAAACTTAGACAAGTTCAGTCCAAGTTTTTTTTAAAGTTTTCTAGAGGGAAACAGTGACTTGCATTTTCAAATGGAAGGAGAATCCTTTCTTTCTCTTTCTCTTCCGATCTCATTGTCACAATCTGACTATGATCTAAATCTATCTCTTCTCATCCGCATCTAACACCCTGTGTTTCTACTGTGTCGAATTTTTTTGTTGTACTACTGTTAGAAGGATAAATAAACTGTTAGTGAATTAAAGTCACAATTTTTCATGCTCTACAAAAATTACCCACGCGTTATTATTAGAGCCTCTGCTTTTCTCAAGTCTTAGGGCTATCATCTATTATCTTAAAAATCAATGTTAAACTGGAACATCGATACAGAAATAAAAACTAGAAATTACATAAGATGAGACAGTAGTTTGAAAATACAGTATAACTCATAGTCTTTCTACATTACCCTGCTTATGGAATTTAAACATAAAAAAAGAAAGACGAAGATCACATTGAATTTCTATCTAGAATTATATATAAAACATTAAATTTTAACACAAATATCATTCTATAATTTCGTTGACAGCACTGAGAATTTTTATTCTCCAGTAGGATTCATATAACGCAATGGTCGTTAATATATATCACGTTTGAACGCATCTTGACGCATACTATGCAGAATGAAATTTGCACGTATATCAATACGTTTCAAGATTTTCGTATCTTAACGTCTAAGACACTGCTGGGCAGGCACTTTATCAAAACGAATCGCTGTTGATTTAACGAACTAGCATCGCCTTGGATGTCTGCCTTAAGAAAAATATACTTTTCTTTCTCTCTGCTTGTCAGTGGACGCCTTTTTATTAAGATTTCTTCGTGACTCTCCATGAATCATTCGATTTATCATGCTTTAAAGAAACGCACAACTCGAACGACGTATTGTCTGCAGATTGGACACTCCGACATTTGCTTACCACATGTAACACAACATGCCATGTGACCGCACTCTAACATTATGCACTCAATAGGTGCATCCAGACAAATCTTACAGAGAGCTTCTTCGTCCAGTTCCTGATAATCTTTAATAAGAAAATAATAAAAAGATAAATGACATGTAGGTTACCTCGACTTGAACTTAGACTAATTTTCTTAACAAATGTAACTTGTCGATTACCTTCTTTGGACTTGTAGTCCGTCCACAGTCGAGTTGCACGAGTCAATAATTCACGTTTCTCGACACATCCTTTAAAATCGACTCGATTTGTACTAAGTAATTCCTTCAACTGTTTAATTGTTAAGCACTCGAGTTCTAATACGTCATTGATGTCGGACAGTTTGACTAAACCCGACCACTAAGATTAAAAGAAGTAAATTATTGCTATTATTGAAGATCTTCTGTTTAAATCATTTTTATTTACCGTCGGGAGTTCTGTAAACATTTCAGAATGTTGCTCGTTAGAACTTTCTGAATTGTCTTCCTGTTCTGTAACGAGTGGCTCCGGTCCATCGTTAGAAGTAATAAACTCATCGGACAGTTCCTCTATCTGAATGTCATGTGTACTTCTTGTAGCTTCCAGTGGACTCTCTTCAGGCTCTGTCTCCACTCTTCCATTCGTTTCTGGTCTTTCAGGAACATGCTGAGGACTACGTGATCTACGTGGTGGAGAATCAGGTGAGAATTGCCGTCTAGAGGCAAATCTGTTGGAATGAAATGATTAGTGAAAAAAGATTTAGAAATAATTCACAGAGTAATAAGAACAATGAGCAATTTACAGTGATGATTCTGGAACATTTGTAGATCGCCCGTCAGTTCCATTTGCAAGTTGTAAGAGTAAATTGACCAGATCTTCCTTTTCTAGAAAAGAACAGATTCTATAATATTTTGTGTAATTGATTATGTATACAATTTATTCTGAATCACGTAATATTAATCAATAACAAGGTTCTGATATTCATTGATACTCCTTATCTTATCATTTCAATTCACCAGGCATTATCTTTCATTATTCAATATTCTTGATAGTTAATTTTCCTATCCTATGACTATTATATTGCTTACCTACACAGCCCCGCATAGAAATCTTCTTTGCATCTAGGTACTGAACCAGATCTCTGGATCGCATTTGTAATACTTGACTACGTATGAGTGGCCTTCGTGATAAAGTACGACAATTGTCACAACTCAATAATCGGTCTACTCGTCGGACAACACAGTTGGTGCAGAAGAATCGTAAACATTCCATACATTGTTTCTAAAAATAACAAGAAGTCTTAGAATTTCAAGCCAAATACCATCCCGAATGTAGTATATCGTCAAAAAAGAATAGATATTATTGACTATAAGGTTGAAAAATTAAAAAGGAGCAACAAAGGAAGGACTCACTTTTCTCTTAAATAGCGTAAATTTTGTAGCACAAGCTTCACAAGCCATGTTCAAGTGGCGAAATTGCCCGAAGGACGTATCTGTTTAGATTTTATTGTACAGATTATAGGTTAACTGTCATGACTGGATTTGAATCTTCTCAACAGGCACATCTGATAGCAATAAAACTCAGTCACTTAATAAACATAACGATACAATGATGAAACAACAAGTACACGAGTGAGCTAGTAATTTGACAATGTAATTCTACGAGAAGTTAATTGTTACCGCCGCTAAGCTGAGAAACTCAAGAATACATGAGTAACTGACTTCATATCATTTTCTAGCCCCCAACAGGCTTATCGCAGCATTCAGAGTGAATCGTTTCATCAGATAAGATTGGGTCTGAATCCCTGCTTTCGAGAACATAGGGAAATTTAACGAATAAAATAAAATGATCTTTGAACTCTTAAAAAATATATAACCAAAATATTTCACTGATACCCTCTATGTTTCGTAGCGTAAAAATTCCACGAACGCAAGCTACGCGTGTCTCTTTTTTGTGTAAACATTCGTAGAAGTGACACCGAGAAAGTATGAGGTATGTACAGCAACGTTGACTCATAGAAAACCGATAGCATACACAGCATTTCATTTTTTATCAAGCTGAAAGCCGCAACATGAAAAATGTACAGAATAATTATCGTCGAAGCGATATTCATTCTGGATGACGTTATTCTTTTAAATCTTTCAACACAATAATACAGCATTACGTATTTACGGAAGAGACTCCGTCATGGGACCTATTCATTGTTAATTTGCATTTATAATGATGGGTACGTACATACATAATACCCCGTTTTGGAGTATTTCCTACTTGCGTCGACTCGTAAACGTCACAATACTTTCGGCCGTTGACGTCATAGGAAGGACCTAAAATTTAACCAATCCGGTAGAACCACATACGTGTCACGACCTATCTGACCAATGAAATGCTTTCTTGATGTTCTAGCGAATTCTATCACGGATAGCTGTGTAGCTGAACTTCCGAGTTTCATCAGTTTGTGGGAGTTGCATCAGTCGGTAGGCGTCAGTAGGCGTCCTATGAGCGATATACACCGGTAGTTCAGTTCAGTTGACATCAGAAATTTGAGGTGTGGGACGTGGCACTTGGATTATTTCAAAACAGAAGATAATTTTCATGGCAGAGCATGAGCGGCTTGAAAAGTGTTATAATTACTTTGCCTAAAGGGCTAGCGAAGAGCGTTAATCCAAAGTTGAACTTTACCACGTCGATACTGGCAAATAAGACCAAAATGGACATCAGGAATGTTCCACAACATATGGACGAAGACTCCACGGACTCTTCGCTCTTCAAGAGTGATGTTTGTCTTCGTGGAAAGAAACGACGACTGGACCACCTCACCTGGGAAGAGAAATTACAGAGAAAGTTAGTTCAGTTTCGGTTATTACCTCTGCTGAAAAGTTGTACCTATTATTAAACTTTTATTTTCTTTGAAAATATTTTTCAATTACTTTACCATGTGTAAATAATATGTGCCAAGGCATTATATAGTGAATGATTACTTTTATTTAAGTCAATGCTGGATGAATATTTTTATTTTGGTCAAATAATAATTGCCAATTAATAGTTTAACTTGTTGTTGCTTATAGGAAGTTGAAGAATCGTGTTGCTGCACAAACATCACGTGACCGTAAGAAAGCAAAACTAGATGAATTGGAAGAGTCAGTAAGAATACTTCAAGAACGAAATGAACAATTGTCGAGAGAATGTTCAGTATTGAGGAGCACCAATGAAAGTTTAATGGTAGAGAACAGAAAACTTAGGAGAAACAAGAGTTCTGAAGTTGAGCAACCAGTCTGTTCAGCATGTCAGGCTCGTGTCGGCTGTGCTACACCTACATCGGGATCTGCAGAATCCCCCAGAAACCCTCTGCCGCAGGGTGGGGTAGCACAGCCGGCACAGAGCCTGGCGAAGCTGTCAGCGATAGGAAGCTTGACACCAGCAGCCAGCGCTCTCCTGAGGATTCTAACCCTCTACCTCCTCTCGAAGAACTCTTTGCTGAACTCCAAGGAGACGATTACATCGACCGACTTGAGGAGCTTGCTGAAAGTCTTCTGCGAGAAGTTACCGCTGAAGTGGAAGCAAATACTTCTAGATCAAACGACGAAGTGAGTCTAACAATAAACATATTTAGTGCATCATAAGTTACAAAAGATCAGTTATAAGAAGAGCAGTTTCAACGAAAGACATTTAGGAATGGATGAACAATTTTCTCAGGACGTTCAGAACAAAAAAATCCTTAAAGTAATTCAATAATAATGATCAATTGCCTTACAGAAAATAATCATCCACACCTAAATTTGACTATAAACTTAACACAGCGAGCTTAGTTTCTTCTCAACTAATCGCATAACTCCTTTCACCAGGCTCCGCTCGCGGAAGATACCAGCACCAAACGTGACGATACGTCAGGAATGGTGGGGACGACATCAGAAGATGTGGAAGCCAATGGAACCGATGGAGTCGCGGGCGGGGTCACCGGTTCCAGTGTGCTAATCTCCACTGAACCATTCGTTCCAGTTCAGCTTAAACAAGAGAGTCCGGACACGATATACGGCAGTTACGACGAAGCTACCAATTGCATCACAATAATATGTTCCGACGAGGAAGATGTAGGTCTTCACGAAGAAATCGTAACAGAGGAAACCTTTGCGGACGAATCCATAGAATCCAAAGTTCATCTGTCGCCTGACACGTGTACTGAGTACACCATGTCACCGCAATCTGTCAAGTCAGAGGATACAGGATTTGCTAGAAAAATGGACTGTGGTCTGTCAGATTGCGGCTATGAGTCTCACGAGGCGCCCAGCCCAGAAGCTCCGGCGCTTACAGATTTATGGCACGAAAGCTTCTCAGAACTTTTTCCAAGTCTAGCCTGAGATAAGTGCGCTGATAGTGACGATAATAATAATTAATATTATCGACAGTATCTGCGCTCTGTGGCTTCTGCATTCGGATTCTCGTCTGTGATATATTACTAATATATAGTATATCCACGAGTTCAGTGTAGGCGATTGACAGCATGCGAAAGTAGTCCCTAGTTACTTTGAATGGTTTTACTACGCGTTTAAGCCTCCGTCCCCACCCCTCACCAATACGGGACGATCTATGATTTTAAACAACACGCGAGGTGATCAAAAAGTATACGTAGAGTTAAAGTTCTTATCGTCAGTCTGTCAAAATACTTGAAATAAATGTTTAAATTTTATTATTAATTCACATCTGTAAATGAAGTGATCATATATTTGATTTCATAAATTTGTACACGCACTACTTTAACGGGCGCAGTAAAATGTGCTACGGCACTTCATTTTAGAACATTGACGTATTAGAAAAGGGTTCCTTAAAGATCTAAAACATTTTGTTTCCTAGAAACTTTCTCCTACATATTCTATGATATACTACTCATATTTTTATTAGAAACCATTTTTTTTAAAGTTACTACTTCATGCTGTGGACGAAATTATATGCATTCATGAACATGGAACATACATGTGTCATATGGCTACCACGGCCAGAGACGGCACTGGATTTTCTTTGCAGTCATTCTATTACTGCCAACATTACTAGTAGAAAATATGTTCGTAATATTAATACCGCAATTTCATTATATCAAACAATTATGCAGCAGTTTGGTGTGTAATTATATCTTATTCTTCTTACTATACAAGAGCAAAAGTATAAATTAAAGCATGACATGCTCTTAGAAGAAATTACTGGTGCAGGCCTCATGAAAGCACATGTTGCAGGCTAGGGATTTCATAGTTTTCGATCTGTCAAAAAACCACACCGAACTCGTGGACCTACTATACCTCTATTATTTAATACATCTATTAACTCCTCGCAAATTAAATGAAAAACAATACAAAAAATTCCTTTAAAAATCAAATCAGGTCCAATCGATACTCATGTGTACTTAAAAGTTAGTATAGGTAGTTGCATCTGATTGCATGACTATAAGTAAGGAACAAGGTAGGGCATGTGTTCCTCTGAATTTTTTTATCTACTGATACCTGAAGCAAGGGTACAGTACGTCTAAAGAGTCGGATGGATACATTTCGATAAGGTTCCTTAAAATATTGTATATTGATTTTTATAATTATTCCATAATCACTCTATTTCCCTTTTTTCGTCAACAAATAATTTTGTATTCTTAAGATTCTACGTGTATCGTAAATTTTGTAAATACAATATTTATTAGTCGTTTTTCACGGAGCTGTGTACGGACTCGTTTGAATAAATCAGTAATGAACTAAATAAATTCATTTAGTTCTTCATTAATATTAACCCGGTATGATCATTAAGATATTTGAATAACCATTAAGAAAGTCATATTCTATCAAATGGCAAGTAATCGTAGAAAATTGCGATTTGCATGAATTATCCTCTACTATTTAAAAGTGCGTTAACATATTTCATATGGATTTCTTTTTTTATTAATTACTTTACCTAATTATTAATTGGTATGCCGAGCTATAACCAAAAGAAAAGGGGGAAACTAATTAGAGTAGCGCTCCATTACTTGATAATAGCTTAACATTACGGTAAAGAACCAAAAAAGCAAGTACAAAATTGATTTAAGAGACACGATGAAAAATTCAAGCGTTAAGTTTCACGGGGCACACAGTTGAAATAAGGGGAATAATTCATTATTTAATTAATTAAGCCGCGTAGATCTACCTTTAATTGTGCATAAATATCTGACAAATATAACAAACAGAAAGGACAGGATCAACAATTTCAAAGTAACTATTTAGTACCGGTCAATTAATTAGTATCAAAAAGGTACAAGCTCCCTGTCTTTACTAAAAAAAAAAATTTTCTCTGGCAAGCAGTTGATTCTCATTTTTCGAATAAACTGTTAATACATAAATTTTATGTTGTTTCTTTTAGTCAAGTTAAAACCTATCTTAAGGTATTACTTTGTTATCCGTACACTCTAAGATTCCCTGGATATCCTATACATTTTTTAGATTTTTTATTAAACTGACTCCTGAAATTCTAATTAATTGACCCACAAAATCATCCGGAAGCATTTCCAAATGATATTTCTTTGTGAATTTTCAATAAAATTCAATGGTCTACATTCCCCTTGCTATAATAATAAAGTAATTATGATACGCGTAAGCCCTCTTCTTCCTTTAATGTTATCAATGGGCATTGAAACAACCAGTTTCTCTTTATAGCACTGTTGGAGTACCATTAAAATGTCCTTTATCCGAAGAGTTTATCAAAGCAGCCATGACAGTAAGGCTTGTCATTCTGTTCCTTAAAAGTGCCCTTATTCAATTGTTTTAAACAAAAGGCACAAACAAAGTGTTCCGGATGGAATTTACGAAACATGGCCGTGATGCAGCGACCTGAAAATAAATACAATATTAAAAATAATTATAAGAGTGACGTTAATTGAAATTTTCTAACACACCGGTAATAGGCTTATGACATCCTGCACATAAGGATCCTCTCTTCGCATGATAATGTGTCTCACAATAAGGCAGTCCTTCATGATCAAAGAAGGAGCCTCCTTGGAATTTCTGTCTGCAGTCCTACGCAAAAAATTGATAGTGTCTTTTATATAAATATCTTTCATGCACATTATTATGGTGCCAATGTATAGATTATTGACTGTTTTCTTAAGAAAAAACAAAAAAAAACTTCGAGTTCTATGACCATAATAGCACTCTTACGGGTCTATAATATTTGAAGGCATATTAACGACATTGTTTTCTTGGAACAGTTTCAAAATCTACGACAAACTGTCTACGACCTGTCACAGGCTAATTACCTCGTTGCTAATGCACAAGCTAATTAAAGCGACATTGCTGCTTAAAGTAATTTTAGCATCGTACCGATAAATCTATCCACTGTCATTGCCAACTTATTCAGAGTCTCTGAGCAAACACCTGTATAATGTAAGTCAAGTTCGTACAGTAGTCTAATCTGTTTTTCCTTCACAGTGCAACAACTGATGAAATATTCCATCGAATCGTCTGATAAAAATAAACCCTACATGAATTTTTAAACAAACAAAGGATTCTTTGTTCTCAAATTCAAATCACCCTATCAATAACGATGTATAAAATTATATTAATCACGGTCCAGAAAACAGTGTTCACTTACTATTATTCGATAGATTTAACAAGGTATAAAATTTCGAAAACTGTACCAGAATACCAATTCTAAGAATGGTACAGATAGAATCAATCGGAAGGAACGTGAAGCAATTTGTAGGAATGCTTGTAAGTCAATTAAAACTCCTAACAAAAAAAAAAGAATAATCGAGTAACGATAGGAATGCACGACCTCAACCTGAATCTAAAGTAAGCAAGAAAAGAAAAAAAAAAGGAACCTAATGACTTCACCGACACGAATCGAGTTCAGGCCACGGCTTAAGTACCGAACACACGACCCTGACCATGGTTAACGAATAGTCAACTAGGTCCAGAGTCCTGGGCCAGAGTCAGTGTGTGTTTGTGGTTGTTGTTTTTGTTGTTGTTTTTTCTCCGCCATTTATTTCTAGCTCATTACAATACAAACAATAGTAATATTAGACGAGTGATCTCGCTTCGCCTATAGAGAAAAGACAAAAGAGGACACCCTGATAATCGAATGTCCTGTTTCTTAAAAATTTTTAATACAATTTTTTGTATATAAAGCTTTAAGCGCGTCGCTGAAATTCCTTGGGACGATCGACTCGACTTAACTTGAAGGCTGGGGGGGAAGTTGACAGTCCGATCTCGATTCGTGTGGTTCGTGTGTGTTTAGTGTTCCTTTAACTTTCCATGATCGTGCGCTCGTACGTGTGGTAGACAAGATGAGGACAAGGCGGAATTGATCGACGCTGAAAAGTCATTGAAATCTGGAACGAGTGACGCGTTTTCGTCATCACCAAAATAAATGGTGACGCGAAGTAAAAAAGCATCGTCCACGGTCATACGTTATTGATATCTCTTTGCTTTTATCTATTGGGGGACCGAACTTCGCATGTCGAAGTTCAAGGGGCATAGGGGGTCACGCGCAGACGATGCTTTTGTTTGCCCCTGACGATTTTCTCTTAAGCCTCCTCTTCCTCTTCCTCCTCCTCGTCGTCCACGCCGACGCACTTGGGGCACACAGGTTTACCCTCCATGGCGTAGAAGGATTTTCCGGAAACTGGTTTCTTGCAGTCCTGCAAGCATATTCTCTTGAGCAGAAGACCTAGGGCGCTGGTAAATAAGAACACTCTGACGGCTGAAAATATTCTGTGAGCTAAGCTCGTTAACGTATGACCTTCCGCAGATACTCTCGCGGATTCTCCAGGTATCCTGTAAGAAAATCACTTCTCTCCTCTATCCCAAGATACACATAAACAAGTGCCTACCCTGCAAACGAAGCAGTCCGGGTGCCACTGGCTGTTCAAGGCAGAGATGTAATTTTCCATAATGGCGCGATTGCAGCCACCGCACTTGGGAGCAAACATGTCGAAGTAATCCTCGCGACAATAAGGCTTCCCGTCGCGCTCATGAAAGCCATCCTCTCCGAATTGCTTTCCGCACTGAGCGCAGAAGAAGTGCTCCGTGTGCCAGGTCTTCTCCAGAGCAGTGACGCATTTCTAGAAGAAAATTTCAATATAAAGGTAATACAATGCATCTAAGAAAAATGATCTGTGTGTCCCTTACGTCCAAAATGGGACCGTTGCAGTATGCGCAGCGTGGCGAGAACAGATTATGATAGTCCGGCTCGCAGTAAGGATGACCCTCGCGCTCGAAGAAGTTGCGAGTACCAAGTTCCTGGTTGCAGTGAGTGCAGGTAAAGTGCTCGGGATGCCATGTTTTACCCAGAGCCGTGATAACCTGTGGATCCAAAAAAAGTATATAATATTCATAGAACCACAAACGCTTGGTATCCTCTGTCAATTTTTTCCTCGCAGTAGCCACTGGCACCTGGACAATAATTCATTAAACGAATAAGCACCTGTCCGACGATTGGTTTCTCACAGGCGCTGCAGCAGCCCTTCTGCGTAGTGTTAACTCCTTGGCGGCTCATGTCTGCCTGCAGGTTCCCTAGCATAGAATCCAACTGATTCTGTTTGACTTGAGTCGCAGGCTGCGCGAGATGACTCTCTCCTTGCTGCGGTTGATAATAATGAGTCGTGTGACTTTCGCTTATGTGAATCCTGGTGTGAGTCTCGGGCTGGGGTGAACTCTTCGTGGCCTTGTTCGGCTTCGCGTACGGGGAGTCAGTCACCGTTTGATGTTGATGGGTACTACCATTAATCTGAAACCCCAAAGTAACGTTAAGCCATCCCCAATAGTGCGTACGGTGAAAAAGCCTGTAAATACAAATCAATAAAATCAACATATCAAAGTATCCAAAGAAATTATTATATAAAACTGTACCAAACGAAGAAATCCTCTCGATATTCCATAAGCATAGATGAGATGGACCGCGTTAATTAAAAGATAAAACCTTAAGTAATTTTATTGATCATTAATGAAACGTTGATATTAGAGTCCTATTGATGGATTTGATAAAACCCTTAAAAATCCAACGATACCCATTAATATAGTGATACAAAATGGTAATAAAATTTGATGGCTGTGACTGAGGGTGTCGAGAGAGATAATAGGCAAAGCCTGTATCAATCGTCGTGAAGTAAACCTATCGATTATTATAGGATCGTAATGGATCTTAAAGTATGGAACTTGAGTGATTGTCGAATAGTCAAAGAGACGAGTGAGCGAGAGAAAATGCGAGAGAGAGACGCGCGTGGGCGAGATATATTTTATTAATAGACACGCGTATGTGGGTCGAACGCGAATTCGGTTGTGAGATGAAAAAAAACCAGAGACCAGAGGAGATGTTGATCGTTCCTGAAGAGCTTGCAGACTGGCCGAAGCTTCGTTGGGACCGTGGCTTCTCTGGCTCCCCGCTCTTTATTTCCCCACTTCGCACTCGCTAGCTAGCACCAGCTATTTCGGTAACCTGGCCAGCCAAGAATGGGCAGAGCCACGGAAACCCGGAGACTCTACGGAAATCTACGGGGATCGATAGGGAGGATCGGCGGTACCATCTTCGATTATCTTCGACTAACATCTTCTATCTTTAATATTTTTATAGTATCCATCGACGAGGAGGGCCGATAACGGCAGAACAATGGCAGCTATGCTCACGCAGTTGGAATCCTGATCCACAATGGTTGGGGGGGTACCTCTTAGTGACATCACTGTAGAAATATCACAGGATGCTCATACCATATAGAGATACTCCATTGTATAATTCTTTTCCTAATAATCTTCAAGACGTGTCTCATTACTTTGTTTTTGATAGTAAATAAAGAACTTACCTTGAACTCGGACAGCGAAGCCATAAGGTCGTCTAACTCCTTGGTGGCGTTGCTAGCTGCATGACCGTTCGCGTAGCCTCTATTAAGAGATCCAGTTTGTGAGGATGGATAACCTTCGTACACAGGTTGTACTTCCGTTGAAGTCTCCTGGATGGTTACCTTAACTCTTCCGTCAGGGTTGTAATCTCTGAAACAAGAATATGAAGATTTATCATTGGCTCCGATGATTCACCGTCGCAAGGCTCTACGTTCTTCTTTCACAATCGTACTAAATTCAGCTTTACCTAAGAAAATATTCTTTGGATTCTTACCCGGTCGGAACTGCGGTACTCAGTTCCTCTAGGAGAGAATCAACAGTGGGTCTTGAGGCCGACAAACTACTTGGTGAACGTAGCATAGGACTGGTTGCACCCCCATTAAGTGCACCGATGGAAGCTCGTTCTGTAACACATAAGCATTTGTTTTAAGAGAAAAAAATTTACTACATAACACTGAATTGAATTTAATGTATCATAAAGAAACATTTAGTAGTAAAAGCGTTAACCGCATCCACAATCTCCTTTTTAAGAAATCCTGTGACAAAGGTGACGCGATGTTCTGATAAAGTCTAATTTCTCAGTAGCGACAGCCAGGAATTACACACTTGAGTTTCCGGGAACTTACGGTTTACAAAACAAAAGTGGTAACAGGACGCAAATAGGAAATTGTGTATCGAAATTTGGTGATCCTCCAAATTGGCGTTCGACGCTGCCAGAATTCAATAATGTCGAAGGAGAGGAGAACGAAGAGGAGGTAGAAGAAGGTCGAAGGAGGCAAAGGAGACCGAAAATAGGTCGATAAAGAACCGCCACCTGATTACTATCTTTTATAACGTCCGTTATTAATAGCAACGCGGTTTCACTAAGGAAGAATGGCAAACAGCCAATTTTACGGATAACCGATTGATACTCCAGACTTAAAAAAAAAAGATGTTCGAATCATCAGTGAAAATTGATACGTTCACATTTCCTTTTTCTTTCATTAATTCTAATCTTTCCCATATAAAATTTAACGTCTAATTAAATACTAAATAAAACGTATAATCCTTCAAGGACCTCTATCTTGGTAATGAGAGTTGTAGTGCGCATTGCTGAGATCCTGCAGAAGAGTATCCAGCTCGGAGAGGTTGTTGTTCAAGGATGGCATTTTTCCACCAGGTCCAGTCTGACCGTAAGGACTTGTTCCAGTCTTGGTGATGGTCTCCTCCATGGCTTCTCGATTTTGATAGGTTGGCTGCAAATAGAAAAATAACAAATTTCAATAAAACATTCACAGCACGAATACCGCAGCTTGATTAAGATGTTTTACTTCTTCGAACTATTCTAAAGGGGACGTACAGGAGGAGACAGTCCCCTAAGGCTCTTTTTTTTGCGGTTCACGTAAAAAAGGCAACGTGCCAGCCTCCCCAAATAGTTCAACATTATTCCAAAGCGTGATGTCAGGTCGATGCGCAATCTTCTACCAAGACAAGCGGCACGCGTTCCCAGCTTTGAATAATTCTCGGCACGTTTTGGAACCTCTTCAACTCCTCAATGAATAGGAGCTCGTCGAAAGGAATGTTTAACATTGATTTCCTCACTAAGTGAACAAAATAATCAGGATACGTCAACGAGTAACTTTTAGCCGCTCGAAGCATCCCGAATCAATTAGCCGGAAGCAGCATGAAGACAGGTTGAGAATCGTTGATGTGAATTCATGAAAAAAATAAATAAATAAATACAAAAAATAAATCAATCTATAAATTTCAGGCTACGGTAATTTTTCACGTTGAAAATAGTTTAAGTCTCACTTTTTTGTTTCTTCTATGAAAAATTAACTTGACTCAAATTTATCCTGGTGCCAGATTCCGTGGTAGAACGGTATGGGCCTAACCTGTCTGTTCCTATTATTTTTCTCCTCATCTGTAACTTCCTATCCTGCTGCTACTAATTCCGTCAGTCGATACTGCCGAGATCATAAATTTTTTGGCGATAAAATGGCATAACGGTACATCCGGTCGATGGAAACTGGGTTGCTGAGTTGTCCGTCCAGAAATAACCGAAACAGCAAACCGACAGAAACATGTCCGCGAGACATATCGGCGAGTTTCGCTTTGAGCTTTTAACATCAAAGCAACGAGACCCATACGTACTTTTCATAATCCCGCGTTTCCCAATGTATGGATGCAAGAATCCATCGATAGGCTTTCAATATTATGAAGAAATCGTATTACCATATATATACTCGTGCTACGCACATGGTACAGTATCGATTAATGAATTTCATCAGAGTCCAGCTATTTAAAAAAAAAATCCATAAACAGTATAAATTGCCTTCAGTTTCAAGGTTCACAATAACTTTTACACTGTACTGTACCTGAAAACATCATCGATCCATTTCTGACTTTTAGTCCGAACGAAAGTTTTCAACGACATTGAATTTTTCCTTGCAAAGTTTCAAGAGTGCCAGTACCAAGGAAACTTACTGTACTCAGTACCCAGATTAGAGACACGTGTTTTTTCCCTCGAGCGAAGAAAGAATAAAGCCTCGATGTTTCATTCGACCGAACGATGTTGCGTTGTCTGTTTACCCCAGCGAAGTATCCCCTTTGGCCAATGGTCAATAATACAAGCGTTACGATTCTTTTGAGAAAGACGAAAGAGGGCCAGTGTCCGAAAGCGAAATACAGGCAGGCACAATGTTCGCGAGAAGTTGAAATTTTGCGAGGAGGCAACACATTCAGGTTCCTGAGTATTATTTTTAGCACGGCGAACCACCTTGTTTCCGTCACAGTCACGTGAATACACAGCAGGCCCTTTTACACGGTGCTTTGAAAATCTAAAACCGTGTCTAATGAAATTACAGAAATTAAGCAAGAGCCCCGCGTGTACGTTGAAAAATTATCTAATAATCATATAAAAAAGATTGATTTAATATCTTTAAAAATATTTTATAACATTATTTTTCTTTTTATGTCCTACGTGCTAACCTGTCGTTTCGTCAAAATTAACATTAACGTCCGATCCTCTTCTAGGTCTGGATCGACTGCTGGTAACATGGACGGAAGGAGAAGGGCATGTCGGCTGTGCCTGGAAACGTCACCGAAAGGTGATTCTTCGGTGGTAGAAGAAACGGCTTGTTTTCCCGGTGATACCGGCGTCTCCTTATTTATAGGCATAATAACCTCTAATTATAGAACGGAGCCCGGTCCACGCAACTTCCTACGGGCTGCACGATCTTTACGATATCAGCGAACTCTTTCGTGAAGACGCCTCTTGAAAAATTCAAACTACGAACTGACTAACTGCGCTAGTCAAATGGAACGTTGTACATTATGAATATATCTGACGATAGTACGCGTACGATTAATTGTGGTAAGTATAATTTTAGAAAATCAATAAAAGAATCTTTAAAGGAAACTTTTAACATACCTATAGGCGTCAATGGAAGTAGTCATTAAAATTAAGGTCAGATCGATGAGTCACTTAGACAATGGCCGATAAACGAAATTCGCGTCAGACGAGTGTTAAACATATGTGACGTGAAGGAATAAACAATCACCGAGCAAGACAATGACGTTTATTACGTGGTTAAGCATCTTCGAAGGTTGCTTTGAGCTTCAGTCTAACCCTCAACGAGACTAAAGGCTGGTTTTAACCAAAGTCAATCGTGGTGTTTAAACTGTTTTCGACTGAAGAAGTATTTTGTATAGATTCTCTGTAGAAGTTTAAAATGTCGAGCAAGGCAGATCGAATTCTGTCCTTTAAATAATATACGTACTTTAAATAATGTATTGTACGTAACGGAAATCAATAGAGCACAGGGAAAAGCAACAGATGTGAGGGTAGAAGTTTTACATGCCTTGTGTTTGCAACTTGACGTGACCTAAGGTCTGCTTGGTCGTGTCGTTGAAACGTAGGACGAGAAATTTGAAAACAGTGATTAAAGCTACAGGACATAGAACATTTTGATTAATGCTTGCGGCTTCTCTTTCTTTGTTCAATCATACCGCATAGAACTTTTAAGTATTTTAGACACGCTTCATGAAATTCGACACCCCTGAAAGCATCGACCACGTGTGTAATATCTGTTAGCATCGATGGAAATTAATTGAACGTACGTCTGAACGACGTAATATAAAAATATAATTTATTTCTGAATAATACAAAAACTCGAGGACAAACATCGACTGTTTGTCGGTAAAGCTCATTTCTCTTATTACCCGAAGATCCTTGTACGCTATTTTGAGTTACATGTATAAAATGAGAAAGGTCGTCGAAGAAGACTTCCGCTGAGCTTGGCGCTCGTGTCGCCATCTGTTCGAGAATAGATGAAACTACTCGACAGAAACATGGCATGAATTTATATGTTGTGTGTATCAGGTTCGAATAGTTTCAATGATATTCCTACAGATGGTGTCTAATGTAGATTCTAAATATTTCGTGTACGTCTCGTGTGCATTAAAATTTGTATAAGGTACTACGGACAACACGCGGGCTTTCGCGTGTGATTTAAATACCTGCAGCGCTACGAACAAATACAGCATCGAACGGCATATCTATTCTAGAATATTAAAACTTATTTATCGAGCACAGCTAATTTACAAAAATCCTTTTCCAAAACCAACTAAATTTCGAATCAATTAGTTCTTTCATACATTAGTCACCTAATTCCGAATTATAACGAATTCTACATAAGTACATCATATTACTTATAACCCAACCACAATTGTCAGCGGTGAAATAGTCCCTTTCGGGAAATTTTTTTCACTAAACTTCTTTCAAAATGATTATAATATTCTGGACATATGAAAGATTTCCAAATATACTGATAAGCTCGGCACGATGCGTTCCAGCTGAATAACCCTGATATACATGTGTATATACACGATGGCCAAGTTCGTCGATGACACAAATCCTTTCATTGAGCTTCGTTAACTCTTAAATTGGAGCACAACAGCTTTGAAAGATTCTCAACCAACATTTCCTACTACAGGCATGTCCTTTTAGCTGCACTCCTGCACTTTCTCGTAGAAAAACTAGTTTTCCTTATTTTCTCTCCATTCTCAGGAATGCCGTGCTTTTACGCTAATTTGCAAACAATCACGACCGTCACTAGAGTTAAGAATTTTTATGCACCTAATTGATCTAAATAATAGCACAAACAATTAACAGTGATAGATTGTGTCACTGTAGACCAATGCTTGTCTTAAATTTTTATTTTTATCATGGTCTTTCTAATTATCTAAAGAATATATGTATAATCTCCGTGCATTACTTACCGACTGTGATGGCAAAGGAGACGTCCGGTTATCGTAGCCTCTGTATCCAGTAGCGTGTTGCCGAGTACCATTCAGAGAACCATAACCGGGTGTTGCATTGCTGCCAACGTGATTTCCCTCCGGAGAAACCGTATTCTGCAGATCGGCAAGCAGCGCGTCTGCAAGAAAGCAAAAAGAATTAAAAATATTAAAAAATATTGTCAGTACTAAAAGTCATTGATATAAAAACAATTTTATTTGTCCATCAGACAATCCAGTACGTCATAGATTCCCTGTGAAAAATACCATTACCAGCGTATACACCGATAACGCGCTTGAACCTAACCTCTAAATTGATATTTTTACAAAGACACTGCAGTCTGAAATCTGAAGCAAGTCTAGATACACAAAATGACTCCCTTGGTATTATCTGTGCGTTGCAACTCTGTATCCCAGACGTGTGCCGTCATGATTCTAAAAATGAACGCTCATAATCCGAGCAAATAATGGTGAAGAATAACCAAGAAGTGAAAACATAAAGGAGGAGACATCTCGAACCTTAAATTTTCCAACGCCCAAGCACATAGTGCAAGCTGAAACGTGTCTGTGTGCAATAATAATCTAATAATAAACGCCAAACATAACTAGATTAACCAGGACAATTTTCATCCCACAAGAAACAAAACGGCAACGCGTAGTTGATAAACGGCGAGTACTTTTCAGTCGTAAAGGCTGCACACAATTAAACCGTGAGGACTTTCTCGGAAGAGCCGGTTTACATTCCAGCGCCGACCTCGTCCCTGTCTCCAAGGACATAACAAAGGCTGCATTGAATTTCACAAAGAATCAAATTGACATCCAGACTGAATCCTAATCGAGCATACTAAAACAGTGAAAACGGAAATACAAGATTCTCACCAAGGCTCAGAAGATCCCTACTTCCGGTATTATCCGATTCGTGTACCTCAAAAAACTTTTCCATCGCAAAACAGACACCGCTGCACTTCACTCGACTTCGAAGAGAGACGTAATTACACGGGAATTTCTTAAAAACGTATACAATCGATATGGGATAACGCCAACGATAAGACGCGTCATGCGATCGATGCACACTACGGATAAAGCATAACGATACGTATAAATACAAACGGAATAGATCTGATTAAATATTTGGTATTTATACTACAGCACAGAACCGATTGCCGGCTGAGACGACAGTGCACTGTCCTGCTGGAGGTTTCAGTATGTAGAAGAAGAGTAAGGAGGTTTAGTCATGAGAAGGAGACGAAGGTGGAGGGAGATTCCATGCTATCGGACTCCGGCGAATCGTACGGGTCGGATTAGGGGCCTTTAAGGCCCCGTGCACAGTTACCAGCGAGTCCCGATACTTTTCAGAACTCGTGCGCGGCATGGAATTCTTCTAGACAAGTATAAAGGTCGGATCAAAATTGGCTACAGATTGAACATACCTAGTGGAATTTATTTCCATGACAAAGATAACACGTGTGGATGACTTAAGTCTGACAATTTTTCTTGTACCGTCGGACGTATAGATAAAAGGATTAAGACCCAGTCAAAACATTGACAGAGAAGGCCTCTCCTGAATGTTTGAAATTTGATCTTGGACCAAGGAGATGCTGCACAATTGGATGAACCAGTTATAAATTCGTGAAACGGACTGCCGAAGAGGATGCGACTGTTATCATTTTCCGTTGCATTCTGGGCCAGTAGAACGCGCGATGGATCTTAGGCGACGCAGTCGTAGTGTCGGAGCCGTCGTGGGATTCCGTAGTGCCGCGTAGTATGAATGGGGCTTAACCCTGGCAACGCGCCCGACTCTATTTTATGCGTCTGAATCATCCCGCAACGTAAACCTCGATATCAGAAAGTGATCCGCGTGTAAACAGGCCTTGCGCAATTTTTATAACCGAGGATGCCTTGACGAAAATATTGATATCTTTGTTTTTCTTTAAATTCGAATTATGTATTAACGTAATTAGTGGCTAACTTAATTAGGGTTAATTCACATTTTCTTATTAATTTTACACTTACTAATGTGTCGTTCCCATCGAGCGTGTCGCTCGATGGTGGCCAAGCGTACCGGTGTAATAGGCGACATGGGTCTCATTAACGTAGTCATTTTAATAATCCTTAATTAAAATAAACTTTTTGATATTAAATCAAAAAATTAATGAATCACTCGCGTCTATGAAATTAAACGAAAATTCACAGTGACAATTTCTTGCGTAACTTCAGTACGAATTTTAGTGTTTATCTGCTAAAAAAAAATATGTGCATTGGTAAAAATAAAAATTCCTAGGAAAGTACTCCAACTAAATTTATTACAGCACTGGCGCCAGCTACGGGTTATAGAGTAAGTAGTCCGGATAAAAATAAATCGTAAATTCCCGTGGAAACGGGTAGCAAGCAAAACCGCGAAAGACTCTCTAATTAAAACCTCGAATTTGAAAATTATATATATTTTGAAAAAAAAAAAGAAAATCACTAATCCCAATGATCTTGAAAAAGAAATCGCCGAAGACAAATTTTTATTACAAAAATCAGAGAAACTTCATTGACTCGTCAACGATGGTCACTCAAGGCACTTCCGGTACTTAACAAGCTCACTTCCACCGATACTCATATGACGTAACAGCACGTTATCCACGCGTAAGTATCGATACACAATATAAATAAAGACGAAAAACAAATTGAGAAAAGATCGAGAGACACCGCAGAAAAGTGATGCACCTAGACGAAACTGTGTTACGTGAATTCGCGTCGGAGGTGGCCGAAGGTTCTCTAGCACGTTTCGTCTCTGGCATACAAAGCCAAACCTCCGTGTAAAACTAGTTTCGGACACAGAGACAGAGCCAGATATATATGTATATGAACATATATATCGTGTATAACTATATATCATTGTAGATATGTATATATTATATATACATATATACATACACTCGTCAGAGTGCCGTAGAGCTTTTTCACCTAGTTACGCCAACAGCACACCCCAAAAATAACCAAGTCCCACCTACGACCTACTACCGGCTATATAAACTAGTATAAGGTTGAATACCTTGCTCATACTAATTTCCTGAGTATTACTGGCTTCCGTGCCAACTCCGATAAATATTCGATATTGGCTAAGGTCTGCTTGATGAATAGATTCCGTTTAATGGCCTAACGAGAGACACGATTTTTTGAAATTCCCGCTCGTCCGTTGAAGCGGACGGGACCGGACGGGCCAAAAGTAGCCTTGAGTTTTTCTTTTGTCAAGTCAGTGATGTTGCTTTTGTTTGCAACGCTGCAGAATGCACTTCCGGTTACTGAGTGGGTGACACTCCTGTTCCGGTATCAGGGTGAACGTTCTTTCGATTTTAATTCCCAGTGACTGGTGGTGCATGAAATTGGATAGTTTGTACGCAGTTAATATTATTTTTCACGGAGACTGTATTCAAAATCAATATCAATTGTTGCGATGGGAATGCAGGGTTTTTAAATGGACTTTCTTATGGTAGTCAGAGTATAGGTCTTAGTTTGATATATTGTATATTTTTTTAAATTTTTTTTAGGGAATGTTATATTACGGGGGAATCTCGTGTTTGAGTTTTTGTTAAATAATGGCGTGGCACGTCTTGTGCGATATTAACGATTTGCGTAGGATGTGACTGAGCGTAGCGAGCCTCATATGGAAACTGAAGAGAGAAATCTGAAAAGCCCACTCGACGCGATAGTAATTGAGAATATTTTTTAATTAAGACGGAAGTGCTGGCCGAAATAAGTACAAATAACATGGATAATTGAAATTTGCATATAGCGAATCCGCATACGAATTGGAAATATAAAATTTATTCATACTCTAAGACTTATCGAAAACCAAGTTTTACTACGATTGTCGAGGGTTACGAAAAAAAAGGTTTTTTATTTTCAAACTTCTAAGCACTGTTTGATATTGATATTTGTATTATTTTTCACTCGGCACACACGTTTCGTTAGGCTGTCAACGATTATTATTACTAAATCGGCGCGATAGGAGAGAATTAATAAAAACCACACAGCACGACGATCCTTCTCGAACTGATCACAGATCGTTTTCGAATCTCGTGTCTATTTAATGTGCGCGCTAGTTACGACCACGCATCAACCTACGGCTTATGAAAAACCGAATATTACCTTGCACCTACGTCCCACATAGTAAATCGAAATTAAAATACCGGTAGCGAGCAGACACTATTATTTCACATGATTAACCGTCAAGTTATACAAGGTGGATGTATATGCATGTAACGGATACAGTTTAGTAGTACAACGAAAGTCATGCGAACATCTAATTGTAGAATACTCCAATGAAATGTTACGATGCATGGAACATTAACTTTTTTCTCCTCCATAAAGTATTACCATGAAAATGAACACTTATCTATATTTAAACTCACCAGTCATTTCTTTGGTATGTCCCGTTTGCTTCACTTGTGACAGCGCCTTAATCCGATTCAAAATCGCGTAACAAAGATGAAACAACGAAGCCCCAGCTAATTAGCAAGGCCAACTAAGAATACTGTTGCGTGGAGTATTCACAGATGACGACAATGGAAATAGAAGCACAATATTTCAATATATTATTGTGCATCGCTTGAACGACGCGGTATTTAAAATTTTCACTGAAGCGACAGCGTGAATCAACTTCACTCGCAGAAACTGTTACTGAATTAACAATGGCCACTGCACGTATACCAGTCTTCGTTACTCAATAAAGAATGGAGCATGAATATTTTCGCAAAACGGAAACCGGGGAGATTTCGTGGGTAGCCATATTTCCGCATTTACACGAAAACAAACGCAATCTTCCTTTTCGTCACACGTAAGCATACACGTAATCGCGCACTGAGTTACACTGAATGCACTTTACTCCCGTATCCTGCTAAGCTACTAAGAATCCAGTGATTTCATCGGAAGAAACAAAGAAATTGAGTAAATTTATCCAGGCTGAATTCGACTCCAGTTTTTACGTACAATGCCGCAGTGTTGTAAATGTCTTCTTGGCGAAGTTTCAACGAAAGTTGGCTTGGCCAATGTTTATACGTCTTGACACGACAGGAAAAAAAGGGAAACGAAAGCTTCCAGAAATCTTGGAATCGAGCTTGCAAGTTCGACGTCTAACTTTGAACCGGCAAAAGGGTAAACCAAGAACTGACTGGCTAGCAAAGAGCAATGAATGACTGAGACTGAACGCGATTCTCCTTGTAAACTGTACGAGAGTGGATTTCAATGACGTCATCGACTTCCAATCCCGGCTCCTAATGCCGCTGCTGTAGATGGAAATAATACCGCGAATAAATTATACCTGTATACGTTCTCGTTCACATTTCATTCGCGTTGAGATGAATTAACGAAAAATTATTCGAGCTCCTGTGTCACACGCGTGATACGCATATAAGCGGCATACGTGTCTAATCAAAGTCCCCACTAAACGTCATTTTATGCATGTCGGATGGCACGTGTCACGCCAGATAAACTTGGTGCATGTCATTTTTAAATATATTGAACAAAACTTGTAGATTGTATACAATTTTTCCAGAATTTATTATGTACAATCTTTCTTTATAGTACAAAGGTGTTGAACTAGTATCGTACACAGCGCACAGTATACATAGCGGATATACGTTGAATCATAACGTGGCTCAGTCGGCACGGTAGAGCGAACGAATGCACGAGGTCGGTAACTGACAAATTGCTCTATGGTATCACTTTATTCTTACGGTTACTTCGAGTCAGAATCCTTGTACTGATTATAGGTAAAGAGAAGTCGACAAAGATTGATAGCACGCCATTTATTTCACGAGATACTATAAATTCTCAAACAGATGTCACTGGACGCAAGGGAATTCAAATTGCCACAGCTATTTCAATGGCCATCGTACACGATTCGATGTGACATCGAAATCGCGAGGAATAATGGTAAATATTATAATCCATATAAATAGAGAAGAAGTTTAGTGTCAAGGCCTACGTGTCGGTAATAAGTCCTGAGTCATGACTCTTTCGCAACGACAATCGGAATTATTTCAAAGGGATTCCATATAAGGTCGTCATTTTACAGGCGGCCGCGAACTCGCCTTACAAAATAACGATGGAAAATGGTCAACCGTTTGTAAAGGCCGCTTCGTGCCTTATTACATCAATTTCACGTGCTATATACAGTGTCCATCCGCTCTATCAAAACATTAACGTAATAACTCGTGGGCGACAGAGCGAATTATTAATTCGCCCGTTCTGTACTTTGCAGTCGCGTCAAATAATTGGCGTAAATCAACCATGCCCAAATGCCGCAAGCTATTACGGAATCCAGCGTATCTTCTTAACCACCAGAACTGCATCTGACCGTAACTACAACTTGATATCATATTCGACAAGTGAGTTCTCACAGATATCCGAAACCTAATGAACGTCTGCTAATTTTATCCTACATATATCCTCATTTACATAGGACAGTCATAAGGCTAACTGGTTGTAGGCGATATGCGTAATAAAATCGCTGACGCAACGAACGTTGAAGAGACGCCTTTATCATGAAAAATTCGACGGATCAAGAGCAAATCAGTCAGTTCATTTACACAGAATAGAATAAACGAGCTTCAATGTATTCTGTCGATAAACAAAAAATATGTCAGAATCCACATGAAACTTTGGCTCAAACTCATTTACAGTAAAGGTATTGCTTTTTCGTCTAATTACGAATAATTAGCATAACGGTAAAACGTAACCACGAAACATGAAGGAAAGTCGGTGACCGATGCCGGAAGTCGCGAGAAGAAACATATATATATATTTATCTGTCTAGCTTTCACGTGTCACATAATTATGTACGCACCCGGTACGTGTACGCTTTGAGCGGTACATATTGAACACGTAGAGAAATTTAATACACACTTTAATAATTCACGTGATAGGTGCACCGAATAACGATGCATTAATCAACCTGATAGAGACGAGCATAAGCATCGCAGAAATTTCGTATACGAAATTAGTAAATAGAATAATAAGAAAGACGTACAGCGTATGCGTTATATAGAGACCTTACAGTCCATTTCGTCCATGAGAAACAAATGCGTTTACCAGTAAGAAATGTTATTAAAAAAAATAATAATGAGATGATAATTAAGCGATTAGCACATAGATGAGTATTTTAAGAGAATACAAATAATTATTTATAGCTATCACTTACTCTTAACCTGTGACCATTCGGTATTAATATATCCTGATTATCGTAATTACCATGAATAATTATACAAATTTGCCAACTAGTATTGGTTAATACTTGTTTACTCTAAGTCAGTATAGATTGGGTAGTATTTGGGTTGTGAAGAGAAGAACAATTAATATAACTTACATCCAGGTGGTGAACCATTTTTAATGGTTATACGATAAGGCTGATAAGTTGATCCGGGTTCGACTTTGCCATACATCGTTCTATCCATTGCCATTTTACGAAATAATTATTTTATTCTCTCTTACGGCGTACACTTCACTGCACTTCACTCTAGCACTACAGATCGGTGCATCGATTTCAGGAATATCTGTGCCAAGTTTTGAAAACACGTGTTCGACCACTTGTACTGTTGTCTTACGGTTTGCTTTTCGAGCGATCCTTAAACTGACTATTGAGGATAACTTTATGTTATCATTTATATTTATGCACGGATAACTGGTGATGAGAGAACGTTAAACGAATCTGGAGAATCATTCGTATGAGTTGAGGGAAGATGCAACGGCTAGTGTCGTTCGTCGTAAGATTGGAGGAAATTGCCGTTGAGAGCCCCGTGTACCGAGAATGGTAGGAAGGAAAGAAGAAAATGGAGAAAAATAAAAATGAGAGAAAGACGAATGGATGATTATTTCAGGAACCCCCTCGCCACTGTCAGTTCTCGTCGTAGTCTTAGTTGTCGTTCTCGCGGTCGTAGTCGCGCACTCCTAGTCGGCGTAGACTTCTTTTGTCTATTAATATACTCGCAGCCGGACAAGAAGTCGCGATTACGTATATAGAAACACTTGTAATTAGATATTGCAACCCGGTGAAGAATTTTGATTAGGAGTTTGAATTTTATTGAGGGAATGTTCTATCGCAATGTGCTGTAAAGAATTTTTGTAGAATATTTTATTGATAACTTAGGGGATTGTTATTATTATTCATTTACTCCATTGGTTTAATTGATTTTACTAAGTGCTTGGAATTTTTATTTAAACCGACTTTGCAATGCGATTCCGTGGTTGATTTTAAGGGTCGCGTATGTGGTTAATGGTTTTTTTTTTATAATACTGCTGGATTTATCTCGTGGGGAGTAAGGATTGATAAACTGTGATATTTCGATTATGGAAATTATCTAACCTGCCAATCTTTACAACCTTGTTACTCTAAGTAACGAGTGGACAGAATGTCGAGCTTGAAACAAAGTTAGTCCAGAGAAAAGCGTTGATTGACGTGGACGGTCAAAGCCAGATGTTATATATAACCTGTTCAAGTTCGTTAAACAAAAAAATGAAATGTCTCCATTAAATCTGCGATAGTTAAAACAACCATTCAATTTAGACAAATTAACGAACAGATAATTTCATTCGTTCTATGTATATAAATAATTCAAGACTCGTTACTATTTATTGACTAGCAGTAGATTTGATAATAAATCAAAGTATTTGGTCTTCGTACATAAATTATTGACTTTTCAAATATATAATTAGTAAATACAATTGACTAGTGCGTATGATGACGAGAAACGTAATGCTAAGCTTAAATTTCAAATTTTTAACTGTTGACACTCGGATCAATCGACACTTTTGTTTCAACGGTCTCGTAATCAACACGTGTTACTATTAGAAGCGCATAGTAAATAACATTGGAATTCACAATCGTTTCGCGTTGTAATAATTATAACCTCCCACGGAGACACAAGCGTGAAACGATACGCAACGTTCGGCGATAGATTTGAGACTGGCAAGCAGACCGCGTCTAGATAATACCTCGTCCCTCTCCAACGATTTTACGCTAAGCTGACATCACTCTAATCACATATGCACATATAAAGAGTATAGAAAACATCATTTAGAGTTTGGATTACATAGGCAAACGTTTGTTGCCTACGAATTGTCATACTCAAATATAAAACTATTATCAGAAACAAGTCAGTCGATCGCTTGAACGATATGATAAATCATGACTACGTGTTATACATTTTTTTTTCAAATAGATATCACAATATTTCTATTGTACCCTATCAGTGATACATATTATCGATTCTACCAAATAGCAATGTATTATTTTATTATAATTAAGATGCTGATTTTTCTCTGGAACAAATTTGTAAATTCGCGCGCCGCTTTATCGTAGATTAATCGCGTCCCCACCCAGGATATGAATTTCACGAAAACAAATAACATTCTTTGGTTAATGAATAGACAAACGGTGAATAAATGTTATAGAATAATTGATTGATTGTTATTGAGAGATGACAGTGTCAATTTGGAGTGTATAGACAGGCTAAATCACTCAAATAAATATTGATTGTATACTTGGTAGCATTTGAGGTTAGTCGCTGGCGATTGATGAGAAACTGTTAATAATTCTTATACGATACTCACCTAGGTCATCCATCCCTGAGAATAATTGGCGAGGATCTTCGAGCTGCTGGATGCGTCTCGAAAATCAGGAGAATCCCTAGGGACTCGACACTACGATAAAATATCGCGGGTGATAAGACACAAGGAATAACAGCCAACAAGGATGTACCAAACATCAAATATGGAGGACAGGGGTTCTTGGGTCCAGTTTGCGAGAAAATGAATTCCTGCGCACAATCCTAAGTACTTACTATGAAATTTTCATTGTCACTTGAATGATATAAGAATGGTTATAACAATAGCTCATCATAGTTTTGTGCCGTTGTCGTTAGAATTTCAGTACAATTACAAGTATCATTTATTTGCCAAACACAGTAGGAAGACCTGTAGCTTTATAACGCCGCGACTTTAATGAAATTTTGTGAATTTTAAGTTTATTTTATAGGATGAATATTGCATAAAATAATGGAAGGATAATTATTCTAGTATTTATATTTCTTTTATACAGCAAAAAACTTATTTCTTTATGGTATAATTTCATGCTCTCATTGTTGTCTTGTGCATAATCTTGGGTCTCCTTTGATAATTCATTTTTTGGTAATTACCATGACGAGAAACTGCCAAGTGAATACGAAACATCCTTTTTCTTTTTAACTGCAGATTCATTACTTGTTTCTCCTTTGCCAGGTCTGTAGATAAAGCATGTATGTGAATGTAAACAATAACTAGCAGCATCAATGTTAGAGTAATATGCCAGTCATAGATGGTAAAAATAGAGTTCATAAATATTCTGAACTTACTTCTCTTGTTCTTTTCCCAATTTTATATACTTTGCAACGCCGCTGCGGTAAACTTTCAAATTATTGTCTGTCTCCTTCTTGTCTGACGAATTGGCCTTTCTTGCTTCCTGTGCGAGACGCTCAGATTCAGCGGATCTCTCTGCTATAAGCTGTTCGTCGGCTTCTTGAAAGGGATCCACATAGACCTGAGTTCTCTGAATAATGATATCCTCAATGGGTCGATCCTTATTATCAACTTCAACTTTCTCAATTGCATTCAAGGTTTCGAGACCTCCGACAATTTTTCCAAAGACTGTGTGCTTGCGGTCCAGGTGACGACACGACCGAAACGTTATGAAGCTGAGAAAAGTAAAATAAATTTATTCAAGATCAACACTGATTACCTGTCAAAATCTGATCTCCATCACGTACAATTGTGAACCATTTGTATTAGGTCCTGAATTAGCCATTGACAGAATTCCTCGACCTTGATGAACCAAATTTGTTTTAAATTCATCCTCAAAGGGTTTACCCCATATAGATTTTCCTCCATTCCCAGTATTTGTAGGATCTCCACCTTGAATCTATTTTATTTTAAATATTAATTCATATCAGTAACTTTTTACATTAGAGTTCAGTTTTTGGGTTTTACCATAAAATTACGAATTGATCGATGAAACTTTGTCCCTTCGTAATATCCAGTATGACAATGTTTTATGAAATTTTCACACGTTTTTGGAATCAGATCACAATACAATTCCAGGTTGAGTGCTCCAAAATTTGTTAAAAATCTGACATATCCTTTCTTCTTTACGCGTTCGTATCGAACCAAATCTTCGGCAACTACAGCAGCCTGATGTGTTGTTTCAGTAGGCATCACTGTAGAAGTAAAACCTGCGGCAACGGCACCGGTCGAATAATGTGCCTAAAGTATTTTTTAAATTTTACTTGAATGAAATTTCATTATTTACACTTCTATTAAAACATTGCATTAAAAACTAGAATCTTACAGCATTGAATTTATCGGCCTTTGGTCGTTCCACTACATTCTTATTCTCTGCAGGCTTATATTCTCTATCCAATTCCTCCAAAATCTCTTTGGTTTCCATTGAAACAGTTTTGAGTTTTGCTTTTGGATCACTTCTCTCTCTGATAGTTTCTGAAAATGTATTCAATCAATTTTCATGCCTTAATCATGTCATATATGTCATACGAACCTTCATCTTCAACACGTAAATTATTCTTGATGTGATGGAAGGTCGATAAATTGAATTTGTTGGCATTGGTAGGATCCTGAATTGTTATTATATCTTGCCTGGTAAATGGTTCATCAGTAACAAGATCTTTCCAGTTTCGTGTTTTAATATTCAATTGTTCAACTGCCTGTAATTGATTCCAATAATGTCTATTATGGTATATATTTTTGAAGAAAGAAACTAATCAATTTTTCAATATACCTCATGTGAAAATACATTGCCTGTTGTCTTAATTGCAACAATGTGCGAGTGCTTTGTAAATAACTTAAATAGAACTGGACAATGGTATTGTCCAGTAGCATTTTTAGAAAAATTTAATTTAATAAGATTTTTTGCATCTAATGGTTTTCCTGTCACAGGATTGTGCTTAAAATGTTTAATATAACTGAGAATTGCTTCAAGTTCAAAAACATTCCCATTGGCATCGCAGTATGGATGCTCAAATGGCTGTAAACTCAAGCAGCAATGATCATAAGGAAGACGACGGAATGTTGTATCCTCAGTTGATTCCGATGTACCAGACTTTTTTCCACCATACAGCGTTGTCCACTCAGTGTACGTTAAGTACCTATGACAGTTATAAACTATTATTTTTAATATGACCTATTGCATTTCCACAAATAATATCCCTTGCATCAAAGTGGATCACGATAACATAATACACAACACCAAAAGAATCTTACATTTTATCCTTCTGATGTTGGCGTTTCCCCATCTTGATGTATTATATTTCTGCTGTTACTGTTGCAATAAATTATGTAAAATTGTGTGAAAAAATACAATTTTCTTTACATCTAATAAATTATTATTTGAAAGAACAGGAAATATTTGTGGTTTCAAGATCAGTTCTGAGTTTCTCTTCCACAAAAAATAGAATACCTAGTAAATCTTAATTATTCTTCTTGATCCTTTTTTGGCTGTATACTCTAGAGCGCCAAGTGCCAGGTAAATCTTAATTGCAACAGTAATACTATTTTGTTATTTGCAAACACTGTCACCAAAACAATTTACATTAATCACAATAAACCAATATCATAACCTATTACCGACATTTATGATCGCTAAAATTAAATAGCAGTTCACAGTGACAGTCACGTTTCCTCCTTATCTTGGGCTATAGACATTTTACCACATTTTATCGTTGATTGGCAAAGAAGCAACAGCTGTTAAATATGTATCCTTCCATCATTGATTTAAAAGAATGCGATTAGAGAAATTTCCTGTTCGTTAACTTTAAATAATTCAATTTGATTTAAATAATTCTAATTTTCATAGTAATCATAACAAAATTATTTTTCCGCTACAAATCATTGTAAATCCGCCCTACGACATCTCGGCCGCAGCCATCTTCAAATTGGCAGTACTGTTGGCAAATATGAAAAAGTAAAGCCACACGATAGCACAAGTTCTTAAATAATTTCTAAAACGCTGTAGAATTATTGTTCTTCCATAAATCTCAGAGAATAATTAAAATGCAAGACCCCAGGAATTTCTCGTGAGTAATTAAAGACGTTAAATACTTTCTTGGTAACAGGAGGTTGAGAACCGTAACGGAATCTAAAATTGGCAAACCTGATAGCCGGTTCTAACAGCGCCATCGTTGGTGGAAAACTTTTCCTATTTAGCAGGACAGCATTTCTCAATCGTATAAGTTCGTCCCTCAGAGTGACAAGGGGCAAGAAGAAAATGTAATTGAAGTCAAGGAGGTGCGAGTGAGACAAGGCTAAGTTTCAAAATAAATAGGGAATTTGAGAGTCACTGTACTTCAGTGGCTTCCGGGACTATTACGGAGAGGGCGATTCAAAATCCTGCCTTTGTGCGCTTGTGTACAGTTTTCCGCCGTGCGGTGCCTGTCCCTGAGCGCGATCCTCCCGGCGTCCCAGGACGAGGAAGGCAATTCGGGAAGCGAGAAGGCGCGACGCGCCACTTCTCAGCCTTCACCGGCTTCTCCGTTTGTATCCTGCAGTCCGCGATTCTAATTGTGGGGTAGCCATCCATCGGTGACCATCGTTGTCCTCGTCTTCGTCGCGATCAACTCGCAGACAAACTCGAGCAACTCTGAAGCCTCCATTACCGCTGAGCCGCCTTTCGAACTCATTACAAAAGCACGCTCGACCGATCGTCCCGGCTCACTCAGCTCCAAGGTAGGAGTTCACGATGTTTTCTACAACTTCCACGAGAATACCAACTTCGTCTTTACCTTTTGTCTTGGCGACTTCGACACCCTCTTCTGGAATTCTGTCTGTCTTGACTCCTCGTGCGTTAGTCTTCCGGCACTTACGTGGCTCTTCATTGGTAATAGCTAGAATTAGGAACATCTTCAGGAGGAATGTCTCTACGTTGTTTGAAGTGCATACCGTGATGTAATTTCATTAGCAGTTTTTTTATGTATACACTCTTACATTGCTAGAAGTGGGAGTAACTTGGTACAGTTTCAGTTTGTTTGCCTCTGCGAAGGGTGTGTTTTGCAGAAAATGGTTTAGACCTTAATTTTTGGAATGGAATTAGTTGTGTTTATGGAAATTAGTGTTGAGTGATGGTCATATATAATTAAAGGGATAGTTGACCATTATATTGGATATTTAGAATGGTTTTGAGAAAGATTGTTTCTTTCACTTATATTTGGTTAAAAATTTTATTTTACTTTACTGTGACAACACTCTTCTTAAGAAAGATAGTGAGCTTCTTTTATTCAATACTTGAATCTTTGAATATTTGTTAACTGTATATGGTTGAATACTATTAGTGCAAGTGTTATTGTAAAGGTTGTGCAAATTTCTTTTCTTTTGATCCATCAAAACAAATGTATTCATTGCTAGTAGAAAATATTGATATTAATTATCTTATAAACATGTTTGCCAAAAAATAAAATTATTTCTTGACCCTTTGAAAATCTTTTTTTTTTAGTCATGTCGTCAGGAGCAGGGTCTAGCGGAACTGGTAGAGGTCGTGGTTCGTCTCTTGCAGACAATAAGCCTGATAACAAGGAGGCAAAACCAAATCCAAAGATGTCGAAGGCTTTAGGAACCTCAGCAAAGAGGTAATTAAAATTGTGCAACATTTCTCCATAATATATTGCGCAAGATTTTGTTATTTAATGAATGTTGACTCAATTGCAGGATACAAAAAGAACTTGCAGAAATCACTTTGGATCCACCACCAAATTGCAGGTATGTTGTTAGGTAGGTGTATGATTAGTTAAGCAGCTCCTGTTAACAAACATTTTATTTTAGTGCTGGACCGAAAGGTGACAATTTATATGAATGGGTCTCTACAATTTTGGGACCTCCAGGCTCGGTGTACGAAGGAGGCGTTTTCTTCCTGGACATTCATTTCTCCCCAGAGTATCCTTTCAAACCTCCTAAGGTACTGTACTAAAAAATTTGCATCAGCAAAACACTATTCTGATTGTTCATTGTCTAAATTTAACTGTCTATATATTTAGGTGACATTCCGAACGCGTATTTATCACTGCAACATAAATAGTCAGGGTGTAATATGCCTGGACATACTAAAAGACAACTGGTCGCCAGCACTGACCATCTCCAAGGTTCTTCTATCAATTTGCTCCCTCCTCACAGACTGCAATCCAGGTAAGTGAAACTAAAAAAACCCATCTCGAAACCCTCATAATTCTTCCCAGCGTAACAAAAAATTTCTCTGCTTCCTTCACTAGACATTCGTCTATAGAGTCATTATGTACAAATCATACCTGTTACTACTATGTGATAACCAGAACTCATAATGTTATTAAAAATTTAAAAATCACAATCAATATTTCCAAAACGTCGTACAAGCACAGCATGGACAAAATTTATAATTTTCAGCTGATCCTCTGGTGGGCAGTATAGCAACACAATATTTGCAAAATCGCGAGGAACATGATCGCATAGCGCGGCTCTGGACGAAGCGATACGCCACATGAGCGTTCCCGGGTGGCCATAACCTCCTATCAGCCTCATGCCAAAATCCGAGCCGCAAGCAAGTGAGCAAGCAAGCCGCGCCCAAGGATGCAGAAGCAGGCAAGCGAGCGAACAAGCTAGCAAAAGCCGGTCGAAGGAGCCGGAAAGCAAGAAAGACAAGAGGCCTGGACATCGTGTGCCGGTACGCACCCGCGGCATGAGCTTGGAGAGCTCTCACCCGAGGAGGAACCTAGACTAAGCCGAATACAACTATGACAAGCTAGTATTTAAATGCCCGACCGGTACTACCGAATATTTCTAGGCTAGGCAGGTCACGAACTACGATTAACGTTAAGTAAGTAATTAGGTACTTAGTTGCTAAGAGAGAATCAACCTCGACCGCGCGGACCTTCCTCCAAGAAGGATTTCGTTTCGTTTCGACCCACTGATACAAGTTTCATGAAATTTCAACATTATTTAAAACTAAAACAGAATCAACTTCGAGGCATACTTAACTTTGAGAGTAGAAAAATCATTATTTCCGATGGAAGGTTCGTCCGGCGCCGATTTCTCACGACTCTTCCCGGTATTTTTGTATCGAACCGCTAACCTTAAATTATTCGTTTCCTTGCCTCGCGTCATGTCATGTCGCCGGTCCCCTCGACTCTTGTCGGCTTCTTCCTTCGATGTCTGTCTGTCCATATCTTTTCTTTTTTCCTTTTCGGAAAGAAAGAAAATCTATTACGAATTAAAGAGAATCATTAACCGGCTGGCCGAGGAGGATACTTGCCGAGAGAACCCGTGGACCGGTCGCTGTTTGGGGCCAGCTGCTAAATCACTGTAATTGTAAATAAAACTCTTATTTCCTGTATATTCATGCTGCTAGTAAGTACCGTATTAAAAATGAAAAAAGGAAAACGAGGGACTGTAGTTTTAATCGGAAATTTACACTTCGGCCTTGCCTTTCCTGGATGTGTTAAGATCATTATTGATATTTTCATCTGTGCCAGGTGGGGATGAGATGAACTAGTGAGTGGATGTGGGAAAGATTGATGATTGTACGAATGACTATGAGTGAGAGAGAGAAACTGTGTTTGGATAAAACGAACCGGTTAAAGTTGATCACTCGAGTTCTCGTTGAACCTCTCGACGATCCTTAGAGAATCCTTCGAAAGATCCGAGATTACTCTTAGTCAACTGGATAGTTCAGCCATAAGGGCTTTCGCGTTCTCTTTCGACCTCGAAAGGAACCCATATTAATTCCTTATGATTAATCTCCACCTTCCATGTGCGACTTTAAAAAAGTTAATTCATCGAATCAAGCCCTTGGAGATGCATTTGAGGATTTGTTGCGATTCTTTTAAAACGTTTTATGTCATTAGCCTAATTCTTTAAGTTTTCCTTATCTTTTTAGTACTACAAATTAAAAGTAATCACTCATAATCTTCGCGATACGATGATCATTATTAGGAATTAGTCATTCACAGGGTCTCGAGACACGTAATTTAAGTAAGTTTTCCTTTTGCATTTTAAAAACGTAACTTTTAAGGATCCATCATCGAAACATTGACACACTTTATAAAGGAGTATAGGTATTGCTCAAAGATTGTAAAGCAAAAAAAAAAGAGGAAGAGGAAGTGAAACAAAGTGAAATAAGAGAATGAGAATTAAGTCTTTTGTTATTCCAAAATTGAATCCACGCTTAGTATTTATGTTCAGCGTCTCGCCTAAGTCGTCGTGATAAAAATAAAAAATATATCTATATATATACACACACATATATAATTATATTTCACTACAGTTAATAAAGCCCGTGCGTCGTTATTTTGGCGATATGAATTACTATTATTAATTATCACATTCAAGAATTTTAAGACTGCGTATAAGGCGCCGCCCCGCGAGTTATGTTTGAAACTGTAATCTTCCTCGTTTGTCATGTGTAATCTTACATCGCTTATAGTTACTGGATGGATGAACGAGAGGGTCAGAGTGAATGTGTGTGTGAGAGAGAGAGAAAGGATGCTGCGATATAAAGAATACATTTATGGAGATTAAAGAGAACACTGATTAGCCAAAAGCTTAACTCAAGATCAGGCTGAACTCAGTCCTTCGCTCTTTCGGTGCATCGAATGCAAGATGCACCAAAGTGCAGCCTGCGATTCTAGTAATTACTGCGAATAAATACCGTACTGAGTGTCACGATTAATTATCTTAACGTTTCTTCGGCTTGTCGTTGGAACTATTTTGTTATTCTTATCTTTTTTTAAATTAATCTTGGCTGTATTAAATTTCACCAGTGTTCTCACTCGCGACACTCAGTCCGGTAGGTTGATAGGCGTGAAATTGTAATAAAGACGGTTCAATAATCTGATATAATGATAAATGTTAGTCTGCTAGTTAATGGCATCGATATTAAGATTAAATAAACTGCATCATACATTGACATAAAGATCAATAAGATTACCCAGAGTGTTTTGCGATTGTTGAATTCTCGTGTTGCTTTGGTTTTATTCAAAATGGAAGAATCGGAATGGGAAGTTCGATTGGAAGATTTGCAAAAGTCAAATACCTGATGATTGGTGGTTGCACCGAGGTGATAACAGTCTCTGGGCTTCTTTTTCCATAAATTATTAGTATTCACGACGAGTCCTTGGCCCTGTAATTTATGTTGTGTGCATGGATGCTTGAATATAACTGAAATTAATGTTAATTTTCAAAGGACTGACGGTGACTGGGGTTTTAGCTCAATTTTTTTCTCTTCTCTTTTTAAAATACCTTTAATAGTTACCAAGTACGTTTCTAACAATATGCACTTTACAAAGAGTAATTGGATACACAGACTAGGTCGGTTCAATTCATTTGAACGCTTTAATTTTATACGTTGTAAATAAATTTATCAATAATCTTTATTTTGTATTTCTTTCGCGCGAAGTATCACTTTCAAAATTCTTTTTCATGCTTTCACTCTTATTTTTTCCTTGATGATAATTCTGATGATTGAAAATATATCGGGTAAGGATATCTTTGAAATAAGAATGTCGTCAGTTCTTGGTGTTATTAATTTATTAATATTAGTAAATCTAGACACATATATGTGCTAAGGACGAGTCATTGGCTCCCAGAAACAAGTTAACCACCAATCGATTTTTTTCAAAAAATCCAATTTCACGTAAAAGTTTTTAAATTTCTAAAAAAAGCTACCTTAATACAAGAAACACGAACGCGCATTGCAGTTAAATATAGCTGTGCGCTCGTAAATAATTAATACTGATTACAAGAATAGCAGTCGCCTTTTTGTCTTTTTTTTTTAATTTATTTTATCATACTGTTGTTGTCAGGTTCAGTCTTCTCCGCTTTGTGTGAAATGGTAAGAGCCACCTTTGTTTCATCTCATTCCTACAGTTTCTCTAGTTTCGTCCATACCTGTTACTTTTTTTTCCAGTTATTATACTTCCTTCGGACACAACCAAACCTGGAGCTTAAAATACTCTGGACACGTGCTACGATTATAAATAAATTACTTGCGCATTACAATTATCATTATATTCCTATACGCTTCTTTATAACTCACATATATTCAGCAGGACTCTTTTTATTTTTAAACTTCTCCCTCCTTCGGCCAAGCAACAAAAAAACACTTTCAAACGACGCGCCGTACCAGTCAATTAAATGAATCATCATTAGACGCGGCACCCAGCTTACAATTTCTTTTTCCGTTTTCTTTGTCGTTAGGCACACTCCGACTTAATATCTATGACGCATGAGTCTGTATATATATATATATATATATATATATATATATATTTTTTAGTATTCTTGACCAGCATTGCAGCGATATCATTTTATCTTCCCTTCAACGGCCACGCTACGCAAATATATCTATGCTAAATCGACAATGCTCGGTGACGTAAACATTTTTTTAGGCGCTTTTTAAAAAAAAATATTACAGTACACTTCGAGAAGTCGATTATTTATTATCAGTTTATATTGTTCTTTTTTTTTATGTCGCATCATCAATATTGACTCACGCTGGACTATCAAATTTTGCTCAATTGCAACGGAAACTTTACGTAGAATAATGCGTACGTTGCTTTTGGTCCCCCAAGCAAAAATACGATCGACGCTTCTGGCAAATACGGCGTAGCGTGCAACCTGAGAATTATGTTAAACGGTTTTGCGAGTAAAGAAGGATCGATACGAGTTCACTGACACGCGGAGCTTTGTTATCGACAGGCCAGTAATGGCTTCGCTACATTTAGTTCACGAAGTCTGCTGAAAACTCTTAGCCAATTGAAATATCATATATTGCACTTTTTACTATAGTATGTCTCTCTCTCTCGCTCGCTCTATTAGGTCAGAGTAGATTTTGAAATTACTGATTTTTCGTAAAATAACACTATGGTACATATAACTCATTTGAGTTTTCTGTCGGTTCGCGTTTAGTGGGGATTTGTGACATCCATTGTGTTATTTAGAAATCTTGTTCTCCCCTCGCACTGCAATGCAGGTCCTTAATATTTAAAAAAAAGTTCGAGCGCGACAGCTATCAGAATTCTAATGAGAAAAACAGTACAGTATGTTTGACGTTTAATGTTTCCTACAAGCAACGAGTCTTTTATGGATTCTCCAATTCTTTTTTTTTGTTACTTCTGTTCACTCGATTGAAAATAAAAAATGACTCGTTGCTGCTTAACACTGTGACGCTTTCAAACGTAACGGAGGAACAGAGCGTGGTTGATGTTCGGTAAGACTTTTTTTCTCTTTATCAGTCAAAATTGTTCATTTTTGGCAGTTTCTTTTTTTTTTGGCAGTAAATGCAACTCGACGGAGCACGGATGACGGAACGCAATCATCGTCCTTGTCATTAAGTTTCTAAGCTACAAACGGAAAGCTTACAAAAGTTTGAAGGTGTATGGATAATTTGTATAAAATTTTGTTTCAAAGATTTACACTTTTCCTCCGTACGTTTGAATCCTAATGTAATTGCCAGAAACCATTGACTAAAGCAACAACACAAGAAGACATTTTACATTGAACGATAGAGATAGAGAAAATGGTAGCGATGAGTATATCTATATATTAAAAAAAAATTTCTTTTTTTTTTGTATCTCTACGAATGCACGATGGGGACAATAACATGATAATAGCTTCCTTTAGCCGATCAGTGAGCTGTTGTCTCGCTGTAATTAAAAAAAGCACAGTGCTCATATTAATTACCCGTCTTTTCAAATAGCTGTGGACGAAGAGGCGTGTTTTTTTTCCATACAAGCTAAAAATTGATCTTAAAAGAAAAAATTGTCCCATCCGAAACATGATAACTGGGTTAATTTATGCTTCTTCGGAGATCAGTGCGAAAGAAAGAAAAAATATATTTAAATTTTCCAGCCGACGAATCCTAACGACAAATTATTGTGGCCGTAGCTTACTAATTTTCAGACTTAGGACGAGAGTTTCTCTGTATCACACCTTTTCTGTTTTTGGTTTTTTTTTTATCAAGTTTTCTCACATTTTTCATTTTATTTTACCGTTAACGCTACCGTAAACTTTACATTGTAGAAAACAACGGAATATTCATTAATATTATTCTTACTACTTTGCATCTTAATTAGTCATTGTTTATACTTAGGTTTAGATAAATAGTAATTATAAAGATACGTTAGGGGGGACTATGCTTGGTACATAAATCGGTTTTCTCCCCAGAAAGAGCAAAAAAAAAAGAAAAAAAAATAGAAGAAGCGAAAAAAGGAAGCTGCGCTATTGATGATAATAGTTAATATTATTACTTCAGTGTGATGTTAGATGAAAGTTTAAGTATTACAAGAAAGTTTTGAAACGTGCTTTACTGATATACAGACTTCAGTTCATGAAGAATAAAATATTGACAATATAAGAGAAATTTAGAATAGTACGTAGCAGTGGTTTTTTTTCTTCTTCTTTTCGATCAGTTAAGCATTAAACTTGAGCTGTCGACACCATGAAAAATTGCATAGAATCATCAAAAATAGTTCTTTCATTTTTGTTTCTCTTTGCTTTCATGCCTACGTAACAAAATCTACGTAGGCAAGAATTTGCTGATTATAAACTCGTTAGAATAAATAGTGTCCCCATAAACCAATACATATAGAGTGACTTCACAATCTAAATCGCCAAAAAGTCTAAAGAATCTACACAGCAGCTAATCCATGTTCAGTAAATAGAATTGACGTCGAACATATCTATATCGTTTCTATACTTATATTTGTAATATATATTTAAATAGATCCACTGACTGCAACAAGTAAGTGCGGTGAGAGAAGAGAAAAAAAAAAAGAAAAAGAAAAGGGACAGTACAAAATTCATGAACGATACTTGGCAGTCAGCTTTTACAAAATCGCAGGTCGCTCGCGACACGTGAGAAACGGCGGGCTCGCTTAGGACTTAGAATTGACGCAAATTCGTATGCATAAGGAACAAAAAAACAACGACAAATAAACCCAACGCCCTAATCATAAACTCTAATCACTTCATAGAAATGTACAAAATGAAGGTATATCTTCTACATGGCTCATCGAGAAAGACACTAGTCCGGGTGGCGAAATTAAAAAAATTATTCTCCAAAGCCACGACAATGTGAGAATATTTTTCGAGTGTTGTGCATCGAACCAGATCATACGATTCATTGTTTTACATAGTAATAAAAAAGAAAACCAGTGAAAAACAATTAGGCAGAGACAGAGACAGAGAGAGATAGAGACATAGACATAGACAGAAAGAGGAAACAGTGGCAGCTGGTGTTTGTGGTCACCAGTTGATTTTTGGTGCTCGGCAGAGAAACATTGCGTGAGAATCTGTGAGAATTTTGGATCTCTTACACGGTCTCGTACTCGCGCCGAATCGAACGAGCCAAGCAGCATGCGAAGATCACACCGATCAGCTGAAAAAGAAAAATTCAATTTTTTTTTTTCTTACGTAATATAAAAGATTTCATAAAACAAGAACTATATACATGGTCAATGGTTTTGTTAAAACGTTAGTCGAAGGACTGTGACAATTTTTTTTTTCCAAGGCTCTAGGACGTTCTTGATGTGAATCATGGTATTGATACGTGTATATTATCCTACTGCTACTAATAAATCAATATTTTACCTGGATCAGAGCGATACCGATGCCAACGCTGCCAAGGATCAATGCATTGTTCTCAATCGTGTCACGCAATATATTCATGCAGCCATTAGGATACACGTTCACGGAATTCGAATCGCACTTGTCAGTGGACGGAATTTCTGAGCAGCATGAATCAGGAAGGTTATTTCCGGGAAAGAGACCAGTGTGGTTCCAGTCAAGAGGACTGTTAAGGCCGCAGCATTCAAGCTAAAGAAAGAAAAAAGGTAAAATATTATTTTACAAAAGTAATGTCTAACGGCATGATAAACGTGAAGGACATTTTTATCTACAATTGATTGTAAATTTAAAAATCAATAAATACAAAAAATAAATGGACAGATAAGAATTTGATGGATATCCAAAATAATTGTTTTCATAATCAATCTAGAAATATATATCTAACTCATAGGGTCATTTCTATGTTACACAACAGAGCAGAGCGAAGCTCAATTCCCCTTCACTTGTCTGGACTCTTGCGAAATGACAAGTTCCTTCAAGCCTGACTTGCCAAATGCATCTACATCTCGCGTAACAATTTAACGGACTATCAACAATTTCAATTGGTTCCAGTTGTACAATTGAAACTAGTAAAAGTATCTATTTAACTTCATGAATGGCGTCCATCGATAAGAATTGCTACTCGGTACACTGCGTATGCCGTTGACCAGGTTACGTGATCAGAATGTCACGAAGTACCTAAAGGAAGTTACGAGCAACAGTAAGTATTGCTTCATGTACAGTCGGTGCATGGGAATATATTGATTAACTATAAAAGCACGTACTTCGTTTATTCCAAGCTTAAGGTAGATTGAAACCGGCTACGGTGCATCGCTGATATGTCATATCGACAAGGCTGGAGGCGAGGAAACTTCGTATCGAAAAATTTCGTAATCGACTGTACGAGAACAATTTCCAGCGATACGGTTTAAAGTTCGTGTAAAAGTTTACTTGCGTGTCCCTTTTCTTTATTCTTATAGACAGCTGTGCAACAGTGCTATAGATATTGAATAGGGAACGGCAAGGATATTTTAAGGCTGTCACCTTGAGATGCAGTTACATTTTATATATTTTTTATAATTCAAAAATTCACTTCCACGGAAAAAGAAATTTTAACTGAAAGTTTCCATTTTTTATAATAAATCACTTGGCAGTGCTTTTTGTGCAAAAATTTTTAGCTACAAAGTTTTCTCGCTTTCAGACTTATCGTGCGACAGCTCACCCATACGAATAGCCTGTTTCAGTCCTCCTTAAGCAGTATTCATACTGCACGATAGAAACGGTATTATCGCTCTTGGTAATTGCTACTGGAACAATCTGTTAGCTGGAATCGAACAGCTACAGGTATGTAAAAATCTATACTGTACCAGTAACAGCATACGGCATACGGCCAAAAATTGTATGAATACTTGTAATGAAAAAAAAATAAGAACATAAAGAATCATTGTCTTATTTCATTCTTACGTCATGTTGCATAGCATTCCAGGATCGGCCAACGTCCTCGTTGTTCTTGTACTCGAACATTGTGGCGTTCAAACGTTCTTCCAGCATGGTGCGAACTTCCCCACGCATCGTGTAACCAGAGATACCAGCACCGAGTTCCAGGGCGAAGATGAGCAAGAGGAGGACTGAGAACTGACAAAACATACAAGAGAAGTTGGTGTCATTAAGAATAGCGAAAGGAAAACATTATTTATGATTGATAGATTACACATAATTGATCAGTGTAAATAATTGATTGCAAAGCGGAGAATTTTTTTTTATATTTAAGATCAAGGGTCATGTGTTAATTATCAATGCAAAGGAATAAAGTGAATACGAGGTCTTGTGAAATATATTTGCAATGACGTTTTTGAGACACACCGTGATTATCATGCAGTGGTTTTCCTTGACGGCGCCGCAGCAGCCGAAGAACGACACCAGGAAGACGACGATGCCCACGACGATCATCAGTATTGGCGCAGCGAAGAACCAATTGTCAACGAAATTGCTATAGCCATTGTACAGTGAAAGTATAATGGCGCCCACGGAAATGAATATGATTCCAGTGATCTGTAAATAAATAAGAATTATTTTATTTATTATGTTATACATAAAAGTATTTCAATTGAATTTCTAAAGCGTGAGCACAAACCTAGCAAGGATTGGGGTGGGTTTATGGGCGCGGGTTACGAGCAATATTGATCCTGGTGTCAATTGATACAAATATAGGTTGTTCCTATAAATACTAAACAGTGTGACTGCTTTGATATTCATTAGTAACTCATTAATAATCAAGTTAATCAATTCGTAGATAATCGATACGAATCGATCATCAGATAATTGATGTTATTTCTAACCTAACCTACGTCGTGTATACGTCATTGAAAAGGAAATACTTTTTGCGTAATACATAATTTTTTTTGTATACTGACAGTTCCAAAAAATAGTTATTATGTCATAAAGAATGTTAGACTCTTGCGTGGGACTATACATCGTGTCGCTGCTATGAAAGGGATCGTATACAATGGACAGTAATAAATTCCACAGAGTACAGCGACGCAATACAAAATTTCATCCATTTCTCGAAACTTTTCTCGTAATATATACTATTGTATCAAAAATGTATCATCCGTATCCCCTACAGTGTGTATCATAATGTTACAACTACGATAAAACCTGTGTCAAAGATAAGTAATATAGGGGAAAAAATACAAAGCATTCCTCTTTGCATGCGCAGACGTAACGATTTACCGACATTAAAATAATCAAGTGAACAATCAATCCAACCGCATGAGTCTATTGTCCCGTTAAAATAGATAAGCAGGCTGATAGACCTTATGCGTTGCCAGCACGTAATTTCTGCTACCCCCAGTATATAATGGTTGAGGAGGAAAAAAGTATCGACGTATAATACTCTATGTAGCCATTACATGCAAAGCGTTAGTCATAAGGCTACGTACGCTATAGAAAAGACTCGAAACTACGCCTTCCACCTACGCGTCAATGGTTATTTCTCTGAATAGCGAATTTCAAGAAAAATAAGGAAGATAGAGCCCACGGAGTGTGTAATGTAGGAAAGTAGATACGTAGAACAAAAAACAAGACACTTCGAACAAGAGCGTGACTCGTGTTACAGCGTAACACAATACCCATTTATCTGTGATTTATTTAGGGAAGCCGGCGTTTCGTGTGAGGAAATCTAGGCTTTTGCTTGGTCCAAAATAAACCGTCTAGGCTTTCTCTAGACTTTATTGAAAAACACTCTGGAAAGCGAACAAGAATACTCTTGACAAGAACAACGTGGACATATTCATAGTCGAGTAACATCTTCCTTAAGAACTGTCTTTGCCTGTTGGCAATGTGTCAGAAATAGACAGTTGAATAACATACGAGACAAAATGTTTACATAGTTCTGTCTAATGTCTGTTCATATAATAAACAAATAATTAACTTCGATTGAATGATAATTCTTGATATATTTAAAGATATAAATTCAGAAATCATTCAACTCATGGAACAAGACTCATAGTCCTTCGACGAGGCACGAAAGAAACTGCCGGTGTTAGACGATTGAAAAAACGTCACGACTTTTTAAGGTGAGACAATGGGCTGAATGCGTAGTTTCCCTTCCAGTAGGATGTATTAAGTTTGAAACGGTCTTTTTCATGATTATCGAACGGGCTCGTTCACATAGAGTCACTGGGAGTCGACGAAGTTATAAGAAGATAGACCGTTGCTTACCGCAAATATCAAGTTGAACAGGAACAAGAGGTACTTGACGCACGCCATACCGCCGGAAACCATTTTTAACTGATTTTTTTAAACTTCACTTGTCAATATCAAAAGTAAACTAATGGCTAATCGATATTAAAGTAAACGTAGATGCCAAACGCTTTGTAATACCGACACAACAACGAATTGTTCTTACTGCGAACGCTCGATGAGAAGCACTGAGGAGTCCCAAGATATTTTTGTTGTCCCCCACTGGAACGATGCGCGCGCACTCTGGTGGCTATAGGTAATGTTGACTCCATTGCTTGCATTTGGCACTCGATACTACATTCGCTACTGCCTTTAATCATTTCTTCGCTGTATGTCTTTTCAACGTTCTTATGACAATTTACCAATTTTCTTCTAACCTCACGACCACGTTGCTGTTACCAAATCATTTCAAATATCAGTGTCAGGTACAGAGAGACAGGGCACTTACAAAATTTGAGTATCACAGTAATTGTAAGCTGAATTAAATATTTGAATTTTATTCTACTCCACTATAGGCGTTTGAGTTGTGATATACCGATATAGGCAGTATAATTATCCGAATCACAGTCTTATGTGATTGTCAATTGACTGTCGGATAAGGTTCTAACATATTTGTATCAAAGAGCAATCAGATATCCAATTGGTGATAACAATCGAATTATCAATTGACATCAATTGCTCGGCTATTAAGCTATCTGATGTGAATAATCCTCGGAAACATGGAAGCTGTTCACTTGAAAGCCGGGAAAAGTGTAGTTGACAGCGAGGCAGCCTCTGTGCCTTTAATTTAATTACACGGTATCACGCGTGGGTGGTAGACGGCGATTCAGTGACCTCTGAGGCTCTCAAACATCGTTAAAGCACAACGTAAGAGGAACTTAACTTGGCTCTTTTTAGGCTCACTGTTAAGCTCGTTGACATATTTGTTATGTATCGTCATTAATGACGTCAACACCTTATCTAGTGTCGATTGCTTGTCTTGCCATCATCATTACACGTTGAAAATGCTTTCCCAGGTCAGTCCGAACACTCCCAGAATCAGACTCCTAATAGGTCAATATTGTTTCTCATAAAAAATATTACTAATGAGGATTCTAATATTTTAATCGTACCGCTGACCTAGGAAGGCTTCCTATGCAACCCTTTCAAACAATGTAATACAACAGTCATTGAGATAGGAAGATACTTGGCTTCAGCTATACATATATATAGCAGTAAGACATCCAATATCTCCCTGTGGATTAATCGATCGCATAGTTCTCAACGAATGGTCTCTATTAGTAAAACCTGCATGGTAATACGTGTGGCCTCTTGGCTATTTCTATCATGCTGACTCAGAGTGTACTGACTGCTCCCGGAAACGTCACAATACTTTTAAAAAGTCTGTGGCAGTTGTTCGTCCATGTTTTCCATGAGAGGGCTCTACACCAGTATCGACAGCACAATCTTAAATAATATATTGGCACGTGTCGAGGATCGATTCTCGGGTAATTGGTTCATGCGAACTGTTCTTTTCTTGCGACATAATGACACGTAGCCAACATGCAGATACGATTGCACTCGAGTTGCATAGGTATACACTGAGTATAATAAGCAGACTCTAGAGGCAATGATGACGAACGATAAAATTCAAAGTGTACTCAGAGTACACTCTGATAATTTTTTAATACCTGTAACTGTGAAGAAAACAGAATAAATTAATCGTAATTCCTCTTATCGAGTCTTCTAAGAATTGTATATTAAGTATAACATACACGTATTCTAGTGGCACGTTATAATAGTATAGATATGTCTTACCGATATTATTTTCTTAACTCGAAGGATGTCCTGTCAGCCGTTTCAGGTATAATTCTCGAATATCATTCAGTGATTTTACTTGTTTGCGTTTTGTTATGAGGTTATATAATTCGCAAGGACGAGACATTCGATTGTGTGCCAGTTGGTCGTAAGGAGAATGCGCATATGTCTTTAATATCATGTAGTATTTACAGTGGATAGAGACCGGCATAAATATTTCAGACTTTTAGGTTATTATGGTCCGGCATTTCTGTGTAAAGTTGCATACGACGGATGTGGATAAAAATTGGCCTTATGCTTTGCCATGATTTTAAAACAGCTTCAACCGTAGTTCCGCTGTGACAGACATTGCCGAAGGTCGCCAAAACAGAATACAATCGTGCGCAGTCTGTGTGGCAATCGAAAGTTCTCCAGCGGCCTTATGCAAAGCCCCTCTTACTATCTGAATTCCTTCTCTTCCACCTGCTCGATTTTTCGTTCAGCCAAACCGGCACCTAGTGCATTCGTCGTAGTGAAATCCTCTATGCTTTGCTACAGCGAATTCAAGTTGTTTTCTTATACATGTATATTACGTACAGTATTACTACAAAGAGCCCTAGCGGTAGAAGCAAGAACTAACGTTAGAAACCACCAGAAACTATCTAATGTCGGTTACAATAAAAATTACGTAAATAATCATGTCAGAAAGCAATCTGCGTGCACTTAACAAATGTGATATATTAACCTTATCATGTTTAATACTTTGATAAAGACTGTTATTTCAATTACCGTCAGTCAATCAGCACTTTAGTTGTCTAAACCATTTTTAAACCTACAAGTTCCTCAGTTTCTCCACAGAGTGCGCTCAGGTAATATCCATTCATCCGTCGTTCTGATGCGTCTTCTTTAACGAAAAGATATTCTGCGTCAAACTGGAGCACTAGACTCAATAAAAACAGTATACGCATTAATAATCACCGTGGTAAAGTGTCTAAAACATGTTTAACACGTTTCGTGTCTCGTTGTTTTTTTTTAAATTGTCTTTATGCGTAGTCAGCTTCGCCTCTCGTGTATCATTTGCCATTTTATTTACGTACTTAGCTCCGCGCATGCGCATAACAACATTGCGTTACACATTCGAATAAGCTACGGTTGAAAAGATTATCGTAACACGTAACACGCCGGACTTCCCACTGTGTCCTCAGTAGAGTAGACCACTGCTTTGCGTCTTGATATTTAACGTGTGATAATTGTGTAGTTTTCATTAAACTCTTATATCTTTACTTCGAGCAGGTAACATTATGGATATGGTACGCGGGATGCAGCTATCAAGTGAATCGAAATGTGTGAAAAACCTTATGTTCATATTCAATTTATTATTTGTGGTGAGTATTATTTACTGTTTATTTAACATAGAAAGTTATTTCCACGATTTATAATACTCGGTGATCTGTAATTATTAATATATCGTTATTATTATTGCGCACAATAATGTTCGACGGATGATGCTCAAACAGGATATTTTGTATTGATTATATATTTATCTGAAGAGCAAATTAGTCACGTATTATTCGTCGAAGTAAATTGCGTGGTCTTGTTCGACGTTATTTGAAGTCGTATACTTTTTCTCTATGAGTTTATCATTGCATGGACTAATCCTTTGTCCTTTGTTTATGACCATTATAGTACCATTTGAAAAGAATGGGTGGAACGGATCATGGTTGTGAATTCTGTTTCAGATGAAGTTTATTTTTAAAACAGTATCAGTATCGTACTGATACGAGTGACTTTTATATGATCCATTGTCTATTGTACGAAGTTTAAAAAGGTCATGGGATCCACACCCTGTTCTGTTTTTAACAATTTACGATCAATGGTCACGAGATCTGAATGTTATATTGGTACAAGCCGATGCTTATTGATCTAAGTAGATAGTAGTTGTTTAAGAGAATAATATATAGATACTGTAAAAGTAAAGGTATCTGCTTATTTTTATCGCCTATAATAATAGAGCCAACAGGTACAGTACTACAGTGATTTTCAAGAATAATTTGCTTACCATGTATTACTCAAACGTTTCTGGAACGTAGAAGCCAACGCGCTGCGTATTTGCTACATATATGCGTACATATGGGATATCGTGTCTTTGCGTTACTACTTTTCCCTTAAAACTAGTACTAAAAATTAATTAATATACATTGAATTAATTCGTACACCAAAGTATGCAAAATTGTTAAAAAAAAAAAGTTCGCTGCGGACAGGATTCGAACCTGTGCGGGTAGAACCCAATGGATTTCAAGTCCATCTCCTTAACCGCTCGGACACCGCAGCTGTTGAGAGATGATTTAATTTTTTGATATAAATGTGCTTCGTATTGGACTTTCGTCTCTACTGGTTTTTCCGTATACACCGTCACGTCTGTTACGTAAACCTTGAGATATAGTGAGTTTAACGCGTTCTTTCAGTCGCCATATATTTAATACTTTCACTACCGAAAATCAAGACTTACGACACTTGACAGCATCTCGATTTCGCTATAGGCTTAATTACACGTGTTTGGCGATCTGCTGTTATTTATTTAAGTTTTCTTGACTTCGCTAACGCCAGACTTACACTGAACATTTGCTAATGGATGAAACCATAATTTTTTATTTATTATTATTAAATACATAAAGTATAATTCATATATTTGTATGCACACCAGATGCTTTGATATCTCTTAATGCGTCTTTTATAACGTTATTATCGCATTTTTAATTTACAATCAAAAGATTTTGTCTTTTACCTCAAGAGTGGAATTCAATGTTTATTTCATTAATAGATAAATGAAAACAGGATTTGGGAAGGTCTATTTGAAGCACTATGTATACGGAGACTGGTCCTCTCACTTTCGTGAATGATAACATTTATTTTATTTTTTTCAATAGTTCTTGGAATGTCAAAATATTTCTTGGGTCAGTGTTTAACATATGCATATACAGTGTACACAAACTTTTACCATTACTGTACAATTATATTTATTGTATATACATGAAACCTATATACGTTTAACTGCTATATTATATTGCAGCGTATTTAAATGTGTCCTGGAAGATAACTCGTTATGTAATCTATCATTTACAAACGCGAGTACTTGCATTAGTTTCGAATGATCAAACGCAGCATCGTTTACAAAATATTTTTTGAAAGTATGAAAAATAATATTTATGTATGTTTTGCTATCATTTCAGATCACTGGGATCGTCCTACTGTCGGTAGGATCAGTAATCCTTGGTGTTTATCACAATTATGCACACTTCTTGGACATTAAATTCTTTTCGGTGCCAACACTGATGATTGCGATCGGCGCCATTATCTTCTTAATCGCATTTTTCGGATGCTGCGGTGCTGCGCGCGAAAATTACTACATGATCGTTATGGTAAGATATATATATATATTTTCAATAAATAAATTATTAAAAGATAAATAAGATAATATGTCTAACTTAATTTGTTTTTCTGTCCCCCATTCAGTTTACTACACTGATGATCCTGGTATTCGTCTTCGAATTGGCTGGTGGAATATCTGGATACGTATTAAGAAATCGTGCCAACGTAGTAATCGAGAAAAACATGAACGAATTGATGAAACAGTACAATCATAGTGAGGACATTGCGTACGTCTGGGACTCTCTTCAGCGAGACGTAAGATATATTTTGAAAAATTCTATATACTGGGGCGTATAGTGTAACAGAAAAACCGTATGGTGTTTAGTACAGGGAGGGTAATTTCACTGGTATATTTGAATGGCCATGATTACAGCTGGAATTCAATTTCGTTCGATAACTTTATGATTCTTATTTCGTCATGGTCTGTATACTTGATAACACTGGCATTTTTAACTGTTTATCTTCGCCAAACAGCGGCTCTCAGTCGACTTTTCTTATACTGTTGATGTTAACTATAGCTATTGTGTGGATATTTAGTTTCAGTGCTGCGGTACCATCAACCCTAATGATTGGATTAATATTACTGGATCCAATGATCTTCCATTATCTTGTTGTGAAATTAAAGCGGGGACAATTGGTTCCTTCAGTTGCAATACTAATACGACAACCTTAAATGATGAAGGCTGTTTAACAAGCTTTCAAACTATCATTAAGACTCATGCTGTACAACTTGGAGCTGTTGGTATTGGCATAGCCTTTGTGCAGGTAATGTAATACATTAGACCGAGTGTATTATTTTGAATGGATTTTGTGTACTAATTATGGTCTTTGTTCATTGTAGGCTATTGGAATTGTATTCTCTATTTATTTGGCTCGCTCCATCAGGAACACATATGAATCTGTATAGTTCAGATTGTTAAATTTGTAGGAGTAACAGGTTATAAGTATATCCTATCTGATTTGTGGTTCGTTCTGTGGATATTTCTGTACTGGCTGCTTCTGTCACGAATTTTTGTTTGATTCTAATGAAATAGAAGGACAGATTTGACTTGTAATAAATGAAGTACAGTTTATCATTGTTTTAATTCCATTTTTTTATTTGACATTGCTGTGACATATTCCAATTTTCTTATTACTGAAACGTCTTTATGAACTGTCGATCTGTTTGCTTTTGTTGTAAAAATAGGATTAGACTAAGATTTCTAAATTTACTGTAAAAGTCATGGTCTCCTCTTGTACTAAGTACCATAGGTGAAATTCCCGTTAGGGAGAAATTATGCTGGAGATTTATTTTATTTGTTCGTTCATAAATGTCATTACTAAAGTGTAGTCTAAGTAACTGCTGTGGTATTTTATAGGAATGTCAGTGCATTGCTTTCTTATGTAAAACGCAAACACTATTTTAATGTTGAATTTTCAAAATAAGTGTATCGCCATATTGAATATTGGATTACTATGAAATATGTTTATAATGTAAAAATTGTATTTCAGATTGTATGAAGTTGTTAATTATAATTTGAAAAAAAAAAATAAACTTAAGTATAGCCACATTGTACTTCTCAATTTTTCTGACATAGTATACACAGAGATGAATTCATCTCTAGTATACATATATAACCAAAGAGGGATTGATCGTTATGCGTTCATGAGGAATATAAAATTTGTGTTTTGCATGAATAAAGAATTGATTTGTAATAAAAAAATACGACTTCACAGAATAACTATAATAAGTAACAAGTGCACTTTATTATTAAATGAACTTGCGTTAGTTCGATTTTTCATTTGGGCGGTGGGGTGGGCGAAAACATCTCCTGGACATGATAAATGGCGCCATCTCTAAGACAGCCGATGAACTTTGTAGATAAAATGATTTTCAAAACGTTCAATATCTACTACCTCCAGCTGTTAATCTTTCTCACATACCCACAGTTTTTAACGTTTGTTGTTAGATTTATCTTACTGGGAAATGTATTCTTTGCTATTAGCTCGCATGCAGCTCTTTTCCTTTCACAGTACCCAACAGACTGCACTTCTCTAAAATTGTAAGTGAAAAGAACGATTAATCAAAAAGTCAACTCAATCACGTGTAAAGAATGTTCACCCATCCACCTCCGTTATCATCTTATCATTGATTGATCGTCGAGGGAAAGTAGCATATTGACATGCACAAAGTGACGACACCAAGAGCCAATTGATGTCGCGGAAAAGCGACGACGCTAGAATGTATTAATAAAGAAATAAAAAAATGCACTGCATGAATAAAATTGGCAATAACAATATAGGGTGTATTAACGAATCTTTTTGAATGATTTATGCATTAATTGTAACTGCCATTATTGTCCTTATTGCATTTCTGTTTTGTACGTATTCCGATAACACAGTTCCGTGACGTCATCAAGCTATATTAATATTTAATACAGCAAAGAATATCAGTACAAAATATACTGATAATAATTAGCAAACTGGCGTCACAGCAGATAAAATAATAGCAGAGCCCAATGTAGAATCTCAACTATATCACACGGTTACGTCCCCTCCACAAATTTTTTATTTCGAGACAAGAATGCCCTGCGTTCACGTTCTCCTTATCAGGTGATAAGAAGCCCACCTGACTGCCGACAGACAACGTCGCCACAGCCAGTCGTGTTTCAAAGCGGAGACCGCACCAGGACACACGTTACAGTTCTATTGGAAACGTAAAAGAGGTTAAAGTAAAGCAAGATGGCGACGACGCATCTCGACGTTGGACTTAGGTGCATCAAGTATCTACTATGCGCCGTAAATTCACTTTTTGTGGTACGTAATTGCTTGAAATTATTAATAATTAATGCTTTTCAGATAAAAATATCACTCTTATTAATATCTAAAGTTTCAATAGTTTCTTCTCGTTTTTGTTAAACTTCTGCAATTCTGCATGTCGATCGTATCGATTGTTGATTGACTTTTTGCAAATAATATTTTACCTGTTTAACAAAGAAACATAACAAGACATTCGTATTTTTACACGTTTTTTAATCAATTATATGATAATTGTAACTTATGTGACCCTCGATAAAAACGCAGCTGGTTTACCAGCTGGCGTCCTTGAGATTTAGTTCAACTCTCGTTTACTTAGCTTTTCTTGCACTCAAACTTTTCCACCAAGTGAGACGCATGAGAAAGTTTTTTTGCATCGATCTTCCATGACTGACGATTTTCATTTATCGTATATGATGATATTTACGAGTTTTATTGCTTATTTGACGTTCAAGCCACTTTTCATTTCAATTTTCCTCTATTGGCTTCGTTTTCGTACTTAAGATTAAACTGTTCAGAAATCATTATTATACCTATTAGCACTGTATGATAACGAAAATTAATAAAGATGACGCACCACATCCCGGAATGACAATTCTATTAAAAGCCTAGTCATTGAGTATAACGTTGTCTTAGAAAAAGAGTGAAAAAATAAATCTTTAAAAACGTATATTCCCCAATAATTCGAGAATCATCATCGTCGATAATCTACATGTGAGTTATCGTGAACGGTGGCTTATCTGACTGATAAACATACATATTATTTTCATAAAATAATCAGTAGAAATTTGCCTGACCGTTAGTTTATTAAAAGGCAGATAAACAAATTTTTTAAAAATAATTATTTTTACGTAATTTTTCCCGTTATCGTTATCATAAAAAGTGAAAATTTCTCTTCTTAATTTCTTTTCTAGCTTCTGAGTCATTTTAATTTCCATCGATAAAACTTACATATGTCTGATTTGTACACAATGATAAGTTATCGAATTTGTGAAGCTGATAAGTTATCATTATACATGGAAAAGTTAATGCGATTAAAAATGATTCCATATAAAAATGTAGGATCTACTAAAAAAATTACGCCTGCCAACAGTCAACCCTTTATACACGGCTGAATCAATGAACACGTACCAGTAAGGCGTCTCGTTATATAAACTGTAACGTAATTCTTTTAACTTATGACCCGACACCGATAGCAAAACATACGAGAACGACTATCTTCGAGAACCAACCTACGTTACCTTTGGCCGTCCACCCGTCCTTCGTGCATCCGCAAGCCAGGCGGCCGCCAGCCAATTCTTTTTTCACCGGGAACTGACGAGCCGGTATAAGCTGGGAGTTGGGGTGGAACAGGCCCAACTCCACCAAGAACGAGAGCTCTGACGGAACCTATCGGACAAGGCGATAGCTTGACGGATCCTGCCGATTTTTGGGGACGCGTAAAATCGAGAAACGCACCTGGATGCACGAACGGGAGCGGACGGTTACGGAAATGCACGGCCGCTCAGGCTGCTAGGTTTGAGGTAGAGAGGGTCGGAGTAAGAGTCCGGCAAATAGTGCGAAAGAGAGAGAGTGACTAACCGAGAACGTATCAGAACGAATCTTAACTCTCTATCGAGATCCCTTCACCAATTAATAAATTGGGAGACTCACCGGAGCTGGGGCAGCTAATCCGTGGAGGTCGAGAACTGTATCCAAAGGACACTCTGGCGAGCACTGCACTAAGGCACAGCACTACACCTCCGGAACACTCACAGGAATTCATAGAATTGCCTGGACATCGCGAGAACAACGCGAGAACTGTACGAATCGAGAACTTGCTATATCGTAGCGAAACACGGCAAGGAAAACTATCAACAGACAGCACGGGAGCACGAGCCAGCTCGTGACACGTCGGTCGGTGCCCCGAGACAGACTGCTTTAAGCAGTCGATTGACAATATCCAAATGCCAAATCCGAGAACTAATCTACGAATCGAGAACTTGCTATATCGTAGCGAAACACGGCAAGGAAAACTATCAACAGACAGCACGGGAGCACGAGCCAGCTCGTGACACGTCGGTCGGTGCCCCGAGACAGACTGCTTTAAGCAGTCGATTGACAATATCCAAATCCGAGAACTAATCATTCTGATTGGTCGAGAGCCTTATAACCGATAACTCTTCAATCTCCTTCTAGTCGTCCCTTTAAACCAAATCGAGAGCGTTCCTTAACGAATCGGCACGTGATTTTTGGAGATCCTCCACGGCCGCTTCCCCGGGGCATCGGGCGACAGCTGGGCACCACATTCTCAATTCGGGTAGGAAGTTCCTCTCCTGCCCTTAACCGTATCAAAACTACCTCCGCCCGCTCTAAAGCCCTTTGCCCATCTCCAGCGGGGCGCCGGTATCTCACCCGGGCTCCTGCCGGTCCGTGGAGACGTCTCCGTCAGGTACTCTCCTTTGCCGGGCAACTCAGTACGTCGAGACCATCTCCCCACGGGAAATTCGAGCACCTCGACCTCAACTAAACAATAACGAAATCTTACGAGAGCCTTGACATAACTGTACGAATCAACCCGAGAGCGTAGCTTCTGAGCAGGGTGGCGACCCGAAGGGAACCAGAAATCGAAAACGTTATCTGTATCGGTAACCGGAGCCGCCTTGGGACCGTGATTCGAAAAATCACGTCACAAAACATATTTATTATGATCGTTAAGTAACAATCATAATAACCACACTACGGTACAGAATATGGATACGAATCCATTAAAGATTAATTAAGGGATGCTGTATACTGTTATAATTATTTTTATCTCTTCAGATAACCGGTGTAATGATAATTTCCGTCGGTACGACGATCTACGCCATCTACGAAGATTTTTCACACTTTTTGGACCCTAGCTACTTCTCTCCAGCTACTGTTCTTATCGTGGTCGGTGCCATGATCTTTGTAATTGCTTTTCTGGGCTGTTGCGGTGCCATCAAAGAGAGCACTTGCATGATCCTTGTTGTAAGTCAGCAAATTGATACCGGAATCTAAAACATGATTAATGATAATCATTAGAGACATAATTAACGTTGATTGTTTCAGTTCGCAGTCTCCTTGTCTTTGGTACTCGTGATGGAGTTTGCAGCTGCAATTTCAGCCTATGCACTTCAAGGAGGAATCAAAAGCTTATTGGCCGAACATATAAACGCGACTATGTATGATTACGAGCAGAATTCCGAAGCCAAAGTGGCTGTAGATTTCATGCAATCCAGGGTAATTAAAAAAATATATTTTAATAGATTGACAGTGTAATTAATTATAATTTAATTTTATATGTATGCTCAGTTAAGATGCTGTGGATTTGATAGCTATCTGGATTGGAAGAATGTTCTGTCCGATGAAACAAATGGGCAAGGTGTACCGGATTCTTGCTGCGCTTGGAATACCGTGGTTAATGAATTTAATAATATTACCGAATGTGCAGGAATTTATGAAGAGGGTTGTATAGGTCGTCTGTCCATCATTGTTCATCGTAGCGCATTGTATCTGGGAACTGGTGCCATTGCTATTGCACTGATACAAGTAAGTATCTCAATTCTTGTGTCAAACAGTGACAGCTCGTGTCTTGTACGGTAATAATTGTACTGACCCACATTTATCGTTTAGATGACTGGAATAATGTTTGCCTGTATGCTTGGCAAAGCTGTCAGACGTCAGAAAATCGAGAGGGAAAGACGTCGTTGGGAACTGAGGGAAAGCATTGTTAACGGATACGAGCCAATTGGAAAGACGGATCCGCTTACGACATATCCGGTTGTCTATATGCAATCGCCAGACTATCCTTTGAAGAAAGAGTCTATTTAAAGGGAATAAGATAATTATTATTTAAATAACGAGTACTGGCCAAACGCCGAAATTACTACTGAAGACACCGTACTAGTAGAGTATTAGAAATTGAAGATTAATAATTTTTGTCAAAATATTTTTAAAAAAGTATTGAACGAGTGGTCATGTAAGATTGACGAAGGAAAGAGAGAAGTTACAAGCATCGGACGTGTTCTCCTTTTTTTTTTTTAAAGAGAAACCATACATTCATACGCAAAGCCACTTTCCGAGTGACTGATAAAGATAGGAAGGAGTCGGTGGGACTGATAATAGTATTTCATTTTTTTGTTAATCTAAAAAACAAGCCTGTAAGGTATAAATAAAAATAGCCTTCATGACTCAGACAACTTTTATTTCAAGAATGGTGATTTACACTGTAAATTAATATATTGTTTCACCGAGTTATCAATAACAGTCTATATATTTTATGGTGATTGTACTAGACACGTGTAAGATGAAAGTACTATTATAAAGACACTATAGGATTGTTTTTTATTATTAAATATAAGATGCCATTCAAGAATATATATTTTATATCAATCCTATTTAATATAAGTCAATAAAATACAGTCATGTTTAACACTCACCAGCACAATTTAAATTACAAAATCCATTAAAGTTCCCAGCAGTCGAGTCAAATTGATTGCATTTCTTAATCGCGTTGTACAAGTTAAGTCCAGGACTTTGCGAGGAGGCAACTTTACATTGAGGCACAATGGCGAAATCTTCTTTCAGTCTATTGAGTCTCCTGGACGTGTCCAATATATAATCGAAAGCCTGGATCTGCTCCTCGCTCGGTATGTGATTCGGAGCGGAACAACAATTTCTATAATCACCTGTAAGTAACAAAGTGGATGTTAATGGCACAGCAGGATTATTAACGTTATAGAAGGAAATAACGCAGAGAGCATTGGCCATGCTGAACTTCCGATAAACAGAAAGTGTCTACCTGTAAAAGATACGAACAGGCAATTGTTATCGCAACTGTACGCACTCTCTGGAGCAGCTTGCCAAGTCCGTCCTTCGTAAGCTCTACCATCGCCGGCTATCACAAAGTGATAAGGAATATCTTTATATCCTGCATTCATAGCATTTCTTTGTAACGCTCTCATCAGTTGACTACATCTTTTCAAATCCGTACAGTAAGCAGTGACTGTATGACCAACTACAACGTAGGCACGTTCGTGAGATGACATTTCTAGGTTATTATTTGGCTCGGATGCTTCCCAGGATTCCCTGGACACGTACCAGTCGAGATTCTCTTCTATAAAACAAAGACATTAATTAATTATTGCTCGAGCGTCTTAAACATGGCGAAAGTTTCGGATATGCCAATTTCTATGTATGAATCCATTTTATTCCGAAATCTGCAACCGAGCGAATCAGTTAAATTTCGAGGGAATCTGTAAAAAATATGAATTGTATCTGACCGAATTCGACGTAATCCGAAATCTGTAGTGAAAAGGGTTGAAAGTTGTCTCGGATGAGGTTCGAATTCATTCAGATTAGGCGAACGGATTAAAAAGGGTTGAAAGTTTGTTTCGGATTGCTGTTGGATTCGTTCAGATTGAATTCTTATTTGAAACTTTTACCATGGTGATTAATAATAAATTCAATTATAAATGTGCAACTTTACCGACTGAACTCGACGTGCAGTACGTTGTGGTAGTATTGCGAGTCTCGGGTTGGAGTGGAAAGTTTAAAGTGAAATGAAGTAGGATGGTAGTAACTGCGATAATAGTTATTAATAAAATTACCCCGTAAGCTACAAAACTGCGTTGTTGAATCGATGAAAATTTTCCAATCCAACAGTATCGTTGAACGTTCGGATTAATCTGTACTTCTAGGTAGAGAATTTAACGATAGGTTGTATTCATTTTCCGGGATCAATAGAGACAACGGAATTATGTATTTACCTCGATTAATTGCCTCGTTAAACTGTCGCGTGCCATTAAATTCTTCATATTTATTTCTGCACCATCCGCACGCACAGGCCGAGGGTGAAAAATTACAGCAGCTCGTGGTATGTTGACTGTTCAACAAAATCCCACTAGGCGCACTAGAACACTGCGCTCTTGTTTCCACCGTAGAATTAACAGATGGCGCTGATATCTATTAATGAAATAAAAGCCATTAATACAGCTATATACTGTCTATCATAAGAAATACTTACGTTCTCGAAAGAGACCTCTGATGGACCAGCCTTGAAATTCACAACAAGAATTTCCAATTTCTGATCTAATTTCTTCACCTCGGATAAACCCAGATTACAATTCACTTTGGTTTCATCCCCATTGAGCGATGATTTCCGGTCGGCCTTAGTACCGTCTTTACTCCACGTTACGAATAGTTTTGACGTGTTATCTTTATCAACATCTAAATTACGTCTCTCCATTTGTCAAAAAAACAAGTAAAAGCCACGATTGTCCGTCGCACTAAAAAGTCAAATTTCCAACTTAATTTCACGAAACCCACGTCCAAATTGTCCAGTGTATAGTGTATACGTGGCAAAATCACGATTAACGAAGATAATGGTTGTCAAGGTGACAATTAACTTTACAATAGACCAAATTTTCATTGTGTCAGCAATACTGATAAAAACTAAGTGCAAATCAGTATTATCTCTTACCAAAGGAAATTAAACAAAATTCCAAACCACATAATCTATCTATATCAGTCTTATCCTAAATTTTCATTATCTCTATATTTATACACAGACCCTAAATACACAGTATATATATATATATCAAACTCCAAGAATTCTGTCAAGAACTAATACAAATATTCATAACCTAAACTCAAAAGTAATCTACCATAAAATCTACTTTGTCCCCAGCGGCCATCTTTTTGTTCCCAGGGAAACTACCAAACTCAAATACGCAACGTCTCATTTTCTCTACATAGTACCAATCATTATTGCCCAACACTTAATACGTGGTTACAATAAACATCAACAAGTAACAGCATGCAGCACGTCCAGCGAAAGATCTGATTCAAGGTCGACCCGGCGCTAACTCCAAAATGGCTGACCCTCAGGCAAATACATTAATTACTATAATCAGTATCGACCTCACCAAATAATTTCCCATTAGGCCGATACTCGTGCCATCAATCCACCCATCCATCAGGCGTCACGTACCATCCAAAGGCGAGTTCACACTCATCCACCTCACACGTAATTCTTTCCTGTCTGTTTTTACAATCCAAAATTGCATGGCCCACAATCGACAGCATAAACACGCGCTCATCCAGATATACCAGTTACGTAATTTTATATAACCACCGAGCTATATATCACAGTTCAACACAGAAACTGGTCTCTTCCAGAAAGACAACATTGACGATCCGAATCAACAGGTTTTTCCCGGGCCCTGAATCTGGGCAGACTCGTTCGCTCTTTTTTACCCGTCGATCCTTCAAAACCGTCATGATGACGTAACTGACACGGTTACAAGGAATTTTGACAGGAGAAACCCAACACGGTCAGTCGGTAACGTAGGAAATTAACAAGTCATAAGCAGATCAAATAAATTACACAGCTTGTACTTAATTTACCATTTAATATAATGATATTTCTTTTAGCACTAATTAACATTAAGTTGATGACAATAATAATAATAATAACAATATTTATAGCAATAATAATAATATAATATAATATAATATAATAATCTGATGGTATAGTAGTTTTAATGATAGTATTCATAACTGTATAATGAATGTAACAAATAATCAATATTATTAATATATGGAAAATATAGTATCTATAATGTACTGTACAGAGCTCAGCCAACAGCGTCGTAAGTCTCGACGTTGGCCAAAAACTATTGCATGGGTTTTTAAATACCACATTTTATATATATACACATATATATAAATTGATTAATTATCCTCCGTAGCTCCCCCTTCGCCCCGACCCGCCAAATTATAAAGGATCGTCGGCAGTATACAAAACGAGTTTATGCCACGCGATTCCCATTGGGCTAATCGATCTCGCGGGATTCGGAGTCTCTGTGCGGGGTCTAAGGACATAGAATACAAAAAAAAAAAGAATGAAAAAAAAAAGAATCACCATATTCAACATTTGCCTATGACTGAATGATTTAGAGGATTTTTGTTTCAAGTCGTTATTATGCGCGATTGTTGAAAAAAAATTAACTCTGAGAATCTCGCAGTATCCGTGTACGATGATGAAGCCTGTGTCCTGTATGACGTAACAGATATATATACCTTATTTGTATACGGGTATACGAATAATCGTAAATTTGAAATAATTACAAGAACGCTCGCGAAACGGGCTTTCCAAAAGATGATGAAAACGCGGGAACCGGTACCTCTTGAATAATGTTTAGCTTGTCAATTGATTTTCTTGAGCGTGACGCGAGCATAAATCAAATATGGCGATTCGCGACTGACGTCCGTATGAGAAAACGTTGACGTGCCGTGAAAGGGAAAAAGAAGAAACTAAGCCAGCGGTAAGGAGTCTCTCAGGTCCGACAAGGGAACTGCTCCATAGTCATAACGATAAAATAAAAAATATATATATAACAATTTCATACTCTCCTTGTAATACGAGTCTGTTAGTTTTTGTCCAATACATAAATGTTCTACATTATTATTTTTATACATGTATAGCCCCAATTGTATACTTAGAAATATATATATTGGCTACGTTCACTCGTGCGCCCATACTGTCTATTCTACCGTCTAGACATCTAAAACTTATATTTCGTTTTCGCGCTATGGATATTCTACAAATGCATATATATATATATATATATATACACATACACACACACACACTCGCGATAGGAGAAAAAAAGAAGATGGACGCGTCGAATAATCACAGTGCGTTCCTACAGAGGTTAGTGCTTGGATCCTTTTATTACATATTGTTTTGTCCTATGATAAAATGATCTAAATAAATTTCAGACAGGCAATGTACAATGGGCGACAGCGTATTTATGAAGAATAAGAAAAATAATGGAGAAATGAAACGATCGGTTTGATTCTTGGTAAGAGCAACAAGGTCGCCCACGGCACGCTCTCCTTTGTGCTCCACGGGTTTCTCCTGGCTGCAGTGTTGCAACATGGCGGGCATGCAGATAATACGTACGTAACCATAAAGGCCGCGGCCCCTGCGATATTTCTACGCACGTTAATGCATAAGGATAAGTGACACGTGGGGGGTTAGAATGCAGTCGTAGCAGAAGAAAGAAAGAACGAAAGAAGTTACGTTCGCCCGTTAGGCTCGCGCAATAATAAACGAGGCGACCGATATGCGATTTCGCAATGAGCAACAGTGTCGATCGGGGAATGTCGAGCGTTACGCATCCGTCGCACCGCGCGTAACGTGATCGTACGAAGGAATTTTAAAAAGGTGTCTATAAATATATGCATACAAACGCGTGAAACGTATGGAAAGGTGAAAATGGGCGAAAGTAGATAGAGAAACAAAAAAAAAAAACGAAAAAAGCGGGAAATTTGAAACGACAAAAGAATTTCTCTAATGGATAAAGAAGGGTGCGAATGGATAAAGAAGCAGTTGCGTGCCTCACGTGTCCGAAATACTGCTACAGCGTTTTATCGTCGAGTTACGTGACAAAAAAAGAATGCGAATGGCATCCGGTACTGAGATACCGACTGAGGGATGCTGGAAATTCAATAAAGTTTTTCTTGTATCTTTAATTTCATATTGAATTCCTAACTATGGTACAACATGTTTACTTTAACTACAATACGTTTGAGAATAAAATTACATGGTCAAACCCCC